TCGTCTCGGCCACGAGCGCGGGCCCAGTACCGCCCATAGCCTCGCTCGGCATGCGCGGGTTGGCGGTTAACCCCGCACTCGCCTTCTTACCCGCCGCACCGATCGTCGCGCCAGTCGTCGCGCCCGCGCCCGCGCCCGCGCCCGCACCTGCACCCGCAACCGCACCGACCCCAGTGCCAAACCCCGCCGCGCCCACTCAGATGGACGTCGATCAGTCGACTCAGACGGTCGACGACATCGCCCACAACGCGGCGCGACAAGAGCCTGAGGGGGAGGCTGCAGCCCCGGAGGGTGGTAACCACACGGAGCAGATGGACGAAGAGTCCTGAAGCCCCATATACCCGGACGAATGCGTCCATACCCACCAGTACCGCCTGGTACCTTCATCCGCCCAGACGTCGCACCAGCGTCATGGTGTATATAATGGTGCAGGACGCAGTAGCGTCCACCCTTCCCCGCGGACACTTCGCGAAGCACCGCTTGGACGGCGTGCCCCCGTCGCGAGTCAGTACTCAGGGCATGGACGATACTCGTCCTCCTAGGGTGTCGAATGCGACGCGCCTAGTGTACATATAAAAGCGGCCTCATCGCCGCACCCTTGTATTATAGGGCCTCTGCGAGTGCAGCGCAGAGGACCCGTGTATTATACTGTGCTACCGCCACTCCGAGTTGTGGCCCTTCCTCATTGTATATTAATTTTGAGACCCCACCACGGGTCTAGGGGGGGAGAGTGTAAGAACCCGTCGGTTCTATCATAACCAGACCTTGCTAGGTCGTGCGCGGAGGACGAATAACCGTCATCAGCAAAGGAGACCAATGTCTCCAAGAACCTCGGAGACCCAGGGCGCATAGGCGCCCTTAGATTAGATGTGCTACGTCATGTATTTTACGTAAGCATACGACGCCCCAAGGTTCGGGCCTTGGGCGTCTGGTGGGGTTGACTTCTACCAACCCCACCATCCTACGAGTACGCCGAGCAATACAGCCCGGTCCAGAGTACTTGCGGGATACCGGGGACCGGTAGAGGTCACGTACACTTACACGTAAGCACTTTGGGAGTTACCGCCGACGTCTCACTCCGCTAAGTATGGTCAACCATTTCATCCCAGGTTGGCAGTGACGTTCCGAACTTGTGCTCGTGTTGCCCCGTTGAACGTTGAACGGTGCCCCGAGTACGCTCAGCGCTCAACCTTGACCACCTACCACGCACAGCGTGTCTCCTCTCTGACTCTCTGCCATTGTCGAGCTTCTCTGTTATGTCTTCCGATAACGACGATGGTCCTCCCTGGTTCCCGTTACGCTCTGACGGCAGTCTCGGCGATATGTCTGCAATCCCAGACCGTTTATTACGCCACCCAGAGCTGGAACAAAGGGGGCTCGCCTCGAAATTGTACGAACCTCTGAAGGCCGTACGACGATTATCGCTCTGTGTGCCCGTTGCAGTCGCTGACGCTGTTCAACAGGGTTGCGTGTACAGCACGAATCCCGAAGTAAAACCTGCCTACGCTATCAAGATCCTCGATTCGAGCACGGAGGAGGTTGTCATTCAGCAACGACTACTCCGTGAACTACACCGGCCGAACAACCACACCCTCCCGTCTGAAATAACCGTCACCGGCCACCCGCTGCTCATCATGCCCACTGTCTCCCGGGTGGACTATATATACCCGGGGAAAAACTCTTTGAGCGTGCTCCTGGACGTCATGTTTCAGATAGTAGAGGTCTGCAGCACTTCGAGTCCTTCGTCTTTCACGGCTGATTGGTCATCGTCAAGGGCATAGAGTTTCTTCATAGCTTGCGCATCGCCCATTTAGTATGTCTTCCATGTGCGTTTTCTTCCTCGCGTCGTACGCAGCTGACTGTCACCCAGGACATTTGTGGCGGGAACATGCTCGCGGCGCATGTTGACCACGCGAACGCGCATGAACAAGTCGTAGCAAACAGACTCTACATCATCGACTTCGGTCAGTCCAGGCAATTCGCTCTTCGGCCTGGTGTCCAGCCGGCGATCATGCTCCCGGAAACTCAGGTTGAACCGCCCAACGATCTACTCCACTTCGATCCGTACTCGTGGGACATATATTGTGCAGGACGCATGATGGAATACTTTGTGGAGGTACGCTACCGTCCTAATCCGCAGCATCGACCATCATCTTATGATTTCTTTACCGTACGATAGCGCAGATACAATGTCATGCGGAAGATCAACCCACCTTGGCTCGCCACGAAGCTCATCGAATGGCTCATTGGCATCGAACAGGGCTGCACCGGAGTATGTCGCTGCCGTCCGACTGCGCGTACAGCCCTGCGAGTGTTGGTTGTTCTTCGATGGGCTGTTCTCCCGGTAAACGGCTACGACTGGGTCGTCCACTCTCTGTCGAAACTATGGACGACACGCACCTAACCGTACGGAGCGCCCACATTGCGCCACGTCAACAAGTTCTACGCTTTGCGCTGTTCTACCCTAGCGTAACCGCTTTCCTCCCTGTCCTCCTTTCACATATCATGTACGAATGTAGCCCCTATGGACCCCGCACCTGACTGTGCCCCACAGATTTGTACGCGCCACATTGAAGTACGCCACCGACTCGACTGTTCCTTACGCGAAGACCCTGAAGAGCTCTCTGCCCAAGCTGATCTGAACGTCGGACGAAAATACGGCTTCTCATTCAACGTTCTCAGCTAGGACAGTACCGCAGCTCCATCTACGGCTTGAGCGCAGAGGCTGGCGAAACGCGTTGAGGGTGGGATACCGCGGGCGGTGCGCGAAACATACGGGTGCGGATGCGCTCATTTCATCAGATCCACCATCTCGAAGATGCTAGGCCTCCATCAGCCACGCAACCAAGAACAAGAGCAGCGCGTTGAAACCGAGTATACGCCGCGGGAAATTCTGTCATGTGCGTATGTCGTAACCACGGACAATGACTTCCGGGGACACTTCAACGACCTGAACGGGCAGGTCCGACGGCCGCTTCTCGGCTGAATCTCTTCGCCCTGAATTCATCAGGGCGTCACTGGTCGCACAGACACCATGCCCCTCATTCACCTAAGTAGCTGCGGAGGTAAGAGAACTTCACATGCGCGGTCCAAATGAAGTGTCGCTGATTATCTGACGGTGCGACTCGGACTGCCATGCTGTCCAGATCCAGGTGGTCGAGTCAAACGTCACTGCCCGTACCGCGTTCTGTCAGCCCGAGTACGCGGCCCACGCCATACGCCACACCCCGGGTCGCTATTGTGCACTGACATCCCCGAGCAGCTCGTCTTCTATTTCTACTGGCCGCGTCAGCTGGCCGCGACGTGGCGAATCGGGGACGTGCACCGCCCAATCGCCCGCCGTCCGCGTTCTACTGCCAGGCATCGCCGAAAGAGCGGTATAGAGTCCGAGCACGGCAGCCATTATCATCCCCATCACATCCGCAATTCCACCTGATCAGGGGTCGTCGCGAGGAGTGGCTGCGGGGTAAGTGGTGTGCACAGCGTCGTGTATCAGGACGCTCATTCCATCAGACTAGTCGACCTGAAGATACGGCCCCTCCATCATGCATGCGACCAAGCACGAGTGTGGACGGGCCCGAATCAGCTGAGAGAAGCCCACACTTCCAAACCCCGACAAACAGGGTCCTTCCCCAATGGACAGGTGGATGGGCGCGAGTTCGCACAGTGGACTTCGACCGCCACGTTCGAAGCCCTCGAGGCGTGGATGCGCTGCGATCTCGTCACTTACATGCGCTACTGTCAAACTCGGACCGCATGGTGAAGGAAGACTGGCCGTAGCTCCTAACCCAGTTCTTCTAGACCAGGTACGGGTGCCCTCCGAGTCAAATCGTATTCACTCCGCTCAATTTCGCTTCCTCTGCACAGGTACCGGGCTTCTGCTAGACTCTTCTCAACCCGTGGCCCCCCTATGCCCGATGGCGCTTGTTTAGGTGCTCAGAAAGAGGACGAGCGGTGCACCCAGGTCGTGGTGTGCGAAGGGCCCCATCGGCGGAGCCCTCCCGCTTCTGTTGGCTATAGTCGTCCAGCGTACGTACCCTTATCTCATCAATATTTATCTTTTGATAGGATCGGAATTGGCGCGAGGTGTGCATCCGCACTGGCTTGCGAAGAGTTTTATTCGGCTGCTCGTTCAGAGGGGACAGAGCCTCACCGGCTTGTGCCACTGTCGTGCGACTGCACGTACAGCCCCGGAGCGCTTTGCATTATTGGATGAGCCGCTGTACCAGAACGATGCCACGGGTCCTGTGACGCGCAGTCTGGAGTAGCTTCCGACGGTCGGGAGAGAATGAGACCTCCATACACGAATGAAGCGGACACGCGCGATACATGGCCGAGTCAGATGCGACCAAGCTAACCATCTTGGGAGGTATCGTGAAGACTCTCAGATGCGCCAACATGTATTTTCATTCATTCTCTATTAGCAACACCTCACACGCGAGCCATCGATCTCGCCGTATTCGAGCCCACGCTCGAACCAATGAAGGCGGAACAGCCTCGACATGCGGCGAGGCTGCGCAAGCTATCGGAAATGATCGGTGAGTGTATGATGCTAGCGAGCGAAATCTAAGCCCGCGCTGAGCCCCGGACCGTACTCATGGAGCCTCGATGGCTTTACACCAAGGACGTTACTCTATGGCGCAACTGTGGGCTCCTCCGGTGCCACGATATCTGCGCCTATTGTTCGCCCAGGTGGGCACCGCGCGCTATCCCCCTTCTGGAACAAAAGATGGCAGCCTCGCGCTGAAGAGGAGGCAGCCCTCTCGGAAGCGAGGAGCGCGACTCACAGCACTCGTTCACACGACCACCAAGCCAGAGCAGCTGCTCGCATCGCTCCCCTTTTCCGCTCTCCGCTTATCGATACACGCCAGATTCTAGCATGTTCTACTTCGTAACACCGCACCGCGATCCCGGGGGCACACGGTCCATCCAGGCGGGTGCTCGCCGGCTCGGATATAAGTCCGCCTCGTCTGAAGTGAGCACCAGAGCACAACGACTCAGTCGCCCCTCCGCCGATCGCACCGCTGCACAAAATCTTTTGGAAGCCTCCATCCCCATACACTCTGGTACGACGCCATCCTGCTTCGGTGAACCGAGTGCGATGCTGATACATAGGTTCACAAGCCGCAGATGGGTCGCCCCGATTTCATCAAGGCCGCCTTGAAGAACATCAAGGACGATCTGGACAACCTTCCTGCCGAATACTTCCAAGCGTCGTTAGCAGTGAAGAACATCACCCCGCGGACAATGGCGGACGGACATATCGTCAAGTTCAACAAGGTGGGTTACACCCACCGAGGCAAGGGACGCTCGATTGCGTACAAATTCTACGTCTTAACCGCCGACGGGACTACCAACATTGTGGAACTCGACCTCTGGGTCATGGAACCCGATGCCACCAACGTGGCGAAGAACAAGCGGGGGCTCTTCGATTGTTTTGAGAAGCTCGAAGAGTCCGAACCCACTCTGCTCGTAGCCCAAAAGCCTGCCCGGTAGTGGCTTCGGACCGCCATTGTAGGTGGTATAGGGCGATGCACAGTGAGTGTCCGAATTGTCTCATTTGAAAGACACTCTTTGATAACAAAGTAGAGTTATCGCATGCCACTCTTCAACATCTTCGGATCAAATTCAATGCTATCGGCGGCCCCGTTGACGGCGAACTTTGTAATATGTAACATGATGTACTGCCGAGTTCAATCCAGTGTTCAGACCACACCGCGCAGTCACGATTTCAGGACAGCTTGCTCCTTGAGGTTACATGAGTCCTGACGCCAGCTAAGCGACTGAGATACGTAGACCGCTCAATGCGCCTCAAACGTTGCCCCCGTACCTTTCGTAAACTTGCGCGAGTTTGCTTTATTCCCGCCGCGTGAATCACCTTGTTGTACGATGTGATCTACGTGTAACCAGTCGCATCACCGTACGCACATTCTCTCAGTGCGCCTCGCGTACCAGAGCTCGTCTACGCGCTGACAGCCGTGAACACTTGCTCAGGTTACGTAGAGTATCCGGGCGACTCGGGGGATAAGTATGGCATAGCGCTAACATACATACGGATGCCCATTTCATTGGGCGCCGACGTCGTGTATGGTGTACGTATAGAACCAACATAGACCGTGCCAGGACTGCGCACCTTGAACACGGTGAACATGTATTAGAGTCACTACGGCACTTCTGAAAGCAAAACTTTGACTTATTAGCTCTAGATTTTCCTTCATTTCCCATTTAGAATGACTTAAGCTGATGCAATCCAAGATACGCACACGAATACTTGTCAGTATCGAACACTCAAAGAGGAGCCCAGTAAACGTGCTGAACGGGAACAGCCTCAGGCTGATGGCAGAGTCTCAGCCTGCAACTACTTACGAGGCGCCCGTTGGCGGGCTTTGCCGGACAATGACATAAGCCTTTCCCAGTCTCTTGTTCAAGTTCCAAGTTTCGTCGACCATTGCGCGTTGAACGTTGTCGGTCGTGCTGCGAGTACTGATTACTGTCAATCCTCCGAGGCCGTAGATCAGACCGACGTCTTTCCTATCACTTCTGCTACCTTGATAACGACGACATGGCTTCGGAAGACTCAGACTATCCGTGGTTTGCGAGGTTTCCTGACGGGTCCATCAACTACGGCGCAATCCCCGACCGCCTGACGCGCCACCCAGAGGTACAGCGCCGAGGAATCGTCCTTACCAATACTTTGAAGGCTGTGCGCCATGCTTACATTAATATGCATCCGTATTGGCAGCTAATATCAGATACAGGGGGCTGTATACCGCACACTAGCGACGATTGACCCATGCTACGTCGTTAAGATTCTCAACCTTAGCACGGAGGAGCTCGCCATTTATCAGCGACTACTTCGCGAACCCAAGCGTCCAAACAGCCACACAGTACCAGTCGAACTTATCCTCGACAGCCATCCACTTCTCATCATGCCCTCGCTCGGTGAATTAATGGATGTACATCGATACAAACAAACTGCGGCCACCCTCGTGGATGTCATCTTCCAGCTCGTGGAGGTATGTGGAACGACAATCTCTCGTATCCTGCTGGAACTGAACTACGACGCACAGGGATTGGAATACTTGCACAGCTTACATATCGTGCACATGGTGCGTCTTCTCTCGACATATACTCCGGCGTGGGGTGCATTGCTGACTATTACATAGGATATGTGTATGGATAACGTGCTCGCTGCAAATAATCGCCACGAAGCCGTCCACGGGAACGTTGTCGACAACAGACTGTACATCATCGACTTCGATTCTTCACGCCAGTTCGCACTCGGGCCTGGCGTGCAGCGGGCGATTACGCTCCCGGAGACCCAGATTGAGAAGCCCAATGGCTTGGAGCATTTCGATCCTTACGCGTGGGATATGTACTGTGCAGGGCGCACTTTAGAAGAGCTAGTGAGGGTACGTTACTGTTCGCATTTAGCCTCGTGTATAGTCTTACGGTCGCCACTCCACAGCTCCGGTACCAGGAAGCGAAGATAGAGCCGCATTGGCTCGCTATGAAGTACATCCGCTGGCTCATCGGAGACGAAAGAGGATGCACTGGCGTATGTCACTGCCGCCCGACGGCGCATACGGCGCTCAGAGTAGCGGTAATCCTCCGGTGGGCTGTATATGTGACAGACGGCTACGACTGGGTCGTCGACACTCTGCTGCGCTTGTGGCCGACTCGTTCTGACGAGCGCGAGCGCGCATGATACGCCATGTTCATTCCAACACTGCCATTCCACTTCGAATGTCTTGTCTGTTTTGCTGCCATCTTTTCTCATTTCATGTACGATTTCACGACTTATGGATTACCCTGTCTAATTGTTATCATGCAGCTATACGCCACGTCAGAGCACGCCACTGCGTGGCCCTACCCCTTGAACGTTTGCTTGTTCACCTGACCGGGCGAAGCCTCGGCGTGAGAGCGGCATTTGTCCGACACTCCGCCTCAACGGCACGACGATCATTCCACCTGCGAACTGGAGAGGTGACGACGACGCTGGACAATGACAAGGATTTGCGAAACGTGTTCAGGGTGGAATCCCATGGGCGGTGCGTGCAGTATACGGGTGCGGACACCCTCATTCCATCAGATCTCACCATCCGGAAGTTGTTGTACTTCCATCAGCCATGCGACCAAGAACAAGGGCCCACGCATTCAAACTTAAACGGGCAGCCGCCGCGAGGAACTGTTACGTATGTATGTCGTAACATAGCCTCCGGGGTCGCCTCAGTCTGAACAGGCAAGTCCGACGGCGTCTTCGCGGCTCGATGTCTCCACTCTGAAGCCCTCAATCCTTAGACGGTCCGTTATTGTGCCTCTTATCACGGCGCAACCAGCTGCGGGGGTGAGAAAGCTTGACTGACCGGCGGTTTGATGATTCTCGTCCGCGTGGTTAGTAAAATCTTCCACTTCCAGGTAGTTCTAACCCGGACTCGCCGTGCAGCTCGTCGGAGTACCAGCCGCTAATTGCGCCGGGAAGATACGATACTACAGTGACGACACTCGTAAGGTCTGTCCAGATTTGGATGGTCGATTGAGGTGGCCCGAATGGTTTACGCTACGCCGTGCTTTCTCAGTTCTAGCACGCGCCTTCCACGCTCGTCGCTCGAACTGCGCTAGAACCATCAGTGGTCGGAACCTTACCAACGGTGGCGAGCACCGTGTCCGAGTCAATACTGCGGTGCCACTCGGTCGTCGCCTGCCCACACGCCCCACTGTGCCTTCTCTGCTCCCAGGTAGCCTTACCACTATGTCCTCCGATAGCCCACCCTGGTTCGTGATATCCCCGGACGGGAGCATCGATGCGCTCGCAGTCCCAGAGCGCCTACTGCGCCACCCAGAGCTGCTGCAACGGGGAATCACTCCATGCGCGCCCTTGCATAAAATTGTACGACAACTATATGCCCTTCCTACTAGTTACAACAGCTCATTCTTGCAAACAGGGGGTTGTTTATCGCACCGATGACCTGGCGGGGGGCCCAGTACACGTCATCAAAATCCTCGACCCTAGCACGGAGGAGGTCGCCATCCATGAACGCCTGCTTCGCGAAATCAAGCGCCCAAACAACTACACAATCCCATCCGAACTTACCGCTACGGGTCACCCGTTGTTGATAATGCCAATGCTTGGCGACGTAATTTTTATGCGTGAGGAAGTTTGGTGTCCGCGTATTCTCCTGGACATCATCTTCCAGTTGGTTGAGGTCTGTGCCATGGATTTGCGTCATGTTATGCATCTCTAATCGGTCATATACAGGGCGCGGACTTCCTTCACAGCTTGCACATCGTCCATATGGTATGTCCACTGCTAAAAGTCACATTTCCGTAGTGTACATAGCTGAATGCCACGCAGGACATGTGCCCTGATAATGTACTTGGAGCGAGCTCCCGCCATGCCGCCACGTACGAGGGGATTGTCGCACATAGACTCTACATCATCGACTTCAACACGTCCAGGCAATTCGCTTTAGGACCCGGCATTCAGGGTGCAATCACGCTCCCGGAAGCCCAGGTTGATCCACCCAACGGTTTACAACACTTCGATCCTTACTCATGGGATGTGTACTGTGCTGGGCGCACGCTTGAGAGGCTCGTGCAGGTATGGTCACGCCTTTAATCGACGCTGCACCTCAACTTATGTTTATCATACTGTAGCAACGCTTCACTCGCGTACCTAAGCCGCCGCATTGGGTCGCTCAAAAATACATCCAATGGCTCATTGGGGACGAGCGAGGCTGCTACGGCGTGTGTCACTGCCGTCCGACGGCGCGCGCCGCGTTGAAGGTCGTGCTCGTTCTCCGATGGGCCGTTGATGCGCCAAAAGGCTATGAATGGGTCTTTGATACGCTTTCCGGGCTGTGGCCAAGCGACAAGGAAGAGTAAGGCCACGCGACGGACGTGCGAGCGCGCCCTGCGGGCGAGGAGTTCGAAGCTTTAGCGCCTCTGTTGGACCATTCTCCCACAGCTACCTACCGGATGTCTGCTATGCATCTTCATTTGCATTCAATTGCGTATTTGTTGTGGGAGTATGGCTTACGACGTATACGGTGGCTCCACATTCTCGCAAGCTTTCACTGGCAGTAATACTAGAAGTCGTGCCGTCCTCTTACAAGTGGTGAGTGAAAATGTGCACCGCGCCACCCAGTTTGACATTCTTTCATTACAGGGCATCAGGAGCGAATCCTTGTCAATTTACGGAATATACAAGGCTCGCTTCAGCTATGGGCTGGCGGGCGTAGGCTTGCTGTTGATTTGGAGTGACCCAACTCCTCCACCTCCACGCCCGTTTCCTCCTCCGAGTCCCCGGTCACATTTTAAGCACGCATTCATGATCCTTAAGAACAGCTCTCACGATATGGCGAAATCCGCCGTTCTCTGTTGAACTCACCAATATGCCAGCTTAAATGACTTTCAGTGCAGCGACGGCTGGATCAAGTTCGGGACTACGCGTATGGTGCGATCCTCCTGATTCTGAGCGCTTATGTAGTATTACCCTCAGCGTAGCGAACACAACTTCGATTGCGGCCTCTTTCTCCTCCGCAAGCACATATACTGACTGATCAACCCGGCTCTAGATTAGGCTGTGCAAGTCGTGCGCAGGATACAAACCGCTAACCCCCGCCGCCCAGTCGGAATAACCGATTCCGATGGGAACGGAGTTGCCCTCCTGGCGGAGTCCCCACTCTCCTACCCTTCCTCTTCCGCCAAGTCCTGGTGTACCGGGAGCAGTCGTTCTCCGCGATCGGGCGCATTTCTAATCTTCTACTCACGACGCAGCCCGTCTTGTCAATCTGTGACAAAGCAGAGAACATCTGGGTCAACTAGGACGACAAACTGCAAACGGCTGCACGCCACAGGAAGACATCTCAAGGTGCCTATATAACCTCGCGCGAATCCTGAGGGTCAGTACACACATCTAGTGCTCTGAAAACCCTTCCCAACCGCTTATTCCAATATGTCGATCCCTCAGAAGACCCGCGAGTACCGCCTCCCCAAGGTATAACGTCTCCTCATTTAACAAGCACATACGCTCATCCACATCCTCACAGGCCGATGGTTTCGATAGCCTCACCCTGACCGAGTCGCCGATCCCGAAGCTCAAGGCTACAGAGGTGCTCGTGAAGGTGCACGCCGTCTCGCTCAACTTCCGCGACCTCGTGATCGCCCAGGGCAAGTACATCGCCGGGCAAAAGGAGAACGTCGTCCCTGGTTCGGACCTCGCAGGCGAGATCGTCGCGCTCGGTACCGAAGTCACGGGCTGGAGCACGGGCGACCGCGTCAGCTCGAACTTCGCGACCGGCCACGTCTTCGGAGACGTCACGGAGGAGGCCAAAGCGACAGCGCTCGGCGCGCCCATCGACGGCGTCTTGAGCGAGTACAAGGTACTTCCTGCGCACGCGCTCGTTCGTATCCCCGAGCATCTCAGCTATGAGGAGGCGTCCACTCTTCCGTGAGTACCATGCCGAAGTGGCTGACATGGTTGCGGAGGCTCATCGAATGCGGAATATAGGTGCGCAGGGGTCACGGCTTACAACGCGCTCCTCGCCGGGCCAAACCCTCTCAAGGGTGGCGACGTCGTGCTCGTCCAGGGCACCGGCGGCGTGTCTATCTTTGGATTGCAGTTCGCAGTCGCGTCGGGCGCGACCGTGATCGCGACGTCTTCGTCCGACGAGAAGCTGAAGCTCGCGAAGTCGCTCGGCGCAACGTACACGATCAACTACAAGACAACGCCCAACTGGGCCGATGAGGTTCTGAAGATCATGCGCCTAGCCCAGTTCAATATGCAAATGTTCACGCTGACAGATTTTACTACAGACGAGCGGCCGGGGCGTTGACCACATCCTTGAGATCGGCGGAGCGGGCACGATCATGCAGTCCGTGACCGCCATCCGCAATGGCGGAACGGTCAGCATCATCGGTTTTGTAGCCGGGGTACGCACCTCCCTCTGTTCACCCCTTCCTCCGAATTCCCCTGACCTCGCCCGAATGCACAGCAAGGAGATGTGAGCATGCTTCCGTTGCTCGTCCTCGGCAAAGCCGCTATTGTGCGCGGTATCCTGGTCGGCTCGCGCGAGCAGTGCGTTTTTTCTCGTCCAGAAACGCGAGTGCGTCGCTCATCTGACCTGGCGTAGGTTCGAGAAGATGAACAGGCTCATCTCCGCCAATCATCTCAAGCCGATCGTCGACAAGGTGTTCGCGTTTGAGGACCTGCGCATGGCGTACGAGTACCAGGGGAGTCAGCAGCACGTTGGCAAGGTCGTCATCAAGGTCTCGAAGGAGTGATTTATGGTATGTAGTTGACATCGGCTTCGATCACTTGTTATCTCGACGATGATGTTATACATCAGGGCGATACTCTCGACTATGTGGTCCTACAAGCCGAATAACATTCTTCACCTCTCCATCATATGAATGTCCGCACATACCGCCCTTATAGTTACTGAGTATCTTCATCGGCTGTATCTTCATCGACTGTATCTTCATCGCCGCTGTAGTGATACGGTATGCTATTCTCTAGCATGTAGTTGACTTGATCCTCATATTGGTCCAAGACGGCGCCCGCGTCTTTCGGGAGATACTTCCGGGCCAGCTCCCAGTCCACCATGCGCCATGGATTGGCCGGCGTGGATTGTCCGGTCTGCGCTGTCCAAACGGGTTTTTCAGAGCCGCTCAGAGAAGCTCGCAGGATATTGGCCGGCCGTATGTCCAAATGCAAAATGCCAGACGTTGCCACAGCCCCGCACATCTCCATTAGTTGTCCACTGTGTGATAAGCTGCGTAAGTACGCTATATGGGTCACAAATGAACCTCCCCACTGACCGCAGTACCAGGATGTCCTTCGGTGTGTCCCCACTGGTGATCGCGTCGACGTCCTGCCTTATCTCCACATCGTGGTCCTCAAGGGACGGGCCCAGTCTCTCCATCAGAAACAGGTTCAAGCTGGCGCATGGGTGAGGCATGTTGTAGATGTCGAATGTGTCTTCTGACCTCGGGAAGGTGCATGTGGGGTCCCAGGGCATGACGGTCAAGTCCTGCAAGTTGACTGGACGACGGAAGTACCCGTAGCTTTGGGGTATAAATCGGCCTTGGAACTCGCGTAACTGCTCGTATACGCCCGCCTCCTCCGATACCCGCCTGCCTTCAGATTGTTTAGCAATCTTGATCACAAGGGGAGGCAATTCGGGGGTGAATTTGTCGGGAGTGGTGATAACTTTGATTTCATACACCCATCCGGCACGTCCCGAGCAGATCAGCTCCCCCAACTCCAGATTCAGGCCTATATTTGACCCTATCCACGACGGTTTCATCGCTACGTTGCGAATTGGTGGCTTGTGCGAGCCATCGTCGCGAAGGCGGTTGAGGTCATTCGAGAGCGCGTCCGGTACCTCTCGAGGGATCGTTAAGGTGACAAATTCCCCGTTGTTCGCCTTCGCTAGACCTCCAAGCTCGACGAACTCCTACAGGAAAGCAACAGTCAGGGTGCCTGCTGAAGGGCTAAGGATTACGCCACGACTAACCAGACGGTCCTGCCAAGGTAGACTCTCCGGGGAGTCAACCGTTCTTGTTAGCTCCTGCAGGCTTGAGGTCATCGTTGTCGATATTGTAAGTTGTTAGAGGGTCGGGATAGCAAATGAGAGAACTCGTTCAAGTGCGTTTGTAGAGCCGCCGTGTAGTGAGGTAGATCCGGCACCCGGCTGTACACCCGGGACCCGGAATCGGAAGGTCGTGATCACTTTCAAGCTCGCCTACACAATGGGTGAGCATGCTTCTACGTACTAAGCGGGTCTCTCTGCATCCGACTATACGCGCAGCGGCGGTCCGGGTGCTCTGTCAGAGTCCGCGCAGAGTACGGCTCGTGCCATGGGTGCGGCAGGTACTAGTATAGAAGTTAGAGACTCGGATCGCTTAGCGCTTAAAGGCCACACTAATCAGTGTCTCAAGTTTCCATCAGAACGTGAGTGTAAGTGATATAAGTGTGCATTGAAAGTCCGATAGAAGGTATCTAGAACGCGAGGGGCGAGCACTAGATTTGCCTGTTCTTGGAGTCAGTCCACCACTACCCACGGGCCAAACGATGCATCCGTATGCTTTGTTGTGGGTACTTTGTTATCAAATGCTAAAGAATGTTTACAGACCATATTGACCGACGCGCATCAAATCCAGCGTGTTTCCTCACTTGTGCTTGGCGATACTGCAGGAGACCTCGTCGTCCCGGAAGCGTTAGCCTCGTGATGATACCGGATCGAGCTTCGCAAGATGTGCTTATGAAGACACAGACTACGCTTGAGTCGAATCTTCATTCCCGGTAGTGTAGGGTCAACACCGATGGGAACGGCATTGTGACTGCGCCATCTCCACCCCCTTTTCCGCCTGGCGTAGCCTTCCGCCTGAGTCAGCAGAGCTAGAAGGGCGTCGCACGCACGCAATACTGTTGCCATGCATGATGGTACTGTGCCTTATGTAGCTCCGCATGTATCCCTGGGAGTACATATAGTCGTGCCCTGCTTGGTTTATTCACCACTCGTAGCCCAGCTGATTTACGGACACACATCACAACATGTCTATCCCTACGATTACTCGCGAATATCGCCTCCCGAAGGTAAGTCCTTTCTCTCCCTCGCGGACACAATATCAATGACTCGCTCACTCACGTTCCAGACAGACGGCTTCCACAACCTCACGTTGACCGAGTCGCCCATCCCCCAGCTCAAGGCGACGGAGGTACTCGTGAAGGTCCATGCCGTTTCGCTCAACTACCGCGACCTAGTGGTTGCCAAGGGCACGTACCCGCTCGAGCTGAAGCAGAACGTCGTTCCATGCTCAGACCTCGCGGGCGAGATCGTCGCGCTCGGCGTCGACGTCGCGGGTTGGCGTGTTGGCGACCGCGTCTGTTCAGCAGCGTCGATGGACTATGCGTTTGGCGATGTCACGAAGGAGGCCGTGGCCGCGACTCTCGGCGGGGTCATTGATGGGACCTTGACCGAATACAAGGTGCTGCCCGCGCACGTACTCGTGCATATCCCAGAACACCTTAGTTATGAGGAAGCGTCTACCCTCCCGTACGTGCAACATCTGCAGCGTCAGGGCTCTCTTGTGGTATGCAGAGACTGACCACCTTCGGAGTGCAGATGCGCGGCGATCACTGCCTACAACGCGCTTCACGGCCCAACCCCACTGAAAGGCGGCGACACCGTGCTCATCCAGGGTACCGGTGGCGTATCTATCTTCGGCCTGCAGCTCGCGGTCGCGTCGGGCGCGACCGTCATTGCCACGTCTTCGTCTGACGAGAAGCTGAAGCTCGCAAAATCGCTCGGCGCGGCGCATACCATTAACTACAAGAAGACGCCGAACTGGGCTGAGGAGGTGCTGAAGATTGTACGTCCTAGTCGTCCTCATTGTAAGGAGAACATGCTGACATGCTTGACTACAGACCAACGGCCGGGGAGTCGACCATATTCTCGAAGTCGGCGGACCGGGCACGATTATCCAGTCCGTGAATGCCATCCGATTTGGCGGTACGATCGGTCTTATTGGTTTTGTAGCCGGGGTACGTACCTTCCTCCCAGTTACTCATTCACCATATACTGAACGTTTTCTTCATACCATAGGGAGGCGACGCGAGTGCGCTGCCGCTCCTTATCCTCACAAGAGGCGCCATTGTCCGCGCGGTCCTCGCCGGTGGCTCGCACGACCAGTTTGTAGATTGCATCATGAGCATACAACGTGTCACTGACGGGCTTGGCCTAGGTTTACGAAGTTGAACCGGCTGATCACCGCGGTGAAGCTGAAGCCCGTAGTGAACAGGGTGTTCGCGTTCGAGGATGTGCACAAGGCCTTTGAGTACCAGGAGAGTCAGCAGCACGTCGGCAAGGTAGTCATCAAGGTATCGAAGGAGTAGGACGCAGACCACAAGCTGGTGTGTTTGTTAATCCGAACGCGGCGAGCCACAGGAGAGTATTTCTATGCGCTTGTCCAAGAGTATCCTTTACTTCGTGGCTATGTTCCACGCACACCGCACTCGACGGCCCCATACTCTCCTCATGCGGCATGTGACATACGTCGCACCGCCTAGCCCCTCGTGAGTACGAGCAGCGCGTCGTTTTCCTTGGACATCTCGCCCGAGAGCACGGTCACTTTTCTGCACAGGTTGAAACCCCTCTCTGCGTCCACCTTATGCTGCTGCGCTGCGGCTCTGCGCTTGTGGCGTGTAACTGCTCGACGGTTTTCTGGATCTGATACCTATCCAACCCAACACACACGCCGCAGAATGACCGCTATGTGCGGTTCATACGCGCCCCGCTCCTGCTGACCCTCTTCAATCCCTGTCTTTCCTCCACACTCGCCGTGCTTCGGTCTTTTGAGAATGGCCATCACGGTTTAGACCACCCGGCGGAATCGAGAATATTGTCCAGACGCAGCTTCCAACTTCTATCCCGGCGCGCATTTTGACTTCTATCCGGACACGGACTCTCACTAACAACGCGATAGGGGCGCGGTGTGAGGCTCTTCCAGAGGTTACAGATTACCGCCGCTCCTGCACCTCACACGATTGGCCCGGAGGTGACCTGCAGGCTCTAGAGCTCTAGGGTCCGACAACGATAGATGAGTCACCTACTACGGTTCTCGCGTCTGTGCTTTGTAACACTCCCAGTGCTAAGGGACAGCTGAAATTTGCTACAGGTTCTGAGGCATAACCTGACGGCGAGTGTGGGGAACGAAGCGAATTTGAGAGTTCGTGCGCTGCGAAAGGGGATCTACCCTGGCCGGCTACGTCACCGCCACACATCTTTCAGCCAGTATGTGTTTGTCCCTTTGGAAAGCCTGACAAAGCAGCAGAGAACATTCAGGCGACAACGACCGCACTCCATGTGCCTAGAAAGTCCGGGGGCTTATATTATATGGCCCCCGCACGACCTCAGAACTGCACAACTCCCGTCCCCACTCGCTCACTACTGGCACATAGCCTACACACGCAGAATCCACCATGACCATCCCCCAAACGACCCGCGAGTACCGTCTCCCGAAGGTGCGCTGATAATTTCCCATCTCAATGCCACGCACATCCGCACACACACCCCAGGTAGACGGCTTCCAAAACCTCACTCTCGTCGAGGCGCCGATCCCGAAACTCAAGGCGACCGAGGTGCTCGTGAAGGTGCACGCTGTCTCGCTCCAGTACCGCGACCTCATCGTCGCCAAGGGCACATACCCTCTCGGGCAGAAGGAGAACGTCGTGCCCGGCTCGGACCTCGCGGGCGAGATCGTCGCGCTCGGCTCCGAGGTCGCGCACTGGGCCGTCGGCGACCGCGTCAGCTCGAACTTCGCGACCGACCACGTCTTCGGGGACCCCACCAAGGAGAACAAGGCCACCGGGCTCGGCGGGCCTATCGACGGAGTCTTGACAGAGTACAAGGTCCTCCCTGCGCACGCGCTCGTGCACATCCCGGAGCACCTCAGTTACGAGGAAGCGTCCACCCTTCCGTGAGTGCAGCGTCGTCGGGAGCATTCCGGGCGTGCAGAGGCTGATTTGGCATACAGGTGCGCGGCAGTGACCGCGTACAACGCGCTCCTCAGTCCGAACCCTATGAAGGGTGGCGACGTCGTGCTCGTCCAGGGCACCGGCGGTGTGTCCATCTTCGGCCTGCAGCTCGCGGTTGCGTCGGGAGCGATCGTGATCGCGACGTCTTCGTCCGATGAGAAGTTGAAGATCGCCAAGTCGCTCGGCGCGGCACACACCATCAACTACAAGACCACACCGAACTGGGATGAGGAGGCGCTCAAGATCGTACGTCCCAGTAGCCGTATTGCGGGCTAGGCGCAGATACTGAGTTGGCTCTCTGCAGACGAACGGCCGCGGCGTCGACCATATCCTCGAAGTTGGCGGACTGGGAACGCTCATGAAGTCCGTGAAAGCCGTGCGTTACGGTGGCACCATCAGCATCATCGGCTTCGTGGCTGGGGTACGTATCTCCTCTGCTCCGTTGTGTCATCTGCCGGTCTGACGTCTCGCCGCACATAACAACAGCAAGCCGACGTGAGCTCTCTGCCTGTCCAGGTGCTCAGCAAAGGGGTGATCGTCCGCGGAATCCTCATCGGCTCCCGCACCCAGTACGTGTGTTGGGAGGCCTGTGCATGTGGATGCGTTACTGACGGGAATGTTGCAGGTATGAGGATATGAACCGTCTGATCACAGCCGCGAAGCTGAAGCCGGTCGTCGACAAGGTATTTGCGTTCGAGGACTTGCGCAAGGCGTACGAATACCAGGATAGTCAACAGCACGTCGGCAAGGTCGTCGTCAAGGTCTCGACAGACTGAATCGCCACGTGGCCATCGCAAAGTTGATGTCCAACTGCAGATTAACGAACTGAGTCCAGTGGCAACGACACCATTTGTATTAGTACATGAAGTTTCTTGATCACCCTGTCGGGGAGAGCTCTGTATGGAATTGTTCCGGTGAAACAACGTGGTCCGAACCTTTCTACAACCTTTCGTAGGATATCTCAGCCCCAACGGATGTGTACGCAGGCCGTGGCGAAGGCGCAACTTGGAGCTGGCTGGGCTGACCCGGCGCGCTACGTTAAATAACGCCGCAGCTACAGGCATCGTGCACACCCGGTATAGATGGTACGGTCGATCCAGTCAATCATTGATGTCGTGGTATACGCCTCGCTAGCCGATGAAATCTAGATATAAAGATGGTGCGTGTCAGAATGGCGTGAATCGACGGTAGATGCTTGCCACTTGGACTCGAGAAACACTCACTGCAGGATACTCTCGCTCAGGGAGGCATCCACAAGCGAGTACCGCCTCGTCATTGAACTGGCCATCAGAGGTTCGTACGCCGAGATCTGTCCAGCGTCGGAGGCAGCAGGTTACGGTGGCATACGATCCACTGTCGTTGGATCCAGAAAGCGAATTCCTTGTCAGGTCGCCAGTCTTTCAGCATTCCTGCCATATCGAAGACGACACAGTTTTTGGCGCATTATGCGTGGACGAGTCACTTGGAGGGGCTTCGCATCTTTGTCTGGCAAGCGGTGCTTTGTAACAGCTCTAGGCCACAAGGCAGCCTGGAGTTCGCTGGGCTGACTGAGTGCTGAGTAACACCGCAGCTGCACGCATCGTGGACGTAGGTCGCCGGGTGGTTATATGAGATTTTTGATGTTGCGTCTAGCCGTCGCTACTAACTTAGTCGATGAGATCTAGATATGTGGACCATGGTTGTTAGAGACCGACAGATATAAACTTTAAAACTCGCACTGCTCAATACGCAAACTCTAGGAGGTGTCCGAAGCCGTACGTCTGGTCGCCATGCGTCGAGAGTCTTTAGGTATAAAACAGGTGGCTGTGGTGGTATGTAAGCCCAGTGTATCCAAGAAGCGAAATTTGTGCCAGAAACCACCTCAGAGCGCCACAAGGGGTGATCTCCCCGCGCCGGCTAAGTATAGCGTCATAGCCACATATCCGAGTCCGGGGCTGCCGCGGAATCAATAAATGGATGTCTTCGAGAGTCTGACAAAGCAGCTGAGAATATTCGGAGTGCGTCAAACGCACGTCATGTTTCCTGGGAGCGCGTTTGCTTAAGGAGCCTCCACACAATCCCAGGACTGCACAACACTCGTGCTCTGACTTCCCCGCACGCACCGAAAGCCCTCTCGACAACCCATACCATACCATGTCCATCCCACAAACGACCCGCGAGTACCGTCTCCCGAAGGTGAGCCAGATCCCCGCGTGGGACCGCATATACTAACCCACGCCCGGCCAGGCCGACGGCTTCCACAACCTTACCCTCACCTCCTCGCCCATCCCCGCGCTCAAAGCGACCGAGGTCCTCGTCAAAGTGCACGCCGTCTCGCTCCAGTACCGCGACCTCGTCGTCGCCAAAGGCACGTACCCGCTCGGGCAGAAGGACAACCTCGTACCCGGCTCAGACCTCGCGGGCGAGGTCGTCGCGGTGGGGGCGGAGGCCGCGGGGTGGGCCGTTGGGGACCGCGTCGCGTCCAACTTCGCGACGGACCACATCTTCGGGGAGGCGACGGCGGAGACGAAGGAGACCGGGCTGGGGGCGCCGATTGACGGTGTGCTCACGGAGTACAAGGTGTTGCCCGCGCACGCGCTCGTGCGCATCCCGGAGCACTTGAGCTACGAGGAGGCGTCGACTCTTCCGTGAGTATAGTCTCGGGGCGGTGTCGGGCGTGCGGAGGCTGACGGGGCGGGCTGTAGATGCGCGGCGGTGACTGCGTACAACGCGCTGCTCGGGCCGAACCCGCTCAAGGGTGGCGACGTCGTGCTCGTCCAGGGCACTGGCGGCGTGTCTATCTTCGGCCTGCAGCTCGCGGTTGCTTCAGGCGCGACTGTGATCGTGACATCTTCGTCGGACGAGAAGCTGAAGATCGCGAAGTCGCTGGGCGCGACACACATTATCAACTACAAGACGACGCCGAACTGGGACGAGGAGGCCCTCAAGATCGTGCGTCGTGGTTGCCTCTAATTGTATTGGTGCGTACGCTGACGTAGGCTGCTGCAGACGAACGGCAGGGGCGTCGACCACATCCTCGAAGTCGGCGGACCGGGAACGATCATCAAGTCCGCGAACGCCATCCGCTACGGCGGCACGATCAGCATCATTGGCTTCATTGCAGGGGTGCGTACCTTCGCCGCTCCAACGTGGCCATCGCGCTGACCGACCGAGCCTCTGCACAGCAAGCCGACGTGAGCACACTCCCACTGAAGATCCTCGGCAAGGCGGCCGTCGTCCGCGGGATCCTCGTCGGCTCGCGCACACAGTACGTGCTAGATCCATTTCCTTCTGGGGCGATGCTGACAGGTCCGGCGTAGGTTCGAGGACATGAACAGATTGATCACCGCGGTGCAGCTGAAGCCGGTTGTCGACAAGGTGTTTGCGTTCGAGGAGCTGCGTAAGGCGTACGAGTACCAGGAGAGCCAGCAGCACGTCGGCAAGGTTGTCGTCAAGGTTTCGAGAGACTGAGTCGCAGTAGGTATACCCGTTGGAGAGTTGGACGGTGGACAAGCCAAATATACAGCATGGCGTTCTCCTCAGAGAACCGCTACCGATAGAGAGCACATTGGTGAAAGTTATAACCAATGACAAGCACAATGGAAGCTTGTAGTTGCCGCAAACGTTGAGAACGGGCTTAACCCCGGTTGATCAGGACAAGTGGGTATCTCGCACTGGCGATAAATCGATGAGCGTGCCGTTGGAGACTCGGAAAACGCACCTGTATAAGAGTCATATACAAGACACCGTTATTGAAAGGTTCATGAAATGGATGCGGCCGCGTCCACTTGCGGCGACAAACTATCCCGTTTTCTCATAGACCCTTGGCAGGTGGGCATATTTGTTGATTCCCCCGCGTAGAGAGATGTTGCACCGTAGTCAACACGCAGGGCCATCTCTCGCTAAACTTGCAGTGTGTATGTTTTTGTTCCTTGGCTATGGTGTGAATGAAGCCCAGTGGCAAGACGGTCGCTGACACGAAGGAGGAGGCAAAACTGCGCACGAAACTCACGAAGGGCGCTCGCAAACGGATCGGACCCTCGGGCCGGCATCCGAGTAAACAGAGTTCGCCCGAAATGGCGGCGATATTAGAGTCCACCGGGACCAGTGCGTGGCTTGCTTCCTGCGCTCATCTCCATCTGCTTAAACCATTTTCAGGCAACCATGTGTTCGCGTGTGCGCCTCTCGTTGCTCCGACTCGGACTCACCATGCCGTAGGACACCGGCCTGGACCTGCTTGACTATAGGGCTGAACCTTCCAGCTGCATCTATCACTTCAGCTTGACGTCGCGCCCGACACTCTGACTCACCATAAGGTTCTCTGCAATCTGGAGCTCTTCTCGATGTTGGCGTTCACGGCCACAGCCCACTCGAAGGCCGATGTGGACGGCAGTTCCTACCATCGCTATAGGACGAGGTATATTTACAGTTACTCTCACGGTGCACATGTTGACGGTCTCAGTTCCCGTCAGACGCCGACATAATTTTAGCGTGAACGCCTCCGCAGGTCCCTTCTTCTCCTCCACCACCTCGACGACTCATACCCCCGAAGCCGACCCCTCCCTGCTCTGCCGGAGAGATCGCAGCACGTTCCCTAGCGTCTAGCTTCCTACATAAGCCCGGAACAACGAACTTTCTGCTCGGTGTCACCACCACACCGCCACCACATCCGCTCCCACCGTCCGCATAAACCGTAATTCAGCATGCGCGCCGCACTCGCGCTCCTGGCCGCCACTACGCCCGCATTCGCCGCGTTCAACCTCGTCAAGGACTTCTCCGGGACGAACTTCTTCAATGGTTGGGACTTCTTCGACGGGTTCGACAATACGACAAACGGTGCGTCTCCCCCTCACAACGATTCTCATGTTCAAAGACCGCTGTGATTCTGTGCCCGTGAAGCGTGCGGGGTGCGCCCAACCTGATATGGTATATGGGTTTCCTCAACGCCCCTCGCCCAGCCTACGCGTTGCCAAGCTCGGGGAGCGGAGACCTAGGCATGCGAGGTCGAAAATGCACCCAACATGGCATTTGGGTCACTCAAGCGCCCTCCGTCCACGCTCAGGCAGTGTATATTGGTTCACCGCGGGCAAATAACCATGCTCTTCTCAACGACATACTGAAATTATCGCGAGAATTGAAAAAATGAGCTTTGTATGTTGGTGATCGGAATATCGTGAAAACATGCTGAACACACGGGGTATTTTCAATGTCCCAAGCATGTATTCACGATGTTCCACACATTACACAATGTTATTTGTATGTTCGAAGCATGGCGCATGATGAAACAACGTGGTGGCATTTTTCAGTCATTACCGTGTTATCGAAATGATTTATCTGGAAACATGCGGATATGCTCGCGGTGGTTGGCGTCGGCCCCTTGCTCAATAGAGCAAGGCTCTCACCCTTCCTTGGTGGGCGATCAAACTGTGAACGACGTTAGCGTTTGACATTTGACAAGCAAGACAAGCAAGGGCGCGTCGTCGCTGTGGGTGTCATTCGAGTAGCTCAGCCTATTGCGTACGAGCGTTTGGCCCACATTAATCTCAAGGAGCAGGAAATGTCTGGGGTCTGGTGACCCGAGTCTCGTCGTTTACACATGGCTGTATGGGTCCGCGAAACTAACTACACGCATGACAGGCGACGTGAACTTCGTCAGCCAGGCGAACGCAACCGCCTCGCAACTCGCATTCGTGAACGCCGCTGGACACGCCATCGTGAAGGTCGACAACACCTCCTTCGTGCCGTTCAACTTCAAGCGTAACTCGGTGAGCAGCACAGACACCAGCATGCGGCCGGCGCATGCGCTGACATACAACGCAGGTCAAGATCATCTCGCACGACTTCTTCCCCATCGGCAGTATTTTCCTCTTCGACGCGCTGCACCTGCCCTTCGGTTGCTCCGTATGTCCATTCCTCCGTTCACAGCCCCGTCTTCCACGAACCCACACAACCTCCGCTAACGTCCCATCCCACCTCCATAGGTATGGCCGTCCTTCTGGACTATGGGTCAGAACTGGCCTGCGGGTGGCGAAATCGACATCCTCGAAGGCGTGAACAAGATGACCATCGACCAAATGACTCTGCATGCCATCGGCGGGTGCTCCCAGGCAGCGGGCGTTACGCAGCTCGGCAAGACTGTCGGCACGGATTGCTCTGCAGGCCAGAATTCGAGCCAGGGCTGCACCGTGCAGGAAACCCAGGCGAACAGCTACGGCGAGGGCTTCAACGACAACGGCGGGGGCGTCTGGGGCGCGCAGTTCGACGAATCCGGCGTCTTGTGAGTACATGCGCCGACGCGTTTTTCGCGGCACTTGTCGCGTGTGAGGGTGCATAGTGTATTGACGCGTGTGTTATTCATAGCATCTGGTTCTGGGGTGTAAGTGCCACTCCTTCCGAGGGCACTGCTGCGGCGCGCTGATCACAAATAACAGAGGAACAGCATCCCCGCAGACGTCTCGAGCGGCGGGAACACGGTCGACCCGAGCACCTGGGGCACGCCCTCCGCCGCGTGGCCGTCCTCGTCCTGCAACATCAGCGAGTTCTTCAAGCCCCAGCAGATGGTCATCGACATCACCCTCTGCGGAGACTTGTACGCACTTTCCGCGCGCGCCCCTCCTCGCGGTTCTTGCTGACCGTCGCCACACCACTTCCACAGCGCCGGCCAGCCGAACATCTACCAGCAGACCTGCGGAGGCCCGCTCGGCAACAGCTCCGTCTCCATCTGCGTACGTCCCTCCTATCTGCCCGCGACGCTGCCACCCATCCTCATATGTCCAACTTGAACTTGAACAGTACATCGACAACGTCATCAACAACGGCACCGCGTACGACGACGCCTACTTCGAGATCAACTACGTCAAGGTCTTCTCCAACACCGCCGCGCTCACGCCCACCGTCTTGGGCGGCACGACCGTCCTCGCGTCCGACACCGCCGGGGTCTCCGCGACCGGGTCCGCGTCGGGCAGCGCCGCCTCGGCCTCAGGCTCCGCGGGCTCGGGCTCCGGGTCGAACGCGGCGGCCGTCGCTGGGGTGCGCGCGGGGCTCGCGATGTGGGGCGCGACGGTGTGTGCGGCGTTCGTGTGGGCGCTTTTGTGAGAGAGATGAACGAACTTTGAACGATTCTTGTGCTGGACCATTCATGATTGATCATGCTGTGTGGACGTGCCGCGCTTGCGCGGCGATACCCTTCCTTTGTTCGAGCTCGAGATAGTCGTAATGTGTGTGTACCGCTGTACCACAGCCAGTCGGTCTTTGGATTGTACATAGTGTATGGACAGATGCATTTCTAACTAGTAAGTGTGTACACAAAACACGGACGGAGAGGGGATCCTCGGAACATGCAAGACAAAGACAGCGACAGCAAACGAAACCCGAGCTGCATATCGTGCGACAGCCAATAGCATATAGTCAACTATGTTCATAGCGCATGTAGCAAGACACTAATCCGCACGCAGAGCATACAGTACATATATGCAAGAGCACCGGTCGGCGGCACGCCGCCGGGTACCAGAGAGCATCGTACACACAAAGCAAAGCACTACGAACCACATCGCACAAATTCGTCCACGCACGGCCCTCAGTCCCGACCTCAGTCCATTCGCCCTCCCAACTGCTCACCGGATCGTACACTTGTCGAACACGCTCTCGCGCTTCTCCCCCGCGTCCGCGACGCCCCACACATGCCACATCTTCATCGCCTCCTCCGCCGGGCAGATCGTGAACACCTTCGTCCCATCGGGGCTCAGACAGCTATGGCCCACCGCGCCCGTGTGCGCGGGCACGCTCACCACACGCCTGAGACTCGGGTACGAGTGCACGGTGAGCGAGTTCGTGAGCGCCGTCTTCACGGACACGGGCCGCTCGCGGTCGCGCATGCGGCGCGCGCGGCTGTTCGGGCCCACGTCCGCGGGGAGGGTGGGGCACGACTCCGTGGCGCCCGCGCGCGGTTGCCAGGACATGCCGTGCGTGGAGAGCAGCTCCTTGCAGTGCGGGGACCAGAGGAGGGACGTGACGGAGGTGTTGAGCGCGATTGTGTGCGTCGCGGGCGCCGCGGCGGGCGTCGTGTTGATGTTCCAGATGCGGATCTTCCCGTCGGGGTACATCGTCCCCGTCGCAAGCAGCTCGGGCTTCCAGGGGCACCATGCCAATGCCTACACATAGTGAGCATGACGACCTCGGAAGCAAGACAGAAACACATACCTTGATAGGTGCATTGTGCTTCATCTTGCTACGGTAGCGGTTGGTCGCACTGAGCGACTTGCTCGCGCGCGAATCCCAGAGCTGCACGACACCCTGCTGGTCGCTGCTCGCCAGATAGTTCCCGTCATGGCGCCATCGCAGACCGTGCACTTTGTCCTTGTGGGACTCTATCCTCCCAATGGGCCCCGGGTCGCGGGGGTCGTATAGGTTGATGATGCCATCCCCAAGGCCGACAGCAAGGATCCTGTCGCACCAGGCCATGCCGCCGACATCGACGAACTCTTCCTCCTGCCACCTGCGCAGCTGGGTCGTGGTATCCGTGTCCCAGAGCTGGATATCGCCGCTCGACGTGCCGGCCGCGAGCAAGTTCGGCGCCTTCTCCGCCCACTCGATGGTAATGAGCTTCCCGCGGTTCGTCGGGAGCTTGAACAGGTGCGTGATCGCTCGCGTGTCGAGGTTCTGGTAGTACACGTCCCGGCCGCATGCCACCGCGATCGAGTTCCGCATAGACCACGAGATGGGGTACGCAAAGAGGTCGGATGGGATTCCTGGTCCATCGAGGGCAAGCACGAACTGCTTGCGTGCACCGAGGTGCGCCTCTGCAGATGTTGCCGGGATTTGGTGCGGTTTCTTGAGTAGCTGGTGGTAGTTGAAGCGGTGACGCCCCAGGAAAGAGTTCGTGGACGCTTCTACGTTCGTGTCGGTGTACTTCAGGATGCGCTCGTCCGCGAGACCGAAGATCTTGGCTATTCGCCGTGTGCGCGGCGTCGTCTGGAGAGGGATCGCATTGTCTTGCGGTGCCGAAATGAAGCGATCCGCCTGTCAAGGACGCAATGTGAGCATTAGGGAACACTCCGCCACGACCTCATATAGAGTCGACCTCCTTACAACTCGTACTTCGGCTCAGTCGTACAATATCTCTAGGCAGATACGATGAGGAAGTAATGACTATATGCGTGCTTGGACGACCACAAGCGTCTTAGTTTACGATGCGTCTCCGCCACAAGCTCATGTACGGCCTATATCACCATGGTCCTTGCTACAATCACTTATGTGTAAGGAGATGGCGGCTACATGTGTGCTCTGCCACCAGCTGAGACCCTTGCCCTTGTTCGCATCCGTGCACGGGTCCCAGCGCGGTACCGATCAAGTCGCTACATGATCGAGCGTGCGCAGCGACCGGCTCCCCGGTCTTCGTAACAGTGCAGCAACCCGAGGCCGATGAACACTCACCTGGTTGACCTTTCCAGCCCTCTCATAGTCGGGCGTGTGCGCCTCGAAGTCGCGGTCAACATCATCGGCAAACGACATGCGCCGTCGCTTCGCCGCGGAATACATGTTTGTCACCGATCCCGGCACCCACGCGCGTTTGCGCGACGGCGCGGGGGTCTGGCAGCCCGACGGCCCCGCGACCGCGTTGTTATTGTTGTCCATCGGCAGTTCGTATTGTCGTCGTGAAGTTTACTGTGATAGCAGAGGAAATGTGGAGAGCGAAAGCGGGGATGGTGGTGGTTGCAGAGAGAGAGGCGTTGCACGTGAGTGAGGACTGCCGTTATAATTAAAATACCGCCCGATTTCGCAGGTTCCAGGCAACGCCACAAAGCGTCCACCGCCTTTTGTCCGTCCTTGGCGACCAGTGCACTTTGGCCTGCTCGGTCCCCCCGCTTGCTAGTACGGACGAGGCATACATGCGTAGGGCCACGCTGCTTTGCCTGCGCCGCCGCGAACTGCTGTCGACTTGCTCAGAACCCATCAGGACCGCCACTTTAGCCACAACGCGTAATCACACGCATCCCACGAGGGTCCACCACGTGGGTGGCGAATGGAACAGTTGTCTTCGATGCTACGAAGTGCTACGGGTAGTAAGACGGAACCAGTATCGTGAGGTGTCGTAAGATCGTAGAGGGTCGTAACAGGTCGTAAGCGAGCAGCAGCACAACAGACAACAGACAAGACAGAGTCAAATAGGGTATAAATACGACGTCAACCGTCATCCAAAGGAACGCAACGTCCTCATCTGGGAAAGCTCAGAGCAAGAGAGCGATCATGGATGACACCCCAACCAGGAGCATCGCAGGCCATGTTCTGACCAAGGGTGATGCGCCACTTGACGAGCCCGTAGGGGTGGCCGCAGCAAGGCTGGACGTGGGCGTAACCTCGCCGTCCGCCGTCGCGACTCCACCGAGGAGCGTGCTTTCCAGCGCGCAGACGTTGCGGAGCCCCTCGACAACGCTCGGGAGGTTGTCAGAGTTGAGGAACTGCGTCTGATTCGTCTGCGTGAAACTAAGAAGGGATGTAAGATCGCGTGGATATACAGAACGGCAGCACAGAACGTACCAGTCGACACACTGCGGGTACGCTGTAAGGAAGTATCGCTGTCAGATATATGAGGTGACTGGGAAGACGCGCGAAATACTGACCGCTCTGGAAAGTGTCCGCGCAAGCGCACTTGATCACGTCGATGAACGCTCCGGGGTTAAAGATGATCTGCAACGTGCCCACTATGTCAGTATGGTTGCCCGCGTGCAGATGTACTCTTAAAGCTGAGTGCGGGGTGTGCGCTACCGACGCTAATTCCAGAGCGCTTCGATCATACGAGCTTCCAAAGGGTCCGACCTCTTTCTCACCACACCGAGCTCCCCAGCCCCGTCCGCGCTACATGTAATTTGAGTAAAATGCACTCACCATCGAGAAGTTCGCCAACACAGGTGCCGCCTGCGCACAGCTATCAATGCTCGCGAAGTTCTGCTCGCAGATCGGGCACGACGGCGGCTCGTCCGGAAACGTCGGCTGTGCATCGTCCTGGCGCGGCGTGGGACGCGTCACCCGCGTGAGCTGTGTGGGCGCAGGCAGGAAGGGCGACGCGAGCGCGGAGAGGACGCAGGACGCGAGCAGGGCGATCAAGAGCGTGAGCGAGGTCGTGTAGGGCGCCATTGCGATTTGACTTCGAATTTGAGTGCGTGGGTTCGGATATAACGGAGTTTTTGGGACGTCGTGAGGTCGTGAAGGGGCCGGGTTGCTGCAGCGAGGCTGGGTGCGGGTCCTGGAGAACTGAGGGCGCACTCACACCGGGGTGGTGATGGGGGAAGGGAGACAAGCTGCTGAGGTCTGCTAGCCGAGGCCGGCATCACCATATGGGCCGCGGCCACATGACTGTACTTCTCTCTAGCAGCTGTCATAATAGGCTTCCAGTGAACGCATATATGCATCGACGGTGCATGATGCGAGGTGCAGAAACTTTCATGAGATGAGTACAGTTACGATATGGTATTATACAACTATGGCTGTGAGAACAGAGCAATGACGGGAACAGCATAACGACCTAGGGATACACTTCCATCCATACCTGTACACCCGTTTATCCCGACGCGGCGAGAACCCCTGGCGAAATAGAGCCCGAGACGTACCGGCTGTTCTACCGTGCAGCGGTCCTGCCATCTTCTCGACCCTCGGCTGAGGAGTGCGACCTCCGCCCTTCATCCACATTCTGCACGGGAAACGGGGGCACCTGCGCCGCCACACTCGCTGGGTCGATGCCCAACTTTGTGCGCACGGTTTCCTGCCAGACAGGATTATGGATTTGCCGGTGTGTCGCGTGCCAAAGCCGGTACGCCTTGTCGACGATGTCGGTCAGGTTGGTTCCGGCAAGCAACTGCATCGCCTGATCATAATCGACGAGGTGCGTCTGGTAGCCAACCTCGTCTGGCATGCGTGTGTCGGCCTCGAGTTCCTGGAGCAGCATGTTAGCTGGTTCGTCATAGGATATAAAGCAAAGAGAGACGTACTGGGTTCTCCGGTATTTGGCCGACATACCAGAACGTGAGATATTCACCGCCATTGTCAGTCCTACCAAAGTGGCCTGCACTCCACTTGTGCATATCGATGTAAATGGGTTCCGTGGAGGGAAGCAATTTGTGTAGGGTGTTCTGCGAACTTGGGGGACTTGGCGCATGGGTGGGAATGATCAAGGGCATGAAAGTAACGCGTAGTCCAGACTGCATGCACGAATTAGCCAATCACGTTGGACAACTGAGAACAAAGATAGCTTTGGGCAGAAATCGTGGTAGAAGTCAAAGAAGGTTATGTGTGTGGCTAAAGTGTAGATGGGGGTGTAGGATACAGGCGGTGGACGCGACGAAACGATGAACACACCTCTTCGTACGCCTCTCGTAGCGCGGTCTGCTCCAATGATTCTCCAATATCCTTCCTGCCTTTTGGAAGAAAGCAATAGGGCCGGGTCACACCACGTGCGTCCTGGTACTGGTCGCTGAGGATGACCATCTTGCCCGTCGAGGGCTGGATGATCACCATGCCTGCTCCGAGCATGAAGTCGTTCGCGTACCAGAGGCTGTCTTGGACGCTGGGATCAGAGTCGCGCGAGAAGACGGTGGGTTGAAGGGAGCGAGACATGCGGGGGCGAGGATTGGGACGTTGTCTTGGGAGTAGACGGGATTGGGAAGAGGTGGACTGTCTGGAGGTGCCTGGGTTGGCATTGCTGGAGAGATGTGCTGGTAGTGCTGAGCGACCACTTCCCATGATTGAAGGATTAAAAAAGATATTCTGTGCGGAAGATGTCAATGGGGGAGGCGGGTCAAGGGAACGAGTGAATCGTCAATGTTGTGGTCAAGTGGTGGTGGAAGGGAGAGAACGAAGGCGGTTGTGGATCGCCACAACGATTGCGGGGGAGCGTGAGAATGCGCTATACTCGATATGGAAGGTGCAGTCTATCGCCATTTAATCAAATGTTATCATATGACCGGCCTGATTTGGATCTCCGCTGTGTCCTCGGGCGCTCCAGCGCCGGTTTTGTAAGGCCCGCTTCCGACAAGTCCGGACGTTGTGCTCCTCGACGAGCAGCCATGTCCATCCTCGCCAGCATCCCCCAGGAGGTCCTCGAGCATGTCGCCTTCTTCGCTGCGACGGATAACATCCTCGGGCCCCCCGACGGCATCGTTGCGCTCCTCAGCGTCGACCGCCGCACCCACGCTGCGCTTTCCATGGCATCCAATCCGTTTCTGTGGTCTCGTATCTTCGCGCACAAGTTCGACACCTCCGCGGCTCTTCAGAGGCTATCTGACCGCACCATAACGCCACAAGACATCTGCGAAGAATTCAAGCTACGATGTACACTGCTGAAACGCATCCGCCGGCGCACCGATTCCCTCGCTACTTCATATACGCTTAGCCCAACACACCGCGATGCGCTCCGGTCTATACTCTGGATGGCGTATCTCATGATGCTCGAGAACGAAGGGAGGAACGACCGGCAACTCCGAGAATACGCAGGGTTCGATGCCTGGCTCAAGGAGTTCCTCTTCCATCCCTCTGGGGCTTCCCTCGCCGCCTGGTCCGTCAAGATCGACCTCTGGCCGCCCAACGACGAGCGCTCGGCGCTTGCCTTATGGCTCTTCTGGTACATGCTGCGACCCGGTGAGTGGTTCCCCCTTACCCCTGTCCTCGGAGACCGAATACACCCCGTCCGATCTCCTCGGCACGGCACATGTACGACCTTGGCCTGCCGAAGCGTGTGTGCGAATGGTGATTGCTCATTTCTTAGACGAATACATGGCCGACGATGACACTACGTTCCGAGAAGCATCGGGGATCCTAAAGTTGTTTTCCTTGGGCGCGCATCAGGTTCGTGGATCCTTCTCTCGTAACGCATACGATCACTAAACTATCTATATCTCATTCAGTACCCGCTATGTACTCCACCATGGAACATATTCGCACCTCCATGCCGTGCTCGCGGCGCATGTGCGATAAAGTACTTCGGCGTACCGCTGAAGATGACACCACCAGCGCCAGCGCCTCCCGCGATCCTCGCTTACCTCACTCTCGCTAACAAGTTGTCCGTCTCGTGGGACACTATTCACTACATGAAGCCCCCGACCGCCACCCCTCCGAGCCTCGCACCTGGAGCGAGCAGTGCAGAGTGGCACGCGGAATGGACGCGCGGGCTGCATCTGGCGGATACGACAAAGCCGCTCGGTGCTGCGTTCTCAGGCGCTTTTGTTTCTGGCAGCCTAGAAGGCACCTGGGAGGGTCTGTTCACGGTACGTTCAGTCCACTATCGCACGTTCATTCTCCAATTGATACGACGAAACTTAGTACACGGAATTTACGGCGTACGCAGCGCTACTGTCTGGGGCACCACCAACCGTCCTACAACGAAGCCTAGTCGCACACCATCCTCATTTATGGAAACTCAGAGAACACCATTTGTACGCGGTTGACGGACCCGGTACATCGGAAGTACGGCCGCTGGCTCCCGGCAATCCTCTCCGAGGTTATCTGCCCAATAGCTGTCAATACTCTGAGAGCTCTGACGGCGTGACCATTACGGAGTCTGGACGAGAGGAACCTGTATTCTATACAAGCTTAGCGAGCTTGCAGAAGATGGATGAACCGCCACCGGGGCGGCTGGCGGATGTCTTCATCACAGGAGAAGTGAGATTATCCTGCAGTCTCTCAAGCGTTTCTGAGCCCTGACCATGTATCACATTCCAGGGGCATTCAGCTTGGGGACAATTCAACCTTGTTGGGCGAGTACGACCCTGCGACGGCTTTATCATACTGTCTAAAGAATATGTAAGTCGTCTGAGTCCGAGCCCGCATGACATTCCACGAAACAGGCATACTCATTCTATTCAGGTCGACGGAGATAGAGGGCGGTGGCTATACCGCGGATTCCTAGTCGGCAACGCCGAGGGGAACCTCTCAGGTCGCTGGCGGGACACGCTGAGTCCTACAGACGTCCTCGGATACGAGGGCTGCTTCGTGATGAACCGGCGTAGGTGAACGACGGCTACTGATTTTTGGTTGGCGGTAAGCCAGACAGTCATACGACTGGCCGGATGGTGGCCGAGCATGTCGACCATGCTTGACTGCGACGCATAGGATATCATCAATAGCGCTTTTTATGTACGACTTTTTTGGACTATGTTTTGAGGTGTGTATCAATCAATTATATGGGTGGACGCTTGTTTTGTAGAGTTGGTCGTTTGGTGTTATATCATTTTGCTTGGTGTCCAGCTATATACTTACACTTGGTACTTACAACCGCTTCTGCGCTCTGCCTGCAAAGCTGGATGTATACAATTGCCCTGTTCAGCGTAAAAGACCCGGTGAACAGCATGAACGCCGGTGGCATTTGCCGAGCAAGCCATCATGGTGGCGGGGCGGGCGCTTCTACAGGAACGGGAGGTTTGGGCTTACCACCATCTCCTCCGTCAGACGTTGTCGTTCCTGACATATCAGCCATATTCTGCGCCTACACGTCCGTGGAAAGCGTTTTGTCAAAGTAGTCTACCCACCTTCAAAGCAGCTACCCACGCACACCGCTGGTGAGTGCAACACTTACGGTGCCCCACAGTACATTGACGAACCTTGTCCCCATCCTACAGAAACACATGGGCGAGCTCGAGGAGCACCAGACAGAGCCCCTGCCGACCACGCAAGCCGAGTGGGAGCACAAGCTCTCCCAGCTACGCGCGACGAACGCGGAGCTGCAGCGGCGCAAGGCCGACGCGGAGAAGGACCGCGACTTCTTTCGCGACCTGTACAGCAAAGCGTCCGCGCACGCAGGCGAGGTCTCCAAGGAGAATGACGCGCTGCTCGAGCGCGCAGAGCTTGCCGAGGGCCAGGCGCGCGACGGGCTCGCGATGGTGCGCGCGATGTACGACGCGCGCGTGCGCCGCGCGGAGGAGGAGGCGGCGCGCTGGAAGGCGCAGTACGCGCTGCTGGCGGGGCGGGACTCGCGCATGGACGACTATATCAGGAGTCGCGCGGCGCTAGAGCCGGAGCTGAGGGCGGAGGTCGGAAAACTACGAGACAAACTGGAGGTGCTGGAGGAGGATTATGGGCGGATGGAGGTGCTGCTGGAGGGCCTGACGAAGGAGCAGGTCGAGGAGACAGCGGAGCTGGCTGAAACGGCGAAGGGACCGGAGAACACCATTGCTGTGTCCGACTCTTGACGCGGCGGGGCGGAGCGTAAGTGCACAGTTCTCAGTTCGTAGCTTTCTTACTGATTTCTTTCGCATAGCCAGGCTCATGTGGACATGGCGCTGGGCTGGTGTATCTCTGGAGATCTGTTCTTGCTTTGTTGCTTCACGCACATCTTGCGGGCTGTAAAACCGACTCTGTCTCACTGGGGAAATACATGCAAAGGTCCTCAACCAGATTGAGAGCAAATGGCGTTGCCATCGCCCACCCAACTTTCTCAGCGGAACCCTACTTCTACGACAGGCGCGCCGACTCAGTCTTTCGATACCCGGATGATCACCTTTCCGACGTGTTTCTGACCATCCAGGTATTCATAAGCCTCGTGCGCGTTCTCAAATGCAAACACCTTGGCAACGATCGGCTTCAGCTTCACAGCCGTGATCAAGCGGTTCATGTCCTCGAACCTGAGTCGTACCAATCAGCAAATGGTTTACTCATCGGCTATAAATGCATACTGTACGCGCGAGCCAATGAGTACTCCGCGAAGGATGACCCCCTTGCTGAGCACCTGGAGCGGCAGTGCGCTCACTTCGGCTTGCTGTGAGGCACGTCCGAGTCACGTTAGTGCAACAGATGTTGCAAAGCAACGAAGGTACGTACCAGCCCAGCTACAATTCCAATAAGGCTGATCGTGCCCCCGAAGCGGATAGCATTCACAGACTTCATGATCGTGCCTGGCCCACCGACCTCGAGGATGTGGTCGACGCCCCGACCGTTCGTCTGCGGGAAAACCATGTCGGGATGTGTTCTCGAATACGAGATGCTTCCGTAACATACCATCTTCATCACCTGCTCGTCCCAGTTTGGCGTCGTCTTGTAGTTGATCGTGTGCGTCGCGCCAAGCGACCGCACGATCTTCAGCTTCTCGTCAGACGAGGAGGTCACGACAACCGTCGCACCCGATGCAACTGCAAGCTGGAGGCCGAAGATCGACACCCCGCCGGTGCCCTGGACTAGCACGGTATCACCACCCTTGAGTGGTTTCGGTCCGTTGAGCGCGTTGTACGCAGTCACCGCCGCGCATCTGCACCCCGCCGACGCTGGGAGTTAGTATCTATCTCTACAGGCCATACCGAAGCTCGAACATCGCGCTCACGGAAGGGTGGACGCCTCCTCGTAGCTCAGGTGCTCCGGGATGAGGACGAGCGCATGAGCGGGGAGAGCCTTGTACTCGGTCAACACACCATCGATGGCCCCGCCCAGACTGGTGGCCCTGCTCTCAGGTGAGGAGTCTCCGTAGATGCGGTCCGTCGAGAAGGTCGAGCTGACGCGGTCACCGACGGCCCAGCGTGCGACACCAGGGCCAAGCGCGACTATCTCGCCCGCGAGGTCCGAGCAGGGCACGACGTTCTCCTTGTGCCCAGACGGGTACGAGTTCTTCGCGATGACGAGGTCGCGGAAATTGAGCGAGACGGCATGCACCTTGACGAGCACCTCCGTCGCCTTGAGCTTCGGGATCGGCGCCTCGGTAATGGTAAGGTTGTGGAAGCCGCTTGCCTACCAAGGTGCAGGTAAACGGTCATGTATTTCGTGCGCCCAGTGTAGGCCAGATTTAACGCACCTTTGGAAGGCGGTACTCGCGAGTCGTTTGGGGAACGTACATTGCGTAATCTGCGCTCGTGTGTGTGTGTGGTCGCGGAAGAGGATGAGCAGGCTGTGTGGTGGACGGGGAATTTAGAATATGAGAGTCGCGTATTCCTGAGGTTGAGCGCAGGCTATATAAATCCTAGCCCTCCCAGGAAGCATGGCGTGCTTTCGACGTTTCTGAGATGCGAGCGAGCATATGGTTAAGATCGTGTGTGAGACGAAAGATAGAAGACTTACCTTTCGGAGGTGAGACTCGTTAATTTGTCTTCTAACAGACACGCCTCCACAGATCAGCTGGCCTAACACGAGCAATATCTACCTGGAAAACTCCGATCGGGACATGGCGAATCAGTATACACTTCCACAGGCTTAGGCAGAAGTATATATATTGAGGGCCTCCACGCAGCAGATATTGCGCATCTTCTACCCAGCCGTGAGGTTCTTTGTTGAATCAGGCGTCAAGCCCAGAGAAGCTAGCAGCGTCGCTCCAGTTTGAAGAGGGGTAGGAGGGAGCACATTGGTCCCGTTTCTATCGGAGTCCGACCGGGCTATGTACCAGGGACAAGAGTCGGATGGTAGAGTAGAGTGGTTTGTGTCTTCGTAAGCCGCAACTGTGTTCAATTGATTGCCTCACAAGGCTTCTCTGGACTCCAGCACTTCGCACGCTGTAATAACGGTTCCTGAACTTGAAGTACCAGTTACATCGATGGCGGTATTAGTACTCGTAGAGTCTCCTTCATTTGGACGCCGCCTAATCTTTCGAAACCTTGACCACGACCTTGCCGATATGCTTCTGGCTTTCCAGATATTCGTACGCCTTGCGCAAGTCCTCGAACGCAAACACCTTGTCGATGACTGGCTTCAGCTTCGCCGCCGAGATCAGCCGGTTCAGGTTCTCGAACCTAGGTCGCGCATCGTGTCGTGAGTGATGTGTAGTACGCTGGAGGAATGCACCTACTGCTCTCGAGAGCCCGCAACCACTCCGCGGACGATCGCCCCCTTGCTGAGCACCTGGAGCGGCAGTGTGCTCACGTCGCCCGCCTGTGCACTGGTCAGGAACATGCGTTGAGCGAAAGATAAACGGAGGTGCGTACTCCGGCAACGAAGCCAATGAGGCTGATTGTCCCGCCAAAGCGGATGGCATTCACGGACTTCATGATCGTGCCTGGTCCGCCGACGTCGAGGATGTGGTCGACACCCCGGCCGTTGGTCTGTGGTGTTGTTTGTCAGCATCTGAATGTGCGGTTATGCAAGAGACGCACGATCTTGAGGGCCTCCTCGTCCCAGTTCGGCGTTGTCTTGTAGTTGATCGTGTGCGTAGCACCGAGCGCCTTCGCAATCTTCAGCTTTTCGTCAGACGAGGATGTCGCGATGACGGTGGCGCCCGACGCCACCGCGAGTTGCAAGCCGACTATGGATACACCGCCAGTGCCCTGAACGAGCACAATGTCGCCACCCTTCAGCGGGTTCGGCAAGAGAAGGGCGTTGTATGCGGTCACCGCCGCGCACCTGCGCACCCAGCCCGGTCAGCCTTCGTTGCCCCGCCGACGGAAGTAGCATTGATACACTCACGGGAGGGTGGACGCCTCCTCGTAACTGAGGTGCTCCGGGATGCGCACGAGCGCGCGTTCGGGGAGCACTTTGTACTCGGTCAAGACACCATCGATGGGCGCGCCGAGGGCCGTCTCCATAGCCTCCAGCGTGACATCCCCAAAGACATAGTTCATCGAGACAGCCGAGGTGACACGGTCGCCCGCGCGCCAGTCCGCAACCTCGGAGCCAACCGCGATGATGTCGCCAGCGAGGTCACAGCCCGGGATGACATTGTCTTTCTGCGGGGCCACGTACTGGCCCGTAGCGATGACGAGGTCACGGTAGTTGAGCGAGACGGCGTGGACTTTCACGAGCACTTCCGTGGCCTTCAGTTGGGGGATGTACGCCTCGACCAAGGTGAGGTTGTGGAAGCCGTCCGTCTACGGTGTGCACGGGCGATGAGCATTTGATCGATGTCCACGCATGAAAAGCGAGGTACATACTTTCGGGAGACGGTACTCGCGGGTCTTGCTTGGGATGGACATGTTTTATTTAGGTTGTATAGATGTAGTCACTGGTAGAGATCGGTGAGGTGGGCAAGTTGGTACACGGGGTACGTAGTCCCATGCATGGCGACTTAAGTACCCATTCTGTCGGGTAACGTCGAGTCCGTCCGATGAGTAAGGAGTCAACGAGCTCCCGAAATCGGTTATTCCCGCCTCACCGGTAATAAGAACAGAAGGGAAAAGTATTTGTTTCCTCCGTCATATCCTCTGACGGTCTGGCGTAACTCGCGCGCGCGACCGATATTGCCGGAGAACGTGCGGTGTCGGAGTCGTATGAGGCTGCCGCCAAGGCTTTGCCCGCTGCTCTGCCCAGAGACGGCCGCGCCACCGACGATATTGCCTACTAAGGATCGATCGGTGCACCGGGAGCGGCCTCCTTGTTCTTCGCGGTAGCGTCACGGAGGATGAAGTCCACCACGATGTTCGTGCAGATATGGTCGACTGTGTACCTATGTGCTACTAAGCGCGACGATCTGACAGGATCTGACACACGAGGGTGGTCGACCTGGCACTAGATTGTCGTATTGCATGAGCAACATCGGCCCTTCATGAGATGAAGCTTCGACGATACCGTGACAACATGTGCTTTTCGAACGAGCACTTCTATTTCCTTGAAATTCGTGATGGACACTTCGGTGAGGGTCATGTTGTAGGTGTCATCGATTCATCATCAACTGTCCGGGCGTGAGTGAGTATATATATACACGCGATTCTGCTAGTGGGTCTAGCTCACATCTAGAGGGAGTCGGCACTCTCAACGTGAGATCGGTGCATGGGTGGGAGGGGTAGTCAGAACATGATCGCAGTTGAATTGCCCGAGGCAGCCTGTTTGAGCACTCGCACTCCTAATGAACGCGGCGTGCGTTAGACATCGCCCTAGCTTTCTCAGTTATTTTCTTCAGCTGCTTTGTCTTAGTCAAACTCGACTGGTGAAGACAGTGGAGAGGAAAGAGAGAGAGATCCTCGAACGTACGCCAAATGACTCTGCAGTACGGTATAACCGGGCCGGGGTTACCCGAGTCAGGACAGATCATCCCTCATAGCGCTCGCAGTTTCTGCTTGTTGACCACTTCTACCGCCATGCTTGCCAGCGTCCACGCTGGTCTCTTCTACTCCCTCGGCTGAATGAATTTCGACACGAGAGAATTTGATGGCCGCCGCTCTCCAAGCTCGACCCAGACTTCAAGATGGCTGCGGACTGCAGCCTCAAGGTTAGACGTGGACCGCGTGCATCTTTCACTTTCCTCTGGTAACTCACCTAATGTCTATCACCTCAGAGGGGGTCGACCTGATGGACCCCGTATGTATCTTTCGGCCGCTAAATATCTCGCAGATGGCTGAGGAAAACTACCTTTTGTCAGTGGAACAACTACATGTCAAGGATTATCAGGAGACCGTGGACTACAAGTACAAATAGCGTTCAGGCCATCGTCCCCACACGGGATGCTGCAGCTAAACATCAACTCTACACGGACGCACACGAAGCAATTCAGTCTTTTGACACCTTGACGACGACCTTGCCAACGTGCTGCTGACTGTCCTGGTACTCGTACGCCTTGCGCAGGTCCTCGAACGCGAACACCTTGTCGACCACCGGCTTCAGCTTCACCGCAGTGATCAGCCGGTTCATATCCTCAAACCTGCGTTGTGCCCGTCAGCAAAGCATCGATACGCACTGGCCAGCTACACGTACTGCGTGCGCGAGCCGATGAGGATCCCGCGAACGATCGCTCCCTTGCTGAGCACCTTGATAGGCAGCTCGCTCACGTCAGCTTGCTGTTGGCACGTCAGAGATAATGATGCGACGATGCAGCGGAGGTACGCACCCCAGCCACGAAGCCGATAACGCTGATGGTGCCGCCGTAGCGAACGGCGTTCACGGACTTCATGAGCGTACCCGGCCCGCCAACTTCCAGGACATGGTCGACACCGCGGCCATTCGTCTGCAACGGAGGAAGTCAACATTCCCCCTTAGCCCGCAATACGCTCACGACATACGATCTTAAGTGCCTCCTCATCCCAGTTTGGTGTCGTCTTGTAGTTGATCGTGTACGCCGCACCGAGCGACTTGGCGATCTTCAGCTTCTCGTCGGACGACGATGTCGCGATCACGGTCGCGCCCGACGCGACCGCGAGCTGCAGGCCGAATATGGACACGCCGCCGGTGCCTTGCACAAGCACAACGTCGCCGCCCTTCAAAGGGTTCGGACCGAGGAGCGCGTTGTACGCGGTTACCGCCGCACATCTGCACCCAGAATCCAATCAGTCTCTGCATCCCCGGCGGACGCTCCAACGCTGCACTCACGGAAGGGTAGATGCCTCCTCATAGCTCAAATGCTCCGGGATACGCACGAGCGCGTGCGCAGGGAGGACCTTATACTCAGTCAAGACACCATCGATGGGCGCCCCAAGCCCAGTGGCCTTGTTCTCCGGAGTGGGGTCCCCGAAGACGTGGTCCGTCGCGAAGTTCGAGCTGACGCGCTCGCCGACGGCCCACCCCGCGACCTCGGGGCCGAGCGCGACGATCTCGCCTGCGAGGTCCGACCCGGGGACGACGTTCTCCTTCTGCCCGAGCGGGTACGTGCCTTTGGCGACGATGAGGTCGCGGTACTGGAGCGAGACGGCGTGCACTTTCACGAGTACTTCAGTCGCTTTGAGCTTTGGGATCGGCGCTTCGGTGAGGGTCAGGTTGTGGAAGCCATCCACCTGGGGTGTGTACATGAGCATGTGCATCGCGTCGCGTTCGGTGAGAGCTGACGCACCCTCGGGAGGCGGTATTCGCGGGTGTTTTGTGGGCCGGACATAGTGGGTTCTGCGTGTGGGTTGTGTGGCGAGTGTGGTGAGTGTGTGCAGAGGACGGAACAGGGGAGTTGTGCTGTTCCGACTCCGTCGCGCGGGTCATATATGTCTTCGCGTTCCCTGGGAACATAGCGTGCGTTCGACGCTGTCCGAATGTTCTCAGCTGCTTTGTCAGGCTCTCTGGAGCAGACATATACTGGTTCCGCCGCAGCTAAAACATATGTGGAAATCATAAGTGACGTAGCCGGGCCGGGCAGAACACCTCTCGCGGCGCCCGCGGAACCAACTTCAAATTCGCTTCTTTATGCCGCGTTCGAATTTGTCACACGCTCGTTCTGCCTTCGAACTTCCCGCGCGCATCTCGATAGGCTCGCTCTCTCAGGACACTCTAAGCCAGAGTGGTCGAATCAACTTACAATTTGAACATAGGAGACCTTGACGTTGACTAGTTCATCTTACTTGACCAGCCACGGGAATACATGAACAATAATGAAGCCACCGCGCCAAATAGTATCTCCACGCCGGCGCATGTTACTCAGCGGACGCTCAGTCAGCTCAACTTCCAGCTCCTTGGCACTAATCATTATGAAGCATTACTGCAATAACCGCGCGGGTATGTGCTTAACTTTCATGCGTAATGAACGCCCAGATGCATGCCAGTGCTGTGCTCCCGATTGTCAGTGGAGTTCAGATGCTTTGCACCCACCCTATGCATGCTGCATGCGGACAGATTAGCCTAGGAAGGCTCAAAGGTCATGAACAAGCCTCGGCTTGCACGGCTCGCCATAGGGGCAACGCTTCTCAGGATCAATGATAGTCCAAGCCTTCCAAGTAGCCTTCCTCTTGCTCGCTGCGCCCATAATACAGAATCTAACGGACATGTGCCGCAACCTAATCCTTCGAGACCTTGACCACGAGCTTGCCGACGTGCGCCTGACTATCCATACGCTCGTACCCCTCGCGCAAGTCCTCGAACGCGTAAACCTTATCGATGACCGGCCTCAGCTTCACCGACGTGATCAGCCTGTTCATCTTCTCAAATCTAGAGCGTATAACGTGAGCGTAGTGATGTGGTATGTACGCGAAATCCACCTACTGCTCGCGCGACCCAGCGAGGATCCCGCGGAGAATGGCCGCCTTGCCGAGCACCAGGAGAGGCAGCGAGCTCGCGTCGCCCATCTGTCATAAAATCAAACACGGCTTCAGATATATGAACGCAAAGAGAAAGAGGTATGGAGGTGCGTACCCCAGCCACGAAGCCAATGACGCTGATTGTCCCGCCAAAGCGAATAGCGTTAACGGACTTGATGATGGTGCCCGGTCCGCCGACCTCGAGGATGTGGTCAACACCTCGGCCGTTTGTCTGGGATATCAATTGTAAACGTTGGGGTATATCTATATCATCATGCAATAGACGCACGATCTTGAGCACCTCATCGTCCCAGTTGGGCGTCGTCTTGTAGTTGATGGTGTGGGCTGCCCCAAGCGATTTCGCAAGCTTCAGCTTCTCGTCGGAAGAGGACGTAACAATGACCGTCGCGCCGGAGGCAGCCGCTAGCTGGAGGCCGAAGATCGACACGCCGCCCGTGCCCTGGATGAGCACGGTGTCGCCGCCCTTCAGGCCAGGACTAGGCCCGAGAAGGGCGTTGTAGGCAGTCACCGCCGCACACCTGCGCCCAAAAACCAATCAGCCTCCATTTCCACGCCTGACACGACAGTGATATACTCACGGGAGCGTCGATGCCTCCTCATAGCTGAGGTGCTCCGGGATGCGCACGAGCGCATGCACGGGGAGCACCTTGTACTCAGTGAGCACGCCGTCGATGGGCGCGCCGGACGCGGTCACCATAGCCGCCGCCGAGACGTCCCCAAAGACATAGTCCAACATACAGGTCGCGCAGACACGCTCGCCGACGGTCCAGCCCGAGATGTCGGAGCCGAGAGCGATGATCTCGCCCGCGAGGTCGCTGCCCGGAATGACGTTGTCCTTCTGTTCGCCTGGATACTGGCCCCTCGCGATGAGGAGGTCACGGTATTGGAGCGATACTGCGTGAACCTTGACGAGCACTTCCGTTGATTTCAGTTCCGGAATCGGCCCCTCAGTAAGAGTAAGGTTGTGGAAGCCGTCCGCCTAGGATGTATACGGTGAGCATATGGCTGGCTTCTCGAGCGCAAGGATAGATACTTACCTTCGGGAGGCGGTACTCGCGGGTCTTGGTTGGGATGGACATAGTGCACTACTTCTAGGTTAGGTGTGCGCGTCGCTGGTAGAGATGGATGGAGAGGGCAAGTTAGCGCACTTCTGGTCTTTAGACGAGCGGCATAAGTACCTTTTCTGCCAGGCAACATTGCGTGCCATGTTCAACATTGCTCCTATACGACTGCTGAGTCAATAAACAATGAGCAAGACTGCGCCCGGTCCCGACATCGGTTCATCCCCGCGCTACCGGTCATAAGGACAGATGGGGAGAGCAGTTGGCATCTTCGTAATGTTCTCTGTAGGGCTGGCGTAGCTCAAGCACAACAGTCCTAGTAGCGCCCGTGAAGCCGCGGACTCGGTGCCGTCGAGGTATTGCTCAGTGCACTGCTCAGGGACACCGACGATGTTTCTTACTTTTACTAAGGCATCAAGACATGCGGATCAGCGGCGGTGCTAGTGCCGGTACGGTAAAAGGCTTGTTCGTTCTCTAGACGTATGAGGGAGACCTCGAGATAACCACTTTCGCCACTGTGTGTAACGCATATTCGAGCTGCACAGCAGAAGTGTGTCCACCTGTCAAAAATTATATCAGACCCGGAGATCATCCAGTTATTGCATTGAGAATAAGGACTCACCGTCGCTCTAAGTACGTACTGACTGAACGATGGGTGCTGAAGAGAATTTGAAGAGGGGATTCGGAAGAGCGACCTCGGAGCCCGCGGCAACACGCGAGCGTTTGATTAGCGCTCATATGCCAAAGCCTAGGCGCCACAGACAAACAAAAGTGCTGCCAACTACTCACAGGGGGCAATGACCCATTTTTCCGCGGAAAACATGTCGGGAACATGGCGGGAATTGAAGGGATTTTCCCACCGTGTTCTCCTGGAAGACACGCGGAGAATATTGCGTGAATATTGTGCATGTTTTCGCGTCTTTTGAGCCATATCTCTGGGCGGAATATGGGGAAAACATCGCTTTTGTTCCCGATATAGATGCGCCGTGTTTACAATTGTGAAAATGTGAGAATTATTTGGCATTGTCTTGCCATGTTAGCATCAAGAACATGTCAAAAATACTGCCCGGGGCGAACATTCCGCGTGTTTACGATCGGACCTTGCCATTTTGACGACGGGAACATTGCGAAAACATGCCGCATGTTCCCCGCATGTTTCCCCTGTGACCCCTTGTGTGAACATTGCGCGAATATTCAAAATGTTCCCGCAGTATCCCCAGTGTAAATATGGCAGCCTGGATCGTGGAAACATTTGATTTGTTCGCGACAGACTAGCGTCATAATATCGCCGAAAACATGGCCGTTAATATCCTTTCAATTCCCGCCATGTTCCCGACATGTTTTCCCCGGAAAAATGGGTCATTGCCCCCTGTGACTCTTTCGCCACCTTGATGACGACCCTGCCGACGTGCGGAATCTCCTGGTACTCATACGCCTCGCGCGCGTCCTCGAACGCAAACACCCTGTCGATGACTGGCTTGAGCTTCATCGCCTGGATCAGTCGGTTCATAGCCTCGAATCTGCACCAGACCCGTCAGAAAAACGTCAACATGCATAAGGAAAGTCACCCATACTGCTCGCGCGATCCGACGTGGATCCCGCGGACGATGGCGCCTTTGCTGACTACCCGAAGCGGTAGCATGCTCACGTCGGCATACTGTCGGTGTGTGGCGAGACTCAGCTGAAGATGTCCTGCAGAGCAGCATAGCTCACGGTACGCACCATCCCGGCCACAATGCCGATAATGCTGATCGTTCCACCATAGCGAATTGCGTTCACAGACTTCATGAGGGTGCCTGGCCCGCCGACCTCCAGGATGTGGTCGACGCCACGGCCGTTCGTCTGCATAAAGGTGGTATGTTAACAGAAGCCCTTCGACCCGGATTACTTGTCAAGACCCACTATTCTGAGCACCTCTTCGTCCCAATCTGGCGTCGTCTTGTAGTTGATTGTATGCGCGGCCCCAAGCGACTTCATGAACTCCAACTTCTCGTCGGACGAAGACGTCGCGATGACAGTCGCGCCCGATGCGACTGCAATCTGCAGGCCGAAAATGGACACCCCGCCTGTGCCCTGGACGAGCACCGTGTCGCCGCCCTTTAGCGGGTTCGGTCCAAGGAGGGCGTTATACGCGGTGACCGCCGCACATCTACCACATAGGTCCGGTGAGTTTGTGCCAACTCAACGCCCCCCCCATTTGCACTCACGGAAGAGTCGACGCTTCCTCATAGCTGAGATGCTCCGGGACGCGCACCAGCGCATGCGCAGGCAAGACCTTATACTCGGCCAACACGCCGTCAATAGGTGCACCTAGAGCGGTCGCCCGATGCTCCGCGGTGGCGTCTCCGAAGATATGGTCTGTCGCGAAGTTCGAGCACACCCTGTCGCCTCTGCGCCAGCCTACGACCTCCGCGCCGAGCGCGACGATCTCCCCAGCGAGGTCGGAGCACGGCACGACGTTCTCCTTTTGCTTGAGCGGGTACTGGCCCTTCGCGATGGCGAGGTCGCGGTGCTGCAGCGAGACGGCGTGTACCTTCACGAGCACTTCTGTCGCCTTGAGTAGGGGGATAGGCGCTGAGGTGAGGGTGAGGTCGTGGAAGCCGTCGGCCTGGGGCATAGGTGAGCATGTGTGTTATCGCCTGTGATAAGGTCCGGAGGAACATACGCACCTTCGGGAGACGGTACTCGCGGGTAGTCCTAGGGATGGCCATGTTGTGCTCGGTGCGTACGTAGCAGTTGTAGCTTGTGTGGTGTACGATGCCAGACTCATTGGTGGCTTAAATAGGCAGCCGTGTTTTTCCAGGGAGCATAGCGTGCGCCCGACGGCGTCGGAAGGTTCCCAGCCCCAATGTTGTGTCTTGCAGCGTATACGTTTCGCCCGGGGCGAGCAGTTTACGAGAAGGATATTGGGTGCTTTAGGTCATGGAGATCAACCGCGCCGACGAGAGCGGGTGATGTACGCCTGGATGCAGCCCTGGTCTTGCAGTGATTACAAAGCTCACGACGCTAGCGTCGCACAAGGCGTGTGCGCAGCAGATTTGATGTGCAAGGGGCCTCAGGAGTCGGGGCATTGAAGTGGTGCAACACAGTTTCGACTCAAGTACGTAGAAACTATGAACTACACCATACCCCAACGAGCGCGACGTGCACTGCGAAAGGCCGAGGACGTCTCTGTTTGGAATTTCAATAACGTACTTCAACAACTTGATCCTTCGACACTTTCACGACGACCTTGCCGAAGTGCTTCTGGCTCTGCTGGTACTCGTACGCCTTGCGCACGTCCTCGAACGCGAACACCTTGTCGACGACGGGCTTCAGCTTGACCGCATCGATCAACCGGTTCAGGTCCTCGAATCTGCGTCAGGCCCGTCAGTAACGCAAGAGCAAGCACGAGTCGATCGCACATACTGCTCGCGCGCGCCGACGAGGATCCCGCGCACGATGGCGCCCTTGCTGAGCACCTGGAGCGGCAACGAGCTCACGTCCGCTTGCTGTTGTGCGACGCGGCGGGTCAGGTCTGTAGGTACGAAAGAGAAACACAGGTACGCACCCCCGCAACGAAGCCGATGATGCTGATCGTCCCCCCAAATCGGATGGCATTGACCGACTTCATGATCGTGCCCGCCCCGCCGACTTCGAGGATGTGATCAACACCCCTGCCGTTCGTCTGTACAGTTCCATGTCAGCCTACGCCCATGTCCACAGACGGTGCCCCGACGTACGATCTTGAGGGCCTCCTCGTCCCAGTTCGGCGTCGTCTTGTAGTTGATGGTGTGCGTCGCCCCGAGCGCCTTCGCGACCTTCAGTTTCTCGTCCGACGAGGAGGTCACGATGACCGTCGCCCCCGAGGCGACCGCAATCTGCAAACCGAAGATAGACACGCCCCCAGTGCCCTGCACCAACACAGTGTCGCCGCCCTTCAGCGGGTGCAGCCCGAGAAGCGCGTTGTATGCGGTCACCGCCGCGCACCTACAACACACCCAGTCAGCCTCTATCCGCACGATACGTCCTCGGGCCCAGCACTCACGGCAAGGTCGACGCCTCCTCATAGCTAAGATGCTCCGGGATCCGCACGAGCGCATGCGCCGGAAGCACCTTGTACTCCGTCAACACGCCATCGATCGGCGCGCCCAGCCCGCTCGCCCTATACGCCGCGCTCGGCTCCCCAAACACGTAGTCGACCGAGAAGTTCGCGGACACGCGGTCGCCCACGGCCCACCCCGCGACCTCCGCGCCGAGTGCCGCGATCTCACCTGCGAGGTCGGACCCAGGTACGACGTTGTCCTTGCGCTCGCCGGGGTACGCGCCCGTGGCGATGACGAGGTCGCGGTAGTTGAGCGAGACGGCGTGCACTTTTACGAGGACTTCGGTTGCTTTGAGGGGCGGGATTGGGGCAGAGGTGAGGGTGAGGTTGTGGAAGCCGTCCACCTGGGGCGTGCGTGAGTGTTTGCAAGTAGCGCGAGTGGAGAGGGTGAGCTTACCTTCGGGAGACGGTACTCGCGGGTTTTGCTGGGAATAGACATGCTGAAGTGCGTGGGTGTGTGCAGTCAGTGTTCGGGATGGGCGATGTGGGAGATGTTCTGAACTCTCAGAAATTCGCGGCTTTATATACTAGAGCAATGAGCATGCCGGCAACATGTCGTGAGCTCGACATCGTCATAGTGTCATATGATGAGTGAAGAGACGAATGAAGGATAAACTATACTCCAGGTCGAGCTCGAGATCGAGGAGGCAGACAAAGCGATTCCGTGCCCACCGGAGTCGGTTATCCCGGCTTTACCGGGAACGCGGCTCGAATGGGTCGAATGGGAGAGTTCACTTTGTGTCTTCATAACATGTTGTGCGCGACTCGCATCCGATTTACCGGGCAACGAGCAGTATGTCGGAGCAGCACGAAGCTGCCGTCATGGATTTGGCTCTGCACGCCATCTACGTAGGGCGCCGCATCGACTGTATCGTAAAGTGAGTTGACAGTATTCAGTATGATCGTGAAAACGAACAATTGGAGGGAACACGAGCCTAGAATTACCAAGGTGCTCCCATGACGTGCTCTGGCATGCTGTCTAATTGCAGAATTCACGTCACAACCTCTGAGTCTTGGGCTGTCCGGTCGATGTCGGTCACTGAAGTCCAGAGCGTCAGTGTACGATGAACATGACAATCCCTAATAATCCTCATCCTCATTCTCACTCGTCAGTCAACCACATCCCCTCCAACATACCAACAACCCACCCATATCCCTCCGGCGCCCCAGCAATCCACCTCAGAAAAATCACGACTTTTGACGCCGCCCGCGCCGTCGGTCGACACCTGCACACCCCCATACACCCCCTTTCCCTCCCCACGAACCACACGAAGCACCCCTCCGCAAGCCGGGACACAGGCCTCGGCTGCTCCCTAGCGGCGCATCTATACTATGACACAACACTGTAAGACCAGATTCGCAGCGAGGTGAGGGCTATCTCGTCGGCTTACCTCCATCAACTCCTGCATGGTGCGCCCCACACAGTGCACGTCCCACGCGTACGGATCGAAGTGGGATACGCCGTCGGGAGGTGGGATTTGTGCCTCCGGGAGTTTGATGGCGTGCTGGACCCCGGGGCCGAGAGCGAACTGCTTGGATTGGCCGAAGTCGATGATGTATATCCTGTTCGCAATGATGCCTGAGGGCAGGGATGGGTCTGTGAACGGCTCGAAGGGGGAGCCGAGGAGTAGGTTTCCCATGCATATGTCCTAGGCAGTATAGTATCAACTACTTGCTACGTGCGGAGAAACGGGTATCGGTGGCGGACGTACCATGTGCGCGATCTGCAGGCTGTGTAGGAACACTACGCCCTAGACACCATGGCCGTTCAGCTGCGGAACCCGACACACAATGTAATCTACGACCAGACCTCTATTATCTGGAAGACGACGTCCATGATATCGCTCAGGGACAACACAAGCACCGGCTTGTCCTGCAGCAAGATGACTGCCGGCATGATCAACAGCGGGTGCCCCGCGGTGGTCATTTCAGCCGGCAGCGTGTGATTGTCCGGACGTCTAATTTCAGAAAGTACGCGGGCTTGGATCGCAACCTCCTCCGTATGTGGGTTGAGGATCTTGACGGCGTATACTGGAGGCGTGTCCTTGTCTGTGCAGTACACGCAGCCCTGTCCGCGGGGGTGAGTTGCTGCGACGAGTAACGTGCATATACATAGGAGGGAAAGGTAAGTGGCGCACCGGCTTCATGGGTTCGCGGAGGATGATCCCCCGTCGCTGCAGATCCGGGTGGTGCAGCAGGCGGTCGTGAATTGCGAGGATGCTCTGCACTCGCCCGTCGGGGCCTGTCACGAACCAGGGAGGGCTGGGGCCAACTTTGTCGGAAGCCATATCAGCATGAAACGGCGGAAGAGAGGCAAGTTGGTGCGATAGGTATCAGTGCGAACAGCAGTACTCCAAGTCAGCGCCAGCTTAATCTTCAACCACAGTGGTTCAACGATAGGACAACCAACCAACCAAGGTGAACGGCAGCGTGTCTGATGGCGCTTACATCATGGATTCGCACTGAGGAAGTCAGTTGACGCTATGATTGGATAGAGACCGGACCATACATGCCTCCTAAGGTGTGCATACACAGATGAAGTGTTCAAAGTTTCAAATCGTTACTGAGGAGGTGCTACATGCTTACCCAAAACGGCGAGTGACACGCAGGAAGCCCCGTCTTGGCGCCCAACCATAGACTCCGGGCTCGCGTGAGTGGACGCGCACAATCCTCGAGGCTGAGTTCTCACCAAGAGCCATTGGACACCGATGGAACAAGGATCTCTTGATGTTACCATATAGACAACTGGAGTGAGCTACAAGGGTGGATAGCGATACTGTGCGACAAACGAGCAAACAGACGTAGAGGAGGATAGGGTCGGGATGGTCATGATGCAGGCTTGCCGTTAGGAGAGGGCTCTGCATCGTCGTCTTCGTCGTCGTCGTCATCAGCGAGGTCGTCCGCAGATGGTACCGCGGCGGAGTTCGCCGCACCCGTAGCCACCGTAGACTTAGGTTGTGGGGGTGCAATATCCCTACGTCCGGCGCGCTCGTTCATCCTCGTTCACACGACCGAACAAATGCTATGAGGAACTCACCACTTGATCTGGAAGCGCGTCACCCTCGGCTTCTGGTTGATATCGCGCACAAGGCGCTCAAAGCGGATAGGCTCCGGCAGCGCCTCCTTCATCTCCTCGTTGTCGTACTCCGTGTTCTGGTAGTAGCCGACGCGCACGAACTCCTGCTCCTTGTACGACCCAGTGAGGATCAGCGCGGCGACCCCAAGCGCGTCCTCTGGCGGGATCTTGGATGGGTTGGGGGCGGAGCCTTCGAACTCGAACGCGTTCACGCCAGCGGGGACGGGCCCGACGAGGCAGTCGTCGAGCTCTTGGTCGAGCTCCTCGTTGCCCGGGGAGGCGACGTAGATGAGGCGCCATTCGAGATCTGGTATACCCAGGTTATGAGGGATATCCGAGGCTCATGTGGAAGAGGACGTACCTTCTGGTAGGGGAGCTATGCACTCGAATGTGACCCGGAAGTGGTATGGGTCGAGGAAGCGGGCGGGGTTGTTCAGGAACTCGACATTCTGGCCTGGTGATTAGACGTATCCCACCTCAATGTCGAGCAGAAACTTACCCGGATCGTAACGATGGACATCTTGAGCGTGGGTCAGTGGGGGAGGAGGAGGATGGAGACGAGGAGGAGAGCAGGTGGCGGGGCGGGAGGAGTAGGTGAGTGAGGCGCGCGACGCCTCAAAGACAGCGAGAACGCGTCAGGTCACAGACGCGTCACCACGCGTAACCGATCATCACACCCGCCATCGTGGCGCGTCCACGAAGAGCGAGCGTCTGTCCTCCTTGCTCTCGACCACCATCATCTCGGCAGGTCCAGTTCAATGCAAAAGACATACACAAACGGCGCTGGTCTTCGTTTCTTCTTCTCGTAGCTCTCTGAACTACTCTACAGTGCTACACTGCGGTACGCAACCAGCTTAGGTGCGAGGACTTCTCCGTGAATCGTCATGTCCCTCGTCAATTTGGGCTTTCCATCGAGAGTAATGCTTGCAGATCCTCACTAGTCTGCTCGGGCCTCTTGTCTGGAAGGCCGAACGTTGATATCCTTCCCCGTTTCGGCTTTGTCATGTTCGGCACGCTCGAAAACCGTCGCATAATGTGCGACTCAGGGTTTAGTATGCCAGTATGGCCAAGTCACATCTATACAACGGCCCAACATGAGTCTCCCGCGACGCACCTACCCTTACTTCATGCTAATCGATCATGCTAGTCGATTTTTGTCAATTTGCCACAGTATGAATACAGTATTGCTGGCGTTTCATCTCCCCTCGCCGCTGCAGTCTGACCGCACTACAAGACAACTCATCGAGCTTGCTCATCGATACGGTTTGCAGCTGCAGCTCCATACCGCGTATCTCCACGTAAGAGAACCCGCTCTATATATGCATCCCCACTGACCGACCCTCCGTTTCCCTATCACAGATGTTTGCTGGCGGACCGCTCTGATCTGCGGCGGAGCGCTCGGTGAAGGCAGCAATCATACTGGTCCAGCGGATGCCTAGGCACCGAAGACTTCGTATTGCTCCGCACTTCTTGCACGAACGTCCGGACCCGCGTCGACGCCTAGTCCATAATCGTCCCCGGTCTTTATACCGACCTGTCTACCAGCTATCGGTGATGCGCGCTAGCTCCCAAACGGACGATTTCTCCCGCTCAGCCCTTGACTTTCTGACGTGCTCCACGCGTGCTCCACATTCTCGTGACCCCGGCCTCTATACCTCCCAACAAGGTGCCTTCCCGAAGCCACGAAGCGGCCAGCCGTTACGGCCGCGCAATCAGCGCCACTTCCAATACGTAGCTTCTCCGCTACGCCCATGACCTTCCGATGACTACCTCCCTCCATCTACGGCCCTCCGACTGCTGGACAATCATTCTTCTCCCTGTGAGTAAAAATAAAGCTGCGCCCATGACCTGACGTCCTAGCGAGCATGCCGCTGATGCACGCGCGATCACCTGACGCAGCGCCAGCCCGGTCCGTCGAGGGCTGTATTGAGGCCCGTCATAGGAGGCCGTAGGACGCCTCTCTGGCCCGCCGACGTCTTCGACGGAGTTCTGAGGCAACGTAACGGCGCCCCGTGGCTCGATTAGCAATGCCTCCGACGATGGTCCGGAGCGTAGTGCCTGGCACCTCGAGGTCACAAGGACGAGACGGCCACTTTTCCTGTCGCTCGTCGCGGTACGGTCCAGCGGCGCGTCGAGAATCGGCGCGCGTACATATAAGACGCTCGGGGCGCGATATGCGATCCCGGTCTCCGCAAGCCTGTGCTATTGTGAAAACGCGTCTTCGCCATGGCGCCCTCTCGCCGCCGCTGCGCCAGTTTGGCCTACACCGCGTTCGGCTTGCTCGCACTCGCAAGTGGTGCCCTCGGCATTGGGCAGTCCACCTGCGTCGTGTTCAAGTCCGCGCCCTCGACGTTCCCCATCGTGAACAATCGACAAGCAACCCCAATCCTCCTCTCACCCGACGAATGGCCCGGAGTACAACGCGCCGCGACGGACTTCGCGTCCGACATCGAGCAGGTCGCAGGCGTGAAGCCCGCGCTGCACAACGTCACTTCGCTGACAACCCAGGCGACCTCGGCGTTCGGCACGAATGCGATCATTGTGGGCACGCTGGGCAAGTCTGCACTCATCGACGAGATTGTGAACAGGACGAAGCTCGACGTGTCGTCTATCCAGGGAAAGTGGGAAGCGTTTATGGCGAAGGAGGTCACGAACCCGCTGCCGGGGATCAAGAGCGCGTACGTGATCATTGGTTCGGACAAGCGGGGGACGATCTTCGCTATGTACGACCATTCTGAGCAGTTCGGTTAGTACATACCCTGCCTTTGTAGCCTTGGCGCAAGCTTACCTCTCACCCAGGCGTCTCTCCGTGGTTTTGGTACGTTTAAGCTGCTACATGTTTCTCGTTCGCAATTCACTTACTCATGAACGCAGGTGGGCAGATGTCCCTACCACAAAACACAACGACGTCTTCGTCACGTCCTCTGGGTGCTCGCACGGATCACCTACAGTCCAATACCGCGCGATATTCTTGAACGACGAGCAGCCCGCACTTCAAAACTGGGCAATGGAGAAGTTCACGAACGGCACCGGCGCCGCTCTCACCGGCTCGCCCTTCAACCACTTCTTCTACACCAAGCTGTACGTCCTCCGTCCCCTCTTACCCAACCCGCACCAACACTAACGCCCACAAACGACAGGTTCGAGCTCATCCTGCGCCTCAAAGGCAACCACCTCTGGCCAGCACAATGGAGCAGCGCGTTCTGCGTCGACGACGCGCAGAACCAGGCACTCGCGGACCTGTACGGGATCGTGATGGGCACGAGCCACGAGGAGCCGATGATGCGCTCCATCCCGGTCGAGTGGAACTTGTTCGGGACGGGGCCCTGGGACTACAGCGCGAACAACGCGACGATCTACGAGTTCTGGGTGCAGGGCGCGGAGCGCGCGCGCCCGTTTGAGGGGATGTGGACGGTCGGGATGCGTGGGAATGGTGCGTACTGGGTGTTCAATCGTAATTGAGAGAGGCCGGGTGCTGACGCGTGTTACAGGTGATTGTGAGTATTTGGGACTCGAGGGTATGTAGCGTGCGATGGCTAACATGGGTCTGCGCTGGCGTCTAGTGCCATTGGCGTCTGCAGGAGACAACATCGCGCTCCTGGAGAAGGTTGTGTCAGACCAACGACAAATCCTCTCAAACGTATACAACGAGAGCGACGTCACCAACATCCCGCAGGTTTGGACGCTCTGTGAGTGTCGCCTGGACTTCAAGATACTGTGCGGACTGACCAATTGAGCAATTGGCATTGCCATATACAGATAAGGAAGTCGAAGGCTACTACGACCAAGGCTTGCGCGTGCCGGACGACATCACGCTCATGTGGACCGACGACAAGTTCGTAGAAAGCTTGCTCACTCGGGTTGGCAGTAACTGACCGTGATATCGTAGTTGGGGCAACGTACGTCGCAACCCTCTTCCGAGCGAACGGAACAGGACTGGCGGTGCGGGCGTGTACTACCATGTGAGAGACACCTCGACTCTCCATGTAAGAATGTTGCATTTTCTGATGAGGATCCCAGGTCGACTATGTCGGAGACCCGCGAGACTACAAGTGGATTACTGTGAGTATACGGTTGCACCAAACACATAATTTGGTGCTGATACGGTCTTGGACCAATAGAGCAGCCAAATCGAGAAGGTACGGTGCACAAACGTATCTCCTAAGACCGTAGGTCGACGATACTGACGACCACACACAGACCTTCGAGCAGATGTCGCTCGCCGTCTCCCGCGACGCCGTCAAGATCTGGGTGCTCAACGTCGGCGACATGAAGCCGTACGAGATGCACACGGAGTGGTTCCTCACGCTCGCCTACGACGCCTCGCTCTGGACCCCGGAGAACTACCCGAGCTTCGTCACGCAGTGGGCGCAGCGCGAGTTCGACCTCTCCGCGAGCGACGCGGCGATGGTCGCGAACCTGATGCACAACGTCACGCGCCACAACATGCGCCGGAAGCCGGAGCTGCTCAACTCGACGACGTACAGCCTTATCAACTACCGCGAGTGCGTCTCGTCGTGTCCTCGTTCTCATGTTCGCAGAGGCTGATATCCCGTTCGCTACTGTAGGGCAGACAACGTCATGGCGGAGCTCGAGAGCATGGTCGCCGCGTCGACGCAACTGTACAACAAGCTCCCCACGAGCGCGCAGCCGGCGTTCTTCCAGCTCCTGCACCACCCAATCCTCGCCACTGACACCCTCACGCGCATGTGGATCTCCGCGGGCATGAACAACCTGCGCGCATCGCAAGCACGCCTCAGTGCGAACGACCTCGCGACCGACGTCGAGAACCTGTTCATGCAAGACGCGCAGCTGGAGGCGGACTACCACAGTCTGCTTGACGGTGCGTCGCGTTATGTTTGGAAGTTTAGAGTGTCACTACTGATATCGCATCCTCATAGGCAAATGGTATGTGCTGCGACCAGATTTCAGTGTGCGGGTAGTTGAACTGACGGGCGTGTAGGGACCATATGATGGACCAGACGCATGTCATGTACTACTACTGGCAGCAGCCAATGACCAACACGTACGTACATAGCTTCTCACCCCCGCGATTTTTACTGATTGTACACAAACAGCATGCCCATGATCACGAAGGTCCAGCCGTCCAAACAAGCGCTGGCAGGCGCGATGCGCATCGTCCCCGAAGGCTCGATGGGAGCATGGTAAGTGTATCGTTGTCTGATTGGGGATACCTCTGGCAACTGATCCACCTCTCCGTAGGCCTGGAGACAACCAGTTCAACTGTGCGCTAGGCTACGGCTGCGGAAACCCCGCACTCACCATCGATCCATTCGTCCCCGCCGGGAACCGCTTCGTCGATGTCGGCGCTGGCGGCCCCACCCCATTCACATTCACGGTGACCAGCAACTCTTCGTGGGTGAAGATCTCGCCGTCGAAGGGCTCCATTTCGCCGAGCTCCCCGGAGCAGAGGGTCTTCTTCTCTGTCGACTGGAACAAGGTGTCCGGCGTGCAAACCGCGGCGATCACGTTCACCGCGTCGCCGCAGAACCAGACACAGCTGTCTGTCCCGATCACGCTGACGGCGAACCACACTGCTGTTCCCAGCGGCTTCCATGGTACATGCACGGATGCCGTACATATTTGAAGAACGCATACTGATCATGCTCTGATAGGCTTCGTGGAGGGAGACGGTGCAGTCTCGATCGAAGCCGCTCATGCCTCAAGGAACACGACTGTGCAGGGCATCACCTGGACTGAGCTTCCGGGACACGGGCGCACGCTCTCGGCCGTCACGCCCTGGCCCCGCGGCGGTAACGAGCTCAACTTCACCGCAGGCAGCGGCCCCAGCATGTGAGCATCCGCATTCCCATACCATGCTCGTCCCAGTTCTAACTGTCGATCCGTTCTATTCAGCGAGTACGACTTCATGCTCTTCAACACGCAAAACCAAGGCGGCAACGTCACCGTTACCGCGTTCGTCTCGCCCTCGCTGAACACGCTCGGGGACGACCGCCCGCTCGGGCTCGGGTTCCAGATCGACGACGGCGCCCCAGCGACGAACTACTTCGTTCCTGCGTCTGTCCCCGGCCAGGTCCCGGCGCCGTGGAACGGGAACGACGGTTGGGTCGCGAACAGCATCATTGAAGTCCCTGTCACGCTCCCAGTGCAGCCTGGGGCACATACGCTCAAGGTGCGTTTGGGATCGGCGCGGTACGTGGGGACGTATGTGGCTGACGTTTGGACGATAGGTGTTCATGATCGAGCCAACGGTCGTCCTCCAAAAGATCCTCATTGGTGAGTGCTTTTAATCCCATCTGGAGAACTACACTAATGGATGTTATTTACAGATACCGGCGGTGTCCGGCCGAGTTACCTGGGCCCGCCTGAGAGTGTCCGAGTGTAATCCAGCGAGAATGGGCGCTTGCGAAGTGTATCAACTCCGAAGGTTGTGCTGTTTCCACGGCCTTTGCGGCTGTATTCGATGTATTTGTACGTCTGTCCAACTATTCAAAACCACAGGTGACTTCGTCCGGTGCAGACTCGAGCTCTCTACGAACCGTTTCTATCTCACTCTAGCGCCCACGTGGGGGAGGTTGGGACCCGAACAACATCTGGGGGACCGATGTGACGAACCACAGCACATTCCACATCGAGCGTGCTCGATCGTTTGTTGACAAAATCCTGGTTGCACGTGAGGCGGGGGACGCGACGCGTTTGTTTGTTTGTTCCCGGGGTCGAACACTATAAGAGCCCCCGCGCGTCGCTGTCCCATCCCCACTCAACACAACTTGAACTCGCGAATACCTCGAACTCCCAGCTTCACAGCCATGATCTTCCTCTACCCCATCGCACTCGTTGCTGCGCTGCTCTTCAGCGCGCTCACCGACGTCTCAATTTCTCTCCTCGCGCCAACGCTCGCTCGCTTCCATATTCCACTCCTTGGCGGCACACTGGCATCATACGGCTTCTCTTTTGCATCACTATCTCTAGGCGAACCTGTTTCTCTGGACAACAACTCGTATCACTATGGCTCCTGCGTCGACTCGGAGTGCTTCCCGCTCGCCTTCGCCGTCTCCTCTGCGCCCGCCATAGTCGACTACCTGCCGCCCACTCTTCTGCAGGCCTCCGAGTACACACCCGCGCCGTCTCTGCAAGCATCCTTCGCCAGCTGGTCTGGAACACTCTACCACAGCCCTACCATCGTCGCCGTCCTCGCCGCCATGTACTACATCTGTATGATCTGGGCCACCGTCTCTGTTCCTTTCTTCTCCTGCGTCGCCGACACCCTCGACCTGCAACAACCTAACTCGTCTTGGTCGCTTGATTCCCCCGCATCGCCCGTCAAGTCATTGTGTACCGTCCGCCATCCTTCGACGTGCGCTCCGCAACGCCTTTCGCTCGACGGAGCGACGCAGCTCTGGGATCTTGTACCTGTTTCTTTGACTGCTCCGCGGCGCGCTCAGGCGGTATCCCGGCCGGTCTTGCTCATCCTACCGCCTCCCCCGCCACTGTCGCTTCCGCCCAGTCCGACATTGCCGCCGCCAACACCACCACTACCGCCTCCAACACAACTACTACCGCCTCCAACACCACTACTACCGCCTCCAACACAACCACTACCATCTTCAACACCACCACTACCGCCAACACCGCCAACACTTCCTCCGCCACCATCGCCTCCTCCACCATCGCCACCGCCTCCTCTGTCACCACCTCCGTCACCGCCGTCGGAGCCTCTACCAGAGCCCGCGAAGAAGAAGAGGCACAGAGGGACCCGTGGGGGGAAACGTGAACAGCATCGCAAACTTGCTCGGGTGAGCACTCTCATCGCAAACCTGCCGTGACATCATTCTGACCTTAGCTCAGGCTGCCGCCGCCGCCGCCGCCGCCGCTGCTGCTGCTGCTGCTGAAGCCTCCCTCGCTCAAACCAAACAAGTCACCGACACCCCTCCAGACCCCACGTTCACCACCGACGGCAGGGGTCAAGTTATCATCGCACACCACCCCGACGCCGCCCCCGCCCACCCTCCGCCTCCCAAACGAGCACTACCACCGCCTCCACCACCACCACCACCACTTCCACCGCGCCAGACATATCTTTCGCCACCCCCTCCCGCTCCTCAGCCCCCTACGGCACCAACCGACACCATCATCGGGCGCCCGTATTCGCACTGCGACCCCGCGCTGCACACCTCTGCGGTTACAACCTTCCACAGCAGGAACGCGCCCACACAAACACTGGCGATCGTCACCGTCCGAGTCTTGCCGACGGGCAAGCTCAACCAACGTGCTAGGCGGGCACTGACGACTCAACAGACCCTCGATAGCTTTCTCACGACCTCAGCCTCGTCACCGCGACGACGCCCACCGCGAAAGCGACCGTACCGCAAGCGGCCATACTCTTCACACTTATCGTAGTCCTTTGTCATGTACTCATCGCTCTACTCGTCGTACTTACCGCTTTACTCGTCGTACTTATCGCTCTACTCGCCGTCTTCACCGCTCTACTCATCGTCTTTACCGCTCTACTCGTCATACTTGCTCTCTTCTTACTACTACCATTACCCCTTGATCTCCCGGTTACTACCTCAGGTATACCTTACTTATGGGCACACTGCTTCCTCAACTACCAATTGTATTATAACCACACATACTACCGTCTTCTTTCAATGCATACTCGTAAGCCTCCAAATCTACCTTTGCTATCCCGAGAACACACGATTCTTCGGAACTCCTTCCATTCAAGCTTCGGACGATGGTCGTAGCAGCGCCTGCTATAAGTGAGTATGGAGTGTACACCTCGGTACTATACCTACTTTATCAGGGTCTCTATGGGAGCTATAGCGCGCTCTTCTTCTCTTCTAATGGTCGCGGGATAGCGAGCGGCCTACTGTATATGTTGGTTAGCCGAAGATAAGCTTCTATCCGAAGGGTCCATATTCCTGGAGGAAGTATTCAGATGTAATGCTGTAGGCCGCGCCGTCAGTTTCATATCCGAGATGGCCAGGTCCCAACAGCACCGTCCGAGCGGCCTCAATGAGGAAAGCAATTGAAAGTGAAGGGCGTGGGAAAGCGTTGAGTAGCGTTGAATTGAGTTTGGTCAGACACGTGGAACAGACTCCGAAGAAGCCGGACGACCTTCTTCCCAACCGCCATCTCTCCACGCGGCGTCCGCCTCGCTCTCTGTCTCGCCTCCCACTCGCACTGGTTCGCGGCTTCCAACGACTCGCAGGGCTGCACGATGGCCGGAAAGACCCTAAGCAATGGCACGATGAGCCTGCGGTTCATGCAGAACGCGTCGCGCGCGAAGCTGCAGGCCCAGGTCGAGCTCGAGCAGGCGAAGATCAAGGACGACGCCGAGTGGTCTGTCTCGCAGGAGATACGGGACGCATGGGGACTCGGCCAGAGCGCGAGCGCGGGCTCGAGGTGCGTCGCGATCGCATACTGAATAGCATGCGCGATACCGAGAGTCCATTGATTTTCGGATGCAGTACCGATGTTGTGTACGAGGCGTCCTACGTGCCTTTCATATTCCAATCGGACGCGGGAGAAGCGTCCTCGAGCTCTCACCAGGAAGAGAGGCCGAAACTACGAGGCCGCCGAACATTCAATGCGCGCGGAGAAGAGGTCGTGCAAGAGGTAAGTGTTATGTCACGCACTCGCAACCGAACATCCCTTTTTCACACGACTTTCCTCAAAGGAGAAAATACAGCAGCAGCAGGACGAACAGGCAGCTGCTGATACCACAGAACAGAAGCCGTCATTTGGTTCAAGATTCGAGAAAAGGCCCACCTCAATATCGGGTTTCAAGGTGTCGATACCCAAAGACGGGAAGAAGACACGCACAAAAACGGCGCAGGAGCTCATCCGTGAGGACATCTCTGCACGGCCACCAGCATCCATGCAGCCACCACCCCCACCACGACCCGTGATAAAGTCGGAGGAAGGTTTCGTGAAGCCCGCAGGCGTAGACGAGCCCGTGCGCACAGCCCGCAAAGCGCCGCGCTCGGAGAGTCGCGTGAAGCGGGAACGGAGCCAGGACGGCGGCACTGATCGCCCGGGATTGGAAGGGAAGAAGCGGAAGAAGAAGAAAGACGCAGACGCGGGTGTATGAGCCAGTTCCGCCCTTGGGTCTTTCAATCCGGATCTGGTCGCGTTCGACGGCGACGCACGCCCTCGACGACCCTGCGTTGTGGCGTCGGCGGTGCGCGAACGCGGCCGTGTACTACCTGTTGTACGTGATACGGGCCACCATCTTTCCCTCGTCCACACTTTGGGAGCTTATATATCCCCCGTGCTAGCTACCGAGTGCTTCGCCGGGAGCATTACTCTTGCCCGGCAAACCCATGACTATCCAGACCATGCGTTGACAGCGATCGCAGGACTCGTCTGACTCTCTCGGCGAGGTACAGTCGCCGCGTGGTGCCCTGCATCTGTCAAGGCTCCTGGCGCTCCGTCCCAGCAATGGAAAGAATCCTGCGTCGGACAGCACTTGACACGCCGGAGCGTCGTGAACTATGACGGAATATCGACCGCCGCATATCACTCCTGCGGGCTCTTGACATCGCTTGACCCCGCAGCTCGCCACTAGCGGGCTATCTATAGGGCAGTCGCGGGGCCTTCGTCGCACAAGGTAAGCACGACCACGTACATATTCGACGCCCTGAAGCACATCAGGTTCTCCGCGTCGCCGCTTCGCCTTGGGCCGCATCCACCTATCGCCGCCCGGGTTGCCGGATGTCTTTCTGTGGCGCGTTTGCGCAGTGAGCACGGCACGCTCAGTGACAGGCAGGCTCGATATCGACGTCTCCGCGCGGTGTCAAGCGTGCTTCACTACTACTGCACGCGGGCTGTAGCATACGCCGTTTCGGAGCGGCGTCTTAGAAGATCAAAGTTCACGCCGTCTCGTGCACCGCCGTTGGCCTTGGTGACAGGCGTCCGTTGGGCGACTCCTCGGCTCCGTCGCAGCTGCGGGTGGACGCAAGAATGAACTCAATGGATGCCGAACCTGCCAGGACACCGTTGCCGGCGCAGCTGTGCATGCACACATCTGAACTTTGAGTTTATCTTCTATAAGCGATGTCAGTGGGCGTCGTTGACGATCGGTACGCCCATCGGCGATGAGGCTGCGTCACTGAGAGTGTCCGGAAATACTCTCCGTTATATTCGGCTCTGGCGAGTGATGTTCTACTGTGCTATTTGACGGAGGGCACGAATCGGGTGGTAATCGCGAATATTTTGACGTCATTTTTAGAAGTCGAGAAACACATGGCCGTGCCATAGTTCGCTGCGGTCTTCGTGCACGTCCCAGACGAGTATAAAGTGCATACCACAAGAGGCTCTGTATGGAACGTATCCCCGGGACCTAGAGTCTCCGGACGACTACGATCGAGCCAACCAACGCTCGCGCAGACGCTTACAAACAGGCGAGTCTATCCACCGCATCCTCTTCCACTGCCTCCGCTAAGTGCACCAACAGCAGGGGCTAGGCACACTCCCACAGGTATACGACATGCCTAGACCGCTAAGCCCTCCGCCTTCCTCTGGCTTCCAACCTTCCAACCTCACGACCAAATGCGAAGCGGCGACAGCCCGGAATAGCAAACCCCACCACGCGCCCCCCAACCGCCGCGCGCTGCGAGTGGCTCGGACACCGACCGCCCAGGGCCTGAATGCAGCCGACGCAGGCGCAGGGGGGAGGAAGTCGAAGACTCGAAGGAGCGGATCCGCCAGCCACCGTGCAGCTTCCCGGGTCACACGTCCCCCTCCGGTGTCGTAACGCACGTCGCACGCCTGGCGTGCTATCGCGTCGGCTCGCCTGCCGAGCGGGCCCCTGGGTTCCTTTCGCGAATGGGGCTTCCTGCGAGGATGCGCGCGGGCCATGAGGCACGCGTTCGAGGGCGCGTCTGGTGGGCGGCCATCGCGCTCCTGCAGAACGGCGCGTGAACGTGTGCATGCAGCGGGCTGCAGAGTGCGAAGGCGATCCACTGCAGGCTTCTGTACCCGCACGTTGGGCGCGGCGAGGCGCCCTGGGATATCTGCAGCTGTAGTTCTTCTACTTCTTGATATCCGTCAGCCAGTCAGAGCAGAAGTTGGTCAGCTCGGCGGCACAAATCCGCCCACCCCAAAGTCTTAAGCAGACGTCTTACAAAACCACGGTCCCCACACACCGACCTTCCGTCGCCGAGCGCGAACGTACCCCCAGCTGTGCGTCCCGAATCGGGCACGTTTCGAACCTTCGTGCAGAGCCTGCAGACTCCGGAGCGGGCGCCTCCGTGGCAGAAGCTTGCAGAAGTCGTATGTAGGTTTGCGTGCACTCGATGACAGAGCGCGCGCACGCCATAGGCTCCGCCTCCGTCCTATGATGATGCTGCACGGGATTCGGAAGAGGCACATCGAGGGCGTCCCTGGTCCCTGACTTCTGCAGCTAGGGGGTTAGTGGTTTGCCAAAGCGGCATCGACGGGGGGGCGAGGCTGAGCTTGAGCTTGAGTTTGTTCGGATGGCGATGCCTTCGGCGCCGCCGAGTACTCGTACTCCTGCATTGATCATGCCAGTGCCACACGCGCGTTCCAGTCTGCGCTAGCGCCAGCAGAACGTACTTCCCGATGTGGTCCACTTGGTTCGGCGTGGTGCACATGCAGTCGACCTTCGTACGTGTGCAGTCCGGGCATCGACGGCTGGAAGGTGAAGACCCCAAGGAGGTTTGCGATGGCGAGGGTTGCGGGCGCTGTGGAACACTGGAAGAGGCGGATGGCATCGTGGACGGTAACAAGCATTCCTTGTGAGCACACCGGGGCCTGTCGCGGAGCTGCCGCGCCTGACAGCCGCACCGGGGAGGGCAGAACAAAGATAGCGCGCGAGTCGGCAACGCGCGGACGCTCTTCGTAGTTCGCACTGTGCGTCCGCGGGACGGACCTTCGAGGTCTGTGCACACCAGTCGTGCGTCCATATGTGGCGACGCAATGTCGCGGCCTATCCGAGTCCGGGAGGCCCGTGCTATACTTGTCCCCGGCGTTCTGGGTACATTTTGTCCCTAATATTATCAAACCCAGGCTGAAGAAGGTTCTGTCAGCAAAAGGCATGCTGTTACCCCGCCGCCCAAACACAAACATAGAGAGAAGGTGTATGTGCTCACCAGGCGCCGCGAAAAAGGCGACGATCGTCCTCTTGCGCGGGCGACGCGCCCAGTCGACCGCGGGCAGATCGCTTCTCCCCTCCGGGCCTTCGGGCTCGTGATACTCGGCGGCGCCACGCCAGACGGTCACACCGCGGCGAGCCATATGGTCTTAGGCAGCGGCGTGCGAGCCCTCGATGGGCAGAGGACGCCTGGGGCGGCAGGCGGGCGACCACAGCGCGGAGCGTCAGCCTGACAGGGTGCTGCGAGGGCCACCGAAGACGGGCTCGTGGCGCGCGGAGGATCAGGTTCTCGGAGATGATCAGCGACACTACGCCTCTGGGGGCGGGCGCATGACATCAGCGCAGAGCGATAGTGCATACGCGCCAGAGCCAGAGTTCGTGTCTCCGGGTCGGAGCGTGGAACGAGGCTGGGTCCTCGGGACGCACCGGCGTGAAAGGTGGCGAGACGGTGGCGGCGACTCGCCGGGCGTGGTGGCACTGTTCGCAATTAATGCTCGCACTGTTGGGTAGGGCGAGGCCCAAACGCGCAGGCAGATTTGCTTCGTTTGTGTGTGCTTCGCTTCGCCAAGTTCGACTTCGGGAAGGAACCAGGGCTGCTCTGAACGTTGAACCTCGAGCATGCCGGGGATCCGGCGTGCATGACGAGGTCCAGTCGGACCCTGTAAGCAGCTAGATAGAGCAGTCGCCGTCGAGCTGTTTCTGCCATGGCTATGCCCGATGCCGCAAGACGGCGCCGCTCCCGTTCCAAGTGTAAGCGCCAGCTAGAACATAGATTAGTGGTATGTCTGACGCCGTCCGAGCCACTTCGCACCTGGGCCGTATCACCGCCTAAACAACGCCTAGACGTCCCAGTCTCGACTATCCCCGCGGATTCCGACTCGCATTCTGCGCTAGTCAGTATTAGTGACGCACAACAGCGGCAATCCACGTCCTGTCCAGACTCCAGACGCCCCAGTGCCAGCCCACTTCTCGCGCGCACTACCAACGCCCATATATCACAGAAGTGCAGCGCAAGCGAACCCGAGCCCTGCGATTTGCGACAGGGTTGCAATGTGGGTATGCGGCGAAGCACGAAGCACTCCTCGCCGCTGCCGCTCGCAGAAGAGAACACCAAGAAGCCTTACTGCGCCCCAGACGTCGACCCCCGCAGGCGAGACGGAGGCGCCTGGGCCAGGCGAGAAGGGACGTCGTCGCGTACCCTCGGGTGCGGAGACGGACGAGGATACCCCAGAAGCAATGGAGGGCCGAGCATCCGTAGGGCTCTTTGCGACGTCTACTTCGCGTCCCCAGCGGGACTCCCAGCCAATTCACAGTGCTTCGTGAACGCGAACCGCCGGGAGCGGCTCCTCAGGCCCCCCGCTTGCGTGCGCTCTAGCTCCCAGAAGCGTTACGTACCGCGCCCCATAATTATGGCCGAAGTTCCGAGGATAGGGGCTCGTCCAGAATGACCGAAACCATTTTGGGTTGGGAGAGGGAGCTGGAAGGGAGCTTTGATTGCCTGTGGGGACGTTCCGCGCGCTTGCGGTAATGGGCGCCTCGGGCGGCGATATTCTGAGAACCCACTGTCGGTGCGCCGGAACTTGGAGGCCTTTAGTGTCAGGCGTGGGACGGGGCGTGGGTGGGACGCCCTAGAATCCGAGATAGGAACGCCGTGTGGTAAGCAGATGCCGGAACGATGCAATGTCGCGAATGTGGCAAGTGGCCCTGAAAGCTAGAACCGCTGCTACCCGGTCGTGACATCAATCGTCTCTCTCTCGACATGACCACATTGCGGAGTGATGGCTTTGGCGCACCTATACTATAGCATGGGATAACAACAGCCGGCGAATTGACAAAGTAGTTACGCATGCCGGGGCTCGAGACGCGAATGCAATGTATCGAATGTGAGTGGCCCTGGAAGCTAGAACCGCTGCTGCCTGGTCGTGCGATCAATTGTCGAGAGAAAGACCTGACCACAGCTCGAGTGACGGCTTTAGCGCACCTATAGCATGGGACATTTCATTGAACAACCGGCGAATTGACAAAGGAGTTCACGAGCATTGCAGTAACCTATCGCGCGGTCGTGTGCAACACCTGAACATACGCAATCAGCAATCAGCACACAGAAATCCGGAAAACATACCATGTGCACCATCCGGAGCTCGCAGACATCGCGGGTGCAATCGCAGCCCTTACGACATAGCCTGCGAAGGCCACGGAGAGAAGTCGGAGTATGCCCGCGCCCCCCAGCCCCCGGTTCTAGGTACGAGCGCGACAACTGCGAACTGGCACTAGTACCCGTCGCCGACAATCTGGCGTTCATGACATAGCCTGGGACGCCCCTCTGCACAAATCAATATGAATATATGAATACGCGACGGCCCAGGGTAAATCGTCGCCACCCACCTCCATGCCCCACTCCGCATATTCCACTCCGCTCGATGCGACGCGACGCGGCGCCACCGGGGGAGGGTAAGCGCAGATGGCAGGTGCGCCATAGCGCGAACCTACCGTGCAGGCGGCGGCGGAACGATGTACGTACGGCGCCACGTCTCGGGCAGCGCGGGCACGCCCCGCCGGACGCCTGTGCCGCACGCAGTAGTACGTGACACGGATGGGGGCCTGCAGTACTGCATGCAGCTGGTGTAGATAGAGAGCTGGGCGATGTCAGGCTGGCAATGGGGTGCTCCCCAGCGCGCAGGACCCGCGGCGCGTATCATATACACATACAATATCAGACGAACGTTCCGCAGGGCTGGGTGCGCGTCACTTGCCAGGAGGGCCATGTCATCGGCGAATGTGTATGTCATCGTGCCTTCTTCTTCCGTCGCTCTGGAGGCGCAAAACGCGAAGGTTTGGTGCGTGGTGTCACAGCCGCCTGCGGGGCGGCCTAGCCGCATATGTCGTGGGCTCGAAGCCTGGGCCAAGATGTGACGGTCGCGACGGCGTACCTGCCGGATCTGTGCGCACCCTGCGTGGATGACATACCACGGCCGGTAGTGGAACAGGAACCGGGATCTGACGTACGTCGACCGTTGACAGGAGATGTCAAAAGGCGCGCTGTTGATCACCGGGCTGGCACCCCGCGCACATATGACAGGTGGCAACCGAATCCAGCCGTTCTGAGTCCTCTGCGTACGATCCCACCCGGAGTACTTGTTAATGAAGCCTCGGAGGCCTGTTCGGAAGAGGATAGGTCAGAAGCCGTCATTGCGAGCCAAGGCGCGGTGTGGCCGCAGCACGGGGCTGCTGCACATGTCGGCGTGCGCCCCAGATCGGAAGCACGGCGGCCCTTGGCGGGAGCATGGCAGACGTACAACCTCCGCGAAGCTCATCCACGTCCGGAGTCGGCGCGACAGGCGCGCATGCCATCCTATCGCGCGCGCGGGTACGCGGCTGCGATCTCTGGCAGTGACAATGCTGCAAATTGAATCAGGGGCGGGTGATGTCGACGCAGAAGCACGTACGACATGTGCCTACCTCCGACGCCCCGGTAGTGTGTAGTATATGTCCTAGTGCGTGCGATTCGCATGCTGCCGCCGGGTGCGCAGACCCTCACGAGCGTCCGGCGCACCCCTGGTCGTCAATCAAACGCACCGTTGCAGATAAAGACGGGGCGGCGACAGGGCGCGGGCTAGGCACCTGCCGGGTCTAACCACTCCAAGGTTGTTGGGCACACCTCGCCCATGTACTAGGTATTTGCAACCCTGCTGGGGATCTTCAGCCACTGCGCCGGGTCTGCGGTGGCGTCCCGCGCAAGGTTCGCAAGTAGAGGCTTCTCGCGAACAAGATCGGAGTGTGGGGGATTGGTCGACGCGCCGAAAGCGGTGCCCCCGATATGGCGGTGGCGTCCGGAAATTTCTGCATGGACGTTCGTGAGCGAGCCATGTCCGCCCGGAGCCTGCGACGCACGTCAGCATTACCTTTGCGTGTGTCGTGCCATAGCGGCCGCTCGAGCGGAGATGACTGGTAGCCATATGTGCATCGATCGTCCGGGTCGATTCGCCTCCGTCATGCATTATCGATCACCTTCAGGCTTTGTGATCGAACCCAGTTGCGAGCGGCGGCGCCTGCTGAGGGGAACATACCCCGGGTAGAAGAAAGAAGACGCCGGGGCTCAGCATCCCGGGCTGCCCGTGCATTATACGATCGAGAGACTCCCGGAAACTCTCTCGACCCCGCATCGGAATCGCGCGATCACGCCAGGTCCTGCCGCACGCCGCAGTGACGTCTGTCACCTCCCGTAGTGGCTGACTGGAACCGTCCGGGGATGGCAAACGTCGGCGGCGGCGGGTGGCAGATGCCACTGACATCTCGACAGGCGACACCTTCGGTGTCCGCCGCGACACTGGCACCGTGTCGCGTCCGTGGACGTCCACGTCCCACTCTCCGACGTGCACCGTCCAACCTTCCAACTGCATCAGCTGCAAAAGGAGACTATCCCGTACGCATGACATCACCGCGAGTGCAAACTGACAGACAGGCCACATCGTGGGAGCGCGTCGCACGCACCGGTCGTCCCTCGCACATCCGCCTGCCCGTTCGGGCCCCCCGGTGGCTAGCGGGCAGCCCCCGGCAAATAAACCTCCGTGCTCGGCGGCGAATAATTGCCCTATTCAGCTCCGGGGAGGCGAACAACGCTGGGGGCAGCGCGACTTCTATACCTTGATCGCCGCGGGGTTCCCCGCACGGGCTATATGACACGTACGCGTCCTCCTCGAGAGCTTCGGCGGCTTCGAACGCTGTTCTACGCGCTGCACTGTCCAAATACGTGAGTCGTGAGTGCTGGCATGGCGATGCGAAGGCGAGAAGTGTGACCGACGTTTCGCGATCGAGAGCGGCGCGATCGCGCGTCTCTGGTCCTCGCATGCGATTTGTGGCTTGTGGCCGAACTCGCGCCAGTCTTCTACGGCCGTCTTCTGTGGCCTCTGTATTTCCGTATGTGCCAGCGCGTGACAGCCGCGTGCACGACATGTTCCTGGGAAGGCGAAATAGCCAATGTGCGCCGTTTTGGTGCTTCCTGCCTGCCACCCGGCAGCAGAAGGAAAGAAAGCTAGAGTCAAATGCACAAGCGAAGCGTGCGCGGACTGCAGCCGCGAGCGTGTACTACAGTGCTCCCGCCATCTGCATGTTCTTCTGCAGAATGATCAACTGCCAGACAGTTTTAGTAGGGCCAGAGATATTTTCGGCGAGTGCTAGAAGACGCACCTGCAGCTCGCCACCGCGCGGCTCCGAACACGCGAGTACCTGCAAGGCCCGGCGGCTCACTGACGCGAACATCTGCATCAATGGTCGGCGGAAAGGGCGCATATCGCAGCTCTCGGGCTGGCAGCGCGGAGACCATGGACGTCGCAAGCGTGCGCCGCAATACGCATCACGGCTGTGCATGTCCTTCGTGTCCGTGTCGATGTGACGCGCGCGGGAGCCTGCACGTTTCGCGGCGCCAGCGACTAGGGAACTGGCGTGGGCGGGCATCGTGCATCGTGGGCCGTCGCTCATTATGAAGAACAGTGCTCTCGCGAGCAATAGAGCGCGAGTGAATGGTGCAAGGAGAGGAAGCCGATCGACGAGAGAGCCAGCAGACCGACACTCCAGTGGGGAGAGGACAGTGGGCGCTCCGGCAGATCCGTTTGTCCGCGAAGCGTGAGCGGAAGCGCCGGGACCCTGACACTGACGCCCTGCCAGATGCTTCGCCCGCGCGTGTTGAAAATATCGACGACCACACTGGCAGGCGCAATGTATATTTGCGTGGTGGGAGGAGATTTGACACATCTTGTCAAATCCGCACCTGGGCTACCAGTCGATTCGCGACAGCTGCTATTCGAGGCTGCCCGCGCAGTGTCGACCGTCGCATGGGCGCGCCTGGGGCGCAGTTAGCGCGGCAATACGGCTACTTGGTGCATGGGCCCCAGGCGCGTGCGTGCCGGCATAGCTCGTGCTCTGGACTGTAGGACTGTGCACATCGGAAAATAAACGGCGCGTGCACTGCGAACACAGTAGTATGCGACATACCCTCCTTTAGACCTGCATGCGCATCCGAGTCCTCGCACGCAGACTCGCACAGTGTGCTATTGCTAGCAGAGCGCCGTGCTGTCAGCGCCGGCAACTCGACGACGGCCCGGTCCGACAGGTGATGGCATCGATATCCTGGATCCAGGGCGTCGCGTCGCGAGGGGCTGCTTCCGTGCAGCGCGTGCGTCGCCTCGCCGTGCCTTCATTTTGTCGCGTAGCGACGTCGAAGGCGGACTGACGCGGACGTCGCATGACGGCTGTCAGGGATCTGTGCGCAGATTGCGCCTGGGGGCCCTGGGTGCGCAGCTGAGTATCGTTCGGCATGACATAACGCGCTCTCTGCACAGAGCAGGGATCGGGGCGGCGCGGGATACGCTGTGAGACTTTCAGGCAAGAATAACAAGATCAAAGCAAGATGGCAAATGGTATATGAAGCGAACTCACATTGTATTTGTGGCGTCAGGCGTGGCTCTGACGGTTATAACTAGCGACACACGTCGATCTCGGCCTGTCAACATATGTACGGTCACTGATTGTGGAACACGACGCTACTCAAATCATGCTGACCTGGATGACAAGCTGTTAATTGGATCTATTTCATAATTAAGGGCTGTAAGGACTAACCTTGCAATGATGATGATTTCTAGACCCGAGCACACGCTACCAGCCATGTTCTGTGACAAACGCTGGCGGCTCGCAGAATAAGACAGAGATAATCGTCGTATAACTTAACCCATCCGGGAAAGTTGATACACGCCACCAAGGGTGGTATAGTCGCCCTACTGCCAGTACACCTAACAGCCAAGACCAAGTCAGCACGGCGAGCCATAACAAAACCTGGCCGAGACCAGCCGAGACGCAGGGACGCTGAACAGTACACACGTACCTCGAGTTCCGCATGCTCCCCGACAGGGCCAATACCACTCTTGACCGTTGACGTTCGCACTTTTCACCGTCGCTGCATGTGGTACGGAGCCACCATCCTAGAAAGTGACGCAACCACATCGAGCCGAACTGATATTATACGAGCTGGTGCAATCTAGCGTCAGCCGAGAACAGCGCATACACAAAAATCAACTCCGACTCACAGTCTCGGATCTACACGACACGCTTGTCAGAACCTGCCACTGTCGCCGTCAGCATCCAGACGCTAGACGCGAGGCTGCCACAATGCGCAGTCCCGCCTGCGTCCCGGCGCCAGGTCTTCCTATCCGAGTCCCGCGATGAGCGCATGCTTTGCTACTCCCCGGGTGCGTCGCATTCGCACTCGCACAGCAGTGGCGGCAACGCGCTCACAGTCGCGACGAAGAACTGCGGCAGGGGGCACAGTCGCTGTCGAGGTGTGCAGGAGCACTGTACGCACGGGCGCCCGACCGGTGTATTTGTAGGTCCAGCGCGCCTCCAGCCCACCCGCGCGTCAAGATCCAGGACCTGGATATCCGGATTGGAAGCAGATATTGCGCGGAAGGCGCCTGCGGCCGCGGACCGCCCGCGCGCAGCGGTGCGGCAGTGCCTGTGCGCCATTGAAATATTGATGGGCAGACGCCGGCTGTCCACGTCAATGTACGTCCCCGAACTTGCGAAGCGCGATCGAGGATATCCGAGGGCCCCTAGATGGGCGGGATGTTGGATAGAACTGCGTGGGCGGAGCGAGGGGGGCTGTACGTGTGGTACCTGGAGGTACGTACGGATGTCGGCCGCGGGATATCTGGAGAAGGCAGGAAGGAGGCTTTGAGGCTTCGACTCAGGGCCCGCGAGTTGCTGGATCCTGCCATGCCAGGGAAGGGATGGATGGAGCCGCCGGGTGAGCAATTCTTGATCTGTACCTGGACATACATACAGCGGAGCTCGTGCTCACGATGGCGGAAGCTTGCATGCTAGGAGACTCGTATTTAGGGCGCTTGACGCCCAGCCGTGCGATAATCCGGATATCGGGGCACGTATACAAGTACGGGGAGGCGGATGGTCCGGACCACGATCGAATGGAAGATGATGCCCAGCACGTCCCGCGGCATACGTATACGGCATTCGCGCGTACGTGCTGCCGTCGTACGTCCGCATGCATATAAAGGAGCCCAAAACCAGAAGAGATGTACCACCTTGACGCTTCAAAAGGCCATAGACATGCACGCACGCCGTACAGCCTGCGGCGCGTGAGATCCTTTGCCCAACCTGGACAGACAACGTACGGCATACCGTGCACCTGTACCGCACCGCACAACAGGGCCTCGCGCCCAGGCCGCGACACTGCACGGTCGGCGCATGATCCGCGCTGCAGCGGAGTGCACCCTCCGAAATCAATCAGCGCACCTCAAACTGATCCGCACGGGGGCATGCCTCCTCGCTTTCGCTCCGGTGCCCGCCGCGGCATTACGCCGATCCAGGACATATTGCCGCACGCCCGGGGGGGCGAGATGGATCTGGGAGCGGGCTGTGATATAGCAAATGCGGCATAAGATGTACGGTGGCACTCACCGAACCCGTACATAACAATAAGTGCTTGCTCGCACGGACAGACAGACGCGGGCGTGCACATCCTCCCTGCATCTGATGACTCCGATGGTGACCTCGCCGCAAGCACAACAGGGTCTTCGGTCCATGCACAGGCTCGCATCAGCCGGGATCGTCCCCCCAAAGTCCACCCTGAGGCCTGAGTATCCACGACTCGCACGCCAGAGCACGTCCGAGTCCGATGGCGGACGGACGATGCTTCCCGATTGGCGTTCGGTGCACCCGATGCAGCCGATCCCAGGACGCGACGCACCGGGGCGACCGCCGCAAATGGCGATGTTTCCCCGAGGAAGTTCGCCCGCGACGACAACACAACCTTCGACTCGCCGACGCGCGACGGCTGCGAGCGGGCTGTACATACATACTTATGTATTCCACCTCGATTTGCGTCCTGGGGTGGATACGATCGATCGATGGTAACACCAAGACACCAAGCAGTCCCGAAGACAGAGCGGCGCGTGCACAAAGACGTCCCGCGAACGTCCGCCGCGTGCGCCGGCGGCCAAGCAGTGCGTGCATCGAGCCCAGGAAGCAACCCCCGCCGACACGATCCAGCAACTCCGTCGCCCAGGCAGCGCCTCCGCATCGATCGGGACGGAATGCCTGCCTGCGTACGTGCATGCATGCGTGCGAGCAGAATCCGGCGGCTCCGCTCGGTCGCTCGCAGCACAGAAACAGAACCCCTACGTGCGCAGCGGCGGGGACTCGGGCGCGACTTCGGAGAGCTTCGAAGACGCGGCCGACTCGGACGTCCTAGGAATACATGCATGTACCACGCGACGAATTCTCCGCGAGCGACGTCCCTACCCTTCCTGCTCCTTCTCTCACGACTGAGCGCCCGGCTGGCCGGGCCCCTGCGCCGGGATGTGCACTCGACTGCATGTGGCCCGCGCCGCTGGAGACAGTCAGCAGAGCGCACCTGGGTGGCGTTGTTTGCCCATCTCGGAGGGCGCCTGGTGGAAGATGGACGCGGCCTGCCTAATCCGGGGACGGGATGGATGGATGGTCGTGCACGACCAACAAGTTCCTTCTTGATTTCAGGGCCGCGCGGGCGAATCTGGCGGCCCTGCGGCGCCCTGCCCTGCGCGCGTGCGTGCGTCGTGACAGCGCAGCCATGCAGAAACGGGGATGTGTTTCGATGCGACGCGCACGAACGAGTGGGTCGCTGCCGGAAGAGGCAAGGCGCCGGACGACGCCGAGCCGCCGACCTGAGCGGCTCTGCGAGCTTGAGAGGAACTGTCAGACAGGCCTCGGGCGCACACAGAGATCACAGATGGACACAGCGGGGCGCGTGCATCGTCAATGTCTCGTACCGCATCCTAGGTGCGAATATATTGTAGTCCCATCAACGTTTGCGTGCGCGGGCGTCGAGGCACGAAAAGGACGGCGTCGTGCTGCCGGAGGTTCCGTTGTGGCCTTGATGAGGGGAGAACAGCAGGACCCTTGCTGCATCGGGCTCCGGGATCGGTGCGACCGAAGGCCGTCCGCGTGCTGTCCGCTTCTCGATACATATTGCAAAGTTTTGCCCAGGAGCGTGGCGCGCGTCTGCCCTCATCGCACAAATGATGACGGTAACGCGGACAGGGCGGTTGCAACTTGCAGCCCAAGCTCAAGTGCGGATGTCAGTCCCGGGCGTGCGGGAGGCCCGTCAACGCGCCAATGAGCGCATGCGCGAGCGGCCGGAGTTGTGCGCGCGGAGGACAAAGTGCTCTGTATCGTGATCGGAGCTGGCGGCGAGGAACATCATACGTACTAGCGTGAGTCAATCTCCGAATTCAGGGAGGAGCTAGTTGCTAGCCTGACGTGTCCCGGTAGCCTGTAGGCGAGCAGGGCGGGCCGTGGACATGGCGAGCCTCGAGGCGGCCGGCAAGAGGAGCAGAAACACGGGCGTGCGTGGACAGAAGCTCACGCGCCGTCGCGAACGCGCGAAGGGAGCAGCAGCCCTGGCAAATCCCACCGGGCTGACAGCGGGTACGAATACGCGTCGCGGTGATGTAACGCCCCCAGGGCCGACGAGACACATGAGCCGGAGATGCGCGTCCGACCCGGGCTGCCAGTGCACAGGTGAAGGGTCGGCGTGTCAGGGTGAACTGTCGGGTGTGCGTGTTCCGTTGGTGCGGGCGAGACAGATGGCTGCGGCAGCCTGTGGAAATGAAGAAGCCTCGGGGCTGGTGATGCGCTCGCGGGGGCGGGGTGGGAGCGCCGCGAGCCAGTGTGACCGGGCAGGAAGGACGTGATGTCGCGAGGATGCCGCATCGGGCTGTTTGTGGGCTCACGCGCACGGCGCCGTGACTCGCGACGCGTTGAAGCAGGGTGGCAGCTGCTGTGCGCGCGCTCCGTGTCCGCGTCGAGTCTGCACGCTGTGAACCGGCGTGCAGGCGCGCGATCCGGAGCGAGGCGAGATGGACTAGCGGACGTGACGTGTGGTGGTTGTGCAGCGCAGACGGAGAAGGCGGACTAATGGGCATGACGCGGAGCCGCGGGGGCGGTTGTGGCAGGGGCGGTCGGAAGAAGCGGGCGGGGACAGGACGGCTGGCAGCTGGCACTGGACCGGAGAGCGGTCGGAGGTGCAGACTGCTCGATCTGGGCGTCTGGTGCGCATACGGGGCTTGGGCGGGGCGAGAAGGAGGAGGAGGGCGATGATGGAGCGAAGATACGGACACGTACATAACGTTATCTGGCATCTCCAGTGCGGCCCGGAGTGGCGGGCGAACGGGCGCGGGCAGTCGTCTCGACGCTTCCCTTCGAATCCGCCGCTTCGCCTTCGACTCGGCTACGGCAAGGGGCGACGGAAGAAGCAGCGCGAGTGAATGCGCCCCGATCGGGCAGGTGCGCCGCGGGGATGCGGACGCGGTTACGTTGGCGCCCGGAATTCACACCCCCCGCGAGATCTCCCAGCAGATGATAGATGCCGGGCCCTGGGCTCCTGCGCGAACGCGACAGTCGACAAGAACCGTCACCGCCAGAATTCTGTCACTCCTCCCTGCCCAGAGTTTGTTGCGCGCACCGCCCCGTCCATAACAACCCCGCGTCTCCTCTGCTATTTCCTCCTCCCAGCCTTTTCGGGTCGCCTTCCATCCCTCCGAACGCTATATAACCCCGTCACCCGTCCCCTCCTCCCCCTTCCCACTCCCCATCCGCCGCCCGCGCGTTTCCCCGGCCGTTCCCACTCCGCGCCGCGTTCACACCCTCGTCCCCTGGCGCCCTCCATGTCCGTCACCACAACCACCTACCGCCTCCACCCGGTCTCCGCCATGGCGCGCTCCGACTCGCCCACCACCTCCTCCTCCACCACCTCCGACCGCAGCCCGCCCCCGCTCAGCGCCCACCACAGCCACCGCGACGGCAAGTCCTTCTTACCCCCAGCCACCGCCAGCTTCTCGCCCATCCCCACCTCCGCGCGCCCCCGCCGCCCGCTCTCCCCGTCCTCCCTCCGAGGTCAGTTCACTTTCACGTGATATCTCCCCCGCGTCCCCCTCCCACTAACACACTCCTGCACACAGACGTCGACCCCCCGCTCGACCCCGAGCGCGCCTTCGCCGCGCGCGGCAAGTTCCCCGCGCCGCCGACCGGGCACGAGCTCATGGCGCTCTTCCCGCCCGCGCCCCCGCCCATGCGCCCCGGCCCGACCAGCGGCTACTTCCAGCACGAGGAGCGCAAGTTCTTCGCGCAGGCCGGCAAGGAGATCGTGCGCGTGCGCATCGAAATCGACACCCCTTCCGCCGCCGCCGCCACAGCGCGCCCGGGCACGATGTCGCCCCCCGGCGCCCCGCATGCACACCGGCACCCGCATGCCCACCCGCACGCCCACCCACACGCGCACCGGCACGACCGCCAGCCGTCGGGCCCGTCCCCGTCGCTCCCGCCCCCGCCCTCGGGGCCGTCTCCCACGCACTCGCACTCGACGTCCCCGCGCACGCACCTGCCCCCAGCCCCGGTCTTCCCGCCCCCGCCCCAGCAAGGTCCCCCGACTCTAGGTGGACCCGGGGCCCCCGCGCACCCGGGGTACCCCATCCACACGCCCCCACTGGTCTCTGGGCGCCCCCCGGAGCCGGAGCGCAGGGGCGTCGGGGGTGGGGCTGGGGAGGCGATGGTGGTCGAGGACGACGATGACGCGTGGCGGCATCCGACGCCGCATAACGCACGAAGACGCGCAGGCAAGCACACCCGCCGGGTGATCGTCAAATGAGCCCAGCGAGCCAACGCGCTCGGATTAATTGCCTATGGAAGAAGATGAAGAAACTGTACAGCCGGCGGCGCCCTATGCGCAGACAGCGCGGCGCGGACTCGGGCTTGGTGTTGTGTATACAGCAAAACCTGTCTCCCGACGACGCGCGGGAGTCTGTTCGCGCCCTCTTCCCCTCTCCCCACCAACCCCCTTCCCCCGCTATGACCCCTCCATCCCCACCTCCTCCCCTGGACGGCGCCTGCCCGCCCTTCCAGCAGCATCCGCCCATAAGCCACAGCGAAGCCGAAGCCCGGCGCTCGCAGCGACGCGCCGGGCTCCCTCGCACGTCACGACGATCATGATTTCACGAGCCCGGATTCAGGGCGGGGCTTCTTGGAGAAGCGCAGGGACCGCGCGGGGCCCTGAAACTCGAAGGAAGGGAGGGCCGGATGTGTGTCAGACTGCAGACTGTTGCTGAGTTCTACTAGATGCGCTGTAGCATATGCTCTTGTCAATGAATGTACGTACGTATGCTGTCCCCGAACTGCTTTCGATCGCGAGCTGTATCTGTGCGTGAATATACCATACCTGCTGTGAATGGCGATGCCTCAAACTGCTCTGCTTTATCTGCGACTGCTGGGGCCAGGAATAAGTTATTGCCATGTGAGGACATCGAGCCGCTCGCTGTCCATTAATCACGCGCTCCGCAAACGACAGAAGACAGAAGACAGAAGACACACTCCCGGCGTCGGACGTACGTATGTATGTCTGACACGAAGAACGGACGGTTTCGGAAGCACCGCATATGCTACACAGCGCACACCATTCCGGACGATCTGCGCGGTACTCCGGCTCGTACAGCTGCCAAGGGCAGCCCAAATGCAGCAGATGGGGTCTCCGCGCTGCCCGACGCTGCCTTTTGCGTCCCTACGGAACATTGATCATCGGCCCTCCACATATCCAGGGCTCCCTCTTCCTCTCGCATAAACTGACCCGTCATACGCTCGTCATCGCCTCCCAGCCACCCGCCATACGTGCTCAATCCCGACGCTAGCACAGCCGAACGCAGACGGGCACAACCCACCCACCCCGAGGCCCGTGCACGAAAGGCTGAAGGCTAAGGCCTAACGCGTAACGGCGCGCAGATCCCCCCGCCGACCGAGGCCACACCCGCGGCAGACGCCCCATTCAGCCATTCAGCCCGCGGCCGGCGTCGACGCGGAGGGCCCGCGAGGGAGCGCGCGTGCGAGCCTTCGCGGCGAAGCGCGCTCAGCTGCCCGTGCGCGTGGCCCCCCAGCTGAATTGCGCGGCTAGCGATCGCGATCGACGGGAACCCGGACGACGGCTTCTGCAGCATGTCGGGTGAGTGCGTGCATGACGACGTCGTCATTGAAGCTAGCGGCTGCTGCAGGGCGGGTCCCGCGCACTGGTGGAGCGCGTTTATTGAATCGAGGGGAAGCTGGGGTCCGTGTCCGGTGCGCACACGCACTGTGCTAGGCTAATACGTATTCCGGGACAGGTCCCGAGGGGGTGTGGACGAGAGAGCGATTCCGAGTGTGGCTAGTCTTGAGGCCGGCAGGTGCCGTGAGCGGAACGGGAGGGCTTCGGAGGACTGAGCGGCCTTCAGGCCTCATGTTGCAGGGTATGCGGGAATCGGGATCATGGTGTGGTGGGATTTTCGTATGTTCGTGCCGGAGCCCTGCTTGCCAGCCGCATTATGTTCGCATCTCCTCGGACAAACGTGGAGTGCTTGGGAATAACGGGCCTGCTAGAGAGTACAGGGTGGGCGGCTCCGTCGAGGAAGTAAACGTTGTGAGGGTCCTGTCGTGACCAACGGCCCTGACAAAAAAGAAAGTTTGGTTAGCATGAAACCCATCCTGAACAATCTGTCTGTCACCGTGCACTTGCAGGGTTCCGCCTGATACATGAGCGAAGATCTGTTGTAAACACGTCTTAGGGTAGATTACACACATCATGCGTCAGGTAAGCACTTGCCAGCGTCGACCTCGAGTTGCCTGTCACGAACACCGCGTCCAAATAATTCGGCGCCAGGGTCGGGACGTCGGACGTATCGATGCGACGTCGTCTACCTTCCGTGTGGCCAGCGACAGGACGATCTCCTCGAAATAGCTCGCCGCCACGGTCGGGTCGCCCGGCGGCGATCCCGCTGGTTCGTACCTTGTCCTAGCCCGTCCACCACGCGCTGCCCTTCGTAATCCTCCACCCTACCCGCCGCAGTGGTCTCAACGCAACCACCCTCCGTGCGTCGTCGCCCATCTTTCTCCCTTCCAGACCACCCACAGTTCAAAGTCCGACTCTCGACGGGCCCGGGAGGTAGCACGGCCGTCGGCTCTCGCCCGCGCGGCCCAGTTCCTATCGTCCCCTGCGCAGCGTGTTCTGATCTTCTCCGCTAGGAGCAGCAGCACTAGTGCGGGGGCCGCCACGACCCGAGCGGATGGAGCCTTTGCGCGCGCGCCTGCCCGCCGCCCCACCGCAATGCAGCGAATGCGAAATCGCGATGACACGGCCGCGGAGTGCGACGAGTCGACGAGAAAGGTCCGGTCGCGCTACCAGCCCTGGACGGCCCGATCGCGCGCTCCTATGGGCTATGGTGGGCGCGCGGGGAAACCTGCACACGCCGCGCTGAGCAACTCGATCGCGCGAACCATGGACAATGCCGCGCGATCGCGCGGAGTGCATTATTGTGAATTGATGTGCATGGCGTCGCCAGTACGGAGGGCGGGGCGGATTTATCGCGAAGCGGACGCTCTCCACATTGATTTGAATTGGAACAGGCGGTTCGGAAACCGTGCGCGCGGGTGTTGGACGGGAAAAGGCTCGGACTAATTTCAGCCTGCCGCCGCCACCGTTATAGGCAGCGCGGCTACCAAGAGCGCGTCGGTGCCCGGCATACGTGGGTGCGTGTGCGAGGCGTGGCTCACCGGGTGGTGTTGCACTGGTACGCGAACCGGATAGGGTTCGCGAGGCACAGGACTTGGAGCGGTTCCGACGCGCCGCTCGAGCTTGCTCGACAGGTGCATATGTTATTAGTGTGCGAAGAGAGCCCGGCCGAAGTTTGGGGAAGGTGGCCTGGGAGTTTGGCCGGCAGCATGAGTGAACGAGAACCACGCCATGTCGGGTGTCTCCGTGCGTCGGGGTGCCTGTTGCCTGCATGTCCGCATCACGAACCTGTTGAGATTCAGAACTTGAAGATATCAGAAGAATATATATGTGATGGCCCGACATATGAACGGGTGGTCGACCGGTTGATCGCGCGGCGTGTACGCCTCCGGAGTGAGCCCAATCTTCTGCCACAATCACGCGTACTGCGCGTGTATGCAAATCCCTCCGCGAGCCTGCGATCGATGGTCACCAGTGCACGGAAACGGAAGGCGCCTTGACGCCTCGGGCCGGACGACGAGAAATGGCTCTTCTCCCTCCGGAGGGACGACTGCCTACCTCAGCTTCTCTAACGACGTCATCCCGTCATTCACGAACCCACGAGGCAGACACCGACCTTCTGGGAGGCCGACGAAGGTAAATGAAGCCGCGAGGGGGTAGCGCCGCTCGTATTCACGAAGTGCTCGACGCCGGGCACGCCGGTCTTCCGGAAGCAAGAACACGCCCTCCCCCAAATGGGCACACTACCGGCCCAAGGGGCTTTGTTTGACGGTGGTATAATTTGAAAACCTAGGGTACCTGAAGTAACCCGGATTCCAAATGATACTTGTATTTAGACACCCTTACTCCGAAGGTGGAAACCCCGGGTACCCAAATCAACCCGTTTTCCAAATGATACTCGTGGAACCCCCTGCCCGAAGGTGTCAAACGCGGCCAGGCAACAGGTGCTCCGGCCGCGCGGACCCCTTCGCGTGAGTCCGCCGCACTCGCGTACATAACATGCCTGATTCATCATCGCGGGACTCCAGAGAAGCCAGACTCGTTGCAACGATGCCTCTGCTACAGCCAAGACACGGCCCGAGACACAGCTTTACACACCTGACGGTCTGCATCCGATGTTGGACGAGAACTACACCTTTTTCTCCCCAGGCGCAAAGAAGTTGGCCTCCAAGCTGGTGGTGCCGCAGCCATAGCTAGGTGGCGGTCCTTGTGACTGTCGTAGCCGGTATACCTGAGGTGTGCCGGAAGTACTTAGAGTATTATTTGCGTGAGTACCTCCTCAAGAACGGTAGACGTGGGCAGCTTGGCCGTTTTGTGTCGACTGTAACGTACTGCCCGAGAAGGATGTCGATGAGAGCGCGCGATGAATGCGGGAAGTAAGATGCAATCCTTGTAGGGTTTCCGTCGACGCCGACTTTTGCATATGGTCCGTGCGGCATGACTGAGATGTGATACGATCGCTGAGGCGGGCTTGACAGGGTGGGCCCGACAGGGTAATAGATACCAGCCATGCAACGTGACGAGCAAGGAAGGAAGTCAGTGTGAAGTTGATGTGGCGTTCGATGGACGTGACGAGTAATCGTGAAAGAGCCCACCGAGAGGCCGGTAGAGCGGGCGAGGGTTTCACCGGATCCCTGTTTCTGCGAATTTAGGATCATCTTTGGTTCCTCGAAGCACGCGCCGCGCCTGCGCGTGCAAAATTAGTAGAATGACACTGACATACCTGAACGACAGCCGAAATTCGGAAGCGGAGCGGCTGCGGATGCCGTGGCAGCCGTTCAAATGGGCGGCGTTGGAAGTCTGAAGCTGGAAGTCGTCCTGACAGTTCGGGACAAGGGCGCGCCATTACGCCATAGGCCGAGCCTGCGTGCGGCGTGGACGTCAGTGCGGATCTTGCAAAGAAGAACGCAAAGCCGGGCTATACATACCGATCGAGGGAGGCTTCCCGCGAGCCTCGTTCATGTACGGTGTCCGCCGCCTTCGCACTTCGGCGGCGCTCTCGATCATGACGGCGACCGGAGCCGAAGAGGCGGTGGGAGCCATTGCAGGAGCTGGTTTTGACCCTGGGACGGGGGAGTTGCCCTTGAGCTTGAATTATTGCGTGCGTGCGAATAGGCTCCAGATAGACGTCAGGTACAGCGGGCTAGAAAGGATCTGGAGTGCGATAGACCTAGTCGGTGCGAGGGAAGATATAGCCAGGTTTGAACGAGGCTGACCCAGACGAGTGCGGCGTACAGTACCAGTATAGGACTAGTGTGGCACCTTGAGCGTTGGTTGACTAGCCGTTGTGATCGCAACCGGGAAGAACCAGCGCGCCGTTCTACGTCCAAACGGAGCGAGTAACAACACCTGTAGGCAGCTAGCCCATTCATAGGAAGTCCGGTTAGAAGCAGGTGGCGCGAACAGTGTACGCCGCGCCAGCCACACCGGACGTATAATTGCCGTCCCGATCCTAATGCCATGAACCCGCTAACGATCTGACAGGTGGCCGAGTCGTCCGCGGAGGACAGCAGAGACCTAAGGCCGGCCTTTCTGCATCAGTCGATACGCCGCCGGGCCACTAATCGCGAAAGGACATACCTATCTACTAGAATGTGCGCCACCAGGAAAACCGATCGTGTTACGAGGCTGGCGGGCCGATCATGCGAGGAGGCTGGACTATCAAACAGGTCGAGCTTTCCCCAGCCAGCGCCGCCGCCACCATCGTGCACGCGTGCACGAGCGCACATAGTCGCGCTTATGCCCGTAAACTCCGCGGCCGCATCGTATGCCTACAACGAAGAGGTTGAGTTGACGAGAAGGCAACTAGACGGCGAGGCGCATTGTGGACCCACTAGATATGCAGGCCCAGATCCAGTGATCGATCGACGGCTGGTAGAATGAATGCCGGACGCAACCTAACAGCCGTCAATATTTGTGGCGCAGCGGGAGCCTTGCCAGTAGCCTCTGTTCATTTCTATACATTTGGGATACCGGATAGAGGTGGATGATCGAGCCGCGGCAACTGAATAGTAGTGCTGACTTGTCTGCAAAGTTTGTGATGATACCGTAAGCGGCGATGCGCTCAAGTTGCGGGACCAGGATCGTTTGAAATAGTTGGGAGGAGGTAACTCACCTTGCATGATACATGTCCGAGCCTCCTCAGTACTCAGTGGTAGTTCTCCAAGCCGTATCGAAGGAAGCGTATTATTTAGGTCCTTCACGGAATGCTATGCTTAGAGAAAGATGTAGCGTAAACACGCTAGAGCTTTCCCTAGGCAGGGCATTCCGTCAAATTGAAAAGTGGAACCCAAAGTAACGCACCCAACGAGTTGGAGTTCAGGCAAGCAAAAGTGCACGCGCCGATTACGCCAGTTCCTCAGACAGCCAACACTGATTTCCTTATGTTGAAACCGGCGCGATGAGAATGAGACGCAAGGTTCTGCAGTTGGATAATGTGTCGCCGTAGATCGATCGAGGGCTGAAGCGGGTGTCAGCCTCCTCCCAGCCTCCCATAGCGAGCTTGGGATAAGTACCGCGTCAGCGCGTGCTCTTCCCCCATTCCCGCCTTGTCCCTTCCCCCATCACCACCCGTATGCGCCACCACGCCGACAGGCAGGGGCCTACAAGAAACGGCTCTCACGATGGCGTTCGCGGTGACCACGCCGATGGGCCGGCCCGCGTCAAGAGTCGTCATCGCCTGCAAGCCGACGGCGATGCACCCTTGCCCATGGCATGCTGCTCGAAGGTGGGACGGTGAGTGTTTCCTTTCCCAAGGGAGGGACTTCGGTCCTGGCGCATACCTTTTCGTGGTCCTTGGGATAAGTACCTGCTCGTGCGCGGCCCCTTGGGGAGCTGCACGGGTGGGGAAACCAAAATGCGTTTTCTCTGTGGGCGTCGTTCGTGACTGGGGTTGATTAGTTCGTGGGTTGTATGCGAATGTGAGGCGTGCGGCCCAAACAGAGTTTTGGTGAGTATTATTCGCGTAATCGATGTTGAGTCGTTCCAAGGTAGCATCAAAGCTGTCTGACTAGTATAATTGCGTCAATTATACGAACAATATTGAGCAACGAGGACCATACCTTTATACTGGAGGATAAGCAAGGCTCCCCGGTAGAGACGAAAAGTTGGAAGACAGCTCAATCGCGTCTGCGCCACACAAATAACCGAAGTCTTTCGGGAAACCTGTATACTCATATGTGAACTTTCCTGCACACTCGTAGAGACAAAATGACAGGTATATGCTTCAAACAGACGGAGTAGGCCATGATCCTGCGTTAACCTGGATTCGTGGCAAGACACGAGCGCGAACGCGGTGATAGAGCCCGGTCAACAAGAGGCCTGGCCCAGAGTTGTGGCGATAGAGAGACTTCCGGGTATTCACAGCAGGCTGCTAGCGACTGAGAGAATCCATGACGGTATGCAAGATGTGGTTTGTGGCGAAGCATGCGCAGCTTGAAGCGCCCCGCTGCTGCCTGTTGTCGATCGCGATGACGCCTCGGCAAATCCCAGACCCTTCCGGAGTCCATGCCCCTCCTCGTGCAATCCAAGCTGGACGCCCTCTCCTCCGCCCTCCAGTCCAGCAGCTCTGCGCTTCTCGTCTGCGTTCTCGCCATCACTGTACTCGCCGTCGTTCATAGCTCCAAGGGAGCAGAAAGGACTTTCCACCTTCATAGCAGCAGGAGCGCTACCGCAGACTCCAGCGCCCATCCCGATTTCATGGTCAGTACATACTCGTCCTTTCTTGCGCGTGTTCCGCTCATCCATCGCGTTACCGCATGCTTCTCCGCACAACCTTCCTCACACGCGTGGTCGGTGAATGCGCGGCTTCTGCACCCGATCCGGCATCCCCCCGCGTCCGATGTTATCTCGCCGTCCATCCCGCCCCGCTCGGACTTGCATCTCGCCCGCCACCTCCCGCTCACGCGCACTCGATCGTGAACTACAACACGCTGCCTGACACCTTTCTGTGACCAAAACTTGCCCCGCGTAGTCCAAGACCGTCAAGTCGAGAGCGGACAGAGAGATGGACGACAAGATCGCGCAGTTCTCCTCCGTTACCGGCGCATCGTGAGTCCCCCACTCGTGCCTTCATGTCCGCGCCGGATGCTCAGTACACGCCATACCACCCCAGGACGAAAGATGCGCGTCGGTACCTCACGAAGTACAAGCGGCTCGACCAGGCCCTCGACGCGTTCTACAGTGATCCCTCCGCAGGCGCGCGCGCCACAGCATCCACGAGCAAGCTCGCCGCGCTGTTTGACAAGTACAAGGGTGCGTCTTACGAGCCTCCACCCTTTCTGAGCGAGAGGCCTCCTTCCCTGAGGGATAGCTGTGGCTGACATGTGCGGTTTGTAGAGCCGGATGGGGATGACATCACCATCGACGGCACGATCAAGCTATGCGAGGATCTCGGTGTAGACCCGGAGGATGTCGTGCTGCTCGCGGTCGCGTATGAGCTGAAGTCTCCCGCGATGGGTCAGTGGACGCGTAAGGGCTGGACAGAGGGCTGGAAGGCGCTCGGGTGAGTTCTGTTCCCTTATTGGCCCCATATTTGTGGTTTGGTTCTAAGCTTCACGTCAATTCCAGGGTTGACACGATCCCGGCGATGAAGACGACGCTCGAGACGCTCCGCAACAACATGGCGCGGGACACGGACTACTTCCGCAAGGTGTACAACTACACGTTCGAGTTCTCGCGACCCCCAGGGCAGCGTTCGCTCGGTACGTGCCCTCTGCTCACTCCGCCCCTTTCCTCCGCTTACAATACCTGCGCCGCGTTTAGGGCTGGACATGGCGCAGGGCTTCTGGGCGCTGCTCATCCCGCACGGCCTCGCAGGCGGGGCGCTCGCACACGTGACCGCGGGCGGGCAGGACTCAGACGGGGACGAGGTGATGTCCAGCGCTGCACCAGGGGAGGGCTGGAAGGACGTGTACACCCAGTGGTGGTTCGAGTTCTTGGAGGGCAGCGGCGCGAAGGGCGTCAGCAAGGACGTGTGGCAAATGGTAAGCCGTCCCTTCGATTTTCAGGTTTCGAGTGGAGGTGTGTGGGGGCCCTCTGAAGGGTCATGGGAGGTGAATGGCGAAGCGGCTGATATGACTGACCATGGTGGCGGGCGAGGTTGGTTTGGATGGCGGCTGACCGGTCTCCGTGCGACAGTTCTCCGAGTTTGTGCGGACGATCGACTCGAAGTTCGAGAAGTACGACGCAGAAGGTGCGTGCGCCGCCCTGGCTGGGTGACTGCCAGCCTCCTCTTCCATAATGCTCACGGATCCCTTCGTCAGCCGCATGGCCGTCGACGATCGACGACTTCGTGGAGTACGCGCGAAACAGGCTCGCCGGAGGTGCTTAGCGGCTACCACTGCGTCCGCATACGAGGAACGAGGTGAGAAGACCGATGAACTTGTAGAGTATTCTACGTGTAGGGGGGAGAAGAAGGCTGTTGTATTGCAACTTGTGCTATATCGCTTGTTATCGACTTGATTGGTTTTCCACGACGTCCCAGCACCACCCCCAGGCTCCAATCCGAAGGCGAGACAAGGGAGCTCCTCGGTTGCTGACAGAGGATGACGACGCCGCGGCCAGCCGTTCTACTCTGCACCTGCGGTATGCGTGGCTGACACGACCGCTGTGAAAGCTGTACAAGCTGACGTCCGCCTTCGTGCGGGCTGACCCGTTCACAGAGGCTGACTGAACTCAAGGCTGGCGATCAGTTGTCCGGACGAGGCGGGCATGGATCGGAAGCCGTAAAGGCCGCTCACCGGAGCTTTCGTTGGGGATATGCCAGCCGCAGCACCTCAGAGATGGAGGCTGCCCGGTACTCTCGGACTGACTGCGCCATTGTGAGGGGACAGAGGTTTGGTCAATGGACGGTCATGCCAATGCTTCTGCGCACAGCAAAGCCGGCAGGAAGGAGGACTCCTTAACGACAGACAGCCTCGGCGTCGCATTCGAGGCGGTCACCGCAGCCAGCAGTTTGGGCGCATCACTGAGAGTAACGAGAACCTAGCGATCAATTTTACGCACATCCATGTCAAGATGAAGAGGCTACGTACGTCTCGCCTATGCGTACGACGACCGCGGTGCCGTCGTCGGCCAGCCACAGCAGGTCAACATAGGTATGAGATGAGACGAGTCCGAACGACTGCCCGAGCGCGTCTTGGATCGTCTTCCGGAGCGTGAGGGCGTCCGTGCATGGTGGGGAGACGGCGAAGCGGATATAGCGGTGCGATGATGGCAGACGTCGGGGCATTGCGGTGATGTCTGGAAACCCTTGCTGCAGCGCGTCGTTACAGCGTGTCTGCAGCGACGTGCAGGTGCAATGCGAGATGGTAAACGTTGTCTGTCGTTGTGCACCGCCGTCCATGTTCTCCAACCTAATATTTAGATCGAGATTTGGTGCTCCACCAATCCGATCACGGCGCTCTATGGGCGTCTACATGCAGCTGTGCCGAAGAAATGATCTCATCTCCTTCTCAGCCACCGCGACGTACTCCTCCCGGCGCGCTGCTCTCGCCTCTCACCTTGACCTCTCTGCTGTCTCTTCCTCTGTACGTTCTTAGGTATCTAGTCGATTACAACGCCTAGGTCGCCATGGCCTCCAATGGAACTGCAAAACCGCACCCAGAAGGCATGTGCTGCGGCGCCGTCGAAGAGGCACGCGAGAAGAGCGCCGCACGAAGGGCGAAGCCCCAGCCCTGGATCGTCCGCAAGCTCACCGTCTTCATAACCATCGGAATCATGGGATATGCGTTCTACGTCTACATTGGACGGCTTTGCGTGCCCATGATCAAACGCGAAACCGGCGCATTGGGCGGGCGGGGCATGGGTAGTGAGTAATACTGCACGGGCACGCTGTAGAGGTCGCTGACCGATGTGTGGTGCATATAGTTGGGTTCCTGGTGGTATTCTGTATACTGGGCCTGATGATGGTCTGGGCGTTTGAGAAGGTACGTGTTGATTGCCGCGGCTTTCACTGAGTAATGCGACAACCGGTATCCCTTGAGACCTTAATACAGGGAAGAGGTTGTGGTCAGGGGGCACGACGCGAATACGTGTTTGGCCTATCGCGCCACCTGATCATATACTTTCTCCCCTAAGTCGTGACAGGTTAGATGGGTGAAAGTAGAAGTGGTCCCGGACATCCGACTTCCAGTAGTTTGCCCTCTTGCTTTGCGATGTATTACACTTTCACTGTGTTGTGAGCGCAGTCGACGCTGCCGTCTTGTGCCAACAGTCGAGCGGCCTCGCACACTGGCCCAGTGGGACGACCACGCATCGGACGACGGGACTGAAATATCGAACGTGCAGGATTATGGAATCACTTTATTCGGGAACCCTTCTATTGCCACCTTTCTGGTCTGCCCACGTCATCCATTCCGGTAGGGGTGGTATGTATCGGCGGGTGTCACTCCCACAACTTTGGTCATCACTCTTCATTATGGCAGCTTCCTTTGTGCACTGTACTAACTCGCTTTGCAGGTTGTTTTGACGGCCCCAGGCTATGCTAAGGATGTACGTACCCCTCGTGTAGCCTACATATAATCCCTACTAACTCTTTCATTTTCCTAGCACGTGCGAAAGTCACCAGCACCGCTCATTCAGAACGCACTCCCGACCTGGTGGGGGTCTGAGAGTGAGGCTGAACTCGCCGCGGCAGAATACGCTGCCTCGCATCCACAACCTGCTCAATCCGAGCCGAAGGAGGAACACAAACGTAGCCACTCGCAGCGCGTGGCTGAGGTGAAGACGAATGGGCACGGCAACGGGAGCGCAAATTCCCGACACAAGGCATCGCAGAATGGTTGGTGAAGCTCATTCCCGTCAATACTAGTCTAACATATACTCAGGACATGCACCACCTGGTGACGAGCAAGCTGGCATCACCGACGCACTACCGCCCGTCGCTGCTGTCCGAGCTAAGGCGACAGTCGACCAAGGGCCTGCCGCGCGTCCTGAACTAGCACATGTGTCATCCTCTCACGTTCGATCGCCCTCTCAGCCTCAGCCTCTTCCAGGCATACATGGCGAGCAAATACCGGCGAGGTACACCCGCAAGCCCCCATCGACGCCTATCATGCTGCCGGAGTACAGATATTGTCACAAAGAAGGGTTCTTGAAACCCATGAGGGCGCATCACTGCCGGGCGTGTGGGACGGTACGTGTCAACTTTCTTCCTGTTCACTCAGGACTCCACTCATCGACATTGTAATAGTGCGTGCTAAAGTACGACCACCACTGCCCATGGATAGGACAGTGCGTCGGCGCACGGAATCACAAAGTGCGTACACCTCTCACCCAAAACATCACTTACCCAACTAACACCACCCACAGTTCTTCATGATCTTCGTCTGGTGGGCCCTCTGGTTCTGCGCCTGGACGTTCGGCACGCTCGTCGGGCTGAACGCGCGCGCGTCCGCCGGCCGGCCGAACTTCGACATCGATGGGCAGCAGGTCGCGATCATGGCGCTCTCCGGGCTGTTCTTCATCTTCGTCTTCGCGCTGTTCGTCGCGCACGTCGACCTCATCTGCGCGGGGCAGTCGACGGTCGAGACGCTCGACGCGCGCCGCATCCGCGAGCGCGAGGACCGCGTGCTCAAGCGCCTCCACGCGTGGTCGGACTTCCGGGGCAAGCGCGCGACGCGCCGGCAGTGGGACGCGGAGTGGGGCCGGGTGGGCAAGGAGGGCAGCCCGTGGTGGCTCGGGAGTGCGCGACGCAACTGGGAGGCGACCATGGGCGCGCGCGTGTGGGAGTGGTTCTGTAAGTATCCCCTCTTTCACCTATGCTGTTCATCGAGAGCGACACTGACGCGGGAGGGATACAGTGCCGATCGGGAAGAGCCCAGACGACGGGCTGAGCTACACGCTGAACCCGCGGTTCGACGCGGAGGGCCGGTGGCGGCCCAGACGCGAGTGGCCGAAGGAGCTGCAATAGGTGACTGGTGGGGAGGGATTTGGAGAGTTCATGACTGCACGACTACTTACATGATCGACATCGGATACACATTACTCTTAAAGGTCGCGCCTCTCGGCGACGTGCTTGCTGTCGACTGCTTTGCCGCAACGGACTGGAGGATTATGTTATACAAGCGTGGCTACTGTTCTGCTTATTGCTTCTTCTACTGCTCAAACCAAACGCGGGATACGGCGACAAGGCCGTACGACGCTGCTATGTCGTGGCTTTCGCCGCCTGCTTCAGCTCTTGCACCTCCTCCTTCGTGAAGTTCCACTTCTCCGCGAGCTGCTCCTCCCCACCCTCCTTGCTCTCCTGCTCGTCCAAATATCTGGCAAGCGCACTCGCATCTTCCTTGGGCAGCGTCCGCCTCCCGCCCGTAGTATAAGTGTGCAGCCCGCGGAGGACTTTCTCCTCAAAGTCCGCGTCCCCCTCAGTCTCGCCGTCGGGCCCGTGTGGGACAGGCTGCGCGAGCGCACTCACAAGCGCGCCGAGGAGCCCAGTTCGCTCTAGTGCGCGCGCGGTCGCTGCGGACGTGGAGGCGGAGCGCGGATCGGAGAGCAGGGAGGCGTGTGAGTTCGGGTGCACCGTCTGGAGCGGGGAGAGGGCCGGCGCCGCGGGGGTAGCGACCGCGCTGGAAGATGGGGATGAGGGGTGGAGCGTCACGGCTTGGGATGAGGTTTGTGATACCGGCGCGGAGAGCCCAAGCGATGTGGACGTAGATGAGGGGGCAGGGGGAGGAGCGATGGCCGCTACACTGACGCCCTGCGCAGAGGTCGGGACCTGCAGCGGCTGCTGGACGTTTGCTGGAATTTCCTCATCTTCACCGCCAGTGGGCGTGAGGAGCGTGTTGAGGAGAAACGCAACCTTACGGCGGACGCCGATATCCGGGTCCTGCAGCCCGGCGCGGAGGACGTCCCAGCCGCCGGCGTCATCCATTTGGTCGACAGCAGCAGCATTGTGCTTGAGAAGGCCGGAGAGCGTATACGCCGCCTTGGAACGCGTTTGTTTGGAGGGTACGCTTGGGGAGAGGAAGGAGAGGATCGTTCGGAGGGGCGAGAGCGCAAGATACTGTGGTAGGTTGGTCAGTTGAGAACTGAGACATAAGGCGAGTGAATGAGATGCTTACGGAGTGTTGTGCGGCGGGGTTGTTTTGCATGGCGGTTCCGAGGACCCAGAGGACCTGCGTCTGGATCTCCGCAGAGGACGCGGGGTTGATGAGGAGTGCGTGCAAGGGCTCCCACATTCGCAGTTTCTCGAGGTCTGTATGACACGGTCAGTAACCATTGCTTCGCCTTCACAAGATGCAGCTACTCACTGTTTGCATTGTCGATATGCTCAATAAGCTGAAGCACATCAGTCAGCTGTGAGGAATGCGCACATGGAGCACAACTCACCATCTCGAAGTTGTCCAAGGCTTGTAGCCTGTCATCCTCGTCCTTGGTCTCGTCGACCGCAATCGTCAAAGCTTCCTTCATAAGCTCCGCATCCGACTTCCCTAATATCATGTCTATGATTGCAGGGTCGAGGTCTGAGCGCGGCTGCGGCGGGGGCTGGTTGTCCGTCCGCGGGTCCGAGTTCGCGATACCCCAGCGTAATAGGCTCTCCATGATTTTTGATGTGGATTATCCTGGGCGGGTGCTGCTAGCGATACAGAGAGATGTGGTATGGATACAGATGAGATGCGAGCAGAGTGGAAGAGAAAGAGAGTGTAGATCCCGTCCAAATAGCCGATATATAGATTTGCAGCGGACTCGAGCAAGTGCGAGAAAGTCGGAGAAGACGCGAGAATCTTTGCGCGCGACGCGTCAATCGATCAGCCACATTCGCGTCGCGTTTCGTGCGGAGCATGGCGGAGCTCAAATACCGCTCTTATATGCACGCGACGCGCCCAAAGTTTTCATGCAACGTCGACGTCGTCCTCGGCGTCGACGACGGTCCAGCTCGGTGAGTGTCCTCTCTTTTTGCTTTCGATGATGATCCAACCTTTACCATACAAAAACCCACCGAATCTCCGTGTGGATAACCCTACTAGTTTCAGCCTTGGCTGACCTTTCAACTCTTCGTGCTCGTCTCTTGACGCGCTACTGACGATCTTCGTATCTTTAGGTCATCGTACTGTCGCACTGGGCATTGATGCTTCTATCTCCATAACTTGTGAGTGTTTGCGTCTCGTCCTCAGTCCCCCTCCTCGGATGAGATTCTTTCGATGGGCGGACACGAACACTCCCGGCCCATTAAGTCTCCCGGTGTACAATGTGGAGATGGGTTCGGGAGCCTGCTGAAACGCATCGAGTAACTGACTTTTGCACCTCTTCTCTTATCCATGCTCTGGAGACCATGTTAACTGACTGGGCTTCCTCTGTCAGATCTTCTTTCATCTACCCATGGGCTCTGTCGTCGATGTCCCTCTGTATGTATCAAGTAACAATAGCAAATTATCAAAATCATTAGAACTTCGTCATCAGGTTGGAATATAACTTCTCTGAATTGCACGCTGTGTGCGACTGTGTAGCCAGGTGAATGCGAAGCGTTGCAAGAAGCCATGGGCAGGACTCCTCCACCTGCGGTCAGTCGGGACCGCTGTTTGTACAGCAGCCATCTCCTAGACGATCAGCAACAAGAACGAGCATTACGACCTGTGGAATGGCTTCACTTCGGTGCTGCGATGCTGTCCAACACGTTCTCTACAAGTCTCTACATCTCTTCCTGGTTGGATAATATTCAAACTGTGCACCCAGGTACCTCCAGGTACACATTGTACACTCCGACCCCGAATAGTTACCGTAGCGAATGTCGATGTTCTGATGGTACGTCCTCTCAGATCGCCTCGAAACGCACATCTGAATCTGCGTCGCAGTGTCCTGTTCCTGAAAGCTAATGAGACTCGCGTGTTCTCCCCGCTCGTCGGTTTCCTGGCGCGGCGCGTGACATGGGAAAGGTCAGGCGGCGGGGGGGCCGCCCCCGGACCGTCGGGGTGCGGGTCCGCCGTTTTTCCTCTCTCGATCACCGCCCCAGGTCCTCCGGCTTGAACGCGCGACGTCAACAGGAGGGCGCCGGCGGTGTGCCACCGCGCAAGTGACCTTTATGTGCGCGTACACCGACGCTCGTGTCCTCCGAAGATCCCCCGGTAAGTGCTTAGGGTCATGCCATAGTCACCGGACCGCGCGCCCCTGCCCAGTCCACGCCTACTACGTGCGCGACGTACCGGAGCGCAGCGTGCGCCGTGCGGGCCCGTATATAAAGCGCGGGGGCGTTTCATGATGTCGAGAGTCGCGACTGCGTCTTCGCTCGACCTTCACTACACCATGCCTGCCTGGGCCCGCGCGGTCGTATTGGGCGTGCTCGCTTTCGCGGGCCACGTTCATGCGATTGGCCAAGACACCTGCGTCGCATACAAGTCCTCGAGCGCGAGCTTCCCCATCGTCAGCAACCACAAGGCGACCCCGATCCTGCTCTCTGTGGACGAGTGGCCGGGCGTGCAGCGCACCGCGTTTGACTTCGCCTCTGACATCCAGCAAGTCACTGGCGTCAAGCCGACGCTGAAGAATACTACTTCTACTCAGTCTTCGTACTCTTCTCTCGGATCTACCGTCGTCATCGTGGGGACGCTGGGGAAGTCCTCCTTGATCGACGAGGTCGTCAACCGCACCAAGCTGGACGTGTCGTCCATCGAGGGCAAGTGGGAGGCATTCCTGGCGAAGGAAGTCGCGAACCCTCTTCCTGGGATCGACAGCGCGTATGTCATCATCGGTGCAGACAAGCGCGGCACGATATTCGCCCTGTATGACCACTCCGAGCAGTTTGGTGCGTTTCGCGCTCATATTCAGCCTGCAATACCGGCTCATTTCGTCTCGACTTTCAGGTGTCTCGCCATGGTACTGGTGTGTATACCAACTTGGCTTGGGCATTGGGTTTGTCTGCTAACACGGACTAGGTGGGCGGACGTGCCTACTACCAAGCATTCGGAACTCTTCGTCACGTCATCCGGGTGCTCGCACGGCTCCCCGACGGTGAAGTACCGCGCGATCTTCCTCAACGACGAACAGCCCTCCCTCCAAAACTGGGCAATGGACAAGTTCACAAATGGTACCGGCGCTGCGCTGACCGGCTCCCCTTTCAACCACTTCTTCTACGCGAAAGTGTAAGTCGACAACCCATTGAGCCCCTATTGCGATGGGTTTGCTGATCAAGTCCCGACTCAAAGGTTCGAGCTCATCCTCCGACTCAAGGGGAACCATCTCTGGCCAGGTACGTCTGATGCGCTTTACCCAACCACACTGCAGCTGTCTGACGCGTGCGGTACGCGCCCGAACGCGCAGCAATTTGGACCAGGTGCGTCGTGTCTGGCCCCACGTGACCGCGTCTCCCCCGCTCACACTGGCCCTGGGTTGTAATAGTGCGTTCGGCATCGACGACCACCAGAACCAGGCCCTAGCAGATTGGTTCGGCATTGTGATGGGGACGAGCCACGAGGAGCCCATGATGCGCTCGACGCCCGTCGAGTGGGACCTGTTTGGCTCGGGGATCTGGGACTACGAATCGAACGCGGAGAACATATACGCCTATTGGGTGAACGGCACGGAGCGGTCGAAGACGTACGAGAACGTGTTCACCGTGGGAATGCGTGGTGCTGGTGTGTATACCTCCGAGATGATTCGATGACGGGACGCGTACTCATTCCGATCGTACAGGTGATCGTGAGTAGTCCGCGTTGAAAGAAGGGTATGCGGATCTTATCCATACGGCGTTTCTAGTGCCGCTTTCCGAAGATCAAAACATCGTGCTTCTGGAGAAGGTCGTAGCCGACCAACGCACGCTCCTCGCAGATGTCTTCAACACGACAGACGTCACGACCATCCCTCAAGTTTGGACCCTTTGTACGTTGCTCGCCTCCGTCATGCCCTTCGAAGTACCCCCTATGCTGAGCTTGGAACCACCCGCGTAGACAAAGAAGTTCAAGGATACTACCAAGATGGCATGCGGGTGCCAGACGACGTTGTATTGATGTGGTCAGACGACAAGTGAGTCGCACGTCGCGCGGATTCCTCGTGCTAAGATGCTGATGCTGTGGCAAGCTGGGGCAATGTACGGCGGTATCCCACGTCGAGCGAACGTAATAGAACCGGAGGTGCCGGTGTCTACTATCACGTACGTGGTCTTCACTGCTGCTGTGCTACTCAACCTGAATTCTCTCCCCCTGTACTAGGTGGACTATGTCGGAGACCCCAGGGATTACAAGTGGATCACCGTAAGAGTTCAAAACGGGTGTGTAAACGTACCTTTGCCTAACGTATCAATTTTCCCGTTTGTAGAGCAGCCAGATCGAAAAGGTACTAGTTCAGTCAGGCTTGTGGCGGAGTCGAAAGTCGCTTATTTTGGTGCTCGATGTTAGACCTTCGACCAGCTATCAACGGCGGTTGCTCGCGAAGCGACGAAAATCTGGGTTCTAAACGTCGGTGACCTGAAGCCTTATGAGATGCACACCGAATTCTTCCTGAGCTACGGATGGAATGCGACCCGCTGGACACCCTCGAACGTTGGCAGCTTCGTTAGTAGCTGGGCACAGCGCGAGTTCGATCTGTCCGCTTCCGACGCAACCGTGGTGGCAGGGATCGTTCACAACGTCACACGCCATAATGCCAGACGCAAGCCCGAGATGTGGAACGCGACAACATACAGTCTGACCAACTATCGCGAGTGCGTCCATACTCCTCTATGCGATACATCGTGCTTGGCGGCTAATCGGACGGGATCTGGTGTAGAGCGGAGAATGTGCTGGCTGCCTTGCAGGACGCCGCCGCGGCGTCCACACGCCTGTACCATTCGCTTCCTGCCCAGACGAGGCCCGCGTTCTTCCAGCTCGTACATCACCTCGTCCAGGCATCGTTGACGCTCGCGAACATGTGGATCGCGGCGGGAACCAACAACCTCCGCGCATCGCAAGCGCGGATCAGCGCTAACGATCTCAAGGCACAGGTCGAGACGCTGTTCGAGGCGGACTATGCCCTGGAGGTCGACTATCACAGTCTCCTGGACGGTAATGTCGTTTCCCTTTTCGAACCATGCCGGGAGCTGATGCCCATTTTTGATGTGTAGGCAAATGGTATGGTGTACGTTACATTGACAGGTATATCCGTGTCTGAACAAATTGCAGGGACCACATGATGGACCAAACCCATGTTATGTACTCCTATTGGCAACAGCCGATGGCGAACACGTACGTCCGCCGTCTGGTCCGCGGGGCTGCCTCTGACGCCGCGATGGTAGAATGCCCTTCGTAACGCAGGTGCAGGCCAAGAAACAGGCCCTAGCGGGTGCAATGCGCATCATTCCCGAGGGGAGCGCCGGCGCATGGTGCGTGTCCCCCAGGCCTGCGAATCCGGGCAAGAATCGCTGACCCAGACCCCCAGGCCCGGGGACAACGTGAACAACTGCGCGCTGGGGTACGGCTGCCCAGACCCCGCGCTGTCGCTCGACCCGTTCGTGCCCGCAGGGAACCGCTTTATCGACGTCGCCGCGGGCGGGCCCACCCCGTTCACGTTCGCGGTGACAAGCAATGTGTCGTGGCTGCACGTCTCGCCTGCGAAGGGCTCGGTATCGCCGACCGCGCCGGAGCAGCGCGTTTACTTCAGCGTTAACTGGGACGCGGTGACAGGGGCTGAGGTTGCGCAGATCACGTTTAATGCGGTAGTGAAGGGCCAGCCGACGGTGTCTGTGAACGCGACGTTCACGGCGAACCACACGGTAGTCCCGGCGGGCTTCACAGGTGGGTGGCCCGGGTCGTTTTGCCGGCTTTCGTGGCTAAGAACGCGTTTCAGGATTTATTGAGGGAGATGGTGCGGTGTCTATCGAAGCGGCGCACGCATCACGGAACACGAGCGTCGAAGGGCTCACCTGGACTGAGATCCCCGGTTTGGGGCGGACGCTCTCTGGCGTGACGCCGTGGCCGCGGGGCGGCAATGAGCTGAATTTCACCGCGGGCAGCGGACCCAGCATGTCAGTCGTTCGATTGGGGCCCCATTGCACCGTTCGCTGACCGTGTCGGCAGCGAGTATGATTTCTACCTGTTCGACACGTACAAGCAGGGCGGGAACGTGACCATCACGACGCTGGTGTCGCCTTCGCTGAACGGCCTTGGCGATGACCGCCCGCTCGGGTTAGCGCTTCAAGTCGACGATGGAACGCCGCAGACGAATTATTTCGTGCCCGCGGCGACGCCGGGTAGTCTTCCTAGCGCTTGGGGTGGACAGGACGGGTGGGTGGCGAAGAGCATAATTGAGGTCCCGATGGTGTTCTCCGTGCAGCCCGGCGCGCACACTCTGAAGGTATGTGAAGCGATTTATGGGGGAAGGGCGGCAGTGGTTGACGTCTACTTGCTCGCAGCTATGGATGATCGAGCCGACGGTCGTTGTGCAGAAGATCATTATTGGTGCGTGGCGCACTCTCCGTTGTGCTTGAGCACCAAGTACGTGTACTGACTGAATATGCGCAGACACGGGCGGTGTGAAGCCGAGCTACCTGGGGCCCCCAGAAAGCGTGCGGGTGTAGCTATAGGGTCTCACGGGCTTCATGTACGGGCGTTGGGAGAACTGCCCCGGATTCCACGTTTCGCTGTGAAATGTAGAGATTCTTCCGAATTGCGGACGCTATTTGTGTACGGTAGTCGGCTTGAAGATGAGAACGCGCTGCGGCGGAGGCAAAACGTTCTGGTGTGCGTGTTATGGGCGCTCCGCCACTGGGGGAGACACCGCCGGGCAGCGTTAGGCGCCAAGATCCGCCGACAGTCGCACTCAGGCGGACCCCAAATCGGGAAGTCGTGGCGGCGGATGATCCTTCTCACAGCTCCCCGCCTGACTCTTTCTCGTCTCGCTCTTCCTTTCCTACCACCATCTCACACCCTCCTCTAGCGCATACCCCGCAGAATCACAGCTTACCCAACATGGCCCCTTCCGCGACTACGCACACTGCTGTCACAACCGCTTCGAATGATGCAGGGAAGTACGCCCCAAAGGCGAGCGGCAACACCCTCGGAAATGGGCGCACTCCCGCGCACATCTCGTCGGCGGAGGTAATCAGTCTGGAGCACCAGTACGGAGCGCACAAGTGAGTACCTCTGTTCTCTAGCGGCCTGTCCACGTTTAGGGCGATAGTGTGGCGTATCAGCGCTCCCGGTATGACAGTATGCCTCGATTCTCTACACTCCGCCTATGCTGAACCAGCACAGAATGGCATCGCCAAAGCCTACTGTAGATAGTGTTTCATCGATGACGTTGTTCTCTCCCTTTTTCTCATGTTGTGCTACATCCGCTCACCCCACGGTTTCATCGTGGGTTACCCGTGGGACAGCTCTGCCGTATGTACCCGAGCTCGGAAAGCATGAAGGCTTTAGAGGCACAACTAGTTCGCCGTCTCCTTCACCCCTCTATGGCGTCATTCGTGTACTGACATTATTCCCGGTATAGCTATCACCCGCTTCCTGTGGTCTTCGAATCCGCGAAGGGCGCGAAGTGAGTGGTATTCGCCGTTAGTCGCCGGGAAACTCCTAACGGCATCTTAGAGTATGGGACCCCGAGGGCAAGGAGTACATTGACATGCTCTCCGCGTACTCGTGAGTTCCATCCGATCAAGTCCGCGGAACTCTACTCACTCTGAGGCCTTTGTGCGCAACAGGGCTGTCAATCAGGTGCACTAGCTTGCCCCTCGAACTAAGGCGTTCTCCCTGCTGACCGCAATCGTGCCGTAGGGTCATTGCCACCCCAGGATCGTCGCCGCCCTCGTTGAGCAGGCACAGAAGCTCACCCTGTCTTCTCGCGCCTTCTACAACTCTGTCTTCGGCCGGTTCGCCCAAAAGATCACCGACATGTTCGGCTACGACATGGTGCTCCCCATGAACACGGGCGCGGAGGCTGTGGAGACCGCCCTCAAGCTCGCCCGCAAGTGGGCATACGAAAAGAAGGGCGTCGCCGACGACCAGGCGATCATCTTCAGCGCGGCGGGCAACTTCCATGGCAGAACGCTCGGCGTAATCAGGTGCGCGGCAGATCCTATCTGTGGACCGCTTCGCGGCTAATCAACCTTTTGCGTTGCGTCGTTCTCATCTCTCATTCTTTGTCGCGCCTCGTTTCTAACGTGGCACGGTGTCTTTTCGCAACTCTCCGCCGTACATCCTAACATCCAGCATGAGCACTGATCCGGAAAGCCGTGGCGGCTTTGGGCCATACCTGCGTGCCGTCGGTCCGGAGTACGATGACAACGGCGTGGTGAAAACGATTCGCTACGGCGAGATCTCGGATCTGGCGCGTGCGCTGGAGCTGCATGGGAAGAACACGGCAGCTTTCCTGGTGGAGCCCATTCAAGGTGAAGCCGGGTACGTCTTATTCCCTTGTCCTCGTCTTTATCTGATTGCATGCTGAGCGCCCTCGCAGTATCGTTGTACCTCCCGAGGGCTACTTGGCAGCCGCGAAAGATTTGTGCAAGAAGCACAATGTTCTGTTTATCTGCGATGAGATCCAGACCGTGAGCGTCCTCGCCTCAAGCACGACCCACAGCAGGTATTAACTCCGCTCCACTATCAGGGTCTCTGCCGGACAGGCAAGCTGCTGTGCTGCGAGCACGACAACATCCGCCCGGATGTTATTCTGCTTGGGAAGGCCCTCTCTGGCGGAGGTGAGTCAATTGCCGAATCGACCGGTGTCCCAGCCATTGAGAGACGTATCTTGCGCAGTCTACCCCGTTTCCGCCGTGTTGGCGGATCGCGATGTGATGCTCTGCATCCGCCCCGGCGAGCATGGCAGCACATACGGCGGGTGCGTGCCACTCCCAGCTCTACCCCCGAATTACCCTATTGAACTGACGGACGGTACAGCAACCCCCTCGGATGCGCCGTCGCGATGACCGCCCTCGATGTCCTCGTGGAGGAGAGCCTCTCGCAGCGGGCGGAGATCCTCGGCGAGAAATTCCGCTCGGCGATCCGCGCATTCAACTCCCCGCTCGTGAAGGAGGTCCGGGGCCGCGGCCTGCTCAACGCCGTCGTCATTGACGAGGAGAGCAGCTCGACGGGCTGCACCGCCTGGCAGCTGTGCCTGCTCCTCAAGAGCAGGGGCGTGCTCGCGAAGCCCACGCATGTGAACATGTAGGCGCAGTCTACCGGCGAGGCATACAGAGTCTAGACCGCTGATTTACGATTTGCCTTTGCTTACAGCATCCGGTTCGCGCCGCCGCTGGTCATCTCGGAGGAGGACATGATGAAGGCGGTGGAGATCATCCGGTCGTCCCTCGAGGACCTCGACAAGGTTCGTCGGCCATCCACCCCTGACCATCGCGGTAGGAGCCGTGTTTACTTACCGCCGGGATAGCTCCAGGACATCCCCGGGGAGGTCGAGAGCGAGAAGGGGCACAAGGACACGATCACGAACTGAGGCCGGACCGCGCGATCCATGCATACACAGACGGACATTGCCGCTCTGCGGCGTTTCAACAACACCCTGTAGCTCTAGCATCAGCCCCCCGGACGCGATCGCTATGTACTGTAGCAAGTCAGCCACCCATGTATGGCCATCATCTTCGCATTCACATGAAGAGCCCGACGGGTACGTGTGTGCATGTGTGCTCTCGAGCGCGTCGCCTCGGCCACGCTGCCCCACCGCCCGGGCTGGACGCAGAGCTGTGCGGGCAGCGTGTGCGGCAACGCGGTGGCGGACCTACAAGTTCGGCGCGGGGGCGGCCGCTCTGGGCAGGTCCGGCGTCGAACGACGGAGACATCGCGCTCGATCAGATTCAGCTGAGTTGAACAGCAGCGCGCGGTGTGCACGCCCGATGGGCTGATCGTGTGCAGCCGCCCCGCGTGCACGGGCACGGCAGCGCAAGACTCCCAGGGCGCACACGCCTGCGTCTCGGAGTACACACGACACCACCACCCCTGGCGACGGGTCGTCCGCCGGTTCCGGCCCTAGAGACGGATCGCAGGCCTGGATCGGGTGCGGCGCACGTCCGGGTGCCCGATGGAAGAGTGCGTGCACTGGGCGCAGCGAGCGGGTGAGCCGAGGGGCGTCGCGTGGGAGGGCGAGTGTCCTGCGCGAGGCGGCCGTGGATCTACCTCGGCCCTGCGCGGGCGCGGTAATGAGCAGGGCCAGAACGCAGAGCTCTGGCGGCCTGCTCGAGCTCCACACTCACGGCACATCGGTGCTGCTGGCGGGCTGCTGGGGCTGGGTGAGGGACGCGGGCGAGAGGGCAAGCGTCGACGCCGCATTAATGCCGAGAGCACAGGACAGATGCGCACCCGAGGGGACGCCAGATGGTGGTGGGGGCCGGGGAGATCTTCGTGAGGGTCACGCCGACCACGGGGGACGCGAGGAGCCAGGACCCTGCAGCCTGAGGCCTGAGGTGCGCCGCGAGCCGTCTGCTGGGGCGCGCGCGCCCATGTAGAGAGTGTGGAAGTGGAGGGAGCGTGGGCGCGGGCGGGGTGCGCGGAGGAATGCTTGGGCACGCGGATTGCACTAGAAGTTTAATCAGGATCCCGCTCGGGGCGCGCGGGGACGCGGAGGGGGGCGGGTGGGCGGCGCCCCTCGCCCTGCGCAATACAATCTGCGCAAATGGAGCAGGAGGCGATCAGCCCGCTGGCTTTATACCGCTGCGGGCCACCGGGGATGGCCACGGCCGGTGTCATGCGTCTCGGCTGTGACAGCTGTACGGCATGATGAGGCGGGCATTGCGAGCCAGTTTGAGGTGCGCGGGGCTTGCGGGGCTGCTCGCGAAGGACGACATTGGGCGGGGGGTCGCGTGCCGCCCGGGACCGTTGGCGCGCGATCATTTCGTGGGGAAGATGAGCGCGAACCTTGCAATACCGGTAGCTCGCAGCTGTGCGCATGTGCCGGCAACCTGTGGGACGACGGCGTTCAGTATGTTCGAAGACGCGGAACTAACTTGGAATGAAAGGAGATAGATTTCGGTTTGTTGCGCGTTTACGTGAGCACTACGGATACAGGGCATCTGTACACGTCAAATTCACGCAATCTGGGCGGGCGTGGTCGTCGATGGTGGGAGACATGGAGGCAGCCAAGGGAGGAGAGACGGCGGAGGAAGTAGAGGAGAGAGCGTGCGCCAATGAGAGTTTGTTGTGTCGTTTCCTGTTTGGGTGGTGCGCCACGTGGGGCTGCGTGCGTTAGGCTTGGTTAGGCGATTGCCCCTCTTCCGCTTCGTCTGGCACGTTGTTCGTTCATGGTGTCCTCCTCCCATATCAGATCCCAGCGCGGGCTCCCCTCCTTTTCTGCACAGTCTCGCCGTGCACTCAGCGGCAGTCCGTTTGATGCAGGCCACCTGTCTCGCCCTCCTTCGTGCTCCCATGCGGCAGCGCGTTGGCCCATGACAATTGTGTCGAGATAGGCAGAAGCACTTCTTGACGGATCCTCACATCACGCAAGGCCAGAGCGTCCTGGACCGGCTGCGTGGCAGCCCACTTCCTCGAACGTCCGTTTCGGGGGTGCATCCTCGTACGCCGCCAGCCACTCAAGGTCGCCAGAGCATGGTTCCCGGAGTAGCCGAACATAGAAAGAACTTCTTGCGTGGGCTGCGAGACACGCGTTGCCTGCCTCCTCGCCGACGAATCAAGCAGCAACTCGGAAATTAACGCGCCGCGGCGTATCTCGTCATATTCGCTTTGGGTTAGCCTCTCTTTCTGGCTCAGCCCCGGCGGGTGGTTGCCCTCGCGTTCGTCTCCGAGTAGGGGTCCCTCGTTCAATTGACCGCTTCCCATCCGCGTTCAGGCTCACCGGTTTGCGCAGCGCTGCCTACCGCCCGAGATCGACCTCGCCCGGTGCGTGACCCCATTCACCCTTTGTGATTCGCCCTGGCGAATGGTGAGTTCACCGACAGAATCGCTGACGCCAAAATTGACACTGCAGGCCGCGCCCGCGGTATATAAGCTTCCCGCAGGACGCACAATGGATGCTCCCCAGCACCCGCTCGTCCTTTGTCTCATCCTCTCCCGCTCGCACCCTTCGGCCCCCCAACGCGCCACCGCCACCATCGCCCTACATGAGCTCGTCCCAGGTGCGTCCGGGAGCCGCTGCAGGCGCGCGCCGCCGACGCTGACCCGGTGGCTCTGCAGGCTACTATGTACTCCGACGACGGGGAGCGCGAGGGCCAGCAGCCCTCGGGTAACAAGCCCGGCAAGGTGCCTCGGCGGACGCCCATGGCGTGCCAGTTCTGCAGGGGTGCGCGCGCGATCTCGAGCTGATGCGGATCGTGGCCGTCGATCTGACTGCCGTCTCTTGCTCCCCCACAGGACGGAAGCTCAAATGCGATGGCCGCACGATGTGCGCCAACTGCCACCGCCGTGGGCTCCAGTGCGTCTACATGCCTGTGTAAGCTCGGGCCCTGCACGGTGGAGAGTACGAAGCGCTGATGGTTATGGCCCCTGCAGCGCCGCCGCACAGAAGCAGTAACCGCCGTCCCACGCCCCCTCTGTTCCCGCCGACGCGCCAAGGTGGAAGGAGGCTGCGTTCTTTCTTGGGCACCCCTGTGACCGCACATAAGCTACGCTAATGCTCGGATAATGCTGTTCTGTAGCCCTGTTGTTTCCCAGACACGTAATTATTTATGCTAGAGCACGAGCCAGGAGAGCGTACCCGAGAGTGCGATGACGCACCGCGAGAGCCTCCGAGTTTGTTTGGGCGTCGGGAGGCACATCTGCGATCAGCACGGGAGTGCGAAAGGACCGCAGTGGGCTTCGTCGGGTCGGTGTCTGCTGCAAGGGGGTGCGTAGCGCCGGGCGTGTGCGCGCGGCCATCGATGGCTTGAGTCTTCTCTGGCGTCGACGCAGCGCCAGGCGTACGGAAACCCGCAATTCGCGCGATCCGCATCGGAGACGACCCCTCGGCGACCGCGAGATCTGCAGGCGACGTCTATTCGGCTGCCCCGCGGCGTCTGGCCGTGTAAGGTGTATACAAGGTTACACCGCCGGCGGTCCCCGTCCTCAGCGACTCTCGCTGTTCCCACCGTCAGCTTGCAGCTCGCCTCGCACCGCTGCCTGACCCCCTCCCTGCGGCTGCTCCAGCCCCTGGCCGCGGCCCACCCCACCCAACATGCCCCCGAATATTGAGCAAAGCTTAACGCCACCAATGAACCTGCGGACGCGCGCAGGGCGCGAATCTCCGAAGCCGTTCCTCCTCCCTCGCCCCTTCTCGCGTCCGGTTAGGCATGCCAAACGCTTTTTCGAGCCGCCACGACGGCGAAAGAAACGCACGCTGTGCGGGCCCTTCCGAGGAATAACCCTCCGTCTGCGCGTGCATCTTCCTCCCACCCGGCCCGCCGCTGCCCGCGGACGCGTTCGACGCGCGGTGCATCCGGGTACAATAGCGGTGTACACTCAGGCAGTCTTGGTTCCTACCAATCGTCCCGCTTACAGCACGCGCTGACCTCAGGAGCTGCGCGGAGAGTCAGCGCGGCCGAGCGAGACATCCGATGGTGTGCACACTTACCTCACAAGCTTCGTAAGGCCCGCCCCGTGGCGCACCATCGCCGTCACATCTAGGGCCACACCCTGGAGGATCAACGTACAAGGCGCCTACGCAAAAATGGCCACCGCTGCCAAAATACCTTCGCCGCACGGACTGGCCATCGCGCAGCGTGTCCCTCCGCACACCGTTGATCTTCAGCTGCCGACCGACCGAGCAGGGGGAGCGCGCAGACCGTGCGCAGGCCGGCGGATCGACCGCAGAAGACGGGGAGGGGCCTCGCTCGCATCTGCGACGCGCTGTGCCGTAAAAAGCGGAGGCGTGCTGGCCTATGCCTGCACGGCCGTGCCCCTATCGCCCATCACGAGGCGGCCGAGGGACAGTCAGCAGGCGCGGCAGGCGGTTCGTGGGCGTGCAGAACCACAGGACGGCTCGCGGCGAACCCTGGGGCATGGACGGGCGTATCAGTTCCTCCGCCTCCATTAGACGCAGCCTAGATTCGCACCGTTTTCGTGGGTCCCCGCCTGGGCAGCAGCGTTGTGCACGCCGCGCGGTCGCGCCAGCGTACGGGCCCGCGGCCTCGCGTATAGTGGGGTCGAGGGTGGGCACACCGCGGCGGCGGCGGCGGCGGACGTCGCCGCGGGACGGGGGGCGGGGACGAGGAGAGCCCGGCTCGGGGCGATTATTGCGACACACGAGGCTATTAGATCATATAGCGGGCGGCGCCGATCTGTCCTGCGTACCGCGATCTGGCGGGACTCACAAAACGTTCGCGGTCTTGCGCCGGCAGGGGCGTCGCGCATCGGCTCGTCCGCTCGATCCTCGATCCCCCGTCCTTCGTCTTCGCTCTTCCGCCCCTGAAGAGAAGAATCCCGTGGATGGCCGGCAGCCCAGCCGTGAGTGCATCGACGCGCAGACGGGCAAACTCAATCTCGCGACCCGCATCACTTGTGTGCACACGAGGAGGACGCACCGTACGCAGGGCCTATTGGAGGGCGAGAGCGAGGGCCCCATGGGCGGCGCGTGCCGCGCCCCGAATTGGATGCCCGGGGCGTACTGGTGGCGCCACGGGCGTAGCGCACTCCTCTTTGGGAAGCGGCGACGCTTCTCCCGTTAAGGAGAGCATGCACAAGTCGGGCGTCCAGCGCAAGGTGCCCCTTCATTCCGCGTAGTAGCGTATTGACGGGGAGTAACTATGACTGCGGGGCTTCATGAGCGGGCTAGGTCCGAGTAGTATGATGAACATCTAGCATTGAGCGGCGGCGGCGCGTGCAACGCCGCGTATGGTTAGTACAATGGGTGCGGTACAGGTAGGTGCGTGTGTGGGTGCGTTCTGGGAGCGTGCGTGGTAAGCGAGCGAGCGTGAAGTGCAGCACGAGCAAAGGAGGGGCGGCGTACAGGGATTCCATAAGTAAGGTATAGGCGGGCAGATCCGTCCAGCATCAGTCCTGGTATGACGATCGTCCAAAAGTGAGTCCATGGCGATGATGACGCAGCAGCGAGGGCCGCTAAGTGGTATGAGTTGCAGGCGACGTTTGGCCGAGATGGCAGACGTGCACGGGGACCATCCGAGGTGCGACAGCGCACCGGGGAGCCTCCGACCCACCGTCTTCCCCCCCTCTCCCCTCATCTCTCCTCCGGTCCCCCTTCGTTCCTCGTACTCGACGCGGTGTGGTATGATCCAGTGCTTTTGCTGCCGAGGAGCATCGCGCCGTGCGTGCTCGTCGTTGGACTGGGCACAAGCTCGCCCATCTCCGCACCTCCCCGGTCGCCGCCATTCAAAGGGACATCGAGCGACAAGGAGAGCGAGACGGCGGCGTCGAGGCTATTCGACCGACTGTTGCTCCGGCTTGGAGGTACGTCCAGCCCAGTGAGCGTGTTCGAGCGCGTCGACGGCCGCGAGACCCCGCGGGTACTCGCGAGGCTCATCACCTCATGCGAGCCGAGCGACTCAATGGTCGGCATTCGGTGGATTGTGCGCCCGACGACGACGTGCGCCGCGTCCTGCCGATCAGCCCCCGAGTAGTACCCTGCAGAAGTGTACTGGTCGTGCTGGGCGTACTGGACCGCCTCGTCTGTCTCGCGCGTGACCTGCTCGACGAGCGCGCGGAACTGGACCGCGAACGTGTTGAGCTCCGCGTCGGGCACGGGGTCCCACGCGTCAGCGCCCGAGCTGCTGCCCTCGGGGCGCGAGGGGCTCGCCATGGGCACAGAGGAGTACGACGAGCCGGGGAACCGGTGCAGCGGGCGCCCGAAGCGGTCCTCGACTCCGAATTCAGAGAGGTCTTCGTCGGACGACGTCGAGGACGTCGGCGACATCTCGCGCACGGGCTCCTGGCGTCCGCTCGGCTTCAGCGCGGTGGCAGACACAGCGCGTCGGATGACCTTGGACCCTGCAGGGGACACGTCCTGCGACATGATCCGCGACCGGGCACTGCGCAGGGCGCGCGGCTCGCTGTTCGTGAGGCTCACCGCGCGGTCGCGCATCGCAGGTGGGGATTGACTGCCTTCGGCGGACACGGGGGCCGTCGTGCTCGACGCGGTGGTTGCCGTGTTCACGGGGTGGAAGCTGCGTGACGACGCGGTCGTGCCAGTGCGCGTGGATGGAGGCGGGAACGAGGAGGTGGAATGGCGAAAGATCGACGTATGTCTGCGGCGCGATGGTTGTCGTGTGACTATGTACTTGTAGGACACGGCGTGGTAGGCGATCTGCGGATATACGGTTTACCCCGGTAAGTTCATAGGATGCAAGCGAAGAGCAAGACGACGTACGAGGATCACGCCGGTCACCAGCAGTCGAATGAGTGCACCCGCAAGCCAGTAGCCCCACGCAGGGGAGGGATCACATTGGCCGCCAATCCCAGACCAGACAACGTCGATGTCCCAGTGACACCTGCCACGGAGGCTGTTGACGGTATCTGACGCGTCCCTCCATAGAAAAACCAACACGAAGTTCACTACAGCAGGCGCAAAGAGACAGAGGGAGGATGAATAATCTAGGAAGTCTTGCAAGAGAACGTGGGTCGACCGTGGCCGGTAGTACCAGCCGAAGTGAGGGGCCGACGCAGCGATAATGATAGAGACGAGGAGGCACGCGAGGGACATCGCGGCGCAGGAGCCGAGGACAAGGTTGATGATCTGGCGGTCCCGGTAGAGATGTAGCATCGCGCCGACGTAGTAGCGCACCGTGTTGTACACCGCCCAGCTGCCTTAGGAGGCGAGCGCGTATAAATGAGTCGCCCACCCTGACACACACAAATCACGAAGCACTCACATATTACACCCAGCAAGACCCGTCCTGTCCATCGTAACCTCTGTAACCGCTTCCGCACCGACCGCTCCCAAAGACTTCGTCGCTCTCTTGGAGTAACAGGATCACCCTGCAATGTCAACCCCTGCGGTCTTGGTTCCGGCGCGCTGCTGGGATGTGTGGGCTGTCGTGCGAGCAAGTCGAGGTAGACAGAGGACTCCGAGCCGCCGGGGTGGATCAAGGGCTCGGTGGGGTGGGAGTGTTCTGACGTGGATGTTGTAAGGGTGACGGTCGACACGGAGGAGAGCGTGCGGTCGTGTGGCCCGCGGCGGTTGGGCGCGCGGTGCGCGAGCGAGGCCGGGGGTGGTGGGTCGGCGGTGAAGATAGCATTGTGCAGGAAGACGGCAGCGGCCATCGACGCTGCAGCGCGGGGCTGTGGCGCTCAGGAGGGCACTACGCACTGGCAAATGGGGGCGCGCGGTATGCAATGTCGCGGCCGTGTGTTCGTTTTGGACGCGCTCCGTGAGGCACCTGCGGAAAAGCTAAATTGTCAGTCCTGGCAACCCGACGCGCGGGGGTAGCAACAGAAGCGGGAGAAGGAAAGCTCACGGTGCGCGATGTCTCCAGTGCGCCGCTTTATAAGTCTGCACGACCTATAAGCTACGCAGATCGTTGTGGCACTGGCCACTTGATGGACGAGCTGTGGCCGCGACTAGTCGTGCTGTGGCCGACGTCGTTGGAGGTCGACCAGGGACCTTCCCATATCCGGACTGATGGCGGCGTAGGCGACGGCACACAGGAGAGCAAATAAGGAAATTCGCTTAGATATGCGCAGCATCAATAGCAAGAGCAGTGTGTGCACGCCATTCGCCGCGGCGGCGCAGTAGGGATGAGGAGGACACACACAGGGACGGCACGAGGGGCGAATGAGGGCATGGCTTTGCAAGGTGGGGGGTTTATGAGGTGTTCGGGACGCCACACAGTTCCACCATCCACAGATATTTGTGCGGTTTGAGCGGTGGATCGCAATCTTAAACTAACTTTAAATTTACGCGAGATCCGTTTGGTGCTAATTCCCGATTGACTAACGGACGACGACTCGACTCGAAACTCCAGGCGGTCAGACAGAACTGAGAAACAGATGTCGAGAGGTTAGGGGTGTAAAAGCATAATAGTACTGTACAAATTGTCCAACGGCATAAAACGTATAAGGGATCCAGCAAGAGGTGCCAGCGGGGTTGAATGAACCAAAATAGCGCGCCCCAGACTGTGAGTCCCAGGAAAAAACCTCCAAGATAGACAAGAAGCCCGGACATGTGCACTGGTATACATGTCAACTGTTGACAGGAGAGACGGCGCATTCGGCATGGGTACAGGTATGCAGGGCCATCACGGGGAGCACGATGCCTTTCGAGCACATCTGGCGGCGGCGAGTCAGCGTTCAGAGGGAGCGACAGCGGCGAGCGGAGGTACGCCGACATGAGCACTGAGCGTGGGCGCGGAGCCCAGCGAGAATCGACCGCACGGTACGAACACGGCAGGAAATCGGGGATGTGCTGCACACAGTGCCAAGTAAGTCGACGGGAACACACGGGACACCGACTAGTGGGGCGACTTACAATATTGAATCACGGGGATGCCGTACAACCCCTCCCGTCCCTGGGGGTATATGGGTTGCTCCACGTCGGTGTCGACGCCCATCCGCCCCGTCTCCTCCACGCTCGCTAACTCTTCTGCCCGACCTCATTCAATTTTGGAGTCGCAGCACCGCCCACGGCCTCCCGCTGGCTCCGGGCTCCCTGGGTACTCCTCCCCTATCAGAGAATTCATCGCCCCACCTATCCTCAGCGGAGTTGCGGCTTAGGACCGCTAACGCCGAGGAGGCCTCTCGACTGTACAGCGTCCTTGAGAAAGTGCAGCAAAGAACGGCGTACCCGGTATGTCCAGATCGCAGTAATAACGTCCATGACCAGCCCATAAACAAACGGGGTGCTGGCGCTCCAACGGCCGATACTGAGCCACCTTCACTAGATGTAGTGCGAGAAGGCCGAGGAGCCTCATACTTCCGGCAGGCAGTGTTCCGTGCATGCGAAGCGTACTGTGTAAAGTCCAGTGAGTACCATAAAACGAAGCAGTTGATGCCAGTATACTCCATAGTCGTTGCGCACCTGAGTATCGCGGCTACCACCTGGTTGATGTGGCTGTCGGGACGCGTTCCGAATGCTCCTGTCTCTACCATGAAAGTCCCTCCAACACCCCGTCGGCACACTCGAGGCATCTTTGATGTGCGTCGCCCTCAGTCAACCCGTCGGATAGGTCGACTGTGCGATGAAAACAGATGCGACGTGGACGGCTTCTTACCAGCAGAAACGTCTGGGGATATAGGATACGACGTAGTCCGGGTGATCGTTGACCATGGTCAAAGCTGGGTTGCTAGAGACTGCCAAAGCGGGTGCTTGGGCTTCAAACCCGGGTTGAAAGGTTGTATGGGCTGGGGGTCATCTCCATACCGTGAAGTCGGAAGCTCTCGGTTCACATACGCGCGTTGGGCTGTTGATGCGAGGATGGTGATAAGGGACTTAACGAAGTGCCGACGGTGAGTTGAATATTGCTGGTCCTAAAACATAAGGGGCGTACCTGCGTATGCCCAGTCCACCCCACATGGGCTGTATAAGACTGACTACCCGCTCAAAGATTGGAAGTCGGCTGCGTGTGATTTCAGGGCGTCCCGAGTATCAGCGTCAGACCCGGGGCGATTCCTCCAGACTTGCAGGTGCCGGAGAGCTAGAGATAAGGCGAGATCGTCGAAGCGGGAGTGGTCTTTGCGTTCATGTTGATGAGGTATGATGAATGGGGGGAGGAACGGTCCACGGTTGGCTGCGCGATGCGTCGAACAAAGGGAATCCTGTGAAGCGCCCGTCTAAGTCAAAATTATGCTCCCGCTTACCTCACTCCAGCGTAGAGAACGCCGCCGAAGGCCTTTGCCGGTTCAGCTGAAACAACCTCCACACCACTTCGCGCGGGGCACTGCTGAATAACGGTGTGTACTTACAAGACCTGGAGTGAGTAGATGCTCGAATAGGAAAGCTGTGCAACAGTACAAGCGTGGCACGAATATGTCCACCCCAACAATCCAACGGTGCAACGTGTATACGTGAGAAACCAAAACAAACGGCGGAGCATCATGAGAGGGCGCCCCAAAGCCCGAGCCCAGTGAAGAATCCGCCGAGCCCGACGAGCAGCCCGACGTACGCTGTCGTGTGGACGCCGATTCGGGGAAGCACGGGCGGCGAATGCAGCAGCGACAAGAATAGGTGTGCGAGAACGACCACGGGGAACGCGATGCCCAGTGCGTGATTTGAGTAGATCGTCGGTAGAGGATCAGTCCCGATGGGGAACGACAGTGGCGAGCGGAGGTACGCCCATGCCAGGACGAGCGTGAAGCCCAGCGAAAACAGGAAGGAGTCGATCCGCTGCAGACACGGAACGAACACGGGGATGTACTGCGCACGCGGATATTAGCAGGGTCGCACGGGACGCCGAAAGGTGGGGCAACGTACGATCACGGGGACGCCATACACCTCCTCGAGCTCTTCGCGCTCCTGGAGATGCATAAGCTGCTCCACGTCCTGGTCGACGGCCATCCGCACCGCCTCCTCCACGCTCACGGGCTCTCTCCGCCTCTGGCTGCCGTTAGCCTTCGGGGTCGCGGTACCCTCCGTTCCCGTGGCCTCCCGCTCGTTCCGGGGGCTTAGGGGCATGTACTCTCTGCTCCCGTGCGCACTCCCGCCACTCGCGCTCCGCTCGGTCATAACGGCTGCCCTCGACACGGCTAAGATTTCGCGTACCCGCTCCTCGGGCACCATGACGTTACTGTACAGCGCGAGCTGCCGGTACCCCTGCGTCACGCTCGTCGCCGCGTCTGCGACCGCCCAACCAAGCGCGAGCCACCATGCCGTGGTGAATGCGGGATCATTCCAAGTCGGAAGGGGGTAGAGCATCTCGTGCCGCACCCGGAGCAGCGCGAGCGCCGCTAGGCGTAGAACCTGGCTGAGCAACACGTATGTGGTGTTGAACGCGACTGTGTTCCAGCCGGAAGGGAATAAGGCTGTGGCCGCGTTGTAAAGTGGGACGCGCAGCGCGTGCGTGAAGCTATAGAATGCGGCGGATAGTAGGATTTCGGGGAGAGGTGAAGGGAAGGAGCGCGGGAGGGTGGGCGAGGCGGGATAGCGTGGCGGCCATATCCACCGTACGAGGTTGGCGAGTAGAAGGAAAGTGACTATACAAGTCAAAGGGACGAGGCCGTAGACGGCCACTTTCCTTGGGTAGGAGCCTGACGGAATAAAAAGTGGGTGTAAGTATCAGGTACTCCATTTCTTCTGGTGAAGGCCACACTGGATTCCCGAGCTACCTCAGCCATTGGCCGGGAGCTGTTTGTTCGACCATACGCAGTAAAAAGCCCCAGACAAAAGAGGCCAATCCTTTCCTGAGGAGTCGCCAAATTGTCTGAATTTGACCGCCATTTCTCCAGGTGGTATATGGGCCCATGATGAAGGAGACATTGTATACACAGAGTCCTTCGAGAGAGACGTCGTAACGTCGATACAGATGGTTGAAGAGAAGAACGGGCTTCAGAACGCCTGCGCGCCCAAAGTTGCGCCCATTCCTGGAGGTCTCAAAAGGCCTCATGTCGATATAAAAATTCATCCCTAAGAATTGAGCAGTGGGAGTTCCTCGAAAGAGACGGGATAGATGACAAGTGTGGCAAATAGGCGAGCAAATCAATATTCCGACTCATCAACATTTGCTACTGCTCGCCGCATCTGCCACTCACCGGCCGACGAGCGCCCTGGTCAGAGCCATTTCCCCCCAACGCTAGGGTCACTCTGCCATGCGCAAGCGGTTTACAGTTGGGATATGGTAGCGGAAGCGGGTAGAGATTGGCGAAGGCCGCCCGACCGTACAGATCGCCGCGCGGTTCCTCCGGAGTCCATACGACTCGCAAGAGGCACGGCGAGACTTGCCATACGTTCGGGATGCTTTGGCTGATCGCACATTCTGTCCACGAGTGCAGCGTCCACACCATACTACGACCACAGCCATAAGCAGACTAGGTAGAAACTCACCGCTATAATAGCCATACTCCGCGAGATCCCACTCGTCTCGCTCCTGGTCCGCAATCTCCTCTTCTCCATCGACAGTCGTCTCCTCCGGCACGCGGTCCAGCCAGCTGTCTCTCCGGTAGCGTTCCGGGCTCGCACGCAGCGTCGAAGGCGACTCGCCGGAGATCGTTCCGTAGGACTGCGAGGGTCTTGAGGGCCCGTGCGTATCGACCGCAATGAGCGGTCTCCGCGCCATATCCTCTGCGTATCGGTCGCTCTCGAGGCTGGAGTCGGAGGTGCTGCGAGGTAGACCGCTGGCGGTGGTCGAGAGGGTGTGCTCCCGCGCGTCCCTGTCTTCCCCCGAGTATACGCGGCGGAGCTGTTCACGCACGGCTGGGGCCGCCGCAGCGGCGGCGGCAGCGATGACTCGTCCGAAGCCCATAGCGGTCGTTTGATGAGGTCAAGTGCGGCGTAGTTGTGGTCCGGGGCCAGTCATGGGTTCGGCGAGAGGCAGCGGAGGATGTGAAGCTGTCGTAGCGGTCGAAGACGCGATGGTCACGACTGGAGGCGCAGTCGAGAGCGCCGAGAATCAGGTGCCCGCGAACGGCGTCAGGGGATCGCGTCGGATGCTCTCATTTTACGCAACGGCATCGCCATGCACGACATGGGAAGATGGAGAATATGTATATTGTGGCTAAGCTATGGGGACACATGGCCTATGATTATATGGCTGCGTAAACAACGCAGAGCCCGCTACCCTCACAGTGAGCGAATATTGCCACGCAAACCGGGCGGAGTGCATACGAATGCACCTTTATTATGCTGAGTGATATATTATATCTGCTGATTCCTCAGCGTGCTCGGTACCAAATTATGACACTTCGGATTGAGTACACCAGACGAGGCCCCTGTTGTTGTTCCCTCTATGTCGTATGCTTCGGGGTGATTACGGCTGTACTCGGTACCTGAGGTGCGCTGAACGCTTCTTGTAGCCTTGAGCCGATCTGGATGCTGGGTATGACGCGCTAACGTGCTGAAATAGCTCACAGGCATCGTGGAGAGGGCATGCAGAACATTCGACGATGTCTCCTGCCATGGGAAGAATAACTGTCTTTGAACAGTACAGTCATATGGATCGACAAGTGATGCCTACGATAAATCAACAAACCTGGTAGGAATAACGATCGGAGATTGACTTACCTAGCGAAGACGAAGAGCTCATGCCTTGGGAGGCAATGGTGGGGATGCCTTCGGAGGTGGCGGTGGAGGGTCCTCTTCATCCGCTTCGTCAGTGAAGAGAAGCGTAGACTCCTCCGGCTCGCCATTGGTCACAGAAACCGCCTTCTGCAGACGGTCGGCGGTCACGGCCAGTGGTTCGTCGTCTCCCAGCCTCGCATGATCCTCGTCGTAGTCATCGTCCAAGAACTCTCGCGCAGACGGCCCTTCATCCATAGACAGTCGTATGCGACCGTCGTTACGAGAGAAGCTCGTCAACCTGAGTTTACGGTGAGTTGCCGATATGCACGCGAGAGCTGAACATAACGCACTGATGTGCGACGACGCCCCGGAGCGCAGATGCACGGCGCCAGAGGAGAAATAGCGCGCATAGAGTGCATGTGGTGAATAGGAAGACGAAAGGTGCGTTTCCTAACGGCTCCGGCTTGTGTGAGGGGCGTGGCTCTAAGCTTTTGTGAGCACATCAGTACATAGGTAGGACGCCAATTGAGAAGTTGAGGTGCTGCATGTCCTGGGACATGTCGGGCGCCCGCCGCCGCGACCGGACTGCTCGAAGAGCAAACTTTCCCTCCACCACATGTATACGTGGTGCAGCTCTAGGGATATGCCCATATGCGAGTCCAAGGACATCCTGACGTACCTGCAGCAGCTTGTAATGCCGGCATGGTTGGAGGTCGGCCTCAATGGTACGCGTAAGGAGCAGCTAGGCTCACAGAGCTCTTGAGCGAAGATCAATTCAAGAACAGGTCGACCCAGAGCCAGTCCAGTAGTGAAGGTTACGAAAGCGTAGGTGGAGATGGTCGTTGCAGTCAAGGTGAGGGAGGCAAGAGGGGAAGCGAGGGTCGTAAATAAGCGCCATGCCCACGTGGGTGTGTGGCAGCTTCTCGTAGTTTACGCGGTGACTGCGAATGGCACTTCGCGATCAGGCTCAACCAGTCTCAACCGCGACATCCTGCACCACAGCCATGCTTTTCGCGCGTCTTCCAAGAAGCATGCTACTCTAATTGCGAATCGTTTTGACATTCTTCGTAAAGAGAAGCTCGAAAAAATTATGCAACATGCAAACTAATGGCACCGCCGTAGTATGTGCTCCCAACCCATACCACTTATGGGTCCAAGGCTCCATTAACTACGTGATTACACACTCCGTGAGTAATGGCGGCAGGTCATCACGATCGGGAACGCGAGTACTAGAGTCTAAATGCATAGAATACGGCGGACGAGCTTGAGGAACTTGTAACTGCGAACGGTTGAGCCCAACCAGCGGAGTAGACGTATGCGCAACGAGAACGGTGGCGGCCTATGTGAACTCCACGCCGACTGGAACTCAGGGGCAGTGCAGGACCAGTACAACGAGGGATCGTTCATGGCTAGGTAATTTTGCTCCAAAGTGATAGGCGACTGCAGAATTTCTGGAGTGGTGTCTGTCTCGATGCGGTGGATGAAGTAGAGAGCTTCCGCAGCGGTGAACCGCTCACTGACGACGTGTGTGGTCATCTTGCCGAACAAAGCCGCCAGCATCGGGACTGTGGGTATCGCATTCTACAGGACCGTCAGCGTCTACGGATGTCGGGGAGTGCGTGCGTTCCTGACCGTCAAGTAGTTAATGAACAAGAAACCAAGACATCCGACGTCGTATGCGAACGGATTATAGAACGGCTCGCATTGCAGCACGTCGTCAGGATGGTACACGCTAACGCCTAGCATGGCTTCCGAGGCAGGCCGCCGGCAATTCTTGAGAGACGTTTCGAGTGGGAGCTGTAGCGACAGGTTGAAGTCGAACAGAGCGTAAGTGATGGGCCTCGACCGACTGCTGTCGCGTATCGCTTGTTGCCGGGTGTCGCAATTCACTTCGTGGTAACAATAGTAGTCCGCGAGGATATTGCTTTCGTGGATATCCTGCAAGATTGTTCAGCGGGTGGGAAGAAAAAAGGTGCACCATGCGAACATACCCGATGAGCTATTCTGTGTTCGTGGAGGAAAGACAGGCCCTGCAGATGCCCCGTTGATATGTGATACGGAGAGCTTGATGCGGACGACGTACGGTGAGTGTGCATCTGATGAAATTCAAAACCCCTTGGATCGTATTCAGGTCTTCGATGGAATGATACGTCCCCCACCTGGTGGGGCATCGTGAGCATGTGTACCTAGGCCTTCCTCACTCACTATACGTACAAAGGCGTTACAAGGAAGCTAAAGCGGTAGGGTGACCTAACGATAGCGACAGGCGGAATGATGCACGCAAACTTGCTTTGGTCGAAGAGCTCTTCACAGCGCGAAAGATAGAGGTTGATATCTTCCTCAATGGAATTCTTGAAAACGGTCTTGACGACGACGTTTCGCCGCTTCGTGTCGTAGCCACAGGCGAACATATCCTACTCGGATCAGCCCTGACTCCCTACTGCGCGAGATGTTAAACTCTTACCAGAAGAGAGACTCTAGTGGGCTTGGCATGTGTGGTACACTGGGTTGCAAAAGGGAGCTTCGGAGCTGTGTCTTGTTGCAAAAATGTCCAACAACATCTCTCGGCATCCCTGGTAGAAAGCGTGATTCCGACCTTGGTGAAGGCACTTTGATAGCCTTTCCAAAAGGGGTCAATTGGCTGATGTAGCTCTATGCATGGTGGCCAAGGAGGGTCACACTCCACTATAGAGCCGTCGACAAGCTGTGAGGAGGAAGAGGAGACCATTGTGAGTACATATGCAACCAACCGCAGTGCATTTGGGTGACACGTACGTCGGGGAAGGGTGTGCTTTCCTCCTTTGTATCTTCATCTAGGTGCAGAGAGTCATAAACGATACATTCTGCATCCAAATCCATGGACTCTTTCGTATGAAATCTTGAAGGACGGGTCCGGCCGAACGAGTGGTTGAAACTTGAGCTTGTGGGCGCCTATGAGCGCCCACGCCGGTGCATGGCCCTGGGTTCCCAAATGGGCACCTCATGAAGCGGGACCTAGCTGCGGATCGCACTTCGTCCTCAACCTCCATCGTAGCCATGTCCTTCCCGCTACTTTGCTATACTCCCTGACAACACATGCTGCTCTACCTACAAATCATTTGAAATTCTTCGTCACGAAAGGCTTGAATAATTACGCCACATGCGAGTTAGCAGTGCGTGCAAATCTGTGTAAATGTAACATGGCGCATTCCCCAATGAGCAGGTAAGTAAACCCGTCCTCGACGACCCAGTAAATAACAGCGATGCGATGGTACCATAATAATCATCTCAAGCACAATACAGGAGCCCTATGCGATCCAAAACATGTCCCCAGCTATGCTGGCGTGTACGCCGGCGGGGATTCGTCGTCCTCCAATGCACGCATCAACTCGCTCTGTGGTGGTGGCACGTACCCCGGTGCGCTCGCATTCGACGGTCCGCTACTCGACCCAGCCTCGGACACCGCCCCAGGCGTATGCGGTCGACTTCCACTGCTGCTGCCCAGGAACGTGCCCCCGTCCTTGCGATCCGAGCCAGCCGTCGACGACCCCGCACCGGGTGTGCCAAGCCCATCTATCGTCCCTCGTCGCGCGGCCTCCATTGCGAGTGCCTTCTGTGACGGCAGTACATCGGGCGACTGCAGGCCCGACCCGAACGACGGCGAGCTCGGGGGAAGCCCAGGTACGAACATCAGCCCGCGATCCCCGGTCTGCTCCATTGCGGCGGCCTGTGTGGGGTTCACGAACGGCATGATATGTGGCGGGGAATCTAAGGTGAGTACGCGGCTCGTCAGTGTGAATGTTGAGGGATATACAAAGGCCCACGGACCTTGCTGGGCGACGGAGCCGTAGTCGTAATCGGGAGGAGGCTTTGGCCGTCGCTTGTACCAGCGAAGCAGACTGATAAGCAGCATCAGGAGCACCGCGGTCCCACCTATTGCCGCGCCAATGATGGCACCTTTCGGGACGGAAGACCCGCGTGCAAATGCTGAGTTTACTGGCGCTGTGACATCTGCTTCAGTAACACTATGCTGCAACGTGGGCGTGAGTTTGAACTGACCAGATGTCGCGGAGGCTGTAGATGTCGACGAGGACGTATCTGACGTGGTTGCTGTTACAGATACAGATGAGAATCCTAGGGTCACACTACAAATAGATGGCACACACCTGTGGCAGAAGCACTGGACGTACCCGACGTCGCCGAGCTCGAGGTCGAAGACGCAGACGAAGATGGGGCCGGCCCCGGGACCTCGATCGCGATATAGTCCAAGTAATAAGGCATGTTCGCCGTCGAGGACGTGATGTTGACCCAGAGCGTGTACGTCTTATTAGGCATCCCGCTCTGTGACCAGAAGTTCACGTTGTTTACTGGGCTGGTGACATTGCTCGCCACATACGGCGCCATCGCGGGGATGCCCGCATAGTCGTACCCGATCACACTGTACTTGGACGTCGTGAGCGGCGCGAAGGACGCGGTCGGCGGGCGGATGCTCCCGTACACCGCTACGCTGAGTCCTGCGCCGCGCGAGCGTCAACACTCGTTACTCGCGGAGTGGGCCGCGAACGTAAAGCATAGCGGGTACTCACCTGAGAAGGTGAACTCCAAGCTGATATCCTCCAATGCAGCCACCTGCAAGCTATTGTTGTAAATCGCGCCCTGTTTCGCCTCGTCCTCGCTCGCGCCGTTCAAGGTCGTCCACCCGCGCCCATGGTATGGACCGAACTGCTCGATATTGCGATAGATTATGCGCGGATCGGTGTTGTCCACCTTGACGATGTGGGACGTCATGAGGGGTCGTGAACGCGCCGGGCGCGATGTCGTAGTCCAGCGAGGGAAGAAGAGAGTGAGAGGGAGGTGGCGGGAGCGCAACGCGAGCCGGGGTGCACGACATCCTCGGGTTCACCGACTTGGCCACCGAGGTATGAAATTGATGGTGTCGGCCCTCGCGGGCGGTGGATGAGACAACATCGCATGGCCTCGCGTGGGTCGCGTCAACGTACATGCGCGAGGTATGCCGCGCCCGGCGTAGTGCGGCTATCTTCAGATCCGCCTCAACTCCCGGAGCACATCCACCTATGTACGTACGGCTGTGACCTCCAGAGTACGTGCTCCTCGAGGACTTGGAACGGTCAGAAAAAGGCGACAAACACCACACTAAAGCTGAACAATATTGTCGAAGTCTAAATGAATGTTGTCCTGAGGTCCATTTCCGAAATCCAGTGGTGATATCTACGATCATCCGTGATCAGGCACGCTGTGTTCGATCTTGGCGACCTGTATTGATGCGTTAACCTCGGAGGGTAAGTGCGTTTGCCGAACTACATTATCTCAACACTTACCAGTCAGTTTACCTATTAGTATAAGGGCCCGGTGAACTATCATCATACTACCCACTCGGCCCCACAACTCCCCGAATGCGATACAACTGAACAAATACCTCCACGACCGGGCCATCCGACTCCGCGCGCAACATGGCCACAACCTCACGACGTACGTAAACCCGAAACTTACAACATCGCGGCCCATCGAGGCGTCAGCGAGGCGTGTATGCTGGCGGTGACTCCTCTCCTTCATGCAATCCCTCCGCGCAAGCAGGGTTCGATGCTGCACCCTCCCAATGCACTCGCACACCGCCGCGCGGATTGGCATCTCCCGAGGGGGCTGGGGACGGCGGGGGCGTTGCGTACGGTGGTCGAGCCATCGCAAGGGCGTCATGGTGCGCGGCTTCTCGCATAGCATACACGAGCTCGGGCATCACGAAAGGCGTCACCAGCGGAGGTTCTGAAAAAGGAGGTGTCAGTATTGCTGCTGAATAGTGCATAACGCCTTGGAATAACATACCTTCATCCTGCTCGCCCACGAACTCGTACTGATACTCTGGGGCACCCCGGCGTCGCCGCGCGCACCTGTATACGGCGATAGCGACCACCGTGGCAATGAGGACGGCAGCAGCAGCTGCAACGCCCACAATCGCGCCGATGGGCAGAGACTCATGGTTCGACAGAGACGACACCGGCATTGGAGGGCTTGTCGACGCTGCCTCCGCACTTGAGCCGGACACGGGTGCGGCCGAGGCCGATGTCGAAACGGATGTGGGCGCGGAGTCGGGCACCAGAACCGCAAAGTAGTCGAGGTAGTACGGGGAATCGATAGAGGTGCGCGTAACGTTCACAGTCAAAACGTATGTCCCGTACGGCATGTCATTCGAGGTAAATAGATTGATGTTGTTCTTCGGGACGGTGAAGTTCGGCGCCTGGAACGAGCCCGTCGAGATGTTCGTCGTGGACCCCGCGCCCACGACGGCGTATTCGGATACCGTCAGTGGAGCGTACGTCGTCGAGGGCGGCCAAACGCTACCATACACCGCGACGCGCGTGCCTTCGAGTCCGCGTACGCGGTAGCAGCGACATCCATCGGGATCAGTCAAGTCATCCTGCGTGCACGAGCAACTAGCAGACGCACCACTGAACGGAAACTCCAGACTGGTGCCTGTGAACGTGGCGGCATGCAGCGTCGAGTTGTGAATAGGCCCCTCGAAGTTCTCGTTCAGACTCGCGCCCGTGTACGGAGACCAGCCTCCACCCTGACTAGAACCCGACTGGGCAGCAGCGATGTACTTGATAGCGTCCGTGTCAGAGTCGTCGACCACCACTGTGCGAGAGGACATATCAGCCAATGGCGGGAAGGACGAAGAGGTACAATGGGACGTCAGGACGCACCGGTTGCTACACAGGCGACCCGGGGGCTGTAGGACTCATGTCGGTCTGTCAGCGTGATACATATCATGAGGAAGGCGCATGTCATCGATGCCTCCCACCGCCAGGCTCCGGCGGCAGGTACGAGCGTCCAAGTTCCGCAGCGTTCCCACTGGACCCACAACGAGAAGCATGCCGCCCGGTCAGGCGGCTGCCGAAAATGAATATGCTGATGAGTAAACGGGCGGCATGTGTAGAGGTGCGACGTAGCGACAGTCAGGTGTGGTAAGTCTCCGTCATCATCCACGGTGCAACCAAAGCTTAACAAAGTCCACAGAAGTGACATACAGACCCAACTACACCATATACCGCCCGCACCGCTCGACTACATCGCGATCGCGATGGCATCGTGCGCCGGAGCAGGCGTGTACGCGGGCGGAGATTCTTCGTTACCTGTATCGCGGTTCTGCTCTTGATCATGCGAGTCCGCGTTCGCACCGCCTACGGTCACAGCGATAGCGCTTGAGAGTCCTAGGGGAGACGGCACTACTGCATTATCCGATGCAGAGGTGCTGCTGTTGGTGGCGTCGGAGAGCGGGCGGACAGATGCAGCGGACAACGCCTTCTTCGAGAGTATGAAGGTGTTAGGTGACGCTGATGGGGTGTACGGCGTCATCTCAGGGGTCGAGGCAAGGCAGTGATCTCCGCGTTGCACCATGTCGGCAAGAGAAGAGGGTCCGGTGTACGATGTCCCCGCCAGGGGAGGATCTAGGACGTAATGGGTCAAACCTCGTGCCCCTATGAGTACTGCCAGGACGCACCTTGAAACCCCATGAAGCCATAGTCGAACTCGGACGAACCTCGGCGACGGCGTCGCATATGCGCGCAAATGATGATGATGACCATCACTGCTATCACTACAACGCCGCCGATGGTAGCGCCCGCGATTGCACCGACTGGCAGGGACGCCTTAGTCGATATGAATCCCGGAAGCGAGGGGAGCACGGTGACGCCTCCGGAGCTGCTCTGGGAGGATGATGGCGAAGACGACGAGGGCGCGATGGTGGGCTGCGATGTCGTGGAGGATGGTGTGGAAGAAGAGCTGGGTGCTGGGCCCGGGACTTGTACCGCGATATAGTCCAGGTAGTAGGGGGAGTTCTCGGACGCGGTAGTGATGTTGATGGTCAAGACATAGGAGTCATAGGGCATGTCGTTGGACGTGAAGAAGTTGACATTGTTCTTGGGCGACGTGAGATTCGGCGCTTGGAAGGGCTGCATGGACGGGCCCCCTCCGTAGTCCCAGCCGGGGATGCTGTACTGAGACAGCGTGAGTGGTGCGAATGTCGCAGTCGGCGGCCAGATGCTGCCAAAGACTGCAACACGCGTGCCTAAGTGGTGTAGAAGATAGATATGTCGTATATCCTGGTAACGGGGAAAATACCAAGGCTCACCATTGAAAGGGAACACGATGCTGGTGTCCTCGACAGTCGCTACATGCAAGGTCGAATTGTAGACGGGCCCTTCCGTTTGCTCGTCTAGGCTGGGTCCCGTCTGAGTCGACCAGCCCTTGCCCCGGAAAGGCCCGAGCTCTATGTTTATGTACTCGATGATGTCCGTAGCGGAGTCGTCAAAAATGACCGTATGAAAAGACATGGGTGAACCGTTAGAAGTCGAAGGGAGTTGTGGCCCTTTCGGGGCAGGGGGTGGTAGGTCGGGCTCAGGTTTAATGCCAATGGCAGGGGCCCGCGGGGCTTATATCGACACAGTCAACGCTGAATATAACGTATCGCATCGATATGGGCGGGCCGCGAAAACGGGGCGCTCTACCCACCATTCAGCGCTGCTGATGGTGGACCCACAATGCATCACACGCCGGAAAAGCGGTGGTCGAAGACTGCCTCATGGACCGAGCGCGTGTTCAGCGTGCCAAAGTCGTCCGGCCTTCGGCAGGGTGTTCCACATGTTAGCTATATATGGGTCCTTGATCATATAGCAGACGAGTAAGCAGATTGGAGAAGCGTTGGGAGGGAGGGAGAGAGAGAGAGAGAGAGAGAGAGAGAGAGAGAGAGAGCTGGGCGTAGCATCCGTCGATATTGGGCCGGCGCTTATAACCGAAATCGGTCAAATTCGGATCTACCACTCTAAATATCGAGTTTCGCCCGCTTGTCGTTCTCCTCCAGCCTCTTTGATTAGCTGTGCCGCTAGCTCTCTCATCTTAGCTTTGCTCATATATCAACCTCTGTACATCGCGCCTGATGTCGTACTCTAATCGACGGTCACTTGCGCAGCAGGCCTAGTGGTTCGTTCAGAATAACTTCAAGTCTTGATTGCTAGCGTTTCCCATTACATATGGTGACTGGTGTAGTCGACTGACGCTACTTAACGCGCATAGTCGCTAGTACTGCGCTGTTAACAGCTCCTACTTGTCAGACCTCAGAACACGAAGCGGATGTGAGGGCTCAGCGAAAGAAGCAGAGCTCCCCGGCAATGTTGGCATAATACGTCACCGCTTATTGATATCCCTATGTAGCGGGGAACACTAGATAGCTACTGCGCGCCCGACAATACCAGCGGGCGTGGCGAGAAGCTGTAGCTGCGTGCGGTAGTGGTGTGTCATCTTCCCCCGTCTTCGCGAGCGCGTCAAACTTACATCTCCCTATCTCCCTACACATGCCCGCTTCACCGGGCGCGACTACGGCCTCCTAAAGTGCGCATTGTAAAGGCGTATGCTTGAGGCTCATAAAAGCCTTGCCTCTGACTTCGGAATCTTGAAGATCTGCAGCCCATCCTCCTCCTATGCCTCATATTCGAACGTTCTGCCGCGATGTCTGACAAACCCAGTACCTTCTAGTCGTCGGGTGACCGCACTGTTTGCCACGGTTGGTACCCCATGGCTGATTGGATTTATAATGACGTACGTGCTATGTCCGACAGCCATGGATTGCGTGAGACCCTCTTAGTCTGGTCGAGCTACGTCGATGCGACGGCCACGGAAGCGCATACACGGCGCTCAACCAGCAGGAAGCCCTCCAGGCCCCATAGCCGAGGGCTAGTGGAGGCATTTAAGTCGCCAAGTCGCCACCGTTCTTGACGTCGACTGCAACCCGACACTTCTACCGTCTCTATTGCACAATGTCGACTCAAAAGGCACTCCTCATGCCCACCCCCGGCGGTTCGTACACCGTCGGAGAAGTGGCAGTCCCGCGCCCAGGCCCGAACGACGTTTTGGTCGAAGTCCAGGCGGTTGGGCTCAACCCGGTCGACTGGAAGGTTGCCTTGCCCGAATACGTGTCACTCGGCTTGGTCCCTGGCTATCCATTCACGCCAGGCAGCGATGGCGCGGGCGTAATCGTCGAGGTCGGCGCGGAGGTCTCGAACTTCAAGAAAGGTGATCGCGTGTAAGTTACGCTTTGCAGTCATAGATGGCCGGTGCAGATACTGATCTCGCGTCCTTGGGATTTTGCAAATGCCAGGCTTTTCCAAGGCTCGCGGATGCAGACCGGATTCGGCACATTTCAGGAGCACAGTCTCGTCCGTGTGCCGTTGCTGGCAAAGGTCGGTCAGCATGTCCTTACGTCTAAGGTGATTTAGATGTCTGACCGATACCTGGTAGATCCCAGACAACATGAGCTTCGACGCAGCAGCCACAGTCCCCTCCGGCCTTGTATGCGTCGTGCTCGCGTTCTACAACCAGGGGAGCGAGCAGGAAAGCCTCGCCCTGAAGCCGTTCTGGACCGAAGGCGGAAGCACCGCGTACGCCGGGAAGCCCATCTTCATCCTCGGCGGCGCGACCTCCGTCGGGCAATATGGTACGTCCCAAAGTCCACATTTATATCTCCGTCTTCGCTTTCCTGACGACAGCACTATGCAGCCATCCAGCTCGCAAAACTGTCAGGCTTCAGCCCGATCATCACCACCGCGTCCCCGCGCAACGCCGCCCTGCTCACCTCCCTCGGCGCAACACATGTCGTCGACCGCACACAGTCCGCAGACGCGATCCTCGCAGACGTGCCCGCGCTCACCGGCGGGAAGCCAATCGACGTCATCTTCGACGCCGTCTCGGACGCCAGCACGCAGGCCCTCGCGTACAGAGCGCTCGCGCCTGGGGGCCCGGGGCTCATGCTCGTCCTGCCGGACGCGATCCCAGCAGAGCTAAAGAAGGACGGGGGGCAGAAGCGCATCATGATGGTGCGCGGGAACGTGTACCTCGCGAACGGGCACACGCTTGGAGTGGAGTTGTTTGAGCGGGTGACAGGGTGGCTCGAGAAAGGGCTTATCAAGGTGCGTGGGGGTGCCGCTACTTGTCATCTGCGGTGGTGTTCTGACGGTGACGGTAGCCGACTGCGTTTGAAGTCGTACCCAACGGACTTGCGGGCATAACCGCGGGGTTGGAGCGACTGAGGAGTGGAGCGGTCAGCGCGAAGAAGCTCGTCGCACGCCCGCAGGAAACACCGTGAGTGACTGGGCAGCCGTGATCACATGGACGACAAATTGGAAGAGGGAGTCTCCAGATGAAGGAATGGATGTTTGCACTCTCGAAAGGTGTACTGACCAGTAGCTTGGGTGTGTTTCAATCATCCCGTTTCGGTTCGCTTGACAAATAATCGCAGAAGGATACTGTCGGATCAGAAGTGAGACGATCATTTGTGTGAAACTGAAGGATCCGCTTCTTTCCTTCCGCTAGCTGCTCACTTGATTTCAGGGTATATCTAAAAGCTTGTAAGACCGCAGGCTACCGGTACGACTAGCGCAGCATTCAATACGGTTGATGTATGGGCGATAGGTGTGGATGAGATGGAGTCGATGGTGATAGCCCTGCCGCAGTTTTTATTGGTGCGTATACACTTCATGTCCTCGACATGGTCTGATAATCAAGTGCAGATACCGATCCTTTCCACCGCGACATCTGGAACGGTAGAGTATCGAACATGTCGATGTATCGAACACGAGTGCGCTACGATGCTCATTTCGCACTGGTACACGGCTGAACCAAGTCCCTTCCCAGACTGCTTATTGTGTTGAATGTACTGACCAAAACTTCCAATAGATTTGCGCGGTGCGGTTTTCAATCAGCGGCCTCGCGGTGCAGTCCTCCGCTTGCCGCGGCAGGATCCGAATAAGGGCTGTGGGCAGCGACTCAAACTGGCCGATGTGACGAACCACAGCACATTCCACATCGAGCGAACTCGATCGTTTGTTGACAAAACCCAAATTGCACGTGAGGCCGGGGACGCGACGCGTTTGTTTGTTTGCCCCCAGGCTCGAACGCTATAAGAGCCCCCGCGCGTCGCTGTGCTTTCCCCACTCAACACAACTCGAACTTGCGAATACTTCGAACTCCCAGCTTCACAGCCATGATCTTCCTCTACCCCATCGCACTCGTTGCAGCGCTGCTCTTCAGCGCGCTCACCGACGTCTCAGTCCTTCTCCTCGCGCCCACCCTCGCTCGCTTCCATATACCACTACTTGGCGGCACAGCACCACACTTCTCTTTTGCATCACTATCTCTGGCACTGGGCGAACCTGTTTCTCTGGACAACAATTCGCATCACTATGGCTCCTGCGTCGACTCGGAGTGCTTCCCGCTCGCCTTCGCCGTCTCCTCTGCACCCGCCATAGTCGACTACCTGCCGACCACTCTCCCGCAGGCCTCCGAGTACACACCCGCGCCGTCTCTGCATGCATCCTTCGCCAGCTGGTCTGGAACACTCTACCACATCCCTACCATCGTTGCCGTCCTCGCCGCCATGTACTACATCTGTATGATCTGGGTCACCGTCTCTGTTCCTTTCTTCTCCTGCGTCGCCGACACCCTCGACCTGCAACAACCTAACTCGTCATGGTCGCTTGATTCCCCCGCATCGCCCGTCAAATCATTGTGTACCGTCCGCCATCCTTCGACGTGCGCTCCGCAACGCCTTTCGTTCGACGGAGCCACGCAGCTCTGGGATCTTGTACCTGTTTCTTCGACTGCTCCGCGGCGCGCTCAGGCGGTATCCCGGCCGGTCTTGCTCATCCTACCGCCTCCCCCGCCACTGTCGCTTCCGCCCAGTCCGACACTGCCGCCGCCAACACCACTACTACCGCCTCCCACACCACTACTACCACCTCCCACACCACTACTACCACCTCCTACACCACTACAACCGCCCCCGACACAAACACTACCGCATTCAACACCATCGCTTCCCGCTCCGACATCATCGCCTCCTCCTCCGCCACCACCAACGCCTCCTCTACCGCCGCCGGAGCCCCCGCTGGAGATCGCGAAGAAGAAGAGGCACAGAGGGACCCGAGGCGGTAAACGTGAACAACATCGTAAAATCAATAGGGTGAGCAGCCTTGATACCAGCCTCCCGTGACATCATTCTGACCCCCCCTCAGGCTCTCGCCGCTGAAGCAGCCGCTCAATCCCAACAAATCACCAACACTCCCCAAGACCTCACGCTCATCACCGACACTCCCCAAGACCTCACGCTCATCACCGACGGCAGTGGTCCTGAAGTTGTCGTCGCCCGCCACCCCGCCATCCCCGCCCCACCCCCGCCTCCCAAACCGGCACCAGCGGCAATAACTCGACCTGCCCAACCATGGACGCCTCCTCCCAAACCTCACCTCGCTCCTCGGCATGCACCACCCTCCAACACCCTCACCATCATCGGGCGCCCGTACTCGCACTACAAATCCACTCCGCCCAATGGTCCCGCGATTACAACCCTCCGTCGCTGGGCCTCGCAAACCTCACCACCACTGGCGACCGTACCCGTCCGAGTTCTGCCTCCGGGCAGGCTCAACCAACGTGCTAGGCGGGCACACACGGCTCATCAGACCCTTGGTAGCTTCCTTGCAGCCTCGTGACGACGACGGCACCCATAGCAGCTACCATCCTCCTTACCGTTACCGCATATCTTCGTTATATCGCTCTTACGCCTCTGCTTACGATACTCGCTCTACTTACCGTTACTATCCACTCATCGTATTTGCTCGCGTTTTGCGCATATCTTCGTTATAGTGCTCTTACGCCTCTGCTCATCGGTGCTTGCTCTACCTACCGCTACTACCTACTGATATCTTGATTGCTTTCTCGTATGCATCTTGCTTGTCCTCATGTTGCTGCCTTCAATGCCTCACATTGTATTTCTACCGACATGTACATGTACAGCCACATCATAATGCACACTATCTTCAAGTTTACCATCTACTACTTGCCTGGGGTTTAAATTTTTGAATGGCACTCCCTTCGAGTCCAAAAAGTGTCGTGTCGTGATCGGAATCCGGCCTTGACGCGTCTCGGCGCTTCTGCGAGTTAACGTTCTTGCTTTCCTCCACCATATGCCCTCAGCTTGCATCGGCCGGCGGCCGCGCGGTGTCGACTCGGCCTTCACTAACGGTTGCTACTGTGCTACGGCTTCCGCAGACAACCTCCTGAGCGAGTCCTTACTCGAGGATCTCATCACTAGAGTCGCCCTTGTGTCATTTCGAAGACTTCTCCACGTTACTTACACGCAGTGGCATGGTACCGGTAGGTTCAACTTGCGATGGATCACTCATCTCGCTATGCGCTTCAAGACTGGTAAAAACTCAGACAAAAATCTACTAGTCCCATGATATGATGGCACGGTGGAGTCCATGATTGGGTTTAAATACTGTTGATGTTTGCAGCTGGTCACCACGTCTCTTGATCGTTCGCGGCGTGATGGTGGAGACTTCCACTACTGTATCATCCCTTTCATCCTCTAGACTCTCCTGCAAGCTCTCGACTCAACTTCTTGGAATAAACGAGTGCCTGTGATGTTGCTCTTCCGCGGGCATATGTATCTCCACACTTCGTCTAGCGCCTATCAAGCACGAAGGTACGTCGACTGAAGGATATCACTTCCGTGCACATGGCCAGTGTCCTGACATCTCCAGGTCAAAGATGCATCTTCTAAAGAAAATAGATGTAGTGCTCAAGAACGCCGGGGACAAGCACGGCCTGGAAGTTGCGATGTTACCGCATCCGCTGGTCGCAGTTGCGGATGCGACGCCGGCCACATCCCCGCCGACCCTTATATGCCCACCCAAACCGCGAGTGGATCCGACCATTTCGAAGCCCATCTCTTCTGACATGTAACACCAAACTGCTATGTTACGCGTGGCTGGCGCGCATGCCTTCACTACAAGCACAAGGGCGATGAATGTTGCGCATCGAACGTGCATGTTCGCGCGGATGGTCACCACTACAGCCTCGTTGGCAACTCGGGCGGGCGCGCAGCTCATCCATATAAGTTATGGGCCCGGAGCCATAACCATAATTCGACAACCCCCTACTGGTCCCTCACAGCCTACCTCACAGTCCTTTTCATAGAGCCCGCCAGATGTCTTGGGTGTACGACTACCGCATCTTCTCCTACGGTGAGCAGACTTGTCTTTATGCGAGTGTCATTGTGCTGAATTGCACGTACGATAGTGATTTCCTTGGGTAGCACGCTCGCAGTCTTGGGGGCGAGCATCGGAACACTCCAGTTCGGACATGTCGACATCGACATCTCCTACACCTACGCCAGGCTCGGGATCGCCTCCGCAATCCTCACTTTCTTCCCCCTTCTTTTCATGTACGTGCTGCATCCTCATCCCGGCATTCAGTCGTACCTTACGAGCATCATCATCGGCCGACAGCTTGCTCAGCGAATGCGTCAGCCGCCCCGTCGACGTCAAGACGGAGCTCATCATACTACGTACGTCCAACTGCCCTCGCTCTTCGCAGCCTCTTGTGGAGCCCTAAATATCATACTTCCCTCAGCGATCCTGTCTGTGTTCTGGCTTGCGGCCGGAGGCGTGACCGTCGTCACCAGGACCAACGTCTTCGGCTTCGGCCCGTGCGACGACTTCACGGATTTCACGCAGAACGGCCTCTGCGCGTACGCCGAGCCCATCTCCACCTTCTCGTTTGTCCCTGCGGGACTCAGTGAGTCTTCTGTCCACATGGGCTGGATGGAGGTGCTGACGACGTGTGTAGTGCTGACCTATGAGCTTCTGCTGCTCCTGATCGGTTGGTGCGGCGTGCGGCGGGAGAAGCCCATCTGGGCTCACCCTGTGCGGGGACCTGCGATTCGCAATGTCGGGCTCTGAGTGTCGACTGTCATCTTCTGTTCGGTGACCAGTGTGCAACTTGGAACGTGCTGTACTTATACAGTGACTACATAGATTTCTTGTTCCTTGCTGTTGTACTTTCTGTGCCTATATACCCTCGTTGTAGAATATCGTAGTCGCGATTTTGCCAGTCTATCTCTATTTGGATATGAGCTTTCGTGTTCGATGTGCATGCTAAACCAGAAAGTCAGTATTTCAAGTTCGGGAACGGCCTGAAGTACTTATTACACTCGGCGCTACTCGGCGGGACTGCCACTGACGCTGGCACCGGCAAAGGCCGAACGCTCGACCTCCTCCAAAATCCAGCGTCTCGTGTAGACTTGGATTTCTCCCGGTTCCTCCGTCCCGCTTGCTTTAAATTAGCTGCTTGCTTGGTCTAGTCGGCTCTCCGGGATAGGAACTGCTAGGATGGTATTCTGTGTGGGATATATGGGACGCTTCGGGGCGCAAGGGCTAAGGTGCGTCGAGCTACGTCGACGGACATTAACGGCTCGCTCATCGGCGGACCCTTAGAGCTGCAAGGCCAGCATTGGGAACGTCCCAGGCGCGTTGCCTGTCTACATTTGGGCTCAAGGTACGATTGTATCTCCTACGTCTGCATGTAGTTTACGAACGCCCAGCAGCACCATAGGAACGTACTGGCGCGAAGCGACCTCCGTACGCTCCCTTCCAGCACACGGACGTTTTTCTGGGGATCTTCAAAACCCGCAGCGGCAGCGGTAGAGAAGGCAGAAGCTATCCCATCCGAGCCAAGCGTCCCAGAGGCTGTCTCGGCCGCTGCACCTGAGCCTGTTGCCGCGGAGCCCTCTGTGGCTTTGGACGTGGCCTCCACACCTTCGCCAGATGCTGCGCTCTCCCCGGTCCTCTCGGACGCGCTCCCCACGGAGGTGCTATCTTCAATTCCGTCCCCCTTGACCTATGGCGACCTCGCTGCAATGGGGCTTGCCAGCTGGACGCCCGCGGGCATCTGCCGGTGGGGTATGGAGCTCATCCAGGTCTCGACGGGCCTGCCATGGTTCTGGACGATTGTTGGCGCGACGTTCGCGTCGCGCGTCCTGCTCTTCCCATTCACCGTGAAGCAGATGCGGAGTACGGCCGCGCTCGCGCCGTACCAGGCGGACATCGCGTCGATTCGTGACGAGATGGCCACCGCGCAGACGAAGAAGGACATGCTCGCGATGCAGCGCGCCGCGCTTCGCCAGAAGATGATCTACGAGAAGGCGGGTGTGAGCATCGGCGGGATGGCGCTCGCGCCGTTCGTGCAGCTGCCCGTCACGCTCGGCATGTTCTTTGGCGTGAAGAAGTTGTGCGACTTGCCCGTTGAGCAGCTCAAGTTCAGTGGCTTTGAGTGGGTGCCCGACCTTACCGTCCTGGACCCCACGTACACGCTGCCCATCATCGCGACTGTTCTGATGAACGTCCAAATCTCGGTATGTGATTTAGGCTGTACAGTGGTGAGTTGACCTAACGTGTGGTGTGGTAGGTGTCCATGCGTGACCTTGTCGGCCAGACACCGCAGATGGGCCACATCATGAACTTCCTCCGCATCCTCACCACCGGGTCTGTCTTCCTCATGGCGAACCTGACCTCTGTAAGCAACACCCATCTCCACCTGCGTTCTCCCCATGGTTCTGACATCTATGTTTACTTCTATTTAGGGCGTGCTCGTCTACCTCATCTCGAGTATCACCGCGATGACCCTCCAGAGCCTCATCCTTCGCCAGCCTGCGGTACGCCGCGCGCTGAGCATCCCCCTCATTCCCGCGCACCTCAGCACGCCCGCACCGTCCATGCGCGAGTCCCTCCAATACGCGCGCAAGTGGTGGGACGACAAGGTCGCGGACGCGCGTGCCGCTCCCAGGCGCTGAGCGCGCGGTGTTGGGAGGGACGCATCGGTCTGGGGTTGTACGCCTACACGGGCGAAAGTATCTTAGCGCTCATATATAATCCTCACCACATAGCTTATAGACACGACCCCTTCTCATGCGTGAAATTGCGATGTGAGACTGCGATGATGAGGAGAAGGTAAGCATTGGATTCAAGTGCTGCAGTAGATATACAGTGCGAATGGGGTGGACACTAAGTTCCGTGCGTGCGTAGAGTACATGCTCTACAATATGGCGGGACGTACAAAGCGGCAACAGGGACTGACAGCATGAGACGAGAGAATAGAAGGCTGAGGGCGATAAGCATCAGCAACCCGCACTCAGAAGAGACGAGCGGTACGACTCACGTCAGGATCAGAACGAGTAGTCTCCTCGCGAGTACCCACTGTAACCGCTTCCGCCATAGCCGCCTCCACCACCTCCGCCGAAGGATGAGAAGCCCGGGCCACGCCCAGCACCGCCGAACCCGCCATGTCCGCCACCAAACCCTGCACCATGGAACTGGGCGAAGAGGTCGGACAGGTCGACACCACCGCCCATGCCGCCGCCGCCGAACCCGGCGTCGTCATCGTCCTCGCCCAGGTCGTACCGCTGGCGCTTCGTCGGGTCCGAGAGGATTGAGTGCGCCTCGGACACGAGCTTGAACTTCTCCTCGTCGCCGCCCTTGTCCGGGTGGTGCTTCAGACTCTCACGGCGGTACGCCTTCTTGATCTCGACCTCCGTACACGAGCGCTCGACGCCGAGGATCTTGTAGTAATCCTTGCTCTTGCTTTGTTTCAGTGCGACCTCCGCCTTGCGCTGCTCGCCACGAAGTGCGCGCACGTCCGCGTCGCTGCCCTCGAGCCCCGCCTGCTCGATTGCCGCTTTGAAGTCTGCGATCGCGGAGTCGTACTTCTCTAGGTGCAGGTGAATGCGTGCTCGTGTGCGCAGTGCCTTGAACGAGTTCGCGTTCAGCACAAGCGACTCCTCCGTGTCTGCGAGCGCGTCCTCGTAGCGGTCCAGCTTGACAAGCGTCGTCGCACGATTTGACAGCAGCATCGCGCGGATGTGTCCTCCCGAGCCCTCCCGCTCGTCCGCGCCAATTCGCTGCGGTAGCCGATTAGACGGGGGAAGGGGTGTGATCCTGCTGTGTACCCACCTCGAGAGCTGCACCATACTTGTCTGCCGCCTCTTGTAGCTTACCGCTCTTGAACGCAGTGTTACCTTCCTCCTTTAGCCGTTCGACATCCTTGATTCGCTTCCTAAGTCGCATAGCAGCTTCGTGACCGGGATCTAACCGCAACGCAGACTGGACGTGCTGTGTTGCCTGCGCCGTCTTGACGGTCAACCACAAGAGCAGACCACGCACGGCGATCGCATCCGGCGAGTTGGGCTCAAACCGTAAAGCCTCGCTATGACGCACCGCACGGTCAACCAAAGTCACTGGCCGTGTAAGTCAGACACACGTACTTTGCCGCAATGCTCGCTGCGTCCCAGTTCTTTCGCGCGATCTCGTGCTCGATCTTCCAGATGCGCCACTGGATGGGTATGTCGCCGCCCTCGCCCTCGATCACCTGCATGCACTTGTCCAGTGCGAGCCGCGCCATACCCCACTCTCTCCGCTCGCGTGCGCTCTCCAGGTTGCGCAGATGCGCCTCGAGCTCGAGCACTTTCTGCTGCAGCTTCAGAGCCGCGTCGTTCTTTGCATCTAGAGCGAGGACTGTTCGCAGGGTAGAGAGCGCGGGGGCGGTCGATCCCGTGGAAAGCTGACACCGGGCGAGGCGGACGAGTGTCTTTGGGGAGGGAGACGCGGATTGGAGCGTCGCAGCTTGTTGGCAGTCTGTGAGGGCCGGCTTGAATTTCTTGAGCGCCATGTACGCCGCCGCACGGTTCGTCCAGTATGTGGGTTCCGTAGGTCGTAGCTCTAGAGGACCGGGTTTGGTATCTTGCTCTCAACAGAACGCTGATAGAACACACCTATTGCGTTGCCGTAGTGCCCGATAGCCTCTTGGAACCGACCGCCCTTGAAGGCCGCGTTGCCTTGTTCCTTGACCCGCTCCGCCTGTACAGCCGGGTCGACCTCCTCGACCACTTCCTCTACCTGTTTCTCCTCTTCCGGCGTGTCGCTTGAGATCTCTATAGGCTCATCCTTTGCTCCGGTCTGGTTCTCCTGCTCAGTCTCGTGCCTGCAGTCAAATTGAGCGAAGCCACTCGATAGCGGAGATCGGTGCACGCACACTTCCGCAGCCCCGTTGTGGTCGCCGTTCGCGGCAGCAGCTTGGTCTGCCTGCTTCTTCTTGGCCTGCTTGCTCTTTTTGTTGGCCATTTCTGCACGTAACACGATAGAAGTTAGCGAGGAGGTGTAGTCGGCTTGCACGCGCACCGGGCCTCTTACCCATTGCGCGCTTTAGTAAGCAAATTCGATCTCCGAAACGCGTGTATAGATCTGGGCGCGTCGCCTCTGATATCTGCTTTCCTGACGCCGTGTTAACATGCTTGTACCTGGTATGGGTGCACTACTAGTACATGATTCAGCGCCGCCGAGATGTGTTTATCCAGAGGGAAACTCTTTCGTATGATGGCTTTTGCGCATCAGCAGCTGTAAGCGCCGCATCCCCTCCGCATCCCCGTGTACTACCACCGTCGCAGAGAAAATATAAGCTGTAAGGCCGCGCAAGCACAGCAGAGCCTGCTAATATCGTCACTTGAAGTGTACATATATATGCATGTAAGTACGGAAAGCGCTTTAAGGATGCCATATCTGTGAAGGGGGGGGATTGTACCGGTACCGGTGTGGCGAGACGGGTGATGAGATATATTATTTCTATGTGCCACGCAATTTCTCGTAGACTGAGATGACAGAATTCGAGTGAGTAGTCGATATTGCGGTCAGTTGTGCCACGGAAAACTAGGTATACTTAGTGCACGTCCGACGTCGCTTCAGTTTTACAGAGAAAATCGTGAGCTACGGTCTGAGGGGCGCGTTTGGAAGCAGACCTTCAATCATTCGTCCTCCCCACCTCCACTGATAGAGTGTGAAAGGTCTGTCTCTGGGAAACTAGAGGAGGCTAGGTAGTAAAAATGTATAAGGTTTCGCCTTGTAGCGCTTATTCTGCAACGCGCAGACGCGTTAAGCGCCCGTACACGTGCTCCATTACTTCATGAAAGAGCCACCATCCGCATGCGACCGTAAATCCGGACTCCGACTCGTGTCGTCCTCCCTCTTGACTTGACCTTGGTCTATGTGTTGCTGGTGGAATACAGGCCACCATTTCAGGCCACCAAGTTTACAATACAGCTCACGACCTGGTTGCTGGATATGAGCGAAACCGGCCAACACCGCTTTTATCGGTATTTTCCCCTTCATAATCAGAATGCAGGGGCTGTTATTGATATTGTACATTAGCGGCCACCGTTCGAAATCCTTCTACCCTCAGGATGTCAACGAACTCGGTAGGTCGTGAAAACTCGAAGTAGCCACCGGTCCTTTCAATGAACTCTCGCCAGTTGAGCTACGTGCTCGGTCGAGGACTTTCGACGGAGCATACGGCCGAAGCGCCATCTCCAACCTCGGTTACGCCCTGACGATTTTACGACTGTTCGATAAACGATTCTTCAAGAGTGAGTGAGACTACTGGCCGCTTATTTTCCGATGCTCGTACTATCCGTATCCACTATACTCACTTCGCTTGGCAGTCGGAATCCTGTACACAGCGCTCGCCGGAATACTCTTCATCCTGGCATACTTTAGACAGCGGCACTCCAGACACGACTTCGCCGACAACCACCGCAATCCAGCCGCACACGAGAGCGCGATAAAGACCGTCGGGCAGACGGGCAAGCGCATTTTCGGACGGCCGTTCGTCACCGCGGGGTGGATCGTCGCACTGCTCTCCGTAGTGGTATTTGCGGTCGAGATTTGTTTGTTGGTGCTCATTTTCAATCTCTGATATCGTTCGTCTCGGACCCTGCTTTCGGCAAATCTCTACGACCTATGTGGCATCCCCTCCCGACACACGATACGACACAGCAGGGCCGACCCCTATTTACGCTTGCCGATACTGCGATCACTACCGAACACTCAGGAGACTTACATGGCCTTTTTCAACAACCAGCGCCTGTGGGACCAGATGCAACACGCGGCACTGTCGTTCGGAATCGCTACCGGCTTGTCGTGAGTTTGGCACCAAGCCGGGTAGCGGAATCGACGGCTGCGGTACCATGCGGGGTATGTGTACTGCGCTCTCGGTTGTTAATAAATGTCGCGCAGTCTGCATGCACAAGGTGAGTGGCGATGTCAAATTGCTGCGTGCTCACATCGGTTCATTTAGCACTGCGGATGGCGTCCCATATGTTCGACGCAGCTGTAGGGGCGGCTCGCTTCGATGGGCCCATAGGACGCAGGCGGGGCGCAGCTCTGTTCCATGTAGCGCCTTCCCACCGCCGACATGCGTGTCGCCCGCAGTGCTGTCGCCTGCTGGAGATCACGGCAAGTTGAATGAAGAAGACCCGTACCGTAGTATACGCGATATGCTGCGGTCATTCAATCCGTGGTGAAATTGTCGTGTCGCCCCGCTGTCGAGGTGAGTAACGACATCGTATTGAGTTAGGTGCGATAACACCGTCTCGTCCGACCACCTATAGAATCTCCAATTCTGACATGCGACCCGCGGGCGTAGCGCTGCTACGGCGTGCTATATGGTGTCACATCAAACACCACGAGAAACACGCCACCTACGCACACGGCGTTGCTTCACCCCTATCGCCATTCAACCGTCTTTGCAAACGCGCCGCTAGTCCGAGTCTCACGAGACGAGAGGACCGTCCCCGGACGAGAGCGCATCCCATGGTGCACATCGCCGGGGCCAAGCTCGAACATACCGGTTCCTCGACAATGCTGTGCTCCGAACTTGAAGTCCTGCCGCCAATCATCGCTGCGCACGCCGCAAATACACCGCGGGCGTTCCCCGACGCGAGCACCCCGCTGCCCGCTGCGGCGTTCGTGAGGCACGACTTACGGCGCATCCGTTGTGTCTGAACGCCCTCGCTGCGCCCGACCGGAGGGTCTTTGTGTGTGATTGAGTGCGCACGCCCCAGCTGCGCGGTGTCGCCGCCAAGGCATCCGGCCTACTCTTTGGCACGGTGCGCCCCGACGCTTGCCTGATGGGTGCGGCGCAGCCGAACAGGACAAGTCGGGGAGTGCCCGGCTATGTAGCGCGATTGAGGGTGGTCTGTCCGCGACGTCTTGATGGCATGTAGTTCGCGCAGCGCTGAAACGCGCCTCAAGGTATCCATCGGGGCGCAAGTACTTAGTGCGCCAATGAAGTAGAATTTGGCACTGCTACTGATACGGCGCAAAAGAATATAATTCGCATCGCCGCGCGGAGCCGGTGTAGATCGTTCTGGTGGCTGTGCTCCAGGATGGTATCCCATGGCTGTCCTATGGCATCCCGCCGATTCTTCCTAGATGCGCGGAGCCGGGGCAATGAGTTTAGGAGGTTCCGGGCTTTCCGAAGTGTGTATACACTCGGCCCTACATCCCGCGATGACTCCCACCACCCCGTTCCCGATGTAAACGGACGGACCGAGGAGGAGGGTCTTGAGACCCGGACTGTTCAGCATCCGGGAGGCGGGATGCGCCTCGGACCCGGGAAAGCGTTGAAGCGTTGGAGGGTGAGGCACCCAAGGGCGAGGTCACTCGAACTGTGGGTGTTCCGCTCGATATATATTGCTGGGACGAGTGCATGCGCGCTCGGCCCGAGCTGACTGAATGGCGCTCGGTCCGGCAAAGGATGCACCTCGGACTGATTTGGACCGAGAGGAGAATTGAGGAGGAGAGTGCGCATGCGGTTATCACCGTTGCGATCGTGTCCGACCGTTGGAGTGCGGCCGCCGGCAGCGCACCCAGACCTAGAGGCTAGCGTGTTTAGAGGCGTTCAGGGATGGCGTCGGCGGGGCCCTGACTGGTCCTAACGAGCATTCAGCGATCGGATGCGTCAACATGAATGTCAAGGGACGTACGGGTGAAAGCGGAAGCCCCGGATGCCGGAGGCTTGCGTACATCGCGGGCGGGGGGGCACAGGGGTGGCATTAGCAACGGTCAGAAATGTGGGATGCGGATCTGATAAAAGAGGACGATCTTCATCAACGGAGGGCGCTGTTACCATGTCCAATGGCGTGGAATCGATCCGGCGAACCACAAGCTACAGCGTACCCGGCGGCTGCGGTGGAGGACGAGGAGGGCTGCGGAGAGAGCCCGAGCGGTGAGAGCAAAAGATAGGCGCGGGGAGAGAGACGCGGAGGCGATGAGTAACGGCCATGACCCAATACGAGCAGGGGCTTGGCGCGTGTAATGACGCAGCCAGAAAGAGAAGGGGATTGAAGCTAAACGAGCGGCTACACCTCCTACTCCTCTTATACCTCTACTTCCATCTCATCTGATTCCGATGCTCTCCTCAATTTCTTCATTTCTCCCTGCTGCGCTACAGATCGGCAACGACAAGTCCCCACCCTCCACTGAACCAGACAGGCAGCTCACCGCTTCACCAACCAAAGACTCCGACATGGGTGCGGACGAGCATGGTGCCAAGAAGAAGAAGGAGCGGACGAACGAGGTATGTCTGTCGTGTCCATCCCTTTTTCTACGCGTCACGGACTTCGCGTGAGGTTGTCGAACCCCTCGAAGTCGTCGTCCATCTCAGGTGTGGGATAACGGCAGCGAGACCGACGGCGAGTCTGCGACCTGGAAGCTATGGGAACGATTCCCGCCGCTGCGCACGCCGGTCAGATGCATTTCTCCACCACACATCGCGGGGCGGCCTGTGTGCTTCGTGCTGGCAAGTACTGGTCTACGCGCAATCTTGCCGCGCCAGCATCTCGTCTGGCCGCCGAGGTGGTCCGGGAGCAAAGAAACCCGCCTGGCGCGTCATTGGAGTAGGATGCGCCCAAAGACACAGAGTATACTTCTTCTGTCTCAGCTTTCCCTCGCGGCATCCTGCGCTCCTGCAACCGCACTTTGCACTCGCGAGGTCTCTGTATACTTCACGCTATGGGCTGCCATGACCTGTCCCCTCCGCACCCAGGGCGCGGCACATACCCGCTCGACGCAGTGTAAGTGGCAGATCTCATCAGGCTGTCGACCATCTGCTGTGCCTGCCATAGTTCGCGTTCCGGATGACGCTTAGTAGGCGTCCTGTACAGGTTGTACGATGTGGGGCTGGTGCGCGATGGCTTGGGATGGCTGTGATCATCACTAGCACTGCATCAGTACAACATGTTCGAAGCACCTGCGACAGGTGTCATTGCAGCGCCTAGTTTTCGTATTGGCTCTACTTCTCTACTCTAATGAGCTTTTACGACCATTGGTTTACGGTTTCTGACTATATTCACAGTCATTCATTGTGGTTCGCCCACCACCTTCAAAAAGCAATCACCCCTTGAATCTACAAGTTCAACTGGTTCCTCCAAGCAATCGTGAAGTCACCCGGTCCTCCAGTGGGCGTCGCTCCAGGGACTCGTCTGTTGGCCCGGAGGATGACGGCACTTCCGATGTTCAACTCACGCGCACAAGCTCCAATCGCTCCGACGTTTCTATGTATTCCTCCTATTCCTCCACATCAGTCTCTTCCATGGCTTCTTCATCCACGACTTCATCCGGGCGACGGATGATCATCCCACTCTACAACCTACAGGCGCACAATGTTCTCACGAACGTCATCGTCGACGCTGGCACAGATGCGAAGGTCGCAAAATTCCAGAAACGCGGACTGGAGGTCATCGGTCTTGCCGTCCTCGAACCCGTCGAGGTGTGGGGAGAGGGCGGCAACCCCGCCCCCCTTGCTGGCCACTCGCCGAACGCCCCGCACTCTTCTCTACCTGATGAGCACTTTCCGCGTGCGAGTGTTGATGCCGGGCACCCTCATCTGACGCCAGAACCCCCCCGCACGCCCACATCCTCCGCCCTGTCACTCACTTCGGATGGCACGTCCGAACACCACCTTACCCCTGCCCCTGTGACCCCTACTCCGAACTCGGCGGCGACGACGCCCAGGAATACACCCGGCGCGAGGAAGTTCTTCGGCAAACTGTTCAAACGCAGGGGCGACTCACCCCTCTCCTCCCCTACCTTCCCGCCATCTCCGCTCCCACCCATCAGCGCCCAACCTCCCTCGCCGGCGCAACCTACCACACCCCTTCCATCTGCTTCTCTTGACGGCTCGCGTGTTTCTCGGCGGTCGTCGCTTCTTCTCAACAACTCTTTGAGTATTCCGGGACATTCTCCATCCGTGTCTGTATCAGAACCGCCAGCGACCAGTGCGCGGGAAAACGTCGTCCTCCAGCCTCCAGTGCTGGGCATTCAGCCAACACTTAGTTCACCCTCTAACCCTCCTCGTGGTCGCCCGACAAAGTACGTATGGGTCGTACGGAAATGGCTCAAGGGAACTCCGGAGTCGCTCCTCAGCGGCGTTAAAGGCAAGTTCAACGACGCGCGCGGTGGCAACCCCCACGCAAGTGCGATCGAGAGCATGGTTGAGGTCCGTTTCGAGTGGACGCGAGGCAAGAGCGGCAAGAAGCGTCGATCATCGCGGCGCGACACCGCAGAGGACGGCGCCGACCGGACGCGTACGAAACGCCACAGTCTCGCGCTCTCGTCCGCAGCACAGTCTCAGACGTCGCTGCATCAGCAGCCACCGCAGGTGCTCGTTTCCGATCCCCCGCAGGCGAAGAAACGGGTGCCGTCCGCGTCAGCCGCCGAGGCGCATGCGCGCCGGTCGATAGACTCGCATCGCTCCACCTCGCCACACGCTAGTACGACCACCGCATCGGATGAGGACCACCGGAAAGCGTCACCCTCGATCGAAGACGCCGGGGATGAGAGCGACCCGGAGGACTCGGAGACGCCGTGGACGTGCACGCTCGTTGTCCGCCGCCTTTCCCCCTCGCGGCTACCCCCGCCTGGCTCCCCCCTTCCCCACGCGGGCGCTACTTCCAGCGGCGCGGGCTCAAGCACGGTACGCGTGAAGGTTGCGGGCGTCGTCCCTACCCCGCATCACCCAAAGGTGGTCGCGTTGTTGAAAGTGCCATTCCCCCTTCCGGACGTCGAGATTGAGCACATGAACGTGCGCAAGCGGATCATCACGCCTGCGGGCGTCGCGCGCCCGGCGACATCATCTGGAGACCACTCGGCGCACGGCAACGGCTCTGCGGGCGCGCTGAACGGGAAACAGCCCGGGTCGGGCATGAAGAACCTGTTCGGCAGCGGGAAGGAGCACCCAGGTGGCGGCGCGGGCGCGTACCCAGAGGGCCTGATGCTCTCCGCGGAGGAGATCAAGGACATCGTGTCGAGCACGGGCCTGTGGCTCGTCGTACGCGAGGGCTTTGGTGGCGTCGGGCGGGATCGCAGGAAGGGCGATGGGTGGCGGCTTCGCGGATGAGCGCCGTACCCTTCTCGCCGCTCGTCGCGGTGTCCGGGTACCGGGTACCGGATGCGGACGTCGTCGTGGTGGGTGTGGGCGCAGGCAGGTCGGTGATTGCAGATGATGGGTGGTGCGGCGCTGCGTATTTATGGGGGGTGGCGCGATCGCTCTCGAGCTCGGTTGGTTTCTCTGCTTGTTCTAGCGCTGGCTGCTCGTCTCATGTGCTTGTTTTGTTCCTCTGTAGCCCGGTCCCTGCCCTCGCGGTGCTCGAAGAGTCGTAGACTGTCTCGTATTTATGCGGACGGGTCCTGTCCTGGCTATCTATTCAATCCGACATCTCACAGCCTGTCTAGGGTCGACCGCCTCGCCTTGCCCGCACTGCCGCCGCGCTCAATCCTGGGCCTGCGCGTCCAGGACGACGCGGATCGAAACGCTGTGCCGCTCGTACCATGCTGCTTTCTGATGCACCTGCTCATCTGGTGACGTGTTGCCCTGCTGTGCAACCACGATGGACGCTGGACTACGCACGGACGTGGTCGTACGCACCCGCATATTTCTCCACTCTCTTTCGGTTTTTAGTTCTGGTTCTGGTCTCGGTGATAGTAATCTTGGGCGCGCCTGCTGTTTCGTCTTCGCACACGACCCTGTCTTTCCGCATACGTGCCCCCATCCTCTCGTTGAAATTTGTACTCCCCCCTCTGCTTACTCGTACACCCGATTAGTTGGTACTGTAACGACCCCGCTCCGTAGTGCTTACCCCGCTTCTTCACATCGTTGCAGTGTAGTACTGTACCGGGCCATGACTTCGACACGACGCGCTATTTATTGAGTTTCCGCCACACTGCGCGATACCACCCTTTTCGTTGGGACATTGGATTGGAGTTGTATATTATAATCATAGAACCTCCAATGCGTAAGAATCAAAATCTCGTTGGGCAGTCATCTACGTACGCGCTGGGCCCGCAAACATATGGCGTCGTATTCGGAGGCGGAAGTAATCGTGCGGAGACAGTTGATTGAATGGAATTGCAGCGAATTCGGCCAAGACGAGAACCGCACTGTCAATCTTGGCAGAAACATTCATGCTTGCGCTGTTCCTACTACCATCGCGTGCTCGTCGTGCCGCCATCTTCGACGCATATAGCCAGCGCACAGCCGGCTCACCGAGCGAGATGATGACGGAATGAGCGCAAAGCGCGCGTCCGCCGCAGCTGGCGCCGAGGTACACCTCTCTCCCGCCTTCCACCACCACCACCACCCGGACCAGCTGCTGCTTGACTGCACCCAGCACCGCGACTCTCGGCCAGGCCGCCCCCACGATGTCCTCGACGTTCTCGTTCCCCACGGCCGTGTTCGCCGCCGCGCCGCCCGCGACGTCGACCGACACCCCGAACACGGAGGAGGAGGAGTACTACTCGTCCTGGTCGCTCTTCCTCGTCTGCGCGCTCCTCATCCTCTCGCTCTGGACGTCGTACTACCTGCAGATCAAGCGCATACGGGCGATCCATGAAACGCTGGTCGCTATATTCGCGGGCTCGTTTGTGGGCTTGGTGGTTAGGCTGGCGCCGGGGACTATGATCAGGGACATGCTGGTGAGTAGAGCAACATTCGCTATTATGAGCCGTGGTATACCGCGGGCTGCACTATGTCATCGCGGACCTCGGTGGTGGTATGTCGGACATCGTCGTAATGCGTACCGCGAAGGTAGTGTCCGTACGGCATGTGACTAAACTGCACACCCACAGATGTTCAAGCATACGCTATTCTTCAACCTGCTCCTGCCACCAATCATCCTGGCTTCGGGATACGAGTTGAAGCAAGAAAACTTCTTCCGTAACTTTGGCTCAATCCTCGTATTCGCGTTCTTCGGGACATTCATCTCCGCTGTAGGAGTCGGGTATGCATGTCCATTTGCTCATGCGCGTTGACAGCACTCATCACGTACAGTGCAGTGTTATAGTCTTCATTTGGTCATCGCTGGGCCTGGAGTCGCTGGGCTTCACGCTGATCGAGTGCTTGATTTTTGGGTCCACACTGTCCGCAACGGACCCGGTGACTATCCTAGCTATATTCAACCAGTACAAGGTCGACCCGAAACTCTACACCATCATCTTCGGTGAGTCGCTGCTGAACGATGCGGTCAGTATCGTCATGTACGAGTGAGTAAACTATTTCATTGGTGTAAGCGTTTTGACGGATGCTGAAGTTTAACGTAGAACACTGTCCCAGTTCCACGGATCGGACTTCACGGTCACCCACATATTCCACGGAATCGGCATCTTCCTGCTGTCTTTCGGCGGCTCTATGGCACTCGGCGTCGTCTTCGGCCTGGCGATGTCACTCGTCCTCAAGCACTCTTCGCTCTCCCTATATCCCTCGATCGAAACGTGCCTGGTAGCTCTCAGCGCATACACCTGCTATTTCTTCTCGAATGGCCTCTCGATGTCCGGAATCGTCTCGCTGCTTTTCTGCGGAATCACCCTAAAGCACTATGCCTACCACACGATGTCGCGGCGCACACAACGCGCGACCAAGTACATCTTCGCGACGCTCGCGCAGCTCTCGGAGAACTTCATCTTCATCTACCTCGGGCTGTCCCTCTTCACGAGCCCGCCATCGTCCGCGAAGGTGACGAGCTACTTCAAGCCGCTGTTCATCATGGTCACCACGGTCGCGGTCGTCTTCACGCGCTACGCCGCGGTCTTCCCGCTCTCTGAGGCGATCAACTTCTTCCACCGTCACGCACGCGGGCAGCGTCACGAAGAACTCCCGCACTCATACCAGATGATGCTGTTCTGGGCCGGCCTGCGCGGCGCGGTCGGCGTTGCCCTCGCGGCGGGCTTCAAGGGCGACAACGCGCAGTCCATGCGGACGACTGTGCTTGTAGTCGTGGTGCTGACTGTGATCGTCTTCGGCGGCACAACCGCGCGCATGTTGGAGGTGCTCGGGATCAGGACTGGCGTGGAGGACGACGAGGCGAGCAGCAGCGACGAAGAGGGCGAGGTCCGGAGCTCGTTCTTCAGGCGAAGCGGGCGCTGGCAGCGCTATATCGACGATGATGGAGGCTACTTTGGCGCGGAACAGGCGCGTGGGAGCAGACGTACGAGCGCGGCGTACGACGAGCCGCTGACATACAACCACCAGGCGCAGAACCTCGGGCTCGCGAACAACGCGATCTTCTCCGCCGCGTCGTCGCCCACAGAAGAATACGACTCCGATGGCGGCGAGGTGCTGCCGCTCGCGACCGCAACGCTCAACGGCGAGGGCTCCTCGCACGTCCGCCGCAAATCACGCGACGGGCCACCGTCCGCGGGCGTGCGCGACGAGAACAAGTGGTTCCAGACGCTCGACGAACAATACTTGCTCCCGCTGTTCTCGAACGCAACCGCGAGCCGCTCGTTCCACGCACGCCGCGCGCGCAAGTCCACGGGCGCGTCCCCGAACATGAGCGCGGGCGCGAGCCGCGGGGGCACCCCCGGGGGCACGGACGACGAGCTCGACGACGGGAGGCCGGAGCTTGACCTCACGGGTGCGGGAAGCGGTTTGGGCGTGGGTGCGGGCAGCGGGCCGGGCTCGGCACATCCGTTCCCGCCGACGCCAGGGGTGCTGGATGAGAGCAGGACGGAGCGGGGGCTGGCGAGTCCGATGCTGCGACGGGACAGCGAGTACCAGGCGCGAGACCGGGTGTCGTGATTGTGCTCGTCGGAGGAGTAGGAGTAGGAGTAGGCGAGAGGACGGACTGCGTGGGGCCTCGCGCGTATATAGAGCGGGCGAGTGTTTGTCTTTGGAGACCTACCTTATTGTGAACTATTCTCGCGTTGGATATCATAGCACTCGTCGGACGCAACGAATTGGGACGGCGCTGGGCTGGACTCGGCCTCGCGGATGGCCGTATTCGTTACAAAGAATCGAAGGCTAGGAACACCTTACCAAGTTTCTGAGTGCGTAGATCCGGCTCTACGTACTACGGATCTCGCAAGACTCGAAGAGAGGACGATCACAACTTCCATGCGAACGAGAAGGCAGTATTCCCCGAGCAGGTGGTAAAGTTAGTCTGTATTATAGTGAGGCCGTACATGTCGATAGAAATACAGTAGGAAGCGGATGGAGCGCATTAAGATACAGTGAGGATGAGCAAAAACCAAACAAAGGTAGCGAGGCAATCAAAACGCGAGCAAATACGACGAAGCAATCGGGATATCAGTGGGTAATAACGGTAAGTAGAGCAAATAACAGTGAGCGGAGGGTAGAGCACTGAGACGAAGATATGCGGTAAGAACGGTAAGGAGGATGGTAGCTACTATGGTCGCCGTCGTCGTCACGAGGCTGCAAGGAAGCTACCGAGGGTCTGATGGGCCGTGTGTGCCCGTCTAGCACGTTGGTTGAGCTTGCCCGGAGGCAGAACTCGGACGGGTACGGTCGCCAGTGGTGGTGAGGTATGCGAGGCCCAGCGACTGAGGGTTGTAATCGCGGGACCGTTGGACGGAGTGGATTTGTAGTGCGAGTACGGGCGCCCGATGATGGTGAGGGTGTTGGAGGGTGTTGCATGCCGAGGAGCGAGATAAGGTTTGGGAGGAGGCGTCCATGGTTGGGCAAATCGAGTTATTGCCGCTGGTACTGGTTTGGGAGGCGGAGGTGGGGCGGGGATGGCGGGGTGGTGGTGTACAACGACAACTTCAGGGCCACTGCCGTCGGTGATGAGCGTGGGGTCTTGGGGAGCGGTGATTTGTTGGTTTTGAGCGGCTGCTTCAGCGGCGAGAGCCTGAGGGGTGGTCAGAATGATGTCACGGGAAGTTGGTATCAAGGCTGCTCACCCTATTGATTTTACGATGTTGTTCACGTTTACCGCCTCGGGTCCCTCTGGACCTCTTCTTCTTCGCGATCTCCAGCGGGGGCTCCGGCGGTGGTAGAGGAGGCGTTGGCGGAGGAAGCGGTAGCGTTGGTGGTGGCGGAGGAGGAGGCGATGGTGTTGGAGCGGGAAGCGATAGTGTGGATTGCGGTAGTGTTTGTGTCGGGGGCGGTAGTAGTGGTGTGGGAGGTGGTAGTAGTGGTGTTGGCGGCGGCAGTGTCGGACTGGGCGGAAGCGACAGTGGCGGGGGAGGCGGTAGGATGAGCAAGACCGGCCGGGATACCGCCTGAACGCGCCGCGGAGCAGTCGAAGAAACAGGTACAAGATCCCAGAGCTCCGTGGCTCCGTCGAACGAAAGCCGTTGCGGAGCGCACGTCGAAGGATGGCGGACGGTACACAATGATTTGACGGGCGATGCGGGGGAATCAAGCGACCATGACGAGTTAGGTTGTTGCAGGTCGAGGGTGTCGGCGACGCAGGAGAAGAAAGGTACAGAGACGGTGACCCAGATCATACAGATGTAGTACATGGCGGCGAGGACGGCGACGATGGTAGGGATGTGGTAGAGTGTTCCAGACCAGCTGGCGAAGGATGCTTGCAGAGACGGCGCGGGTGTGTACTCGGAGGCCTGCAGAAGAGTGGGCGGCAGGTAGTCGACTATGGCGGGCGCAGAGGAGACGGCGAAGGCGAGTGGGAAGCACTCCGAGTCGACGCAGGAGCCATAGTGGTACGAGTTGTTGTCTAGAGAAACAGGGTCGCCCGGTGCCAGAGATAGTGATGTCAAAGAGAAGTAGTGTGATGCTGTGCCGCCAAGTAGTGGTATATGGAAGCGAGCGAAGGTGGGCGCGAGGAGAAGGACTGAGACGTCGGTGAGCGCGCTGAAGAGCAGCGCTGCAACGAGTGCGATGGGGTAGAGGAAGATCATGGCTGTGAAGCTGGGAGTTCGAGGTATTCGCGAGTTCGAGTTGTGTTGAGTGAGGATAGACAGCGACGCGCGGGGGTTCTTATAGCGTTCGGGCCCGGGGGCAAACAAACAAACGCGTCGCGTCCCCTGCCTCACGTGCAGCCAGGATTTTGTCAACAAACGATCGAGTACGCTCGATGTGGAATGTGCTGTGGTTCGTCACATCGGCCACAGCCCTTATTCGGATCCCACCGCGGCGCAGCTGGAGAACTGAAACTGGATAATTGAGTTATGGCATGTACATGCACCTCTCAAGAATAAAATACTTCACCCCGCCATCTGGTAGTGCTACCCCAGGTTGCTTCCTGCAATTTGTATTCCATAGAGTCTAATCGCGATTTAAGGAGTTTCCTGCGGGCGCACGACGAGCTTCTTAGCGCTGACCGCTCCGCTCTTCAGCCGCTCCAGCCCCGCAGTTATGCCCGCGAGTCCATTTGGCAAGACCTCGAACTCATTTGGCTGCTCGTACTGTCAAAACACCACCACAGACGAAAGACCGGTACTCACCTTAATAAGCCCCTCCTCGAGCCAACTTGTTACCCGCTCGAACATCTCCACCGCAATCGCGTGCGTGTGCGTTTGGTACAAACTCCCGCGCACCATCGCGACGCGCTTCTGCGGCCCGTCTTTCTTCAGCTCCGCCGGAATGGCGTCGGGCAAAACGACCATGAGCCCTATGCCTCCGGGTCCGAGGGCCCTGTACGCGAGGGCCTGCGTGTTGGTGTCCGAGACGGCATCGAAGACCACGTCGATGGCCTTATCGCCGGTCAGCGTCGGCAGGTCTTCCAGGATCGTCTCCGCGGCGTGCGTGCGGTCGACGACGTGCGTTGCACCAAGAGAAGTGAGCAGCGCGGTGTTGCGCGCGGACGCGGTGGTGATGATCGGGCTGAACCCGGAGAGCTTCGCGAGCTGAATGGCTGCGTGGGCTGCGGTCAGGAAAGCGAAGCAGGAGAAATAGGTGTAAACTTAGCGACGTACCATACTGCCCGAGGCAGGTCGCGCCGCCGAGGATGAAGATGGGTTTCCCGGCATAGGCGATGCTTCCACCTTCGCTCCAGAACGGCTTCAGGCCAAGGCTTTCTTGCTCGCTCTCCTGGTTGTACAGCGCGAGCACGACGCTTCCCAGGCCTGAGGGGACAGTCGCCGCGGCGTCAAAGCTGATGCCGTCGGGGATCTGTGGAGTCGGTCAATCACTTAAGCTGCCCTTCGTTGCACGGGCGCGCCGACGGACCTTTGCGAGGAGCGGTGCGCGAACGAGGCTGTGCTCCTGGAACGTGGTGAACCCGCTCTTCGCCCGGCATCCTTGGAAGAGCCTAGCGTTCGCCAAATTCAGAGAAAGCACAATCAATATCTGCACCCACCGTTCATGATGAAAAATGTGACTTACACGCGGTCGCCCTTCTTGAAGTTCGAGACCTCGGCGCCGACCTCGACGACTACACCCGCACCGTCGGTGCCTGGGGTAAATGGATAGCCAGGGCCCCAGCCGAGGGACATGTATTCCGGAAGGGTGACCTTCCAATCGCCAGGGTTCAGTGCGGCCACATGGATTTTGACCAGAACGTCGTTGGGGCCAGGGTGGGGGACTTCTACTTCGCCAACGGTGTACAAACCGCCGGGGTGGGCATTAGGAGTGCTTTCTGAGTCGTCGTAGACATCGTACTGGAAGTAGTGCGCCGGGTTGTCGTTCAGGAGGACATGGCTACTTCGTAGCTTAAATACAATTGCTATACCCGGCACTAGGCTCGCCTTGCGGTGGAGTTTGGATGGCCGGCTTCCTGCTGGTTGAGCGCTGTGTATGGGTTTCCGCGGCAGGCGCATCAACGCAGCTCGACCAGAACAAGCTCGAGGGTCTCACGCAGTGCTGTGCCGTGGGATATAGAGCGTATACCATTAGAAATCCTGCGGCACTCGTTGTGGTCACCTGGCGACTAGAACATGAACCTGAAACCGTTTGTTACTCATCCGCGATCGAACACTCATCTATGAAGCCCGGCTACAGCTGTATAGAGAGTCGAGGAGTTTAAGGTTTCGACAGCCGGGGATAGGATCTATGGGCATGGGGCGTACAGTGTTCAGTATGCACACTTTAGGAGGCTGTAAACGTGTCTCAGAAGGCACTGTGTAAGGAGGTGTAAGTTTGGCGTGCTTATGACGACAGGGAGGATGACACACCGCCACCACGGAAGCGTAGCTGTAGACGCGAGCAGCGCAGCTTCTTGCAACGCCGGGAACATTAATGTTGCATAACGCAACAATCATCGACTCATATGCTCCTTGAATGTTTCCTAGTACATAGCGATATCAATAAGCAGCGGTGGCGTGTTGTCGAACATCTGTGCGAGTGGTTGTAAGTTCTGTCGCCGAACCCTCAGATCTTAGAGCCGCTTCTTGTTATAGACACGCATAGCTCTCATATACTAATGGGATATACCACACCTAGGTACTCGCCTGAGCAAACGATGACCGCTCCTCCCGAGGCCCATCACGGCCCAACTTGACATGTTGAGCATGCCCATCTCGAGGAAGTGGACGCAGTGCACAGAGATGAAAATAAGTATGATGGAGAAAACGAGCGAAGCGGTTGGAGTGAGTAGACTGAGTTGATTGCGCTCGAATAGGAGCCGAAGAGGATCTGGCAGGAGGGAGAAGAGTAGAGAAGAGTCGATCCGAATTTGATCGAGGAGGCCAGGGATAAGAGTCCTATAAGCGCCCACTAGTAATCCTTGCAGTCGAATGAGCGCAGCGCTCGCTCAGCCACTCTCTCTCGTCTTCCTCTTCCTCTGCATGATGCGCCCCAGAGCCCCGGTGTCTACTAACCTACGCAGCGCCTTGATAACTTGCGGGTTGACGTAGATGTGTATCATGAGCTGGAGGAGGAGCCCGTACTTCGCATTTTCAGCGAACGCTCTTTGGTGCTGCTCTTGGATATGGCGTCCGCTCAGGCCCAGGCCCGCTCCGAGTCTAGATCTTAGCACTTCTATTCTTAAGAAGCACTTCCAAGGTATGCACCTACATATGTACAGTGACAGTACATCGCCCTCTCCAGGATCACATCGCACGAGGGGACACCAGTAACGGCCGAATCTAGTAATGCGAAGACCTTTCTGGGACATCAAGGTGCCAGTTATTTTGGCCTTGTTCGGCCCCGCGCCGACTTCTTTCTCGACTACTACATAAGCATTCCTTTCAGGATGTCCTCCCTGCGTCGCCTCTCTTCCTCTTACCCCATCATGCACACATGACTGGTGTCCCCACTTCGCAGCGCCAGTCCAGGTCGCCTCCTATCGTATTCGCGTGACGCTATGCGTGTTTCGCCTGTCGAAGTGTGTTCCGGGTACGTCCGTTCCCTTTGCTGGGACCGCGTGGCTGCCCTGCGGCCGCGGGATCGAGAAGGGCGGCGGCAATGAAGAAAGGGCGGATCAACGATAATGTGACCGACGTGCCTGTCACATCAGCTACAGATAACGACGCACGTGCGTCGTGATTGGACGCGACAGGCTGCGACAGGACGCGGCGGGGCGGTGGCCAAGGGCGGGAAAACAGTTTTCAAGAGGGTACGGAGCAAAAACGCAGATGGCGGGGAAGCCGTGGCGTCGGTCAAGGACAGATCTGGCCGCGCCGGAGGGTGGCCGACGCGGAGAAGAGGCCGGCCGAGTGCTGCTTGACGAGGGCGCACTTGATTCTGCATGGGCGTCTTTGAAAAGTGTGGCCACCTTGGCACGCGACCGCATCCTCCCTCAAGCTCAAGCTCTTCGTCGCAGCGGCTCTCGTTATCTGCCTCCAGTCGCCTCCGCGCTCCTTCCCCCCCTTCCTTCCACCCGCCACCATGATCCCCTCTCGCGCGCTCTCCGACGAAAAGAAGGATGCTCAGGCCGACACCCGTTCGATCGGGGACAGCAGTGACGACTCCGGCGATGACAACAAGCTGCTCGAAATAGGCTATGTTCCTTCGTTCAAGCGCGAGTTCTCCAACATCGCGACGGTACGTATCGCACACGGACCGCTCAATCAGACGTACTGACGGATGTACAGATCAGCTTCGCGTTCAGCATCATGGGTCTCTGCTCAAGTGTTGCGACGACCTTCAACTCGCCACTGCTTCTGGGAGGGCCTTCGTCCGTTACCTGGTGCTGGATCCTCGGCGCAACGATGTGCTTCACACTCGGTACGTATCGCACCCGTTCTCATGCGTATCTTCCAACCGCCCGGCCGCTCCACGCCTGTCAAAATGACGCACGGCTGTCCGTTCTTCTTCGGAATGAGATCGCAGCAGTCACGAGGGTGCCGAATTCGTATTGTCAGTTCCGTCGTCGAGACGCGAAGCCGGAACAGAGCGCGCGCATGTTCCGTACCCCGGAATACGGCATCGGACGTCATGTCCGCAGAAGCGAGACCATAAGGAAAGACTTCTTTTCCTAAACCTCAATCTATGTGCAGATGACGTCGCACATATGGGGATGGCACTTCCGATGCAATGAGGTGTACATGCAAACCGAGGACTATGACCCAGGGGCAGCTGCAGGCGATTGGGGGTCCGGTTAGGATTATGGTTGCATACGAGCGGTCGCTCTGACAGCACGCTGACGCTCATAACAGGTGCTAGTATCGCGGAAATTGTTAGCGCGTTCCCGACCTGTGGTGGCCTGTAAGTCCTTCGCCCTCCCCAGATAAATATATCGGCTGACGGAGCAATAGATACACTGCATCCGCGCAACTCGTCCCGAAACGGCAGCGTCCTATCGTAGGATGGGTCGTCGGCTGGCTGAACATCCTCGGACAAATCCTCGGATTGTCTTCTACCGAGTTTGGTCTTGCGAACATGATATGGGCTGCGGTGGTTGTCGGCAAGGTTGGTGACTGCGCTTCTCGCGATAGTGGCGTTGCTGACCGCCTGCTCAGGGCGACGATTTCGTGATTACTCCCGGTAAGAAAGTCGGCCTCTTCGTTGGCATGCTCATTGTCCATGGCATCTTGGTAAGTCATCCTGTGCAGTATGATCAAAATCAGCAATTGATAAGTCTAAAAGAACTGTCTTGCGACACGCCAACTCGCACGCCTCACTACCGGTTTCGTGTTCGTCAACCTGGGTGCCACGTTCGGTAAGTGTCGCGATGCACACGCCAGTGTGTAAGAGCCTGCGAGCTGATATGTTGATTTCTTAGTCATCATCATCGTTCTTTTGGCGACGACGCCTCGGAGCGAAATGCACAGTGCGGCATATGTCTTTGGAACTCAGGGTGTTGTCAATCAGACAGGAGGCTGGAATGACGGCATCGCGTTCCTTTTCGGCCTGCTCAGTGTTCAGTGGACGGTGCGTTCTACAAAATTTCCGTCCAACGGCGATATTGATTTGTCTATCTTTAGATGACGGTACGTGGATATCTGCATAGGCAAATCTATGTTTGATGTGCTCAACAAAGTTCGATCGCGCGTTGTAGGACTACGATGCGACGGCCCATATCTCGTGAGTCTCCAGCTCAACAAAGGATGACGTCCGTTAACCTCATATACCACAGCGAGGAAGTGAAGCGCGCCGCATACGCTGCTCCTTCTGCCATCTTCATTGCCGGTATGTGTAGTTTGGCCTTATCCATCGCTCAGCGTGTTGATCTAGAGTTCGTCGTCGTAGTTATCGGCACCGGTCTCATCGGATGGCTACTCAACATCGTCATGGTCCTTTGCTCGGGCCCTCTGTACGTTCATCTCACCCTAAACTTCCGTGAACACCGCTGAACGTATCTCTAGCGAGAACCTCCCCGGACCCTCTGGCTCGGCGTTCCTCGAGGTACGTGATCTCGATCCGCCAGGCACGACGGAGTGCCTGAAGAAACCGATCGCTCGGTATCATAACGAAGCAATGCTCATTGGCCGCGTTCCTCTCAGATTATGACATTGCGCATGGGCAAGCCTGGCGCGCTTTTCGTATGGGTGCGTTTGAACCACCGACGAATGATTAGTGGCAAACCGGTACTAACAATGTTGTAGGCCTTCGTATGCTTGACGGCGTTCTTCGTCTGCCAGACCGCGCTCCAGGCTGCGTCCCGCACAGTGTATGCCTTCAGCCGTGACAAGGGTGCGTCTCCATTCACAAGTTTAGCTCAAAGCTATATCGAACAGCACTTTGTAGGTCTCCCGGATAAGGGTTACTTCGGCTACATCAGCACCTGGACGCAGACGCCCCTGCGCGCGATCTGGTTTGTGACGCTCATCGGCATCCTCCCCGGGCTGCTCGAGCTCGTAAGCGACATCGCGCTCAACGCCATCTTTGCGATGACCGCCATGGCGCTTGACCTGTCGTACATCATCCCAATTTTCTGCCGGAGATGGTACAGGAACCACCCCGAGGTCAAATTTGTGCCCGGGCCATTCTACATGGGCGACGGTTTCCTCGGGTGGGCCGCGAACGTGAACTGCATATTGTGGACGCTTTTCGTCTGCGTTATCTTCGCGCTCCCCACCGTCTTGCCCGTGACTGCCGAGACGATGAATTATGCTGCCGTGAGCCATATACACTACTGTTCGTCCTAACACGTTCTGACAGCCTCGGTTCCTATACAGCCCATCACCGGCGGTGTCATCCTGCTCTCTCTGTAAGCCCTACCTCATTCCTCGTCCTCTCCCTCACAACTAATCATGCTTTTCCACATAGTGTCTGGTACGCTGTCGGCGGCCACAGGCACTACAAGGGACCTGCTTCGAACAGGCCCGATCTCGTGACCAAGTCCGCTCCCGCAGAGGATGCGCTCGACACGCCGCACGATGAGGAGAAGGCCCAGGTGCAGACTCAGGTCGTGTAAACACCCTCTTACGCTTCAACAGCTCCCTCACGCCCCCCCCCCCAAACGTATACCCACGCGTCGCCCGATCGCGCCGTGCGCCCCCGCTCTCCCGTCTTCCCCATCACTTCCTCTACGTCCGCTGCTATTGGTTCCGCTCTGTTTGCTGCGGCTTCCAGGGCGTGAGGAAACAGGCAGACGGGGCCCACGCCGCTGCTCCTCTCATCAGGACCCACCCACGATCTCACGATGCTCACGCTCATTAAGGGGTATTATGCGGCCCCTCGGATCAGATATACAATATATACTCACATACACATCTTGGATGGCGCTCTTGGATGGCGCTAGCAAAGTAATGTTCGATAGTGCTCGTTGCTCGTGCTGTACGAAGGGATTCTTTAGTCGTGTAGCGGTACTCGGTTCGTCGCTCCTGCTGTCCCTAGATGTACAGTTATCACCATGCTTTGCTCAGGATCTCCATGCTGCACGGCAGCGAACAAGGTGCCGCATTCGATCGCATCCATTCTGCTTACTTTCGCGAATCTCAGCAGGACCGACACATTCGGAATGGCATATTGCAATCCCCGGCATGTAGGATTTTAGGGCGCGCGGGTGAGAGCGAGTGAGAGCGCGAGGGAGCGCGTTTGGCCGAGTGCAAACGCGTGAGTACATTGGGTGTCGCGCGGGCGGTTAAGTAGGTACATGAGTGGCGCGTTGCGCTGTAAATACAACAGAGCCGGAATACAAAAGAAACCTAAAGCGAAACAATACGAGCTGTGCTCGCTCGCAACGGAGACAATAAGTACCAAATATCGACACGGCAAGCAGGATATTTTGGTGAGCTCGTCCTTCTCCCGCGAATGCTCATGCCCTGACGATGTCACTACGTAAATTAGAATACACACGGTCCGCTGGGCGCCTACATGGCATCGCCTCTCTCTTCCTCCCGCCTCTGCCGCACCATGCTGCAAGTACCGCATTGGACAACCGCGCTCTTTCGAGCTCCCACACAATCGTAGATCATGTCGTGGCCCTTGCAAGGCTTGCGCACTGGGCTGATCGGCACTCGCTTTCCCCGGAGCTTTCGTTATTGGCTGCGATCTCCTCGGCCAGTGCGGGCGCGCACTGTCCATCACGCATCCACTGGAGTCCTCGCGAAGCTGTCCAATGCGCGGCGGACCGTCCCTTGTAACAAATGAGAAGGCCTGTGCTCTAGCGCTCAGCTTCATGACTATCAAATGGGATTCAAGACCAGGGACGGCGGGAGCTGTACGCCGCGAAATCAAGCGTATCGTTATGAGCGCTGCCTGCGGCGGTTGTTTCTTTCAGGCTCCGTCAGCACCTCGACGTCGACCCTATCTGAGTCCTTTCGTAATGCCTCTACAACTTGGCTCAAATCACTCGCCGAGCAAATTGCGACGCCCCGTACAGTCTAGCGGGGTGAATCTCACGGAAAACCGAATTCCACCAATCACAGCCTCGGACTTGCAGCGGTTTGCTGCGCCCGCCTTGACAAATGTGTATACAGTTTGTCCGCAGTGAAGTCGACCGTAGACTATATATGCCGGGCGGCGACGTGGGGCCTCGCTACCACTGGCTGGTCCGAGCCCCCTTTGTTACCTCTTTTCTTTTTTTCCGGGGATGTCTTGGATCTACGCCTACCGCCTTTGCTCTTTCAGTACGTGCAGCGCTTCTGACCCTATCGACGTGCGGTGTCGGACGCTTGCTGATTCTTGTGTATCCCTTGCAGTTCTTTCGGTAGCGCTCGGGCTCGGCGTTGTCGCGCTGTGCGTCCAGACTGTGGTCTCGAAAAGCATCGTTTTCGTCGATTATGGTCGGGTCGTAAACGTGCTCTACGCCTATGTCGGAATCTTCACCGGGATTTATACCACGGTCCTCTTGTTGATCAGGTACGATGGCATATCCTCGCACGACTCCCTGTATGCTGATGCCCATGCGCTATAGCCTAATCCGCGACAGTTGCCACCGGCCTCTCGCGATCGTATCTGAGCTCGTACTACTCGGTAATTCTGTGCAGCCCTAGACCTGGTTGTTGTGCCTCGACTGGCTGATGACCTACCTTGGCAGCGATACCGTCCGCCGCGTGGTCAGTTGTGGCCGTCATGACACTGGTACAGATTGGGCAGAATTTCGAGCGGTCTGCATGCAACGACGGCGACGCGACGGCTCACGACATCTGCAACTACTCCGCGCCTATCGCGGGCCTCTCGGCCACGGTCGCTGCTATTTGTGCGTGGATTCCTATTGCTCGCGTGCGCAGCTTGTCTGACACTGACGCATCGGTTGTAGTGATGATCTACTCCCTCGTGCTGCTGTTCGTCGCGTGGGTTGCGGCGCGGCGCGGGAAACCGATATGGATGTATCCCGTCCCGAGGAGCTCGGCGCAAGGTAGCTCTTCGAGGGCCGCGGTTCAAGACCTGGAGGCGAAAGCTGGCGAGAAGCCTGTCCAATGAATAGCGCGCACGTTCACGCCTGCAATTTTATCTATCGTATTTTTGACTTACACCAGAGCTATACTAATCCCTTTCCCCCGGCGTGCATCCTTGGAAGCGGGCCGATGTGCTGAGCATCTTGCAAAGGTATGCATGGTGCGGGCCTGGATTCCGGTGAGTAAGGTCTGTGTCATGAACGTTCTTTTGTATGATTGAACGCAGAGCTGACGGCGCGCGTCTTTTGAGGGATTAGGTTGGCTCGGAGAAACTTGCTATGCGTAGCGCTGGTGCTTCGCGCATCGCCTACATTTGCGCTCGAGTCTGGAGTCTCGACCATCGGCCCACCAGATCCAATTAGTATGGGGTAGGCTGTACCTACCTCATTCAATCAATGTTGTGCACACACGCCGCTGATACACATCTGCGCCTGGTGTTGCTCGCAGCTCGACACTCGTGCACATTCTCTTTGGACAGGACATCGCCCACACCGTGCAATCAGAACTCTGGCCGGGCACATCCCTTGCTGCACCTCTATGGTAGTCGATAAGATTCCGTCATGGCACCGATTTCACTCCGTGTGCACGGCAACTCATCCCGCGCACTCGAGAGCAGTCGCCCCATGCACCGCCTTCGCGATGTCCAGCGCCCATCATAAAGACACCGAACAAACGGTCTCTAACGGCGTTCGGCTGTTCTTTCAGAGCACAAGGCACGTCCCCGCGGACCTCTCACTATCTGACATGCCTGAGAACGATCAGCCGCTGAACAGTCTGATTAGAGTGAGTCCGTTGTATATCGGACTCTTCTTTGAAGGCACTTTGATGTTCAGTTGCCGCGCTCGAGTCATTCGAAGCCTGGTCGGTGATATATGTGACAGCTCGGGACCGCCGCCGTAACGATGGACACGAGGCAGGACAACAGTTCCACGCGTCCTTCGCATGCGCGTTCAGCATATGTTTGATGGTACACCGAAATGTGAGTTCCACTTTGATTGGAACATTTGGATTGCCATTTTGACCGGCTCCTACCAGTGAACTTGTCTTATGACCGTCCACCCACACAGGACAGATGAACAGTTTTGACATGGACCATATGTGCGATGCTGGCACGGGTATGTGTGGCGGTGGCCCGCCTGCGGCATATCAGGTCATCATGGGGCTCTCTGGACATGCTTCTCGAGTCGAGTCCCGGACGCCGTCAGACAAGTGCCTTAATCACACATTGTGAGCCCGGCGGGGTCAGGTCCGTAACAAGCTCCCCTTTGCGCGTGTTTGGGCTTCGAAGAGACGTCCATCGTCTGCACAAAAGGCCCGCACCTTCCAAACCGTACCTGGGAGCAGTTCTTGCCCACCTACGCCCACCATGAACCTCTTGTGGCTCTACCGCGGTTTCACGTTCGGTGAGTGTCACCAGTACTGGCTTGATGCCCCGATGCCCTCTCAACCTCCCTCCCCCCAGTGCTCGTGTCCATCATCTCGTTGGTCGTAATCGCGTTCTGCGCGCACACGTCGACTAACCTCGACAAAATCCTGGCGGCATTCGAGCTCGAGGGCTCCTTCCCATACACGAACCTGGGTATCGCAGTGGGCGCGATCACGATTGTCTCCAAGGTTTTGCTGTGAGTCCTCCGTAGCATGCAGGTGGAACCGCTCGTCTCATAGGTTCGCTCGCCCGCCGTACTTAGTCTTGCCCTTGATTTCTTCATCGACAACACCTTCACGTCCTTCATCATCTTCGAGATCTCATGGTCTTGTGAGTGTGTTTGCTTCTTCTCTCGTGTATCACCGGGCTTACGCGCTGCGCTGTCCAGCCATCCTGTGGATCCTGTGGATTTCCGTAGGTGCGACGACACTATCTGAGGGCAACACGATCTTCAAGGGCCATACCTGCGACGACTTCGACGTTGTGCTCCCGGCGGCGAAGAACATCTGCGACGACATTCACCCGATCGCCATCATAGCCTTCGTCAATGCCTTCCTGCGTGAGTCGATACGCTTTTAGCTCTGGATGATTTGGAGATGGAGCGGCTCGCTGATTCGGATTCGCTCTCGTCCAGTCTTCTTGTACACCGGCGTCCTCTTCTTCGCCGCCTTCACGACCTCGAGCTCGACGCCACCCTGGACCACCTCTCTGAAGAACCGCAACAAGTTCTAGGACGGCCGATAGCCCTGCTGCCGTCGATACACCGGTCCGTGACGCTCTGTGTCTCTCATCCTTTCTCCCGGACTCCGTGTTCTTCTTGCTCGTCTCTGATGTTCCTGTTGCATTATCTTGGTATACCCTCGGATTTCTTGTAAATGCTACGTCCTTGTACGTCGCCCAGTGTAGAATACTGCACCGTCCATCGGTGTCCAAATTGATGGTTTTTTTTTGCATATCTGACACCGCGTTGTAGCTCATATCTATGGGGCAAGTCGACTTATGATCAAGGATTTTGCGTCGTGACTGTTCCAAGTATTGCGAGGAGTACTCAAGGAGTACTTTTGAGCGCTATAGGGCGCTTATCGGTTCCGCGAGAGAGTTGCCGGTGGCGGATTATTTACCGCGACTTGTGATGCGGTGCAGCAAACTTGTTGCTACCCGCCACCATCATCCTCAACGTTATAAGGAACCCTAGAAACCCACCCCATGTCTCTCGTGTTGCATGCACCGCGTTGCCAAGACTCTGTCTTTCTCGACATCTCGACAATCTAGCTTTATACCAATATGTGATGCCTCGCCTCCTCTGCATCCGACGATCCCTCATGGAAATCGCTACCAGCGTTGATAGCAGTGCTGACTTCAAGGGAGGTTTGCCAATTCTCATGGGACGTCCTTTGCATCAAATCCTTGGCTTACATATTTTCGCTACCGTAGCATGGAGCCTCCGATTCCTCGGAAATCGTGAAAGGCGGCTGCTGCATTCAGTTCATTGTTCGAGGCTCGTAGTCGCACTGCATCATGGTTGGGGTCCCTGCGGTCTTGTCGATAACGCCCATCATGATCTTGACCGCCGATTGTGATTGCGGTAGTACCCCGCCTCGCCTACCGCTGCTTCCGCTGTGGTGGCTATGGCTGGTGTCGTACTAGTCTGTATAGACGTCCGCCCGGGTCCGGCTGTGAGATGACTCGTCCGCGCCTACTACCTCCGCACCGTGAGTGCCAGTATCACTATCTGGGTGACAGGAAGCGAGCGCATCGGACGATGCGCGATGAGTATTTGATTTCGCAGTGGCAGTTGCAGGTCGCAGCCCTGTCCGCCCTGCGTTCCCACTGTCTAGACAACCGCCGCAGGGTCGTTAGATTCCTAATAAACCCCTGGAGTATGCCCACGAGGGGTGTATCGGTGTCTGCTGTTCCTATCTATCCTTGCCCGCCATGAACGCTCCGTGGTTATACCGTGTCATCACATTCGGTGAGTACTTCCTCCAAGTGCAGAGGGCCTCCGGTGGAACTCGAGCTGATAGTCTGGCGTCTTCACAGTGCTTGCTTCCATATTGTCGCTGGTCGTCATTGTATTCTGCGTGAAAAGCAAAGACCATCTCGATGACATAGTCAACGCTGTTGGGGGCCGGGGCCAATTCAATGCTTCGAACTATCCATATGCCACCCTGGGCATCGCAGTGGGCGTTATGACGGTGGTCACAAAAGTCGCCATGTGAGCGGTATACTTTCCTCACGGGTCCTCTGCCGCTGAAGGCGATGTTTTAGGCTCGCCTTGGACTTCTTCTTTGAAAGCATCTTCACGTCCTATATTATATTCGAGCTGGGATGGTCATGTGAGTAGCCTGTTCCCCTCCAGTCATTCTCAGCTATCACACTTATGCCCGTGCCGCGATACACACAGGCGTCCTGTGGGTGCTGTGGATAGCCGTAGGCGGGACCACCCTGTCGAATGGGAAGGACCTCTTCGGAGACGAGAACTGCCAGGACTTCCACGTTATTCTCCCCGAAGCGGAAGATGCGTGCGACGACATCCACCCCATCGCCTCCATCGCGTTCGTTACCTTTGCACTCTGTGAGTCTCCGAGCGCCTTCTCGACCGCGTGGATATCTTGACCGACGGCATCTGCAATCTAGTCTTCCTCTATTCGGGGGTACTTGTGTTCCTGGCGTTCTCTGGCTCGGGGTGGAACACATCGCTCAAGAGCCGCTCCAAGTAGAGTGGTCAGTGGGCCCCTGCCAGCATCTGTCGTGCTTCGACTCGTCCTCTTGTTACCTCAGGTTTATCTATTATATGTTGGGCGACTCCTACGTGTCGCTTTTGACTCCCGGGTGTATATGTATATTTTTCTTGGAATTTTCGTCTTTCGTAGTTCGTCCGTTCGAATTCAGACCTCTTCGGTGTAATATTGGCGCATAAACATCATACCGAAGAGTTGGCGCAGTGATCTGAAGAAGCCACCCGAAAAGGCAGTTCATTCTCACGTTCAATTCTGACGGGCATGAGAAGCGCCCAACACTTTTGAATTTCCAGACCGAACTCCTCTCAGCTCTCTCTCTCATCCGCACACGCCTAGCTTCCACTGGCGTACTTTCATGGTTTCATTGCTTGCTTGATGACCCTTACGAATATACTCTGTGCTTAAGCTTGTCATGTCTGGTCATCTGCTGCCTCACGCGCTCCTGGAGCTCACTCTCGCTCGGGCTAATGCACGTCTTGAAGGCCTCGCGTGCAGCTCGCTTCGTCGACAAGCTGCTGTTCTTGGGAGGAGATATACCCACCATCAGGACTTCTTGCGAGGCTCTGTCGCTCCTGCGCAGGTCCCATTTGAAGTCGCGGAGGATCGTTCGCTATACGCGAAGTACGTTCGTGTCTCCGATTGCCCACAGCCCACCTTAACCTTCACTCCCAGACGCGATTCAAAACGAAACTCCCGCTCTGCTCTTGCTATGGGGGGTCTGTTCCCTCATTCCCAGGATGGACCGATCACAGAACTTGAGAGGAGAATAACGGAATTGAAGGAAACCCCGGTATTGGAGGTGCGTTTCATGGACATCTGAGTTCTAGAGCACTGGTTTCCCATGGGGCTGCCCAATGCTAGCGACTCGGACATAGACAGAGGTGCGCTTGATATGGTCGGCCCTAAAAAGGTGTACTCGCGCGCCGCTGTCGCACACATGGGCGGCCAATGCGGGAAACCAGAGGTCTCATCTTCCTATGGCTTAAAAGGACTGACTTTGACATTATAGGAGGCTGAAATACTGGAACCAGCGTTCTCCGAGTCCGAGCTTGTCTCCATATACGAAGAGTTGCTCGCGGTACCGCATCGTGCGCAAACACAGGACGTGCTAGTGGCCGACCCGGAATCTCAGTATCAAGCAGACGAGTCTACCCTCAATAGGGTTGTGCAGTCTCTGTATCAACTAGACGACACTGCGTCCATCTCCTCAGATCCGCGGTCACAGTACCAAGCTGCCATCATAAAGTTGAGGGAAATTGTGGGCGTGTTGGAGACGGCGCGGTCTTCCGAGGCCTCCTCGTCAGATCTGTCCATTCTGTCGTCACAAGACTGGGTCTCTCTGGTGCGAATATGCGTACGGGAGAAGGATGGCGAGGCAGCGGAATCAGTTGTCGACCTCATGAAGGTTAGTCGTTACGCACTACGCCCAGTTTTAATCTAACGGTTCACGCCAGCGCGCTGGAGCTCCTGAGCTGGAGGAAGCTATGAATACGGTCATGGCTCTCTATGCAGATTCTGGGGATGTCGGTAACACGGAACGCGTACTGGCCACCTATGCCGGGCGGGTGCCCTCTGAGCGGCAGCGCGACCTCCACGTCAAGGCCCACCTTCGGTCGGTCCCCTTGGGTACATTCCCTGCCAGTGCACTACAGGTGCTGCACGAACACGAGACGCGCGGCATACCCGCTCCCATGCGCACATACACTCGCGCTATCAGAACGTTGTTCGGCGTCCGCTCCGCCGTCGGCGAGGCACAGGCATGGGACCTCTTCGCGCACATGCGGTACGTCGCGCATCCAACCCCCGACGCGTTCCTCTACACCGCGATGATGAACGCGTGTGCGCCGCGCTTGCTCGAGCCCCAGCCTGCGCGCGCCCTTGATCTCTGGACAGAGATGACGGTTGACAAGGGTATTCCGCCGACGGCGGACGCATACACCGCAGTCATCTCCGCATGCGCGCGCTCGGGCCAAAAGGCGTACGTGAACGAGGCTTTCCGCCTCGCGAAGCAGATGCTGGATGGACACCGCGACGCGTACGGTAACCCCGCCTTCCGTCCGGACCAGAAGACGTTTGGGGCGCTGTTGGAGGGCGCGAAGCGGACGGGCGACCTGGCGAAGGTGCGCTGGATCCTGGCAGAGATCATCTCGGAGAGCATGCAGGCGGCGAGGGGGGACCTTTCGGAGCCGGTCATGGTCGACGGCTGCATCATGACCCACGTCTTCCACGCCTATGCGGCGTACAAACCCGCGTTCAACCGCTCCACCACGGTGCTCGTCGACAACCCAACTACTACGCGCACCAATCTCCCAAGCAACTCCCCGGAAGCTGCAACATCGTCCGGTGGGCAAGAGGCATCGTCAGATAATCCCTCGACTGTACAATCGGAGGCTGCCCCGGACGCAGAGTCGCAAGCCCGGGTTCCACAAGCCCCTCGGAAACCTCAGTTCACTCGACTTCTTCCCCAGAGCAACGCGGAAGTCCTAGGAGAGACTCAATCGCTCTTTGCTCGTATTCTGAAGGACACATCATCGTCCGCTCGCAGCGTGGCATCGTCCCAGGACGGCTCGATGCCCCCCGCCTTCGAGAACGTGCGCCTGACTTCGCGTCTCGTCAACGCATACGTCTCCGTACACCACTCGCACGCCACCTTTGACGATGCCGTGCACCTCTATCGCACGCTCTTCGCACAGCTCGGCATGCAGAAGAACGCGTGGTCGTACGTGGAGGCGCTCGAACGGTGCACGCGCGCCCGCCGCGGGCCCGAACGCAAGCAGGCGCTGCAGTTTGCGCGCGAGGTATGGGAGGAGTGGCTGCCCGTGGAGATGGCGTGGCGGCGGGGACTCGAGCACCCCGAGGGCGTGAACGCGCGGATGGTCGAGCGCGCGCATACGGCGATGATCCGCATACTCTCACTGTGAGTCCAGAACTTCGCCGTCCATCCGATAATCAGTCGCTGACAGGGTCGCCTGCACAGCACGGGCCAGGTGCACGAGGGGCTAGAGGTCGTGCGTGCGTTCGTGGCGCGATATCCTCCGGACGCCGTCAAGCAGGCCGGCTCTAAACTCGATTTGCGTTCGACGCGGACCACGTTATCGGCGCCGCGGCCGTTGGTGCGCCTCCTGACCCCCCTGGAGGTTCCCGACGACACGGTGCCCCCGCTGTTGTCTTTCCAGGAAGTGGAGATCCTTCACCACCGCCTCGTTGCGGTGGGCGACGTGGAGGGCGTGCGCTACCTGAAGTGGGTGTGCATGGCGTACGCGGGCGCGCTGAAGCAGAGGAAGGAGGCCGTGTTGCGCGCGCAGCCCGAACCCGCTCCGAAAAGCCGTATCGCGCAGCGTCAGGAGGGGGAGGCGTGATGGAGCTGTGGGAGGTGAAGGGTGGGTTCGTTATCGTACGGATTATAATTGCCTTATTGTCTCCTTAATTGCAACAGGATTCCCGCTCCGTTCCGGGTGCTTCTGGGCGCCCTTCTCTTTTGCGGTAGGGCAGATCCTTGTGCCAAGCGAAGACGCCATGCGGCCATGGAGGTAGGACCGCGGAACGGAGGGCTTCGACGTCCGCCGGGGTGACACATGAGTGCCTCGCGTTTCGAGGGCGCGGTCGGGCGTGGAATGGAACTCACTCGAAAGAGCACAAAACCGCCGAGGGTATCATTCTATCAGACCGCTGGGAGGGTAGGACCCCTGATGAGGCATGCGACCAAGAACAAAGGGAGGAGTAACTGGGAGGTGCCATCAAATCTCCATATCAGGCCGATCTAGAAGGGCACTCCCACACTACCAAATAGTCCCAAACACTCACGCCACTGGCCAGCCCGACACCAGCATTCGCTCTACCTCGCCTATCCCAACGAGCTTGCGCCGTTCAGACTCCAACCTGCTGCGTCGCGATCAACGCGGTCGCGGTTATGAGCTTTTGCTGCGAGGTGCAAATGGTGTGCGGCAAGCGGGACCGTACCCCTTCGAAGGCTTACGCGGCCTCTGGGCCCTGGCGCGTGTAAATCCAAGGACAGCCGCGGTCCCGCCTCCTCTGCGGAATCCCACCTCCCTCCACCGCCCCACTGCTTCTCTGATTATCTCCTGCACAATCGCGGATTGGCACGCCTTCGGAAGCTATTGGGAGGGGTCCCACCTCCTCCTCCACTGTCTCGGCTCACAAAGCCCGTTGCATCGTGGGTTCTTGGGCGGCCATCGATGCGCCCGAGTCGAGGTCAGCCAGGCACAACAAAAGAGGGGGCCCGCATGACGACACAAAGGGAGTGTCCCGTTTGGGAGGAGGCACCCGGCCAGACAAACGTACTGCGGACTCCGGCGGATGCCGGTGGCGAGCCGTCGCGAGGTATATAAACCCCCCTCCTCGCCGTCTCCTCTTTCCCTCAGACCGCTCTCCTCCCAACCTCGAGTCCTCACTCGAGCGGCCGCGCTTGCCTTAACGGCGGGCGTGGCAGCGCCAACGGCTGCCTTCAAGGTGAGCTCGTCGTGGTCTCCAACCGCCGACGACCGCAGGGCCTCACACTTGCGTCTCATCCCAGGCGTCGACTCCGAAACGTTATATGCTCACCGTATGAATTTGTACGTCGCGCCCCCTTTTTACTCATCTTGTACGCCGCTCATGACCTCTACCGCAGGTCAGATAAGAACATCGGAGGCATCGCATAAGTCCTCGCCACACCACTATGCCTACGGTGGCGCATCGATGGACCACGCATCGTAAGTACTCTGCATCAATTTCGCGCTGCTTAAGCTCACACACCGCTGGCCAGGATGCACACACGACGCGGACCAACCCACCCCCACACAAACCCCCCCTCGCGGGCGGCACCATGGCGGCACGCGCCCGTCGGCCGTGCAACACCGCTGAACGGACTATCTGCGACGTTCGCCCCCGTGCGACGTCGACGTCCGGGCGGACTCCGGATGAGGTTTTCGAGCGTGACAGCCTTCGGGTTAGCTCGCGACTCGACCCTCGGCGCGAGACCCCCTCGAGGGGCTTCCGGAGGGCGCGCCCAGCCTAGGGAGCGGCGCGCCTAGAAGCGTACAAAATTTTCCGGGGAACGGCAGAATCCTTTGGTGGGCGGGACGCCGCTGCACCATTGGGGGCCCTCCCCGCTGGTGGCGTCCGCGATTATATCGGGGCGCCATTGGTAGGCTCTGCACGCGTGTCCGCGCTGCGGCGCGGCGCGCGGGCGAGACGACCACCCCCGCCAGCCGGAACTCCCCTTGCGAGTGAAGGCTGGCAACCCCGGCTTCGGCCACCCCCCGGCTTCGGCCACCCCCAGGCTTCGGCCACCCTCCGGCTTCGGCCACCGTAATCATTCCACCGACATCTCCCTCAAGACCGAAGACCGAAGACTATTATTATTATTATTTATCACGCAAGACCATCAAGAGGCTGCGACCCTATTATATGGGTCGCAGGGTACTTCCCGGGGATAGCGCAGGCCTCATCGTGGCCCCCGGGTCTAGTACCCGCCGCGGGCTCGCTCGCGGCGGGGAAGCCAACTGCGCTCGCTGGGACCCTTGTATCCGCACCTCATCATCACGCGTTGTTGGGTCCCCCCAACCGCCCGGAGGCGCGACGAACAGGTGCGTCTGCTCGGCCCTATCTGACTTGCACATGGGCGACGACGCTGATGTCCTCGCGTCTCTCAGGTCGCACCGATGACTTGCAGCAGCGGCACTCGCTCCATGCGACTATGTCTGCCCCTCGCCGCGCCGCCCTTCATGGCGCGCGCCGCGCGTCGTATCGCGGGGCCGACACATCAACGGTACGTGCTGCATGTTCGTCCTACACTCTCCACCCGACGCTGACTCTAACCTACAGCCGCGCCCCGCCACACGATCTCCACCCTATAACGCGTCCAATCGACGTGTCACTCGTGGTCGGTCGTCCGACCCGCGCAGGCCGCTGACACCCGTCGGCGGCTCGCCACGGTCTTCGCGGCGCGCGCGACACCTCGGTGCTGCGCGCGCCGCACTGCAAGACTGAGCCACCGCGACGTACGTGTTTCCTCCTCGCATACGGTTTGGAGCGAAGGCTGACGGGCGCGTTCGACAGTGCGGGCCTTCTTTGCGATATCTCGCCTTCGACTGAACAAGCGATCGCGTGCGGTCGTCGAGATCCTGCCGAGGTGCGTGGCAGAACATCGCGATGTCGCTCACAGGTTTCGTAGGACCAAGGGCTGCTTCGTGAACGATGCCAGTGTGAATCGAGTTGTGCCGCGCGCAGTGGCATCGGGGATGAGCTGTCATGCACCGTGTTCGGCGATACACACTCGCTCGTAGCCTACGCCCTTAGTAAAGTGAAATATATCTGTTTCCTGCTTTCGAACACGACTGCCAGTGACGAGCGTACAAGTTTGCGAACGTACTCAGCCAAGGGATCAGGGCACTGGCAGTCGCCGTATCTTGGGGGAGGCTCGCGCTGATCAGGATGTGTCGCTAGCATGTTCGGACGCCCCTGCCAATCAAGTGTGACGGACCTCGCGACGAGTTGAGGAGACGGCGCGGCGCGATACTGAACGCCTCGGCGAACTCTCGGGGATCGCAGAGTCCGGGCCAAGTCCGGGCAGGCACGCGCTCATCCAACCCCAAAACCCGGTCTATTTGGTCATATTCGGGCTGGCGAGGCGACGCGAGTGCGCGGCTCACTGATGTAGAGCGTGAGGTTGGACTAGCCCCAGACAATCGCAGAGGCGTTCAAACACAATGATGATCATGATGAATGAAGTGAGTACTAGCGTATTGTAATTACATCAAGCTACATCTTCCATAGCCAATCGTACAAGTATGAGTCCGTCGCAACCAGTCGTCAGGGATCGTACAATGAATCACGTAAGAGAGCAATGAGCAAGCGTGGGGGGAAGACTCGGAACTGTTTTAGTGGGGGTGGGAGATAGGCCTGGGGGAGAAGCGGAGAAGCGTTTACAACTCGACCTTCTGCGCCTTGTGTTTCTCGTTTCCTGCGTACGCACCCTCCTTCGCGCCCTCCTTTGCGCCCTCAGCGGAGCCCGTGAGGATATCGAGGATCTGGCCGAGCTTGTCCTCGCCAACGGCGACGCCGGAGTCGAAGATGCTCTTCACGCGGTGCCACACGGCGCTTGCGCGGCCGCTCGACTGCACCCACCGGATGCGGACCTCCTGCAGAAGACCGGGGCGCGTCGTGGGGAGCTTCGCGTCCGAAACGCCGTGCTCGCGGAGGTAGGCGCGGAGGCGCGCGTCGGGCCAGGTGAGGTACGCAGCAGTGCGCGAGGAGACGTCGGTGTACTTCTCGTTCATGAGGTTGACGAGGTCGTCGCGCGTCTTCTTGGCGTCGCTGCGGAGGTAGCCGTTGTCGATGAGCCATTGACGCATGTCTGACTCCTTCCAGGCTGCCCAGGCGGAGTCGTGCGCGTGGGCGTAGTTCTCGCTGGATGATGATTGTGGTCAGCCCCTGCTTCGTTGACGAGATAACTGTGAACTTACGCGACGAGCTTCTGCATCTTCTCGCGCTGGAGCTGGGCGTCGCTCTTGATGACGCCATGCTCAACGAGCCACGCCTTGGTTTGCGAATCGGTCCAGGTATCCCAGACGTTGGCCTTGGTGTCGTAATAGTACTTGTCCATCAACGCAAGGAGCTCCTCGTGACGCTTGGTAGCGCTGTCCTTGAGAATGCCGTGCTGGATGAGCCAGTTGTGGATGTACGAATCCGACCAAGCCTTGTAGAGGGGGTTGGCGGTGGAGGCGTATGTCTCCTTCATCTTGGCGAGGAGATTTTCGCGCGGGGTAGCGGGAGCCTCGACGACTCCGTGCTCCTGGAGATATGAGCGAATACGGTTGTCATCCCATCTACGAATATAGTGAGTATATGCGCCGAAGGAGTGATCGGTACAGACAGGCTACTTACGTGGAGTAGACATAGTCCTTGGAGTCGTCCAGCGCGGCCGCAGCGTTGTCGGTAGCCAGGGCCGCGATTGAGGAAGCAGACTTCGACGCCTGCTGCCACGAGTTGCCGTATACAGCGGTGCTAGCCTGTGCAGACGCGGAGCTAGCGAGGGAGCTGGCGCTCTTGCTCGCCTGGTTGGCAGCAGAACCCACGCTCTTACTCGCCTCGCCCGCGACAGAGCTCGCAGTTTTGCTCGCAGTCTTGCTGTACGCGCTTGCAGCGGATGAGTACTGGCGCCACTTCTGCTTGGCAAGCAGAGCAAGCTGTTCGCGGGTGCCGGAGGGGTTTACGACACCCTGCTCGAGGAGGAACTCACGGAGGCGCGACTCGTCCCAGGTGTCAAACGCGTCCGCCTTGTAGCTTGAGAACGCGACCTGGGCCTTGTTGAGCTGCTCGTACGTCCATGACGACGCGGAGTCGTAGTGAGCCTTGACGGCGGCCTGCAGCTCAGCCTGCGAAGGAGTAGTATCGCGGGAGTAGGGGACGTTGTGGGCGTCGAGCCAGTTCTGCAGTTCTTGTGTTGACCATGTGGTATATTCTGCAGAGATAGCGCGGAGTCAGTCTCGGGTGTACTCCGGAGAGAAGCACCAATCAAGCGACGCGTACCTGCGGGCTGGTTATTGGTGTTGCCGCTGAACCAGGACGCCTGGACGGCTGTGCCCGCGGTGAGGGCGAGGAGAATCAGAGTCGGTCTCATCGTGGTCGTAAGTGGTCAACGAGAGAGAGAGAGGGAGAAAGAGATGGGCAGCCCGTCACGGGGAGTCGTTGGTTTTATACGACGCGCCGCCGCCTGCCATCGTGGCTCTCTTCCCGCCCCAATGACGCACCCACAGCGCGCGACGGTCACTTTGACGTCACCGTACGAACTCAAACGCATCCCGTCACCCATAGGCGCCCATAACTCCTCCGAGCGCCAACGGCCCCGCCCGTGGCGTTCAGCGTGATTGAGGACGCGATCGTGCCAAGCGACGGTCTAGACTCGCCTTCTGGAAGCGTAAAGCTTCTCTAAATGCACCCGTCGCCGACTTCCAGAACATGTCTTGCGCTTTGTTGGAACATAAGTACATGGTACTTTAGTATGTCGTCTAGACGCCCGCGAGGTCGTACTCACCTTCCGAGTTCCAAGGCATCGGGTTGTGGCAGGACGCGAGTCGCTTTCCTCCTCAATGAACGCTACTCACACCTACCGAGGGCGACACGGGAATAGAGGAGGTCCCAGTGAACGTCCAGCAGCCGCTGCGGACCGTGCCCCCTGTGGGGTTTGATCAGAACTACCTGTCCAGTCGCTGATCTCACACCTGACGGTCGAGGATCCAGAACCATAGGTCAGGTAAAAGTTACTGTGTGCTATACGCGAGGTAAAAAGCATCTCGATACAACAAAACACAGTTGTACGACTGCTCACAATGTCCTGCGCTCACAACAGCACCCAGGAGAACGCGGCTAGCGCAGTCGCGCCGACCATCGCCGCATACGCCGCCGCGCCCGCGGGAAGCGCGCCGTTGCCGCCGCTCCCACCAGTGCTCGTGCCGTTCGCGCTCGTGCCGTTTCCGCTCGAGCTCCCGGTGTCGCTCTGCGCGTCGGGCGTCGCGGTCGCAGAGGAGAGCACAGTGGTGCCGTCGGTGACGGTCGGCGTGAACACGGTGTTGTTCACGGTGAAGACCTTGATAGACGATATCTCAAAGTACGCGTCGTGGTACTTGGTGCCGTTGTTATTGATCACGTTGTCGATGTACTGCGCGCGCGGGCCTGCGATCAGCGCAGAAGAGTGAGCACGGACAGGGGAGGACGTACGCAGACGTCGACGGTGCTGTTGCCGAGCGTGCCGCCGCAGGTGGACTGGTAGAGGTTCGGCTGGCCGGCCCTAAAAACACGCACCTCGTCAGTACAAGGAGGAAGTTCGCTGAGAAAACACGCACCAGTCACCACAGAGCGTGATGTCAAGCACGAGCTGCTGGGGCGTGAAGAACTTGTTCACGTCGCAGTCGGACGCGGGCCATGCCGCGGAAGGGGTGCCCCAGTTCGTGGGGTCGATGGTGTCCTGTGCATTCGTCACACCGTCGGGGATATCCTTGCGCTGCAATGGCTGTCAGTGACAATCCTCCCCGTAAAGAACGTACGGAGACGCACACTCCAGAACCAGATACTTCGCCCCGCACACTGTCAGTAACAAGACACGCGCCCAAAGAGAAACCGGACTCACAAGACCCCCGTCTCGTCGAACTGCGTCGCCCACACGCCTCCGCCCGCGGCCGCGAAGTCGCCGCCGAAGCTGTTCGCCTGCGCGTCCAGGACCGCGCACCCCGCGGCCGAGTCCGTGCCCGCCGAGCAGTCGCTCCCGACCGTCGACCCGGACTGCGGCGCGTTCGCGGGCTGGTTGCAGCCCGGCTGCGTGTGCAGCGCCATCTGGTTCTTGCCCATCAGGTTGATCGCCTCGACGATGTCGATCTCGCCGCCCTGCGGCCACGTCGGGCCTTTCGTCCAGAACCCGGGCCACACCTGCGCGGGTATGTCAGCTGGGGGCGGACGCGGAATGGGGGAGGGGCGCGGTCACGTACGGAGCAGCCGAAGGGGAGGTGCGTGGCGTCGAACACGATCACAGATCCGACGGGGAAGAAGTCGGTCGACTCGAGGCGGACCTGCATATCCGGTCAGTGAGAGTCACTGTATGCATCCGGGCGCCCGACGTACCGAGTTGCGCTTGTCCTGCCACGCGACGAACGAAAAGTCGTCGACCTTGACGACTGCGTTGCCCGCATCGTTCACGTATGCGAGTTTCTGGCCCGTCGCGGACGACTGGTTCAGGTAGTTCACATGTCCTGAAGCAGTCCTTTCAGCTCGAGCTTGCGTGGATGTCCAAGCGGTGCGGGCTCACCATGGGTCGTAGAGTCGAACGTGCCGTTACCGAAGTCCCAGCCGTTGAAGAAGCTGGCCCCGGAGTACTCCTTGGCCAGGTTGAACGCCGCGAGGGCGGAGGGGGTCGCGAAAAGAGCGTATGCGAAAGGAACGGCGCGGCGCATGGTGCCAGATGTTTAGATGAGTACTGTATAGGTGAGAGAGGAGAGAGAGAAAGAGACGTTGCTAGGTCATCCTCCCCGGGCAGCATGTATACATGGGACATGCAGAGCGGCGAAGCTTGTGAAACAAGGTTCGCCTAGTGCAGCGGTCAGTAATTTACTGCGATCGAGACTGCCGACGACACCAGGCGTGCCTCGCGGCGCCGATCTTGATGATGACTGTAGACTCGATCGGCTGTGTTTGCCCTGGCTTGACCGTTCCGGGAGGGGGCGGGTCGGAAGTTCCTGCAAATGAATGCTCTTGGCTCGTAGGATGGAAATGGTATGTTCAAGCTGCTTCTCGAAGAGATTTGGATGAGATGTTTCGAGCAAGTTGAGAGGCCTGAATGCGACTGCTGCCTCCGATAAATCGTCCGGTCATTAGTCCGAGCGCGGCCATATCCCCGTCGTGGGACCAAGGCGTTGAGGCCGCGCCGGCGGGCGCATAGCCTTTAACATTGACAAGAAGAACCTCGGAAGCCGTTGCTCAGGTTACCAGTGTGCTGTATGCCAGCCCTGCCAGACACACGAAGAGATTCATGGGGTGGGTGCAAGGTTGGTGAGGGTGCAAAATCAGAGACTCCAGATCTAGAGGAATTCGCCGGGTCGCCAAGACTCGGAGTTATGCACGGAAATTGCCGTTTTGCCACGTGGAGCTGAACCTGTACCTAGACGCCCAAATTATGTGAACGGTCGACTCTTTGTCTCTCTCCTTGACCTCGTTTAGCTTTCAGACGGAGATTGCGAGAGAGAAGGTCGCACACAGAGTCTTCCTGCGACCGCCTGTGATACCCATATTCTTCCTCTGCAGACGCCTCGGAAATTTGAGCCTTATGGGAACGATCTTCTCACCGGGACTATCGAAAGACGGTACTTGCTATTGTTCTAAGGCAGACTCGTTCGAAAACAGGGACCACGACTATGAACAAGCACTAGTAGCTCATGGGTGTTGTTCTAGAGAACGATGTCATGACAATGAAGCAATGCACGAACTATATGGTGCGGCCCCGATGAGGACAACACGACGAGAGCAAGCCAGATATCCCACGTACGTACGGCGCTGCCCCGCCCCCTCCCGATGCGACTACGCTCATGGGATTGTTTTGTCCAGTGTGCTCCGCAGAGGCAAACGTTCTCGCGCGTGGCTTTTCGCGTACCCATCGGCACCGCCCCCCTCGTCGCAGCAGCAAAAAATAAACGCACCTTTCCCAACGAGCGGACCTTCTTGTACCTCTCCCTCGGTGCCGCGAGACCCCTTGTCGAAGCGGCCGTGGAGGAATGCCTGCCTGCGTGGCTGAACCGAGTGCTAGAAATAGACCATTCTAGTACATCGTCGCTTCAAGATCATTTGGGTGTGCGACGGTCACTTCCGAACCGCGCAAAGCAGCCGAGGTACGGTGAGTGTCCATTTTGTTCAAGACGAGCGTGAAGGAAAGCTGAGACTGTCTGCAACCTAGACGCTACTCTTAGTCTACCCTCAAATCACAGGATGCCTCTGCCAGCCTGCACGACAAGGACCCGCTCTATCTCCGCTGCTGTTACGGATCAGTCCTGCGGTCTCGGAATGACATCGACATCGACATATGCATCCTCGATCATTGTCATATCTTATCCCTCGCCCGCGCATTGCGGCCCGTCGCGTGCATCGTGGAAGCCCGGTTTACGTCGGCCACTACCATACTCGTAAACGCTCATCGGGTGCGTCCAGCGTGACGCATCTTTGACGTTTCGATACCGACCTCGCTTCAGCTGCTCACCAAGGCGAAGTGGGGTATGCCACAGAAACATCTAAGTGCCCTTCTCCTTTCTCTCCGCGGACCCAAACAGCTTGAACTATATTTTCCATCCCACAGAACGTCAAAAGGCACAAAACTCGGCATACTAGCATCGGCACAAGACCAACAATGCCACGTCTCTTCCACGGGCCCGATCATCCGCCAGGGGTACTGTCAACCTTCTCTTCTGCGCAGCCTACCTCAAGGCTCTGCTCTGTCGGGGCCCACGTCAATCGGAACACCTTCGCGCGCCGAGCCGAGTCTATTCAACCCAAGTTCTCCTGGTGGATGCCCCATGACGAAGAAAGAGGCCTAGATTCTTCCCACGGCGTCTGCCGTCATGAGGTGAGCACCCAAAACCCTCCCACCGACACTGTCTCATGCTCCCTCTGTGCCTTCGCTTCACTCGCCGCCGCAGTGAAGATACATATTTAGACTTCCTCCTGCCCACGGAGAGCGGGGTTATCAGATAACGCCATAATCTGATAAAATAAGGGGGATGCCCATCACAGGCGGCCTTGTCAATCAGACTGCCTCAGGGCAAGAGAAGCGCCACGAAGCCGGCAAGTCCGCCAGGTTCGCACTCGTCCTGCCTCTTCCCGTCTTCTCTGCATTCTCATGAGACAGCCGGGCGCAAATCAGGCCATCTCCCCGCGCGTCCTCGGCGTGCCGTGCTCCTCAACATCGTTCTCACGTCTGCCCCCCCTCATGGCAGAACGCTCGTCCGTCTCCCATGTCTCCCATGGCGCGTGTCGTGCCGCGCGGGCAGCTGTCCCAATGCAGCAGTCTCGTCCCACCCATTATCTGATAAGATGAGCGAGCGGGGACAGAGTTCGTTGTTGAACCTGCACCCCCTTCCAGTGCTAGTGCTCTCCCGGCCCAGGATGTCCTTCCAACGACAGAACAGCACCGAGAAGTCTCCCCTCGACGAGAAGGACGGCGGCTCCGTGGATGTGCGGGACAACAGCTCGAGCCAGGGCTCGGAGCCCGCCCTGGGGTATGCCGCCGGCTCGCCATCGAAGCCTAAGTTGCCCTATTCATGGCAGCTGGCGATGATCGTGTTGACGTGCTTGTGCACATGTACGTTGTTGCCTTCCGTTCCTGTGCTATGTTTCGCTGACCAGCCGATACCGCGCAGTCGGCAACCACTGGTCGAATGTGAGTATAAACTTTGCTAATGCTCGCTACACTCTTGTTGATTGTCGGGCTTCTTCAGGGTCTCATTGTGTTAGTCCGGACATACTTCCGCTGCTCGGGCATCGGCATCTGACTGGGAAACTCCATAGGTCTCTCAAGACCACTATCATCAAGGAGACGCACATCAACAACTCGCAGTTTGCGACCTTGGTATGTTCGCGCATTCAGTATTGCAGCGACCGTCAAGCTCACACAACTTCGTCAAATAGGTCGCCGTCACTAACCTTGTCAGTGGTTCGCCGTCCGTGTCCGTAGCGCCTACTGAACCCCTTCACTCCAGGTCAACACCTTCTTATGCATCGGGCTCGGCTTCTACATCGACAAGTTCGGCGGTGCGCTGATGTCCGTGATCCTCGCGGGCTTCCATCTCTCTGGCGCAATGGTCATGTCCGGGGCGGCGACGAACCACCTCAACAGCTACCCGCTGCTCATCGTCGGCAAGGTCCTCGCCGCTATTGGTGACGGATCCCTCGATAACGCCCAGCACCGGATCTTCTCGACGTACTTCGCACCTGGGAGAGGCTTCGCGTTCTCCATCGGTGCGTTCATAGTTGCTCGTTGCGTATTCAGTGTCTGACAACTCATCCCAACGCAGGCGCGATCTGGTATGTCTCTAGTTCTTCCGCATACGTCATTTATTAGCGGACCTAACCCGCTGCAGGTGTGTCGCCAACCTTGCGCAGTTCACCGGCCAGTCCACCGCGAACATTATCGCGACAAACCTCGGGACGTACGCTTGGGCGCTCTGGATCAGCTCCGTCATCGCCGGGTTCTCGTTCGCGTGCGCGATCACCGTGTTCTTCCTCGACCGCTACCTCCGCGCGCGCTACGACGTCACCGACCAGACGAACGGTCGCCGCCACACGGGCGCGGTTCGCCGCGGCACGTTCAACCTTAAGGCGATCCGGCACCTGCCTATGACCTTCTGGCTGGTCGTTGCGTTCGCCGTCTTCGAGAACGCCGGCGTGCAGTCGTTTGTGTCGATCTCGACGTGAGTGCCTTGACAGGTGGTGACGGTGGGCGGCGGTATGCTAACATCCGTTCCCACTGACAGGCAATTCGCGCAGCAGCGGCTGAAGAAGGGCGCTGTCATCGGCGGCTGGGTCTCAAGTTTCTACCTGCTCCTCCCTGCCGGCCTGACACCGTTCCTGGGCATCTACATTGATGTCTACGGAAAGCGCATCGGCTTCCGTGCGTCCATTCATACCATCCCAGAGACGGCATTCGACTGACACGGTCTTGGATACAGTGTTCCTCTCCGGTCTGACGTTCCTCATCTCTATGCTGCTGCTTAAGTTCTCTCACACTGTACCGACGTTCGGTGCGTGCTCTACCCCGTGAAATATCCGCTTCGATAGCTACTGACCCCACGGCTTTGTAGTCGCTGCATATGTCTTCTACGCGCTCTCGCAGGTAAGCCACTCTGGACTACGGCGTCAGATAACAGATGTTTACCATCTACGTTTCAGGCTGTCACACCCGCACCTCAAGTGGAGATCATCCGGAGCATCATCCCTGACCCAGAGTATTTCGCTACTGGGTGAGCCTTTCATCATCCCCTTACTTTCCAAACCCCGCTGACCATCCCTCCAATAGCTTCGCCATCAAGAGTACGTTCAGACTGCTCCCTTATTCCGCCTTACCGCTGACTAACACCTTTGCCTGCCATCCCTGCAGAGTCCGTCGTCCAAGCCTCCATCGTGATCATCACCACCGCCGCCGGTCGCCTGCAGGACCTCTCGCCCACGGACTCGCTCGACCCCGCCGTCTCGCTCTGGCTCTCGTACGCCTTCATCTCCGTCGCGATCTCCGGCTTCATGCTCGTCATGTCCTACGCCGCGCCCAACACGCTCCCCGCCGCGCGCCTCTCGCAGGTCGCCCCAGGCGACCTCCCCGCGGAGGTCGACAAGCTGGCGCGCGCGCGCGGGCTCGTCGTGGCGAAGCCGGACGCGGACGAGACCGCGGACGGCGAGACGGAGCTGAAGCGCAAGGAGCGCGCGCTCAAGGCGCCCGTGCGCGAGAACACGGTGCTCAGCTGGGCGTACCTCGCCATCGGCCTCGGCATCATCTTCATCGGCTGGATCATGTTCGGGCTCGGGGTCAACTGGGGCGTGCACGGCAGCGTCATCGCCGGCACTGTGGGCGAGTGAGCTCGTGCCGGCTGCGGTGTGCTAGATATGCCTTTCCGTGCTAGCTTTACGTGCGATGGAATGCCCCCGGGCGGTGGAGCAGGGCTTCGTGTATTTCGTTATAACTAGCAGCAGGTGATGATGATGTGGACGCGACCACTGTGCTGAGGTCGAAGACTAAGTACCGCGGGGACAAGGCAGTGACTCGATCAACATGATATTTGAGGCTCCACTGCGATTGAACTTGCCTCTTGCCACCATGAACGATACTTTCACTGTTATGTACTTCCCCTTCTATCGCTCCCTCTCTAGGGTGGATGCATTACAGAATATCGTCAATGTACCAATGACCGCCACCATACCAGAAGTTCAGGACTTGATTCAACAGCAGTTACTCGGTGGTGCCGTGGAGCTATGGATGGTACGTCGAAAGCCGTGGCAATCACGTCTTTGCGCATCTCACACAACATTGTAGCCCAACAATGCAATCAAGACTAACAAGCGCGGTGTGCTCGAGTCACTATTGAAGGAAAAGGCATGGAATCCCGGAAGGTTTTGCAGCAGCCTCTCCGAACTCGATTCGGACGACCCCCTCACTCAGATCCTCTCTTTCCATCCCGGCGACAGAGCGATGACGATTCCACGTCTTGCTGTTGAAGTTCTCAGTGCACCGTCGCCCGTCGCCCCTCCTGTGCCTCCTCGTGCGTCTGATGACGAAGAGGATGATGTGGTTCCAGTCATGAGGAAAGATACGCAAGACCTGACATTTCGTCTGCGCCTTGCTGATCTTTCCTAGAGTTTATCAGTCACATTGACGATATCAAGAAGGCCCACAAGTCGCCTTCCGCGAGCTGCCAGACTGTGAACTACTTCGCCATTCAGGACGGCCAAGCTTGTATTCTTGACGGCCGATACGCCAATAAGCTGAACCCTATACCACCCCCCGTCGAAATATTCCATCCAGCTTTCGCCGCCTTTATCGCCGACTCGCAAAATCCTAATCTCGCTGTGCCAGTCGAGTTTCTCCGAAAACTCCCAAAGCTCATGACTGTGTTGTCTAAAATATCCACGAGCGAGGCGAACCGTACCGCAGCGTGCGACGTCCCTCTACAAGAAGCGTTGGGGTTCGGATTGGCGCCCATGTGCTCTGGCTCTGGTGGCCAACCGGACTTAGGGCGAACGTACACACGCGTGACAGAGCCCTTGGGCACTGCGCTCCTCACCCTCATCGAGGAGAAAAGCGAGCCTGGCAACGGCAACGATCCATGCGTTCAGGCTTCCTTCGCGTATGCCAATTATTGGACCTCTAATGTGCAACGGGCAAGTCAATGCTTGAACGGAAGTTTCAAAGTATCACTCACTTGCTTTCAGGAGCTGCTCATGGCGTGTTTTGCCCCATCATTCCTCATCGGTTTTGCGGGACCCAGCATTTGTATCTGTGCCGGCATCTACCCTAACTCTCACATTGTCCAGTGACTCACGGACACCGTCTGGCTGATCAACAGTCACACCCTCGACCACGCAAAGATCTTGCGCATCGGGCGCATCTTCTGGGCATTCAAAATGGCAACCGAGCGACTGCAGAAGAACTACGTCGATCTCCGGCCACCGGAAGACGATACCCGCCGCTTTTATCCTCTCGCAACGCAGTATAGACGCGGGGAGGATACGATCGACTTCGAGTACATCGGCTTCCTCAAATCTCCCGGGGAGAGCTGCGCCATATTTCTCGCTCGAGAATGCCGCGCTCCTCAACGCAAGATCGTGGTCAAGTTCGTCGAGCGCTACGGCGCGGTCGCGCATACGCTCCTTGCTGACAAGGGCCTTGCGCCTCCGTTGCTCTACTTCGGAGACATATGGCTCTCTGGACCTGAGCAGCGAGGATGCGGCATCCGCAAGATGGTCGTGATGGTGCACGTCGAGGGCCAGACGCTGCTGGACGCGATGCCGGTCACTCCAGATGGTCAGTTAGGTCCCACCCCGGCCGGCGTTTATACGGCGGTACGGCGGGCGGTGGACGCGTTGCAAGCACACGATCCGCCTCTGGTGCACGGGGACATACGATACATCAACATCCTGATTGCAGCCGACAAGGAAGGGGCGGGCGGGAGCGTCGAGGTGCGTGTGAGGATTATAGACTTTGACTGGGCTGGAGTGGCGGGCGAGGTGCGATATCCGTTCAACCTCTCGGCGGACATCAGGTGGCCGGAGGGAGCAAGCGACTACGCTCCGATCATGGCCGCGCATGATGATGAGATGGCTGAACACTTGCGATGAGCGTGTCGGGGTCCAGCGCAATAATGTCGTTAAGCTCGCTTCTGCGTGTGAGTTCATCCCTTTGGACTCGCTCACAACCGGGTTGCTGACCAGGATTCCTCTCTAGCTCGCGTGTATATGATCGATGCGGCTTTCACGAGCACTGTCGGAGCCAGGGTACATCTGGCTGTGCCGACATATGCCGCCTGTCTATTGGACTGCGCATATGAACAGGAGCCCTGATTGCTTCATGCCGTCCTTCAGCGGGGGGTGTACATTCGCAGACGTATGGTCCCGGCCACGGGACCTCGTGATGTTGGTGCACTGCTGATGCACTAGGCGGTCGTCGAGAGTGGCGTTGGAGGGGGTTGACCTTGTCCGTTTATCGGTTGCTGGTCGAAGATGAGGGCATCTGTACGAATGTACTATCTCCATTACGTGCGAGCCATATCTACGCTACTTTCCAATAGGTGGGAGTCGGCGACGATACACTACACGCGCCCGCCCGGGGCTGGGTATATCCCCTCCGTATTGCCTATAATATCTAAAATGCAGGACGCCGCGTGCAGCGCCCCGCTCTACGCTCTACCCCGCGAGAGGATTGTGAAAGCCGTGAGTCGTGTGTTCGTGCGTATCGTTAGTCGTAGGTCTCAGTCGGAGAGGAGCTCCTTCGAGACGAGGATGCGATGTGCGAGCGCGGAGAGGTTCGCGTCCGCGACGATCAGCTCGGGCGTGAGCTCGACGTCAAACGCCTGCTCGACCGCAAGCGAGATCCGCTTGGCCTGCCGCTCTGACCAGAAGCGGAAGTCGTCCGGGTCGCGCCCATCCGTCTCGGCCTCGGCCGCGCGCTCCTCGTCCTCCGCTGGGCCGTTGTTCGTGTGCGCGTCTTGGGGTTTGCAAGATTGGGGGATGAGCGAGGGGTCCATGTCGAGACAGAGCGGGACGATGTGCATGAGCGTCTCGCGCACGCTCGCGAAATTGAGCTTGCTTGGCCGGTCCACTGTGTACCAGGGTATGCTTCAGTCCAGCTCTGAGCGAAGAAACGAGCGCGAGGACTCACCGACGACCTCAAACGGCCCATCGAGGCCCATGACGTTGTACTTGCCGTCATGGTGGTAGCGCACCTCGTAGCGACCCGTGCGCCAGGGGATCGTACCGCTGCGGAACACGACCTCGCCCTCCTCGACGGTGGGCGACCCGGGCTCTGCCGTCTTCGGCGCGTGCAGACTCAACGGGATGTCGCCGTCCCATTCGTCATCGTGCACGGGCACCCACATCCCTAGCGAAGACGTCTTCGTGACGAGGTTCGACTGGTTCGCGCCGACGCGGTAGATGCCGATCCAGTCTTTGCGCGAGTGGCGAAGGGGTGCGCGCCACTTCACGCGGATGGGCTCGCCGAGGTGGAAGCGGTCCGTGCCGTCCGCACTGGGGACGAGCGAGACGTTGTACTTCTTCGTGTCGTATGCAGAGAGGTCACTGGCGACGCGCGAGATGACGAGCCGCTCGCGCGACTGTTGCAGCATCACCTTCGTGTCCTGCATCACGCCCGAAATCTTCGGCCGTGCTGGTGTGTCCGTCAGCCAACGTGGGTGTACGCGATGGCACGTCGAAACTCACACTTTGCGAGGAACTCCTCAACGACCTCGGCCGTTTCTTCATATACCTTGTCGAACGTGCCCTTGACCTCGCGTGCAACGCGCTTGATCTCCGGCGCGTGCCGGCCTGCGCGGGATTCGAGCAGGCGCGCGTTCTTCTGTGCGACCTTCTTGATCACCTTCACGAAGCCTGCGTCGCTCCGGATCGAATCGCCGTAGAGCTTCCGCATGTGCGGGCTGCAAGCCCAGTTAGTGACTACGTCGAGTGGGAGAAAATGGAGGGGTCACACTTCTCGACCTTGCTAAGGAACCACCACTGCGAGAGGAGGCGGACGACGGCGAGCGCGAACACGAGCTTGCTTCCGCTAATCAGCGCGAGGCCGAAGAATGCGGCTCCACTGATAACCTCCGGGTTGTTCAAGTAGCTGGACAAGAATCAGAGATTCGGTCATGGGTATACGCGGGAAAGGCTCGCGTACCGGTAGATTCCAGTGTACTCGAGGTGCGAGGGGAAGTCCTCGATGAAGAAGTCTCCAAAGAACCAGCCTGAAGAACGGTTTACAACATGATACACTGTAGACTTGTTTTGGTATGATTGATCACGTACCAAACAACCCGAGCACCTCGTAGGACTCCAGCGTAGACCAGATGTGCAGCCCGATCATGATCTATTCCATCGAGGTTCAGGACACGAGTAGATATATGACGAGAAAACAAGCACTCACGACACCGAGCGTGTGGCGCAGGAGCTCATTCCCGGCAGTCCACTGTTGAGGAACCGTGTACGTCTTCCACGCCAATCCGACGAACGACACTGTCCTCGCTGTCAGTATGCCGTCTGCTCGCACCCGCATCTCTGCACTCACCATACGTCATCGTCATGCTCAGGTTGTAAATCGCCTTCCAGTTCCGGAACGCCTCCTGCACCGCGCCTTCGCCGCGATCACCCTGCGGGTAATGATAGTGCTTGAGGTAGTGCCGGACGAGGAACTTGCTCTGTGACTGAGCGCGGAGGACGAGCCCGAGCCCGAACGAATGGAAGAGGCACCAGACGAGCGCGTGAACGCCGTGCAGTGCCAGCGCGCCGCCCGAAGAGGAGAGGGAGGGCACGAAGACGAGCGTGGCTGCGTACGCCATCACGAGCACAAGCTGGAAGTCCGACGAGCTATATGCGCGGCCGGCGTGGATCAGAACAAGGGACCTGGCATTGTGGGCCATGGGACGTACCGGAAGAGGTCGATGTTGTTCAAGAAGACGGTGTCCTGCCGGAAGTAGCGGTGGAAGAGATCGTGCGTCGACATCGCTTGTACGCGCTTCACGTGCTTCCGGGGAATGTCCTCCCTGGAGGAAACGGAGAGACCGAGGCTGTTGCGTTTCGACTTAATACTGGACGCGCGGTCGAGTTCCTGCTCGGTCTCGGTCTCGGTGTACACCTCCTCGGACTCCGTGGCGGTATCTCCTTCGGTAACGGCGGGCGTAGGAGACTCTGTGGATGCGACAGAGGAGACCGATGACTGCCGCGCACGAGTTTCCGGGGCGTCTTCCAGCTTGCGAGAGGCTTTCGGCAGTAAAGGGGACCGCTGCGCAAGAGGCTTGCGCTGACCATATGTGCGTTCGATATCTAGCGAGACGCCATTGAGATGACTGGCGGCGAGGAGTGAAACGCATATGCTCACGAGGGTTTTCGAAGAAGACGAGGAATCCGAACTGGGCGGCGTGCCCTGCGAGACTAACGAAGAGGACGGCATAGCTTCCAACGATAAGCGAGAGGCCGTAATAACCGGCATAGCCTATATTTTCGATGAGCATCTGCTCGAGCACAGCGAAAAGGGGGCACGTACCGACTGAGTACATCGGGTGTGGAGCGAGCTCGAAGACGCCATCGAAGACGAGCGCGCCGCGCTGGAAAAAGACGTCGCCCCAGTACCAGCCGTAATCCTTGACGACGTTGTGCGCCTCGGTCTTCACCCAAAGGTTAAATGCGATCAATGCGATCCCGCCGATCCACCTGAAACGGAATTTGAGTTCAACGGCTCCGAAGTGCTGGTAAGTCCGAAGCAGAAGCGGTCTCGTACCTCATTACGTGCACAGTCATCGAGAGCCCCTCGGGGATTCGGAAGCACGAGAAGGCGAACATGCAGTACGCGAGGAAGTCGCTATGTGATCAGTGCCTGCGTCAGTCCTCCAGTTCATAGCAACTGTGGTGCGGAAGTTGACGAACTTAAGCAGGATGATATCCACGAGCTGTCGGTATAGCAGCCACGTGTTGTACTCCAGAGGAAGTTCCTATTGATAGCCCGCAGTTAGTATTCAATCGGTCGTGTGAGCAGTATAGCGTGCACTGGGTGCGACGAACATCGAATGAATAGTCCTTGCCCATCTTGCCTGCCAGCTGCTTCTTAATCCACTGCCTGACTTCGGGCCTGCGCTTCTCGTCAAGCCACCCGAGCCGCTGGACTTCTCTGACAATCCATTTCCGCTTGCTCTGCTTCGTGAGGACCCAGCCAAGTCCCACATCGTACGCCGCCCTCCAGAAAGCGAAGTAGAACAGGAAGAACACCTGAGAGGCCGTCCGAGAGAGGGTCAAGTACAAGACGATCTGTAGACCCAGCAGAGCGAGATTGAACAGATCGATGTGAGATTTAGGGTATCCGGGGTGGAATAGCGTCAGGACATCATGAGTGGTGGGCACCCTGAACACTGTAGCACCGCAGTCTGCGTTCAGCAACCTGTTGCGATGCTTTCTACCTGCCACGTACCTTCTCCGCCAGGCGTCTTTCCCCACACGACCTCATCGCGCTTCGGCAGATCCTCCTCGACATTGCTCGTGATCGTCTCGTCCGAGGGTGTACGCTGCTCCTTTCGTCGCTGGCGCAGACTTGGCTGGGGCTCCGTCGCAACCATCGCAGTCGGTCGTGACGTGGAGACGAGAGGACGAGGTGAGAGGACGAGGTGAGAAGGAGGTCGCGTCAAGACGTAAAGGTCTCGTCCGCGCCCGCTGAGGCCCGCTTGCCCCAAAGCGTGAGGGCTGTTCGCACGTGTTTCCCCCTCATCCCCAGCGGGCATCGCGTCAACCATTTCCGCGCGCCCGCCACCGGCACGATGCGCACGATTTTGATTTTGACGCCAGGCGCCGCCCGAGGCCCAGTGCTGCTGCGTTCGGCGGAGCCGTGGCCGCACTCCTGCTTATGATAGTGCTAATATCTGGGAGACTGAGCTCGGGCACGGGGACGGGGAGGTCGCCTCGCGTTGGTTGGGGACAAGAGGGCTGGAGGGTGTGGGGAATCGGTGAGTTTCCGCGGCCAGGTGGGGCTGTCTTATATATTCGCTGACGATCTTGTTTTCTTCTAGCGATGCTAGAAGTTGAAGCTTCGGTCACTCAACGATGAATCGATCGGCGGGTCGACCCGACGTGCGCGTGAAGGGCGATCGAGAATGCAGGTTCTCCGCCACACATCGGCTCGAAAGTCACTTTCGAACTGTTCTACGGCAGGGTCAGCCCCTCTGGCCTCTGGTAGCGATCGCAACAAGAGTGCGTCAACTCCAGTCTGCAATCAGTAATATGAGGAAAGTATACGTGAAACTGTTCCTTTGGCACGAACGTAGCCGGTCGTACCACTCTGCTGTTACTTTGCAAGGCAAAACGGGACTGCCAACCGCTCCAAATGTTTGTTTAGCGGGGCTGAGCGTCGTAGATACTCACGCTCTTCGCTGCTCGTGTACGTATGTACCACTTGAAGGCAGCGAAGACAATTGGCCTGCTTAGGAGTTATCTAGGTGAGCCAATGTTTGCAAATTAGGGTTACCATACCTAGAACCCTTAAGTGGGGTTAGGTTCAAGCACCTTCAGAGGGCTCTTCAGGCGCAAGTTCGCAAACCTTATGCATTTCCTCCTTGTCTCGAACCTCCATCTCCTCCAAGGTTACTTCTCTGCTCTGCTCTATCTGCTGCGCTACGTGTCCGCGCGGTTTGCGAAGTGCAGCGGGGTATTATCTCCAAGAGCAGCCAATCAGGACAACACCGCATCGACACGTGGCCAGGCCAACACGTAGCGGTGACGTGTAACTCATAAATACAGCAGGTCCGGCGCGTCTGCCTGCACATTCGTCTACCGTCACCATGTCCCGGCTCTTTCTCTTTCTCTGCCTCTGGTTCTCATTATGGTCAGAAACCGTCCTTGGCTCCGTCCTGGCTATCGACTATGGCGCGGACTTCATCAAGGCGTCTCTCATGAAACCCGGCCAACCGTTTGACGTGTTGCTTAACCGCGACTCGAAACGGAAAATTCAGTCATCGGTTGGATGGAAGAAGAACGACAGGCTCTTTGGACAGGACGCGGCTAACATCGTGAGTGTTCTGTTCTATCGTCTCGCAAGCATATTCGGGGATGGCAGGAAATTAGAAACGGGTGCCTTACCCGGACTTGCTGCTTTGCTCTATTGCCATACAAATTATGCAACATGCGCAACAATCTGCTCGGTGGCCGCCGATCGCGTATGCCGCTGCATGCTGTTATCAAACGCGTCCGAAGAATGGGGCACTCCTCGAGTCGAGTATACCAGATATGTGAGAGTGACTCTCACTGCGACCAACCACTGAGAGTGGGTGGCAACAGTGAGAGTCACTGTGCCGAGGAGCCATATGATCAGGTCGCGCGACGTATTCTTTTGCCGCGATCACGATGTTTTGTGGTCCGACTGCAGGACACGTACCAAAGTGTGAGCCACACCAACACGTCTTCGATGTGGCTGGCGGCTGTACACACGGGATATCCCCAGAGCATCGTCTGAGTGGGAGTCGTTTGTCTCAGCGATAGTCACCGTCACTGTTTTGGTCCCCACTCCACTCATCGGTGGACTCGCTAAGGCGTGCATTGCCTTTCCAAGCGATCGCCTCGCCGCGCAGGTGCGCTAGTTCTTGCATCGGGGGATGCAAGATGAGATAAGTCATGTATTGCACCTCTTTGGTTCGTCCCTGGAGGACTGTAGGGAGATGGGAGTAGTGCTGTCGAATTTCCTCGACTCGATCGGTCGTCTATATTGTCTTGAAGGCATCGTGCTGACTTACTGGAACAGGCCGGTCGATTCCCGTTGGACTCGTTCTCGTCCCTCAAGTTCCTGCAGGCCGCGCCCTACGAATCGGATGCCGTCTCCTTCTACACGTCTATATCCACGGCGGACGTGGTCAAGACCGAGCGCGGCACCGTCGGGCTTCGTCGCTCAGACGGGACAGAGTGGACAGTCGAGGAGCTCATTGCGATGCAGTTCGCGTACGTGCGCGACCTTGCCGAGAGCACCGCAGGAGAGAAGGTCAACGACGTGATCGTGACCGTCCCGGCCTACTACACCCAGTTCGAGCGGGATGCCGTTGTGGACGCGATCGAAATTGCGGGCCTTCGCACGCTTGCGCTCATCAACGACGGTGCCGCGGTCGCGGTCAACTACGCCATGACGCGCTCGTTCCCGGAGCCCGAGTACCACGTTATCTACGACGCCGGTGCGTCTTCTATCCGCGCGACGGTCGTGCAGTTCGCCTCTGTCCAGAGCGACCCGAAGAGCAAGTCTACGACCAAGGACGCCACACAGATCACGATCCAGGGTGTTGGGTACGACCGCCAGACGGGTGGAACGGAGCTCGATAGGCGGCTGCGCGACATCATGGTCGCCGACTTCCAGAAACGGTACAAGCGGGATATAACCACGGACAAGCGCGGGATGGCGAAGCTGTGGAAGGAAGCTGGCCGGATCAAGGCTATCCTGAGCGCGAACACGGAGGCGATGGCGACGGTGAGGTACCGCTCTCGCCCTGCATGCGTCGCAAAGATTAACGTGGATGCCACCAGATCGAGAGCCTTGCGTTCGACATCGACTACAAGGCGAAGATCTCGCGTGCAGAGTTCGAAGCGGCGTCCAAGGACTTGAAGCTTCGTTATGCAGTCCCTCTGTTGCAAGCGCTCTCGAACGCAGGATTGCGCATGGTATGTCTTGCAATATACGTACGCTAGGAGTTCTACTCACGCAGCGCAGGACGATATCAACTCTGTCATTCTCACTGGTGGAAGCTCAAGAACACCCATGATCCAGGAAGCCGTGAAGGCTGCAGCCGGAGCGTAAGTTATATGCCTGTTGGACCACCCATTTTGACTAACGCACCATGTAGAAATAAGATCGCGCAAAACGTTAACGCCGATGAGGCTGCGGTGCTCGGTGCCGCGCTCCATGGCGCGGCGCTTAGCCGCCAGTTCAAGACAAAGGACATCCGCATCGCTGACATCGGCCCGTACGACATTCAGGTGTCGTACCAGGCGGAGGCGAAGACCCCGGGCGCGCGTCCGCGCACGATCAACACGCTCGTGTTCCCCTCCGGGTCGAAGACGGGCACGAAGAAGACGCTGACGTTCAAGCGTCAGGACGACTTCGCCGTGAAGCTCGCGTACAAGACTCCTCCTGCACCGTGCGTCGATATCCCTTGATATACGTCACATAACGCTCACACCGCAATAGTGGCTTCCCTACCGAGTTCATCGAGGCCGAAATCGTGGGCGTGAGCGAGGCGATCCAGAACCTCACCGAGGCCGGCGCGACGGACCCCGTCATCAAGGCGACCGTCATGCTCTCCGAGTCTGGCTTCGCCTCCGTGCGCGACGCCTTCGTCTCGGGCGAGTTCAAGGACGAGTCGATCACCGGTAAGTAATGTTTTCCTCTACGTAGTGCGGTTTGCGTCATGCGTGGAGCGCAGGCAAACTGAAGGACTTCTTTGGCAAAGGTTCATCGTCCTCGCAACCCGTGGACGCCACCACGGCCGATGTCGGTACCGCGGAGGAGGAGGCAACGGAGACGCCGTCGGCATCCTCGTCGGCCGCAGAACCGTCAGCCACCGCCGTGAAGCCCAAGGAACCCATCGCGCTCGAGATCGAGGTCAAGTTCCCGACGATCGCGCCGATGTCCGTCAAGCAGAAGCGCGCGGGGCGTGACAAGCTGCTCGCGGTCGACGCCGAGGAGGGCACGAAGCGGAAGCGCGAGGAGGCACGCAACACACTCGAGGGCTACCTGTACAAGCTGCGCGACCTGCTCTCGGACGAGTCGAGCGAGTCGCCGTTCGTGAAGTGCTCGCAGAGCGCGGAACGGAAGGCGCTCGCGGAGAAGACGGACGAGACGCTGGCGTGGCTCGCGGACTACGGGGACGACGCAGACACGATCCAGTACATAGACAAGCGCACCGCACTAGAGTACGTGCACCCTTTCGCTGGCTCGCCGTGCACACGCTGACCGCCCTCGTAGGAGCCTGGAGCGCCCGATCGTGCACCGGTACAAGGAGATCGAGGAGTTCCCGAAGGCGCTGAACAACAGCCAGATGTGGAACTGGAGCGCGCGCATGTTCATCACGGAGGCGCGGACGAACCTGACGCGGGAGCTCGAGACGGGCGCGGTGGGCAAGTACACGAAGGAGGAGCTGGACGAGCTGGAGAAGACGCTGAAGGAGCACGAGACGTGGCTGAACGAGTGGGTGGAGCGGCAGAAGAGCGTGAAGATGAACGAGGACCCGGTGATCCTGTCGAGCGAGATGCGCGCGCGCGCGAAGGTGCTCGAGAACCACCTGCAGAAGCTCGTGAAGAAGCGTGCGCCGAAGCCGCCGAAGAAGAGCAGCACTAGCAGTACGACCACTGCGAAGACCGCGGCGGCGGAGGAGACGGAGACGACGGGCGACGTGCCACCGCCGCCAGCCCAGGGCGAGCGCGGTCATGACGAATTGTAGATATATGCATAGCCCACGTACACTAATGTTATTAGACTTTTTGGAACATCTAAACGACATTGCGCCCAACTTCGGGTATATTGACACTCTGTACCAAATGCACCAGTGTCCGGGCGGAGCGGTAGAAGGGGAAGTACAGAACAGTGAAAGTATCGTTCATGGTGGTAAGAGGCGAGGGTCCTCAGGATGTATGAGCAATCGCAGCGCGCACCGTGCTTGATAGTCTAAGTCTTCCCGGGACCCCAGACAACTCGCTTTTCTCGTCGGATCTCACTCCAAAACAAGAGACCTCAGCTCGGGGCATGGGCACACGTAGTGAGTCGTCGCCGGCTACCGTGCGTTGGCAAGTATTGTATAATAGATACGGCTCGTACGTGATGGAGGTCATTCAAACTTACGCTCGTACCGCTGCCCTCATCTTCGACCAACATTTAGGGAGTGTGAGGGACGGCAATACATCGACGAGATAGGATACATGGTGGGTATCGACAGGATGAGCAAATAAATCAAAGGCGAAGGGGACTCCTGCTACCCCGGTAGCGGTATCGGCGGAGACAGCGGCGACGGCGGAGTCTGCGCCTCGACCTCGCTGGGGCTCAGCGCATGCTGCCCGCTGATCGTGCGCCGCCTCGGGTTTAGCGCAACATGCTCACCCTCCGCCTCGTCCTCCGAGCTTTCCTCCCCCTCACTCCCTTCGCCCTCCTCCCCGACTCCATACTGCATCGACACCCGCGACGGCTCCTCGAGGTCGTCGAGGTTGAGCGCGGAGTAAAAGTGCGACGGGGTTTTGAAGCGCAGATTCCCGAGCGAGGACGGCCCGCCGATGTTGTTCGCGTGCTGCGCACGCAGTTTCACGATGAGGCGCGGGCCCTGCGAGGTGTTGCTCCGTCAGCAAGAGTGTACAGGCTGGGAAACAAGGGACATACCGCAGATCCGAGGACGGCGAGCAGCCAGCTACGAGGGGCCGGCGTTAGCCTCGATGGTCTGTGGAGAGCGGCAATTGGGGGGAAGGCGCTGCTTACGGAAAGCCGAGCGTGACGAGAGTCGAGGGCGCCAGGGTGAATAGGATCGTGTTCATTGACATGACGACTACAAGCCTCGGCTTAGCGTACGGCTCGAAACTCTGGAATATAACTCAAAAAACTCACGGAATATGGCAATGAATGCAACGGCCCCGTCGCGCACGAGGGCATTCACAAGCGTGGTTTCCGAGAACGCGTCCTTCCCACCCCGGAGAATCCCGTACATCATCAGGCCGAAGAGGAAGGATTCATACACGATCGAAGCGGTGCTACAGAAGGAGCGGTAATTAATGAGAGATCGAACGGTCTACACGAGAAGAAGCCGTCATCACTAACCTGTAGAGAACCATTTCTGTGGGCAGATCCGCGGCCTTGCAGTCCCACCCGGTCCGGACCTTGTTGATGCTCAAGCCTAAACTGACGATCATGATCGCGAGCTGCACGGCAAGGCCCAGCAGCATTATGCGCAGGACCTTTCGCTGGGCCGCATAGACCGCATATACTGCACAGGGCATCAGTCCGGCGTCGAAAGCGGAGGCAGAGGGGAGGAGTACGCACTTCGAAGGATAATAATCACCTCCACCGCAGCTTCGACCAGGAACGTGGACATGATCTGGAATATGAGCCATGGAACGCAGGGCACGGCGACACGGACGTTCTGGATGCTGGGCAGGCAAGATATGTCAATATGCCACTCGGCGTTGGTAGACAGTAAGAGCGGCCATACGTGAGGGACACCAGTGAGTAGTATCGGGCAAAAAGATACAACGATTTCGGCAGCGTCCACTCGGATCTGCAGCGGTGCGCCTATCAGGTACGTGTCCAACCCCACGGGACGGACTGCTTGCTACGCACGGCCAGATCAGCTTGACCTGCGGGCACCGTCGGTTTAGACTCATTTGACAGATCTGTCACATTGTGGACACGCACCTCTTCGTCCATAGTCGTCAAGATATCCCACGTCAACATCGCGAGCGCCGCGACTTCCCAGCGAGATGAGATGAGGGCTTACTAGCCGTGGACGACCGGGGACGCACCAGAGCTCCTCGCGGCGCCCTGCGCCTGCGACAGCGCCGCAAATATCCGCTCGGTGTCGCGCCATAGGACCTGGTCGAGTATCTCCGTGGCGCTAAGGTGGGCGGCGGGGTTCATGGGAAGCGAGGCTTGAGGCCGGTCCCGATGGTCGAGGTAGGATCGCAGAATCAGCGGGAGGGGACAGTTCGGGGCATCACCACCAGACGAGCGACAAGATAGCCTCTGTGTGCGCTCAAAAGAAACCGAGGGGTCCCATGTTCAGGTCGGGGCAGAGCAGCATGGGGTTGTCTCGGCGCAAGGACCCATTTTGAATATGCTGTGTCTTCGGGCGCAGCGCCCGCCCGGAACCTTTGCGTGCCGGTGATTGCTGTGATCTTCTATCGGAGCCGCGTTGCGTGTTCTTGCGCGTGTAAAGAGTCCGAAGTGGCCATGGTTGAGTTCAAGGGGGACCAGGGCGGCCGGCGTTTGAACTTTGCAGTGTGATTTGTGAGCGACGATTGAATATTGCCACCCACGAGATAAGGCTGGCTCCATGTGGTGGGAACCATCGTGGTGTGGAACACTGTGGCAAGCGTCATACCGGTTTGATGGAAGGCCGCAGAATAAAGCGGAAATCAAGATTAGTAGTAGATCCAGGCGGGCGGGACTGGTTGTGCGGCGTCCATCTCAGCTAAGAAGTCAAGAAACGGCGCACGGTCGCATAGTGAAAGTAACGATCTCGCAGGTTTATAAGGACAGCCCCTCAAAGTTACGAGAGATATGAAGGTGGTGGGAGTTCCGGCAGTAAGTGAAGCCTAAGATTATGCTGCTCGCTTCGAATCCCCTCCCGAAGCCCAAGCATATCTTGCTGGAGCGCCGCGAGCATCGCGGACGGGCCTTGGTTCACGGTTTGAGCAGGTGCGTTAGCTGGCGAGGTATCCAGCTGGCTGTAAGTACTACCGCAGGCGGCGCGTAGCTCGTTCGTCTGCTCCTGGAGCTCTTGCATATGCCGCATGGTCTGGGTGATGCGCTCGTCCTGTGTACACGCGGGCAGCCCCGAAGAGTGGTGCGCCGCATCGTGAGCGGGCGACGGCGGCGGCGAGGTGATGTGACTCCGAAGGAATTGAGCTTTCGTCTGAGCGTCCGATCGGGATAGTTTGAGAATCAATTTAGAAACAGTAAGGATGCTGCCTAGGGAGCCAACCAGGTCAGCTCGGCTGCGCGTTAGAATCACCTTGTGGATACGTAACATACATACCGTAACTAGACGCGCCGAGTGCCGGAAGGTCCTGTTCATCCTCGATACGACGGCGGGCCTTCCTGCGGACCCGGGTACGCTACGAGCTGCTGCTCCCCGAGCTCCGCCCGCAGCCCTGACACTTCGTTCCGCAGCGCTGCAAGCAAAGACGACAAGCCCTGCTCTGCATCAGACGGCCTCCGGTCGACGGCGTTTTGGGAGGCGCGGAGCTCGAGGACTTGTGCCTGCAGCGTCTCGATCTGCTGCACCAGGCGGGCGATCCGCTCGTTCTCGGCACCCACGGCGTCTGCGGTGGGCACACTGGGGATGTTCTGGTTAGACGGGGGAGAGCCGGATGGTGAAGTTCCGCCTGAGCGCCCTCATGAGCGTCAAGATGTCGCAAAACACGGACTGGCAGGAAATGAACGCTCACCGTGTTGTTCGAGGGCGAGTTTCCTAGTCTCTCTCGATGGTGCGAGTGCGATCACGTTGTAGGGCGCCACAGTTTCGTAGCTGCTGCTGCTGTATCTCACACTCCTTGAGAAGAGACCGCTCGGAGAGCGTATCCTGCCTCGTCCCTTCCTAATACAGTGGCGCCGGATGAGAAAGGATAACGGTACCAGTAGGATCAACCCGATACCGCCGACCACAGCGCCTGCGATGGCAGCCGTGTTGATCGTATGAGCGTGTTGCGAACTTGAGCTCTGAGCGGTATCTGAGGCGGAGGGTGCGAGGTGTGTGGATGTGGACCGGGGTAGATCGGAAGACACCACAGCTGTTTCCGGTGATTGCGTTGTCGGGGAGGATTGGGCAGCCTGCGGCTGAGGATCATCCTCAGTCGTGTATACAACGTAGTCAAAGAGTACGCTAGTTGCTTTGCTGCCGGACGAGACCATCTGGAGCGCGTGCTCTCCATGGGGAAGAGAGGAGTTGCTGTACACCAGCACATGGTACGAGACTTGCGGTACAGAACCGGGCGGATCGCTGATTGGCTCGTGGTAATACGCGCCCACCGCCTCGTCGTCGAGGAGGAACGTGAGATTCACGAGAGTGTCCGTATCGGCGACGATGCTGTCCACGACAATGTTGTAAACATAGACCGCGGACCCGGTAAATCCAACCTGGACAACCAGGGCTGGGCTTCCGACTCGATAGGTATTATCGCTCCAGGTCCTGTTGAAGGCTTGGCTGGGTTCGATGATGCCGGGATGAAGATGACATCCGAAGCACGTTTGCCCGTCGTTCCATGTGCTGGGAAGATAGGTGGGCAGCGCACCAGTCACGTTATCGCCGCCCTGGTCGTCGATGGTGCGATTGACGAGGGTGCCCCCAGCCGTTGTCGCTTGCAGGAGTAAGCAGAGGAGACGGAGAGGTAACCCAAAGAACGGGGTCATCGGAATGGCGACCAAATCCGCGGGAGGGGGCAGTTACTAGCTGCCGATCGCGCGCGAGTCTCGAACCTGACCTAGTTGTGTGGTTTGGAGTGCGGTGCATCACCAACTGTCGTGCATGCTTCTGCAGATGATCATCATGGAGACTACACAACTAAGAAAAATGCATACCTATCTCTGCTCTCAACCTGAACTCGGTACCTGCAGGGAGACTGATATGATTTATAACATGCGGTTGGCGAGTGATAAATGCTGACTACTGACCTCGCGCTCACAGACCGCTGTCATCTGGTGTGTCGTATACATCCGAGTCAGGCTGTTCATTAAACGAACTCGACAAAGCGCCCACCCCCAGGGTTGAGGAGATCGTCCTCGAACGAGACCGCGCCGCTGGCGCGATGAGCTCTCCGCCGGCGCAGTGTACTGAACCCGACAACCATGGCGACTAGTTATCGAAGACATTGCACTCTCAGAGTTGCAACGCAACATCAATCCTACAGCGACCCCATGCGCCATTACTTACTCTTGAGCATTCCCTAGTGCTTTGGGGCCAGATAACTAGAGTGTTCCGGAATGGGAACTCTGATAGCAGACGCGGGTGAGCGGGAGCTGTAAGTACAGAGTGAGTGGGCTGTATGAGTATCGTAGTATGGAGCATGAACATACCTCAGTCGGTCCGTCGGGCGATAGAACGACTGAGGAAAGAAAGACGTGGCACGGCCGTGCGTAGGAGGTGTTGCGGAGTTTGAAGTGATAGGTAGGTAGTGTAAGAACTCGAATGAAAGTCCGATAGGCCGTATACGACAGGTGCTATGCGTACTAAGTAGACTCAACATCACCGTATTTCAACAAACTCAAGCTCTGGCCGACTTTTACTCCGTCCACGATGCTTCCCGTCATCCCGTCCGCTCCCGTCGCCCGTCGCTATATGCAACTTGATTGAAACCCGGCCGTGCTCTGCTTGTGCCGGACTCTCGGTGTTTTTGTCAGCTACTGCACACAGGTCTCGCAGGCTCGGAACAAGCTTTCCAATACGCCGACAGGAATCTGGCGAGGGGTTACTCCGAATCTGCCGGCTTTGGTGGGCGGCTGATCCGCTTGGCATCCTGTCTGAGCTGGTCTGGAGTATGATCATAGTGTGCAGTTTGGCAGCACATACGATCCAGAGGGCGACGCTTGTCAAAGGAGGGCAGCTCGCGCAGCGCCCGCGCGCGTCGGGCGCGGAGTTTCCCAATATCCTCATGGATGCACGACCAGAGATGCACGACCAGCCAATAGTCGACGCCCACCACCATTTGTAGAGGGGGCAACCGAACTCGCGAAGAGCGTATGAAGGTGGCCGACGCATATAAGCCTCCTTGACGGCACCCCGATGCAACATTACAAGAACCTTCCTCCTCGCAGATGTCGACCTCCAAGAAGATCATCCTCGTTATCGGAGCTACCGGAGTACAAGGTGGCGCCGTCATCGATGCACTTCTCCAACCTCTCGCAGACGGTTCTCCCTCTCCATACGCCATCCGCGCCTTGACTCGGGACCCGCAAAGCCAGCGTGCTGAGGAGTTAGCCAGCCGGGGCATCGAAGTCGTCAAGGGTAGGTCCTATACTACTCTCTCAATGCCACCGCCCGCATGCTAAAGAGCAGGAGCATATAGGTTCCACCAATGACCTCGACACCGTCGCCGCGGCGTTGGAGGGCGTGTACGGCGCGTACATCAACACGGACAGCTTCACCATCGGCGAACAGAAAGAAACCTTCTGCGGCATCCGCATCTTCGAGCTCGCGAAACAAGTCAAGACCGTGAGGCACTACGTCTGGAGCGGCGCCGACAACGTGAACAAGGTCTGTGGCCCCTCGGTCTTCGCGCCGATCCGACTCTCACTGACACGCGGTCTGAGCAGAAGACCAACTACGATCCTCAGTACGCCCCCGCGCACTACACCGGCAAGGCCCGCGTGGGCGACTGGATGCGCGCCCAGCCGTCTGTCGTCAGCGACGACAACATGTCCTGGACCATCCTGAGCACCGCTCCCTACATGGACATGCTCCAGACGGTGCGTTTTACGCCAAAGACAGCATGTCCCACCACCGTGCTCACTCCGACGGGCTGTCTCACAGGGTATATACGGGCCGCTGCGTGTCCGCCCCGACGGCACGTACGTGTTCGCCAGCCCGTTCGGGCAGGGCCACGTCCCGATGATCGCGCTCGCCGACCTCGGCTTCTTCGCGCGATACATCTTCGACCACCGCACGGAGACATCCGCGCAGGAGCTCGAGACCGCGTCGGACATGGTGACCTGGGACGAGCTCGCCGCGACGTTCACGAAGGTGACGGGCAAGAAGGCCGTCAGCCTCGCGCTCTCGATCGAGGAGTACTTCGCGCTGTTCAACCAGGAGGACATCGCGCGGCCGGCCGCGCCGGACACGACCGTGTCGTACAAGGAGATGTACTCGCGCATCGCGCGGATGTACCGCGACGATATCATCACGCGCGACCTGGCGTGGATCCGGCGCGTGCACCCGGGCGCGCGCACGGTCGAGAGCTGGATGCGCGAGGCCGCGTATACGGGGGATCTCAAGCGCCCGGCGCCGCAGGCAGGGAGGCGGCCGCGTCCCAATCTCGAGCGTATCGCACAGCTGTAATTATGGCTGCTACTTAGTCGTACTGTTCATATAAAGAGTATATGAGGGCGTAGCGAATGGACATAGATATTGTCAGCTATACCGCAACAAGTGAAGGTGCCCCAAGTGTCGCTATCGAATTCACTCTCTCCCCTATTGGCGCCGGCCTGCCCTAAACACCGCTCAGGATATATTCCACAAATTTCTCCACGCGCGCAGTCGCTTTTCTTCCTCCCTCCTCCTCTATATATGTATCTTCGTGTGATCCTCTACGTCTATAATCAGGACGAAGTACTTCTTGTGCGCCACTCTGACTGCGATCTACACTCCCTTGCTATTCACTCCCAGCTCGACTACCATTTCCATCGGGTCGGGAGTTGCTAATGAAGGGAAGAGTATTTGTTCAAGGCATTATTTCGGCCGTCTTCGCTTTATCACGAAGTGTTGGCCTTACGAGGTGCCTTACAGTCCTTCATCGCGTATGTAGTCGTGTCAGATTACCTCTAATGTACGCCAAAATATACCTGCATGCCTTCAACTTCCTTCGCAGCCGCTGTACCAGCTCAATGCGCCAAGAATGCGATATGCGTATGTCCACTTAACGCTCCAAGCATGCGAGATGCGACTATGGTATGCTACGTTCTGGGCGGTTCTCGTGCGCAATCGAGCTGATTTGTCCGGATTGACAGCCAACTTGCGCCGAGAACACATCGTGCTTCAGGGTCCCCTTATGGCGTGTAGCGGCGTAGAAGCCAGGATCGTATCGCTCATACGGCATATTTGAATCTCGTGGGCCTCTTACGGTTTGGAGGCGTACGCAAGAACTCTCAAGGGGCATCAGAACTAACCTTTCTAAGATCCGTCGACTTCGGGCGTCCCACTTGTCTCAGAGGACCCACAACGTCTCCGAGATCGATGATATGGACCTTGGGACGCCAAGGAACGCTGTCCGGCGACGGAACATGGGCCTTCACCGCTCCAAGGAGCATGCCTTATGCTTCCGTTCAACCGCAACGTTCGAGGCGTGGCATCGAACGCCCATATGCATGGTGGCTTATAATCTGACCTTCTAGCATGCAGGATAGCGATGAACCCCCCCTCTCGACGCCCACACATCCACCCCTACAATGACGTCAACGCAGCATGTCCTCCCCATGGAAGTCATACAAACCGTACGTGGTCTGGTCTTGCTTCCCTGTCTGTCAATATAACGTGTACACTCCAACAGGGTACAGCTCCTTCTTTGCGTGTACTACGCATCATACTGAAGCACCCTAGTTTTCGAAACTTCCGCCGCCTATGACAAGTCCGAGGGCGCGAAGCTATGCCTCGTGTGCCACACTGCGCAGTACTGGCTCCTTCCCATCCTCTACCACACCGTCGTCCTCTCTTCCTCGGCCGCTATCGAGCGTTTCGCCGCCTCCATCACCGGCACGAGGCCGAGCGCTAGCAACGCCCCCCTGATCGAACTCAAACCTTCCGCCCTCATGCGCAAGCTCTGGATTGGACCGACCAGCAGCATCGACCAAGCCGACCTCTCCTACAACTCCCTCGCCTGGCCCGTTCCGCGCATCTGCGCGATCCTCGCCCTCTGCCAGTCTCTCCACGCGCTCGCGATCATGAACGTCCACCAGAAGTCGTGGCCGCGCCTCGCGCTCGACATCCCGCGCGGCGTGCGCGCGCTCTGGATCGGGCCCGTGCACGGCAAGGCGGACTGGCGGTACCTCCCGTGCGCGCCGAGCGCGCGCGAGTTCCTCACGATGGACACGTACATGACCGAGGACGAGCTGCGGCAGATCGTGCGCTCCCCGAGCATCCGTCGCGTGCGCCGCTTCTTCTCGAAGCCGGTGGGCCTCGGCGCGCTGCAGCAGCTCGGGTGCGTCGAGGACGCCCGGGGGCTGGAGAAGCTCGAGATTGTGTGTTGCAGCAATTCGAAGGAGGCGGCCGCGGCAGCTTTGGAGGAGGCGCTTCAAACATATCGGTACGAGCCGACGCCACACGTCGCGCTCATACCTAGCTCCCACATGTACAAAGGGCGCTGCGACCCACTCGCGCTCCTCCATGACGACTGGCTCAGTGCCACACGTGTACGTTGTTGATCATAGCTGGTATGTGTCGCATGATATTTATTCATCTTCTATAGGTATAGCTGTTGCGACAAGAGTCGTAGCGCTCTTGTCTAGATAAGGTTCCAGAGCAGCAGAATGAGTGTGACAGCATGCAGATATATATCAGCGTATGTGGCATATAGGTAATCTTGCCCATCATATGTCATAGACTCGACTGTAAGGCAGAGCCCCGGGTCCCTGGTCGCTGTAACGACGGCGTGTTTTACAAGCCAGCACTGCAATCATGTCATTCAAGGCCTTTGCCATATGGCCGCTCAGGGAGGTGCGCACTCGACTGATATCAAACATCGATCCGAACGATATACTTATAATTACACGGACAGCTATAGTACGCCAACGAAGCTGACGCTCACGTTTCCCTTCCATGCACCACGACGCTTGAGTGCCTTGCGTGGTAACATCGTGGGATATCTATGCTATCCTACGATCTCCAAGCTTAGTATGTGCAAATTCTGTTTCTCTCAAGCCCGAGTTCGTTCGTTGCAATAGGCTGACTGGCTGGACAACACTTCATGCCCTCCATCATGACTGTATCGCCAGCGCAGAGCCACTGGAAGTGTTTGACAGTTCGGGACCAAATCGACGCCCTTATGAACCTACGCTGTGCGTATCAGCTCAGTCAGATCGGACTCGGACTGTCTATTTCGCCCTCCTTATGTGAAGTCTACCATCATGCCCTTGCCTCTCCCTCCTCCACCCGTCACCTTCTCCACCCTACAGATACAAACGTGATCTAGGTCTCCGCATGTTCTGGAACACTGCCAGAATATGGCCGGCACCCCTGCTGCTCTACTATGCCACATCTAGCCTTGGTCAAAGTTCATCTAATCGTACAATCGACGACCAAAAGGGCGATCCTGTCACCGGCTTCATTCCGACCTATCTCCCCAACGATAGGTGGAACATCGGCCAAACATGTGCCACCTGCGCCGTCAAACCTAGTGCTCTCATCGACCCAGGCCGGGTTTTCGACGGGACGTGGCATGACACGACGCACTACGGGCAAACCGATGCCAACATGAGCGTCCAGATCGACTTCACGGGCACCGCCGTCTATATGTATAACATACTCGTCAATATCGTGGCCGGTCCTCAGACATCCCTCACAATGCTTCACTTCTATCTCGACGGGGATCAAGTCGGCACGTTCACCCATGACCGCGATGACACGACCGAGGTCATCTACAATGCGCTGGTCTATAAGAATACATCTTTGTCAAACACACCGCATTCTCTTCGCGCTGAAGCATCAGGTGCCCAAAGCATCCTATATCTCTTCGACTACGTCATCTATACAGTGGAAGACAATGTGGAATTTTCCTCTCAAGGACCGACAACATCGCTGCCATCGCCAACATCGTCGTCGTCCCTAACATCGGCATCGCCACAGCCGTCTCCAGAGGTAAGTCGCCGCCACAGTTGCTGATGTGTGGACAGGCCCATTAGCAGTAACTGACCCAGGCATTGCAGGCATCGACGAGCGTCGGGGCTATTATAGGCGGCGCTGTAGGAGGGTTTCTAGTGCTCGGTGTAGTGGCCGTACTGTCGCTCTGCCTACTGTACCGCCGCCGGCGCTCTCGTGACCAGCAGCAGCTGCCCTCACGGGGCGGGTCACCCCGTACGCAAGCCTCGCAGCGGGATGCAGAGAACTCTGACTTTGCGATCACCCCCTACATTGCTTCAGAGGAGTCAAGGTCAATGGATGGTTCATCCGAGAAGTTCCTTGACCTTTTGATAAAGGACAACTTCGCTGGTGAGATGCACCATCGCTGCTTACTTGACACCGAGCATTACAACTGACGATCAAGCCATTTCCGACAGAGACGATCCATACCGCCAGTGCTGCTAGGACCGCTCCCTTTGCGCCCTCAATCGCCACGCGCTCGGTGTCCACCTACGAGTCGAGCATCGCACCGCCGCACACAAACGCCAGTAGTTCGCGCACGGTCGAGCTGGCGCTGCAAATCCAGGCGCTGCAGGCGCAAGTCGCGAACCTCCGTGCGATGCGTGGCGCCGCGCACCCGGCGGTGGACACCCCATCCGACACAGAGCGAAGCTTAGCGGGCGAGCTCGCGGCATTTCGAAGGGAGATGGCGACGTTGCGGGCGGAGCTGGGCGATCAGCAGCAGTACACGGGGATGGCGCAGCTTGATCTCCCGCCGTCCTATGGAGTGTAAACGTCTATCTCTGAATGGGGAGAACTCAGAACGGTAAGTCTGTCTTCACGCTCGTTGGCTTAGGCATGAAATGCTGACTCCTGATCGCAGCGACGGAGACTGGTGCTTTTGTACGTTCTCTTGGATTCACAATGTGTTATTGGTCATTTTGTACAGTCTATGGACGTCGAGTGCAGAGTCTGAGCGAGCTCGTTTCCCCCCACTTCCGACTCAGTTAAGTTGACGAGTCTCTGATGGCTCCCCTGCATCGAAACTGACCCTTACTGAAAGAAGGCGCTTTGTTGCATCATGTTCATAGTACACGCTAAACATGGCGATAACACAATGAACATCATAATCCATTTGACATACGCATAACTTGGTCCGGTATCGAGCAGTAAAGCCCGACGCCATCCCAGTACATACCCTGTACGACCCCGGCGTGTGTTTCCTTTGTCTCCCCTAGGCAGACGATGTGTGATCTATAGAGGGGGGGGACGATCACACTAACGTGTTTCCTGAGAGCCAGGGTCATGTTGTCCCCTCAATATTTGTTCCACGTACGGAATGGCCTAGACCCCCAACTTGCCGGCTGGTGTCAATTCTGCGTCACGATCGATACTCGCTGTCATAGGCTGGCGGACGACGTCGACGGTGAGGTGGTGTTTCACGCTGCATGTCAAACTGCATGCCAACTTCAGCCCGGATCCTTTACTTCAGCGTCTTGTGCATGAAAATTAAGGCTATATTCCATGTCTGTTCTTAGATTCTTGCACACTTTAGAGACGTGGTTGTGTTTGAGCTCCCCCATTGCTACGTGCACATCGACCGTGCCCAGACCACCGTGGCGGCTGGCGGACGTCACTGGATGAGCGGCGCGGCGAGGGGGCGCCGATGTGCGAGTGCCAGCCACTGTGGCGCCAATTGCCGCCAAGCCTGGCGTTGTTTGTACATGTTTTCCTAGCGACGCCCAACCAGCTTTCCTCGTTCCCCGACTTGTCCAGGTTCGCCATTCTCTTCGCCCCGCCGTCCTCGCCGTCGCCGCCCTCGTCCTCGCCGACATTAAAGAACACGTCCACTCCTTGCGCGTATCCTACACCTTCGCCATGAAGTCTATTGCAGCAGTTACGCTCTTCGCGTCGGTCGTCCTGGCCCAGTCGGTGAGCATCTCATCTTTTCGGCCAGTGGAATGTCAAATCTCGCGGGCAAGGAGGAGCTGGCAAACGGGGAATCGGTGTTTCATCTCAAAGGTTTATCATATCGACGGCATATCTTGAAGGGGGTGTCAAATGCAGACAGATGATATAGTGCGCCATTGGCGCTGCCATCTACCCTCTCCTTGTGGCATCAACTATGTCGTATGCGTCCTCGATGAGCACTAGCTTTTCGCACCTCTGCAGCTTCAAGCTGGGGAATTCGCGTTCTTCAGTTTAGCACTGCAATGCCAACTCTCGATACCTCCTCCCCCCGGCATGTTTGACTCACAAACTTGTCTTTGACAAAGTTTCACCTTCCATGCTCGTAACTTATACGAACTGCCGCCTCTCCTACACAGTTATGGAGCTCCTACTCATGCCACACTCCTTTTTACAGTCCTCTCTCATTCCTTCGGGAATCAGCACTCAGTGCTCGACCTTCCTGAGCACGTTCGACAAGGACAGCTCGCTCTCCACCTGCACCACGTCCCTCATCTCCGCCACCTCCTCGTTTGCGCCTAGCACGAACGCGTCCGCGGCGACCACTACCCACTCCGCCTCCTCCATCAGCGCGGCGCTGAACAGCGTGTGCTCCACCGCCTCCACCTGCCCTGATACCTCGGTCCGCCAGAACCTCGCAGACTTTTACACTGCGTGCGGCCCCGAACTCACCACGAGCGCAAACAAAGACGTGATCAAGATTTACGACGTTCTCTACGCGATCATCCCTCTGCGGCAGGCGGTCTGCTCCAAGGCTGACAACGGCCAGTACTGCGCCACCCAAATCGCGGCCAACTCCACCGCCTCCTCGAGCACGCTCTCGGCTATCTCGAAGTTCGTCTCGTCGGGCGGGGTGTCGCTCACTCGTCGTGCGACCACCCAGTCCGTCGTGGCCGTTTCGCCCAACGCCACGACGTTCGCGACCAACAACCTCCTCTTCTTGATGCTCCTCCCCACCACGCCCGAGGCGTCGCTGTGCACTTCGTGCACGCGCAACGTCCTCACGCCCTACATCAGCTTCGAGTCATCCACCCCCTACGCTCCCGGCCTGTCTAACTCCGTCCTCCTATCCGGCCAGACTGCCCTCTACGCGGCGGTCAAGTCCACGTGCGGTGACAGCTTCCTTAACGGTGCCGTTGCGGCCGCGGCTGGTCTCTCTGGCGGTATCGTTGGTCAGGTGTCGACGACGGACGGAGCTGCTAGCCTTGCGATTGGCACCGGTGCCGTGGGTGCGATCGTGGGTGCGATCGCCCTCGCGTTCTCTGCAGCGCTCTAAGGCGGAGGAGAATCAGGAGATGTGGAAGTTGTTTTAGAGTATGCTCTTTCTCCGTGATCCTTCGGTATCGCGAGTCGCTATTTGATGTTAGTATACCCCGTAGTGTTGTTGCGTTCAATTGAGTCGAGTAGGGCAGTCGCCAGTAAAACACGGCCGATTTCCGGACACGTCCTATGAAAGCAAAATACTGTTAGAAGTGCTCCTTGGGTATCGCACAACTCTTTTAATGTATGCCCCGGCCCTCCAGAACATCTGCTGTGGCTGTCAGTAATACCGTCGAAGTTGCCTCCACTTCGAACTACTTAATATTTGCCTTCCTCATCTCCAAACTGCAGCCTGCCGTTGAGAACATGTTTAAAAATTGAGGGACTTCTCATGACGGCGTAGCCGAGCGGTTAACACGTTTGCGGGCAATCAATGCAGTGCTTTGGTTCGAGCCCCCCGGAACTAGCTTTTCCTTTTTGGGACATGACGCGACGGTCACATGATCTGCCGCCTATTTCCCCGGACTCTCAGCGGGCGCCTAAACAGGTTTATCCTTGATTCTCGCCACCACGGTCTGCCTCTCATCCTCCCCTCATCTCCCACATCGCTATCGCCTCTTTGCCTCTGGCGAACGTTAAGAGATGTCGTGGGTACACGGAGGTATCCCCTTTCAGCGGTACGTGGTGTTTCCGCACCTATAGAACCCAAACACGAAGCTGAGACCGGCAGCAGAAAACGCACTCTCAGCTCGTTGGACGATGATGAGTCCAACGCCAGTAAGCGGCTTCGTCGCCAATCTACGCTTCCATTTGACACACCGTTAAGCACTGTGAGTGGAAGGAGGGTTCAGACGCGTCTTGTGGCTAACGACACGTCGCCCAGCTCTCCCCGGGCTCTTCACGGGCAGGGCCGTCCCGAACGCGATCCCTCATGGAAGAAGGTCACGACGAGCTCGTCCGAGCAATTCACTCTAGTCCTCGACGCCCTCGTTTGAGCGGAGCAGGGTCATTCGCATACTCGAACTCGCCCTCACGGGCGTCATCCATCGCAGGCGACGGTATTGGTTCCGGATTCGACCTGATGAGAACAAACTCCATCAGCGGCCGTCAGTCGATGACCCCCGGGGAACCTTCCTATGCTCCCCACTCCGCGTACCACGTTCTGCGTTCGGTCAACAACATCGACTACGCGGTCGCTCCGGTTGCCGGCGATGCAGCCGACGCCGCGCCGGCCTCGCCGGTGAGCTGGTCCCAGTCGAACGCCGTGGTTTTTGGACGCGGGAACCGCGTACATTACAAGAACATGGCGGACACAGAGGACGTCGCACAACAGCTATGCAAAGTTACAAGCAGCCTCGGCAATTTGCGTCTGGTCCAGTGCGGGGGAAAGGAGCAGCCGAACGTTGTAGCGCTCGCAACCTCGAACGGTTGGGTCCAGCTGTGGGACCTCGTCGCTAAGAAGATGTTGATGAACTGGCGCATGAAGAGCGCGACGTCGTTGTGTTTCGGCGAGAACATGCTCACCATCGGCGACGAGAAGGGTACCCTGCGGCATTACGACCCCCGCGCGACCGACTCTACCAAGCTGAAGGAACAGCTGAAGAAGGTGACCCGTCATCAGGGCCGCATCCTCAACGGCGCCTGGAAGGAGGATGGCAAGTTCCTCGCTACTGGCGACCAGAATGGACTCGTACTCTTGTGGGACGCGCGTCGGCCCCGTGTTCCGCTTGAGGTCGGCGAGATGGTCCAACGTCGTCGGAAGATGCAGCACGTCGGGGCGGTTACGGTGGGTTTCCTGATTGGTGTGCTCTGTGATCGATGTGGCTCATGTCGGCGTGCAGGCTCTTGCGTGGTGCCCCTGGCAAAGCAAGTACCTGGTCACGGGCGATTCCGCGGCCGACGGGACTGGAACAATCCGCGTTTGGGATGTCAATGCGGTCGACGACAACGCAACCTCGGTATCCGAGTGGCCAACGAAGATCGAGCTCGACGCTCAGGTCACCTCCCTCCACTTTTCACCTCACATCCGCGAGATGTTGAGCACCCACGGTCCAGGCAAAATTGCCCCAGCACCCACGACCCCCTCTACACCCATCACTCCGATCGACGATCCATTCGGGGCCAGCATATCTGTCCACTCCGATCCCTTCATCTCGCGCATCAGTAACTCCGTCGTCGTGCACCAGTTCCCTACGATGCGCCGTGTGACGACCGTGGCCGTCGCGAAGAAGAACATTGCGGGCAGCGTGTTGAGCCCCAACGGTCACCGCATCGTCTTCGCGGTGCCAGAGGAGTCGCAGCTGAAGGTGTGGGACGTATGGGGGAAGTTCAAGGCGCCGAAGCCTCCGAGCTTGTACGAGGTGTGCGCGATCCGGTAGAGTCCTAGAGTGAACCGGACGGCGATCACACAGGCAAGTCCGGCTTCTGTGTGTGTGTCCAGAGTATTTGCTAATCTCGTCGTGTTGCTCAGGTTTATTACGTGCCGCCGGCCCAGGCTATTCTCTTATCATGCATCACAGCGTCACCGCCTCACGAATCGGTAAGTCCTTGTTTTTAATCATGTAACTTATTATGTAGCCATCTACGATGTATAATGCTCCCCCGCGCGCCGCGGCGGTACCATGGTGTTATGTGTACGCGTAAGATACGCGCAGTCGGTGTACTTGTCTTCCCTTCTCCCCCATCGCGTTCCCCCCACCCGCGGCCGAGTAGTAGCATGTGTTGTGTCAGGAGAACTTTCCCAGTCTATCGTTGTGGCGATCAGGATATGGATTCCTTGTAGGAGTTGCGCGTTGTCGAGAAGTCGAGTAGTGGTGGAAGCATACCGAGAATGATGATGATGATGCCTCGAAAGAAGTAGCTGGGTGCCTTGCGTGATGTAGCATTGCGACGCAAGTTGGGATGTGGCCTTCCGCATCGCTATCTCTAACGTGTTGCGCAATGCGTCGTACGTTGTCGTACATTCAGACTCTTTACGGTGCCATGGAACCCGAAACCGGCGAAGTTGTTTGCGGTTGTGGGTCCATAGTTTTGCGCCGCTCGATCAGCCGTGGGGCGCCTCTCGTCTTTCACCCTAACCACCACCTCTCCCCCAGTGCGCGGTGTACCATTCGCTCACAGCCTTACGCTACCGTCTTTGACCGACCTTATCCAACTCCCTTCAAGTCCTCCACATTCATGATATTGATCGCAAGCCAAAATAATCACAGAACGCTCACACAGCCGCAGTGATGGTTTGATCAACGGCCTGACGCTATCCCTCTTCCTCGTCCGCATTGATGCCAGAATGTTGACCAAAGGATGCACTACTCGCGCAAGATTAACAGTTATTGTTAGCTTCGCCCACCACGACCGCCGGCCTAGCCTCCGCGGGCTATCACCCACCGTGGATGGCGGAGAGACGGCCGTGATCCGTCTTCGAGCCAGTGCATCATGGACGCGCGATGATGCGCGTTGGTGCGAAGTCCACTCGCATGCCTGGGGCTTACGCGACACTGCGGAGGTGATGCACCCGGGAGGGACGGATGTGTATCACGGCGCGTGCGAGCCCGCGCTCCTCGCGCACCTTCGACGAGGTCGTCCATCTCGTCTGGTCACTCCGGCGGGGCTCCCTTTCGCTTTCGACGACAGGCTGGCCTCCTCCCCCTCGCCGCTCTTCCTTCGCTGCTCCCGGTGAGCCCTGCTTTGCTTCTTGGGCTGGTCTCGGACGCGTCCGTTCGTTTCGCTTTCGTTGCTGTCCGCCGTTCCTCTTTGTTCGCTCCTCGCGCGGCTCGGTCCTCGGTGGAGTGTGGTTGGAGAACGTCACGGTCCTCTTTAACGTCGCTCAAGAACAAGCTTTATTCCCTTCTCCGTGTGGATATTGGACCCTTTTCTGCATCTCTGTTTGTGAGTGGTCAAATTCGGACAGCGTTATCGCGTGTCTCATCAGAGTATCTCCGGTTGGCAAACCAGAGCCTTCCGTTTGACGACCTTTGCTTTCGATGTCTGACTCTACGAACGACACTCCCTTGGATCCCAGTTCCTCGCCCGCGTCCCCTGACCCTAATTCAAACGGTTCGGATACGAACCCCACGGACCCTGATCTCGCGGATCCGAACTTGAACAACCCGGACCCCAACGCTGGCAGCCCAGTCGACCAGGCTGGTGATGGCACGAACACCGACCCGACCTCTGGAGCTACCGGAGACCCGACGGACACTTCAGCTCAGGATGGCTCCGACGCTGGCAATGCCGATGGGACGCTCCCGCCCAATGGTGTGAGCACGCCTTTGCCGGGCATTCCGCCTCAAACTGCGCTTCCGATGTGAGTAGAATACACTTACTTGTTGACTCGAGAGCCTGGTCTGAACATCCTGCGCTAGTCCCACGCCGGTGACTTTGGGGAGTAGCCCGTCTTCCACTCCAAATGCCCTTCCCGATAATGGCAGCAATGGCAGCGATAATCAACCGCATAGCTTAGGTGGCAAGAGGTGAGTTCATCTACCAGTTCATGTAAGTGCACAGTCAAGCGCAAGCTAACCCGTATCATGTCCAGCGATGACAACACCAAGACGATCATCATCGCGTCTTCCGTGAGCGGAGGTGTCGCTCTTATTCTCATCCTGCTCGTGATCATCTTCGTGTACCGCCGGCGCAACAACAAACGCAGGAACGCGGAGTTCGTCGACGCTGTTGCACAACCACAGCTCAAGCGCGGTGATAGCAACGCGACCTGGATCGGGCCGAAGACCGACTCCTCTTCATTCGATGAGAGCAAGCTCGAAGCGGGGAACCGGCACAGTGACGCCAGTATGGAATCCGAGGCCACCACTCTCGCCGACTTCGCGGCCGCACGCGCGAAGTCAGGCGCGTTCAGCACTCCGTCTCATACTCCGCGCCCGTCCTTGGATAAGATCAAGACCCAGGTGGAGCCCATGGTCCCGAGCGACCCCTTCGAGCGGCCGCGCCTCTCCATCGTGGAGAAGCCCAGCACCTCCCTCGACCAGTCAGCCCCTCATCCGGTACCCGCTCCGCGCAAGCGGAAGAGCGGTGCTCCCACGATTCGTATCAACTCGAACAGCACCTTCAACGGCTCCGTGGAGATCGAGCAGGGCTACGCGATGGGCCCGCAGTCGCCCGGATCGCCCATGCTGCCGCTCGTCACGCCCATCGAGCCCCCGGCCGGCTGGCGTCCTATGTCGTACATGCGCGCGCCGTCGCGCCGCGACTCGATGGTCTCGCTCTCGCGCCAGTCTTCCCGGGCGTCCTCGCGCAACTCGCAGGTCTTCGAGCCGACGGACACCCAGAGCCCGAAGAGCGGCATCAAGGGGACGTTCTCCGCGCTCGCGAAGAAGCGCCGCTCGCGCGCGGACAGCATCGACCCGTTCCGCAAGTCCGCCGCCACGATGATGGCCGCCGCGCGCCGCAAGTCGCGCGCGGAGAGCATTGCATCCAGCCGTCACAACGGGGGCGCGCCCGGTGCCCGGCGTAAGTCTCGTGCGGAGAGCATCGCGCCACCGACTACCCCGGGCGGCCGTCGCAAGTCCCGCGCAGGCAGCATTGCCCCGCCCATGACGCCGCGCCGCAGGTCCCAGGCGGCGCAGCGCGTCGAGAGCGCCGTCTTTGCATCTTCCCCAGTCGAGTTCATCGGCCTCCCAAAGACACCCCGTACCCCCACTGCCGCCGCACGGCGTTCCCGCGGGGCTGAGCCCCGGACGCCCGTGGCGCGCACACCGCACACCCCCAGCGCCCCGCGCGAGCTTCCGACCCCTGTTCCGCGCGAGCCGCGCACACCTGCTACAGCGCGGACGCCCCGCACCCCGGCCACCTCGCGCGGCGAGCCCCGCACGCCCCGCACGCCTGGCGGACACCCACGAAGGCCCTCGGCAAGCGTGCCCCGCACCCCGACGTCGCTCGACGACGCGGTCGCGTGGAGCACGGTACCCTTGCCGCCGATCCCGGCTGAGCCGCGCCCGCTCCCACAGGTGCCGATGTCGGCGCGCGCCGAGCTGCGCTTGTCGGGCCTCTCGCGAACGCTGTCTGAGGTGTCGAGGGAGTCCCCGATCTGATAGGTCGCAGATGACCTGTTATGTTGGCGACTGTGGCGTATGGAGCCTTGGTTGGGCTCTTGTAGGACTATATACGCGTATGACATTCACGAGCGTGGATTTTGTTGTACGAGTATTATGCTCGATGGGTTTGCCGCTGGGATGGTGTCGGCTTTACTGCTCAAAACCGGACCGGGTTGTGCAGTATGTTAAAAACTTGCTGCGCTCGCTATGTGGCCATGTTATGCAGTAAAGCGCCTATTCTAAGTAAGGGTCAGTTTCGACCATGCAGTGGACTCGTCAGATAGTCCACTCACCTGAGACCATCATTGTCGTTTGTATAGTCCGGGGGAGTGGGGGGAAATGGCCCTCCTTCGAAGAGTAAGTACTGACAGATCTGCTTGCTGTGACGGTTCCGCTCTTGAATATGATAACGAACTTAGTATCCCAGACTGCGCACCCAACGTCCATAGACTGTCGTACAAAGTGACCAGTAAAATATTATAAGATCAAGAAATCCTTTAAGATACCAGTCTCCGTCGCTGCGCACAGGAATCAGCACTCTATGTTTAAGCCAACAGGCATGGAGACAGACTTACCGATCTCCCCGAGATAGACGTTTACACTCCATAGGACGGCGGGAGATCAAGCTGCGCCGTCCCCGACGCCCGTGTACTGCTGCTGATCGCCCAGCTCCGCCCGCAACGCCGTCATCTCCCTTCGAAATGCCGCGAGTTCGCCCGCTAAGCTTCGCTCTGTGTCGGATGGGGTGTCCACCGCCGGGTGCGCGGCACCACGCATCGCACGGAGGTTCGCGACTTGCGCCTGCAACGCCTGGATGTGAAGCGCCAGCTCCACTGTGCGCGAGCTACTGGCGTTTGTGTGCGGCGGTGCGATGCTCGACTCGTAGGTGGACACCGAGCGCGTGTCGATTGAGGGCGCAAAGGGAGCGGTCCTAGCAGCACTGGCCGTATGGATCGTCTCTGTCGGAAATGGCTTGATCGTCAGTTGTAATGCTCGGTGTCAAGTAAGCAGCGATGGTGCATCTCACCAGCGAAGTTGTCCTTTATCAAAAGGTCAAAGAACTTCTCGGATGAACCATCCATCGACCTCGACTCCTCTGCAACAACGTAGCGAGTCGTCGCAACGTCAGAGTTATCTGCGTCCCGTTGCACTTGCGTAGCGACCGACCCGCCTCGTGAGGGGGACTGCTGCGGGCCACGAGAGCGCCGTCGGCGGTACATTAGGCAGAGCGACAGTAGGACCACTGCGCTGAGCACCACAAACCCTCCTACAACGCCGCCTATAATAGCCCCGACGCTCGTACTAAGAGGATGCTGTTGATTTGGCTGCGATGTATTACTTTGAAGCAGTGCTGTCGACGACTGTAATGTCCGGGTCAGTTACTGGGTCTGTCCATCTATCAGCAATCGTGACGACCGCTTACCTCTGGAAACGGCTGTGATAGCGATGTTGGGGACGGCGACGACGTTGTCGGTCTTTGAGAGGAGGAGGATTCTACATTGTCTTCCACCGTATAGATGACGTAGTCGAAGAGAAAGAGGATGTAATCGGCGCCAGATGCTTCAGCGACAAGAGAATGAGGTGTGTTTGACAAAGACGTATTCTTGTAGACCAGCGCATTATAGATGACCTCGGTCGTGTTATCGCGATCATGGGTGAACGTGCCTACTTGCTCCCCGTCGAGATAGAAGTGAAGTGTTGTGAGGGATGTCCGAGTACCGGCAACGGTATTGACGAGTATGTTATACATATAGACGGCGGTGCCCGTGAAGTCGACCTGGACGCTAATGGTGGTATCGTTTTGTCCGTAGTGCGTCGCGTCATGCCACGTCCCGTCGAACACCTGGTCTGGGTCGATGAGAGTACCAGATTTGACGGTGCAAGCGGTGCATGTTTGGCCGATGTTCCACTTAAAATCGCGGGGAAAATAGGTAGGCATGAAGCCAGTGACAGTATCGCCCTTTTGGTCGTCGATTGTACGATTGGATGAAGTTTGACCAAGGCTAGCCATGACATAGAGCAGAAGGGGTGCCAGCCATATTCTTGCAGCGTTCCAGAACATTGCGGAGAGTTGAGCACGTTTGTACCTGTAGGATGGAGAGGATGAGGGGAGGAGGAGGGACGGGACAAGGGCATGGTGGAGGCCGGGGGGGCGGGGGGTCGCAAGTGGAGGGCGCGATAGACGTCACGGCCTGACTGAGCTGAGACGCACAGCGTAACTTCACTACGGCGTAGATGTAGTTCAAGTTCTTGAACTGTCAAACGCTTCCAGTGGCTCTGCGCTGGTGATACAGACATGATGAAGGACAGAAGTGCTGTCCAGCTAGTCAGTCTACTGCAACGAACGAGCTCGGGCTTGAGAGAAACATAATTTGCACATACTAAGCTTGGAGATCGTAGGATAGCATAGATATCCCACGATGTTACCACGCAAGGCACTCAAGCGTCGTGGTGCATGGAAGGGAAACGTGAGTGTCAGCTTCGTTGGCGTACTATATCTGTCCGTGTCATTATAAGTATAGCGTTGAGATCGATGTTTGATATCAGTCGAGTGCGCACCTCCCTGAGCGGCCATATGGCAAAGGCCATAAAAGACATAAAGGCAGTGCCGGCTTGTACAACACGCCGTCGTTCCAGCGACCAGGAACCCGGGGCTCTGCCTTACAGTCGAGTCTATCACATATGATGGGCAAGATTACCTATATGCCATATACGCTGATATATATATGCATGCTGTCACACTCATTCTGCAGCCTTATGTAGACAAGAGCGCTGCGACTCTTGTCGCAACAGCTATAGTACCTATAGAAGATGAATAAGTATCATGCGACACATACCAGCTATGATCAACAACGTACACGTGTGGCACTGAGCCAGTCGTCATGGAGGAGCGCGAGTGGGTCGCAGCGCCCCTTGTACATGTGGGACCTAGGTATGAGCGCGACGTGTGGCGTCGGCTCGTACCGATATGTCTGGAGCGCCTCCTCCAAAGCTGTCGCGGCCTCCTCCTTCGAACTGCTGCAACACACAACCTCGAGCTTCTCCAGCCCCCGAGCGTCCTCGACGCACCCGAGCTGCTGCAGCGCGCCGAGGCCCACCGGCTTCGAGAAGAAGCGGCGCACGCGACGGATGCTCGGAGAGCGCACAATCTGCCGCAGCTCGTCCTCGGTCATGTACGTGTCCAGACGTGTCCATCGTGAGGAACTCGCGCGCACTCCCCGCGCACGGGAGGTACCGCCAGTCCGCCTTGCCATGCACGGGCCCGATCCAGAGCGCGCACACGCCGCGAAGAGTGACTGAGATGTATCCCAGACTGTGCACCCGACGTTCATAGACTGTACAAAGTGACTAGTATAATATTATAAATTCGGAAAACCCCTAAAGGCACCAGTCTCCATCGCTGCGCACAGGAGTCAGCATTTTATGTTTAAGCCAACAGGCATGAAGACAGACTTACCGTTCTCTCCTCATTCAGAAAAAGGCATTTACACTCCATAGGACGGCGGGAGATCCAGCTGCGCCATCCCCGTGTACTGCTGCTGATCGCCCAGCTCCGCCCGCAACGCCGCCATCTCCCTTCTAAACGCCGCAAGTTCGCCCGATAAGCTTCGCTCTGTGTCGGATGGGGTGTCCACCGCCGGGTGCGCGGCGCCACGCATCGCACGGAGGTCCGCGACCTGGGCCTGCAGAGCCTGAATTTGCAGCGCCAGCTCCACAGAGCGCGAACCAGTGTTTGCGTACGGCGGTGCGATGCCCGGCTCGTATGCGGCCGCGGAGGCGACTGAGCTTCCCAGGGGCGCAAAGTGAACGGTACTAGCAGTACTGGCGGTATTGGTCTCTGTCGTCGGAGACGGCTTGTTCGTCAGTTGTGACGCTCGGTATCAAGTAAGCAGCGATGGTGCAGCTCACCGAAGCTATCCTCCGTCAAAAGGAGCTTCTCCGAGAATGGCCGATCCACTGACCTTGGCTCCTCCGCAGCATTGTAGTGAGTGGTCGCAAGGTCAGAGTTATCTGCATCCCGCTGCGCTTGCGTACGGAGTGACCCGCCCCGTGAGGGGAACTGTTGCGCGCTACGAGAGCGTCGGCGGCGGTACAGTAGGCAGAGTGACAGCAGGACCACTGTACTGAGCACTAGAAACCCTCCCACAGCGCTGCCTACGACAGCCCCGACATTAAGATTATGTTGTTGATTTGGCTGCGATGTACTTTGCGAGGATGTTGTCGACGATGACTGGAATGTTCAGTGGGTTAGCTACTGGGTCGATCAACTTATCTACGACGGCCACTTACCTCTGCAAACGGCGGTGACAACGATGTCGGGGACGACGACAATGTTGTCGATCCTTGAAAGGAGGAGGAAGGTTCCACATTGTCTTCCACAGTATAGATGACGTAGTCGAAGAGAAAGAGGATGGTTTCGGAACCAGATGCTTCAGCGCGAAGAAAATGCGGTGTGTTTGACAAAGATGTATTCTTGTAGACCAGCGCATTGTAGATGACCTTGGTCGTGTTATCGCGGTCATGGGTGAACGTGCCGACTTGATCCCCGTCGAGATAGAAGTGAAGCAGTGTGAGGGACGTCGTCTTAGTACCGGGCGCGATGTTGATGAGTATGTTATACATATAGACGGCGGTGCCCGTGAAGTCAACCTGTACGCTAATGTTGGTACCCTTTTGCCCGTAGTGCGTCGCGTCATGCCACGTCCCGTCGAACACCTGGCCTGGGTCGATGAGAGCACTAGGTTTGACGGCGCAGCCGGTGCATGTTTGGCCGATGTTCCACTTAGAGTCGCTGGGGAAATAGGTAGGGATGAAACCGGTGACAGGATCGCCCTTTTGGTCGTCGATTGTACGATTAGATGAGCTTTGACCAAGGCTGGATGTGGCATAGTAGAGCAGTAGGGGTGCCGGCCATATTCTGGCAGTGTTCCAGAACATGCGGGGACCTAGATCACGTTCGTATCTGTAGGGTGGAGAAGGTGACGGGAGGAGGAGGGAGAGGCAAGGGCATGATGGTAGACCTCACATAAGGAGGGCGAAATAGACAGTCCGAGTCCGATCTGACTGAGCTGATACGCACAGCGTAGGTTCATAAGGGCGTCGATTTGGTCCCGAACTGTCAAACGCTTCCAGTGGCTCTGCGCTGGCGATACAGTCATGATGGAGGGCATAAAGTGCTGTGCAGCAAGTCAGCCTATTGCAACGAACGGGCTCGGGCTTAAGGAAGACAGAATTTGCACGTACTAAGTTTCTTCGGAGTGAGCAGAATATGGATGTTTGATATTTATCATGCCAGACACTCAAGCGTTGCGGTGCACGGGAGGGAAACGTAAACATCAGCTTCGTTGGCGTACTATATCTGTCCGTGTAGCTATACGTATAACGTTCAGTTCAACGTTTGATGATATCAGTCGAACTTCTGAAGCACCTCCCTGAGCAACCGTAGCGAGCGGCCGTATGGCAAACTTGCGACCCCCCACAAACGCCGGAAAGCCGGCCATAAAATGCATAAATGCAGTGCGCGCTTGAACACGACATCGTTACAGCGACCAGGGACTCTGCCTTGCAGTGGAGTCCCAGTCTCAATTCATTATATGAGGCTCTTGAGGCAACAGCTATACCTATAGAAGATGAATATCATGCGACACATACCAGCTATAATAGACAACGTACACGTGTTGCACCGTGGGTCGCAGCGCCCCTTGTACATGCGGGACCTAGGTATGAGCGCGACGTATGGCGTCGGCTCGTACCGATATGTTTGAAGCGCCTCCTCCAAAGCGGCCGCGGCCTCCTCCTTCGAACTGCTGCAACACACAAATTCGAGCTTCTCCAGCCCCCGAGCCTCCTCGACGCACCCGAGCTGCTGCAGCGCGCCGAGGCCCACCGGCTTCGAGAAGAAGCGGCGCACGCGACGGATGCTCTGGGAGCGCACGATCTGCCGCAGCTCGTCCTCGGTCATGTACGTGTCCATCGTGAGGAACTCGCGCGCGCTCGCCGCGCACGGGAGGTACCGCCAGTCCGCCTTGCCATGCACGAGCCCAATCCAGAGCGCGCGCACGCCGCGCGGGATGTCGAGCGCGAGGCGCGGCCACGACTTCTGGTGGACGTTCATGATCGCGAGCGCGTGGAGAGACTGGCAGAGGGCGAGGATCGCGCAGATGCGCGGAACGGGCCAGGCGGGGGAGTTGTAGGAGAGGTAGGCTTGGTCGATGCTGCTGGTGGGTCCGATCCACAGCTTGCGCACGAGGGCGGAAGGTTTGAGTTCGATCAAGGGGGCGCTGCTAGCGCTCGGCCTCGTGCCGGTGATGGAGGCGGCGAAACGCTCGATAACGGCCGAGGAAGAGAGGACGACGGTGTGGTAGAGGATGGGAAGGAGCCAGTACTGCACAGTGCGGCACACGAGGCATAGCTTCGCGCCCCCGGACTTGTCATAGGCGGCGGAAATTTCGAAAACTAGGGTGCTTCAGTAAAATGCGTAGTACACGCAAAGAAGGAGCCATACCCTGTTGGAGTGTACACGTTAACTTGACAGACAGGGAAGCAAGACCAGACCACGTACGGTTTGTACTATGATCTTCATGGGAAGGGCATGGCGCATTGGCGTCATTATAGGAGTGGATGTGTGGGCGTCGGGAAGGTGTTTCATCGCTATCCTGCGCGCTAGTATATATGAGCGATACGATACTGGCCTCTACGCCGCCCCACGCCGTAAGAGGGGCCTAAAGCACGATGTCTTCTCGGCGCAAGATGGCTGTTAATCCGACCAAATCAGCTCGACTGCGCACCAGAACAGTCCGTCCAGACTGCAATGTTATGTTCATTTGGTGATCTTCATACAGATTCATCCTCCAATTTTACCGTCCCAGCGAACCAGGAGCCCGACGTTCAGTCGAACGGACGCATCACCTCGTTCCCGCGCACGTCCGTCGCGAAGTTGCTCTGCACGCCCGCCGTCCAGTTCGGGATCTCGAACGTCGTCGTGTGGCACCACGGCTTCAGCGTGAGCTCCTTCTCGATCACACGCGCGAAGTGCTGCGACCAGCCCTTGCGCGGGAACTTGCCCGTCGTCGTCTCGATCAGCTTCGGGTGGATGAGGTTCGCGCGCCTGAAGAATACACCGGTCAGTCGCTCGGCACAGACTGAGCTTAGGGAGGGATGGAGCTCACACCCCGATGTTGTCTGCAGGCAACGGTCAGCGTAGATCCTGATGAGACAGACACGGGATGTACTCACCAAGGATAGTCGCAAGCTGCAAAATCTGGCCGACCACCGTGATGTTCCCCCTGCACAAAAAATCTCCCGTCAGCCCCCCGTGTCACACCTCAGGCCTCAGCGCTGCCCTAGCCCCGCACGCACCCCTTCACGAAGATATCCTGGTGCCGGATGATCGCGTCGCACACGCTGTCCGCCGCGGCCTCGGGGCCGCCCAGCGAGAGGATGAGGTCGCGTGCGACGATCGCGCCCTTGAACTCGAACGACAGGTGCGTCGTCGCGAGGAACTTCTCCGCGGTGCCGATGTCGTGCATGAGGCATGCGAGCGCGTACGTCTCCACGATGCTTGGGGTCTCGCTGTACTTCCACTCCGGGAAGTGCGTCCGCGCGAGAGCCGAGCCTGTATGGGGCACCGTTAGTACTTAGCTCCAGGACGTAGTGGGGGACAGGGAGGGGTAAGACGCACCGTATACGAAGACGCGGTTGCTATGGTTGAACGTCTGCTCATCCAGCTCTCTCTACGAGTTCGTCAACGTTGACATCGGTACTGCAAGTGGACAAGTAGGCGTACCAGAGCGAACGAGCGGACCTCCCGCACGACAGGGGTGTCGGGGAGCGGGAAGTCCTCCACCGTGAACAGGTCCTGCTTGGGGTTCGGCCCGGTAGCCGTGGGGTGGTCCTTGAACAGCACCTCGGGGTCGCGCGGCACTGGGGCGAAGCCGTACAACTTCCAGTCTTCGGTGGCCATGTCGATGTCGTCGATAGATATCTTTAATCCAAATGCGCGCCCGAGGCTGGAGGGTCGGATGTTGAGAGGTCAGAGGAGTGCAAACCTAGAGCTTATATACTGTACACGGCGAAGCTCGGCTTGGAGCGTTCGTACGCACGTCGGTCTTCGGGTGGGTATCGGAAGGGCGGTGGGACGCCCGGGATGTACGCCTGACGACAGGCTCTCTCATGCGCCCGCATGATTGAACGCTGGTCCGACTCACAGCGCCAGCGTTCTGACTCTGGATGAGACCGGCATTGCGAAGTGAGTCATGGGAGCGCGCGAGTGGTGCAATTCCCTGACGAAGACGGGTGCATTCGAGGAGGGGGAGATGAGCAGCAGACCTGGCAAGTATTGCGATCGCGGACATCGTCACACGGGCCCCGGTGCACGTGGGGCTGGGTGCGCAGGCGCAGCGTCTCACCCCTAATTTTTGTGCTGCTTAGTACCTGATTTGTTGGAGAGCCAGGGGGAAGCACGTACGAAGGAACGCGCGCATATGTTGTACACAACTTGATCGGCGCGAAGCGAGTAAGTTTGCTGTAGCGAGCTCAAAGATCCGGAGAGTCGTCCTAGCCGGATTATTGCTGTCATCTCACGATCAGTGCATCGCCCACATAAACTGACTAGAGACGTGGAATGCAACATGGCATTCTAGAGATGGTTACAACAAGAGTTTTACTGCTTTCGATCTTTCTGTCTTCCGTACACAGCATCGATACATCCCACCATACACCCGAAAGTAAACGCGAGAATACAAGTCTAGAGCTCTGTCGTGATACGTTGATCAGTAAAGACGTCACTGTTGACATAAAGGATAACTTACTCTGCATGGCAACAACGTCGGAGCTCTGGACGTAGTCCTCGAACTCAGCGACCTGCTCCTGGAGCTCATCGAGAGAGACCAGCTCGTCCTCTGCAGAAATGAAGCGCTTTTAGGTTCGAATATGATCTTATGAACCGACTGACGTACCGACGACGAGGGTGATCTGGAGCTTCCTGATACCGTAACCGATGGGGACGAGCTTGCTGGCACCCCAGACGAGACCGGGCTTCTCGATCGAACGAACGCACTTCTCGAGCGCTTCCATGTCGGTCTCATCATCCCAAGGCTTCACCTCGAAGGTGACAACGGACTATTGACGCGAAAGTCAACATCATGTTCCCAAACGCGATAGTATATACATGACGACTACGGAGTAACACGACGGGATCGATGGACAGACGACTGACCTTGGCGATGGTCTTGGGCTTGCCGGCCTTCTTCACGTTGTAGGCGGCGATACGCTCAGCCTTGACACGCTCGGCCTCGGCATCGTCCTCCTCGTCGTCGGAGCCGAAGAGGTCGACCTCATCGTCGTCCTCCTCTGCCTTCGCCGCCGCGGCGGGAGCGGCATCCGCGCCCAAGAAGGCCTCACCAGCCTTGCTGGAGCCAGGGAGGGAGTCGAACTCGGCGGTGTACGACTTGATGTGGTTGTACCAGCGCGAAACGTGTGGGTTAGCGGACGCATCGGGGGCAGAGGCGATGGCCTTGAAGACGGCGACATCAGCCTGCGAGGGAGTGTACCTGCGAAGCAACGCGTATCAGCATTGTATTCCTCTCGAACTCGCGCAGATGAAGGTAGGATCAGAGGGCTAGGTTAGATTGGTTGTCGGCATGCTTGAGCAGCGGTGTCTAGTCGCTTCTTGGAAACACGGACCATAGCGTTGTGTTCATCATCAAGACGCGCTTCGGCGTCGCAAAAGAGAAAGATACTCACCCCTCGACGTAGGAGCGGGTCGCGAGGTGGGCCTCGAGCTTGGAGAGGTTGGCAGACATTGCGAGCGACGAGAAGATTTTCGAGGACGAAGGAATCGATGGAGAGGGACGTGCAGACAGACGCCGGACGCGATCTGAATTTTATGGGACCCCGTGACGCGGTTGAGGGCAGGCTGCGCGCGATGTTCGGTCTTTCTTGACATCATCCCTCTTCGACCTCCTTCCACTCGATCATACGCACCTCGCTGAATCCTCGCACTCACCTGCTCTCCAGCTCACCTCTACCTCGTCGTTGTCGTCGCTGCCTGAATAGCCAAAATTCTACTCAATTTGCTGGTATGTTGACCAAGGAGTAGCGAATTACATGCAGCTCATCCTTCGCGCACCAGCCTCACCACTTCACATACAATCCACCATGAACAAGACCCAGTTTTACCTTTCCCAGTGTGCCGAGGCCGCGTCGAAGAGCCACATGTGCTTCACTCTCGGGGCCATCATGGTCAAGGGTGGCAAAGTTATGTCCTCCGGATACAACCACCACCGGCCGCACTACGACGGATCGGACGTGAGGACGCATGGGCACCGGAAGGTATGCCGTAAATGCCCATTTTAGCACCGTGTGCCCCGCTGACAAACACGCAGCCGGTATCGATGCACGCGGAGATGCACGCGATCTTCAGCTTCACTGGCATGTCCCCCTCGTTCAAGACGCAGGTTCAAGGCTTGGAGCGTCGGGTTTCACAGCCTACACAACCAAAACCGCGGTCAAAAGGGTCAAAAGGGGCTGCGGGCCCCGAAGACCACCCTTCTGGGCCCACCACCTTCTCCGACGATCTCGTTGAGCGCCACGACGAGTCCGTCCCCTCCACCAACTTCTACCTGTAAGGGTTCGGTGAAGGGGAAGAGCAAGCAGCGGCCACGTACTTCGAGCCGGCATTCCTCTCCCTCAAGGTTGAGTGGCGGCGGCGGAAGCAGTAGTGGCGAGGAGTACAGCGGGAGCGAGAGCCCCTCGCTACCTCCTGGTGGGCACTCGCGCTCCTCGACGAGCCTATGCGGTGTACCCGTGGGCGCCACGCGGATCAGTCCTCCAAAAGAAACGGACAAGCTCTGGGACTCGAGGCGGCGCGACTCACGTGCGAACGGCGCGGACATCTACGTCGCGCGCTTCACGAAAAACGGCTTCGGGAGCGCGAAGCCGTGCTGGAGATGCCTGGAGTGGTGTAGGTGGGCGGGTGTGAAGCGGATATTTCACTGGAATGCGGAGGAGGGCAAGTTCGACGTGGTGAAGGTCAACAGCGCCGAGAGCGGACAGTATGAGACGCACGCGGATATCCGTCTGTTTGCGGGACTGGTAAGCGCGCCCTTCCTTATCCCGTCCTCGTTATATGCGCTCATTCGCGTCGCAGGGTTGGTGTCCGTGAACAGTGGCTTCTAGACATGTATTGATCGATAGTCTTCGGTCTGAATACCGACGCGGCCGCGTTCGCGTTCACGCCTGTAAGTTTGAGTTTACGCACCTACTAGCTACTCACCCCGCACACTACTCCACGTCCCTGTCCATGGACGACTGGAGTTATCAAGGCGGGGAAAAGCGAAGCATTATGGGGGTATCGATACAGCCGAGCGACCGTCAGGGAGTCTCTCGGTTCACTACGTGCCTTACATCTTCGTTCATTCGCTATCAGCTCCCTTCCACGAATTCATGTGTTTGCGACCCCATTCGCGCATGTCGGACGAAGTCATGATCGCATGATCGTGAAAACAGGTGCCGCGCGCGATGTACACGGAGAACGCATTGAAGGAGTGTACCGCGCCCTCGGCGTACGTTTGTCTCTTCAGCATCGCTTAGGCAACGCGGCGACTCCTAATTGTGACATGCACGGCAAGTATGCTGAGGGTCACGAAAGCCTTCGCGCGCGCACCGCGAAATTAGCATATCTTAGGTACAGTTTACGCACATCGAACAGAAGCGTTGCCGCACAACGAGTTATGATTCGCGCAAGTAAAGAACGATGTACATCGAGCCCGTGCTACACAACTACAACAAATCACCTTCGGCGCAGTTACAGTCGAAACCCTCCTAACCCATACCTATCGGGAAAGGCCCTACGGTATGGGTTTTCGCAGGATATGGGTTACCTGGATAGACGCCCGATGAGCGCTGGCGGCTAGGAGAGCAAGCGCCCATCGGGTACGTATCAGAAATCGTGCATACCCTGCATGCAGAGCAGTTACACGGCGGTATGATCACTCCTCACTCTCATATACATGTAAGATGTTGTTTTTGAGCATGAAACCAGCTAGGTGGCGAGTTCCGAGTTGACCTGATCTCGTATGTCATGGGCGTCTCTTCAGCAAGCGGCCGCTCGGCGCTCGCCGGGCTTCGAGTACCCGTTATTCACCCATGTAATGACTGCAAAACCCTCTTTTACCATTGGGGAAACATATAGAAGCAGACTGAGTGAACTGCAATGGTGGATGTCCCCCCAAAATGGGATTTTGGGTAAGGTATACCTATGGGATTTTTTCCGACGCCTGTATGGGTTATGTGGTATTACAGGTTCATGGGGTATGGGGTCGACTTCCCCCTATCCCAACTCGGGAAAGCCAAAAAGGCATGGGTTATCCCAGGTTATGGGCTACGAGAGGTATGTGTTAAGAGGGTTTCGACTGTAGTTTCCCCACCGTCGCCCAGGCAGCGCGGCGACGGCGGGTACTTATCCCGAGGGCCGCGAAAAGGCCTGCGCCATCCTCGGGAATCTTGAGGCACGCGATCTTGAGGCACACCGTCTTGGGGCGGCGGCACACCATCTTGAAGCGGCGGCACGCCGTCTTGAGGCGGCGGCACACCGTCTTGAGTCACACAAGGGTGGGACCCTGCAGAGGCGGCGAACGCGATCGACGAAGTGACCTGCAGCGCGCTCGTCAGTACTCGCGCGTCGCCGACGAAGACAAAGGGCACGTACGTTTCCGCGACGACGACGACGCGCTCGTTGGTGCACTCTGTACCAAACGCGCGGAGTCAGCGCACCGCCCACACCGCCCAGAACACGAAGGGCGCGGCGCACCTACAAGACCGCGGGATGACACGGTCGAGCGCAGTTGGCTTCCCCGCGTCTTGAAACAGCAGGTACTAGTCCCGGGGGCCACGAAGAGGCCTGCGCTATCCCCGGGGGTCTTGAGGCACACGGGCTTGAGGGACATGCTCTTGAAGCACGCGCTCTTGAGGCACACACTCTTGAGGCACACTGATGGTTTGGTTGGGGGTGGGGCCCTGCAGCGGCGGCGAACGCGATCGACGAAGTGACCTGCAAAGTGCCTGTTAGTGCGGGTCGCCCGCCTTGGAAAACAGAGAAGGACGTACGTTTCCGCGACGACGACGCGCTCGAAGGAGTTGCACACTGCCCCAATCCCTCAGAGTCAGCGCTACATTCACACCGCCCAGAGCGCAAGCGCGAACGACTCACCTGCAAGACCGCGTGATGGCGCGGTCGAGCGCAGTTGGCTTCCCCGCGTCTTGGAGCAGCAGGTACTAGTCCCGGGGGCCACGTAGAGGCCTGCGCTATCCCCGGGGTCTTCAGCCGGTGACTTGCGAAGGCCGTACCCCCTTGCGGGTGCACGCCGCGACGCCCGATTTCCCGGCCCGTTGCTGTATCGTCGCCGGCGGCTTGAGACGCAGGGTGAACGGCCGGGTTAACTCCCGCCGCGCACCTCTGTGACGACCATTTTCCGGCGGTATTCCTTCACCGGCGGCTTGAGACGCAGGATGAACGGTCGGGTTAATTCCCGCCGCGCACCGCTGCGACGACCATTTTCCGGCCCCTTGATGCGCGATTAATAATAATAATAAGGTGGTGGTGTCGGCATAAGCATGGTGGGCTGGTGAACGGCGCGTCGGGCATACTGGGATTTTTGGTAGAAGGAGACGTTAGCATAGCGGGTGGTGGCGGAGGCGTACCGGGGCCGGGGCTTGCGGCCCCGACCATAATGATAAGAATAAGTTAGATGGTTGGGCATAAAACGAGTGCGGGTGTGTTGGTGGTGGTGGTGGCGTCTATGGTGGTGCTGTGGCAGCGGCGAGGCATAGTGCGGCGGAGAGCGTGTGGGCTGACAGCGAGGGATGCGTCAGTGCGGGACGCGAGCGCGGCAGAGAAGGACAAAGACGTACCGAGGTCGAGGTAGGCCCGGGTCGGTGGCGGCCCCCGATGGCCCCCCTAGGAGGCCCGCGCCAAACATCGTCGGAGGATTTGGGCGGTCCTGGCGCATAGCGACTGGGTACCGATAGTCAGCGCGGCGTCGAAGCAGATCCTAGAGCGATAGACCTACAGTCTACGCCAGAAACACCGCTGCCCACCGTCGAGAGGCGGGCGGTCTTCGTCCGACGTCACGTAGAACGCGACCTGCGCAGACGAAAGGTGAGTAAGACGCGAGCAGACACATGAGAGATGGTGTGCACGTACGAAGATCTGTGTGGAAGACGACAGCGATGGTCGTCAGCGGTGGCGTCGCGCAGAGAAAAGGAGAGACGCGTACTGGTCAATCCCGCACGAGGGCTGCGGCGCCGCGAGTGCAGCGCACGCATCTAAAAGGCCTCGGGGGATGTGAACCGGTGGAAGGTCTGGGGAAAGAGAGGGCGACCCCGCGCAGGTTTATATACGTTCTCGGGCCCCCCGTATCCGAGGTCCCCGGCTCCCATTGGCACCAGGACGGAGGCACGAGTGGCAGCGCCCATCCGCCGCGTGAAGAGGTAGGAACAAGGGCGCGTCCCGCTATAGCAGGTGCCGTAACGTCGTAACGCGTGTCATCGTTCTTTTGTGCTGACTTCGAAATGGGCGCATCGATCGCGCGGCGTTGCGTACCCCAAACGAGCGTTCTGGGGCGCGAGAGCTGGTTTGCGACAAAAGCCGGACGGGGCCTTCCCGATGGTGGAGAAGATAATCAAGAATCCGAGTATCGTGGTCCTAGGGCGCCGCGCTCGGGGGCAATACCCAGGTCGTGAGGCCGAAGTTACCCAGTGAGGCAGCTGACCGTGTGTTTTTTCAACAAGGGTTCCGCGCCGCGGATTCCGGTAGCCCGTCGAGCTCGGAGGACCGCGCTCCTCAGCCTCTTCATGCCCAAGCACGGTCAAGCCACGTCGCCATTGCTATTCAAGACAATATGTGTATAAGGGGGAGCATCTGGGGGTGAACGGCGAGGGAGAGGAAATGGTGTTGACGGGAGCGGACGAGTCCGTGAAGAGGTGGGATTGATGGAAGGTGGGTCCCCATCAGCTTCTATAATTTGGCTCTGTTTGGCGATTTGTAGGTGCCCTCCGGGCCTGTCCCGCGTGAAGGCGTCTCGTGTCTTGTGCTCGCACTTATCTCAGGGTTCTCTTGCCGAGCTGCCCCTTTGGTCAATTCCTCTTTCAATTATTTATCTATCCTGCTGGCCATGGGGTGGGACCCGTGTCCGAAGATCGTCGCGAGTCCGCATTCGCCATGGGGCGGAGGCTGCGCAGCGTGTCCAGGCGTGTAAGTCCCTTTGTGCAACGTGGTCGGGCTGTGTTTCTAGACCGCGTCTTATCGTTCTCGCAGATATCCATGAGAAACCCTGGACGGGTGGCCGCAACGGAAAGACGGCGCGACGAAATTCCGGGTCAAACCCACCTCCAGGAAATGCCCCAGTTGCCCCCGCCCCCACTCCCTCATGGGCCACCTCCGCACAACTCGAAATACGGCTGCAGGATTTTTGGCTTCATGAGGCGCATATGGGTGTCATTTTTCAGGCGTAGCGAACGGGATACGTTTTCTGCAACTCTTCAACTTCAAGTTGCCGTCCGACGCTGGTTTCAACGCCGCCGTATCACGGTGACCTGTGGCGACGATACGGCGCACGCTTACCAGCTCTGCGCCTCATACGACCCACCATTTTCTTTCTCTCCCGAACGCCATTACGCCCTTCGTCGCGGCGGAGCCTCCCGCCACAAACCTCCCGCCCGACGCGGCCCGGGGTCACGTGCGTGCAATGTTCTCGCGTTTTCGAGCGCCTGCTGGACGCGCACTGCTTCCGGATTGGGCCTCTTACTCAGAACGGCGAAGGACCAGCGCATTCGACGACTCGCTCGATGGCCCGCGCGTCCTCGGGAGTCCCTGACTCAGGCGGGGGCGACGCGCGTCGGGTCTACGCGTCGCCCTGCGCGCTGACCAAGCCCAACTGCGCCCCGTATATAAGCCTGTGTCGGTTTCCCGACAAGGTTATCCTCCTCCATTTACAACACACAGCTCCTCCAACAACCCGCCACTTACTCCATCATGTTTGCCTTCACCCCCACTCCTGTCCACACCTCACCCTTCGCTCGTCGTGCACCTGCGCCCGCTCTCTTCTCAGACCTTGACTTGATCGACGTTGTGGCCGAGCGAGCGGCGCAGGATTATGCAGCTGCAGCCGCCCGTGTCCAGGCCATTGAACGCCAGCGCGAACAGGCCCAGCACCAACGCTACCTCCAGGAGGCGTCTCGTCGCCAGGCAGCTCTGGACAAGTACTACCGCGACCAGTCACGGCTTATCGCCACCTCTGTTCAAGCATACGCTGCACCGCGCCCCACATCCACATTCACCATCGAAGAACTCGCGCTCGGCGTTCGACGGGAGGAGGAGCGCCGTAGGGTGCTCCTTGCTCGCCAGCGCGAGGCCCAACAAGCTCGCGCCCGTGCGGAAGCTCGTCAGCGTCAAGAGGCGGAACAGAGCCTGCGCCAAGCCCAGCAGGCGAAGGCGCAGGAGGCCGTCCTCGCTATCCTTGGCCTGACCAATGCTGTCTCTCAAGCCGCGGTCCCCGCCCAGCAGGTGTGTACTCCGCTCGGACATGAGGATGGCTCCCAGTTCCTAACGTCGTATCTGCAGTCTCGCGTCCCCGCCTACTACAGGCAACGCGTACCCCTCCCATTGCGCGCGCCTCAGCCCCCAGCGCCCGCGGAGGCTCACCAGAATGACCTCGGTGTTGCCGAGGACGACCTCTACGCTGCGCTCCAAGGATACCTCTCTCAGCTCGCTGCACCTTCTGAGCCGTCCAAGCCGGTGGACGTCAAGGGCAAGGGCAAGGCCGTCGACGCCCCTACTCCTATTGCTGCGCCCTCCCCCGCTCCCCAGCAGCCCCAGCACGTCCCCTCGTTCAAGGAGGAGCTCGAGGCACGCATGCGCACTGAGACCGACCCCGAGGTTCAGGAAGCACTTGTCAAACTTTACTCTGATATCTTCGACGTCTTCCACACGCGCGAGGCACAGCCCATCGCGGGCCCTTCCACCTCCGCGCGCCCCTCATCGTCGGCCCCGGAACCCCGGACTAAGCCTATTGAGCCCGCGCCCGAGCCCGCTAAGCCCACAAACACTGAGGGCGCGGGCCTGCACCGCACCCACGCGCTCCCGCCCGCAGTCGCCGAGAAGCTCCTCGCGTTCTACCACGCCCGCCGCGCACGCAAGCTCTCGCTCACGCAGATCGCCGCCGTCGAGGACGCACTGCGCAACCTTCAGTCCACCTTCGAGTTCCCCGCACAGCTCGACTTCGTCAACCCCCTTCCCTCCGAGGAGCCGGGCGCGCTCGCGTACACCCCCAACAACACGCCCGTGCACTCGTATGAGCACGCGCTGAACGGGCTGCTCACGCAACTGGACGCGGTGGAGAGCAACGGGGACCTGGCGGTGCGTGGGCGCCGCAAGGAGGTCGTGCGCGAGGTCGAGCGTGCGCTGGAGGCAGTTGAACGGAGGGTTGAGGAGAGCCGGGAGCGTGAGCGCGAGAGGAGCCGGGAGAGGAGGAGGAGCGCGGCTTCTTCCCCTGCGCCCTCTGTGGCTGCGTCCGACGCGGAGACTGTTCGGCCCAACGCGGTCAAGCCCGAAGCAACCGTCGAGATAACCCCTGCACCCGCGGCGGTCGACGAAGCTCCGGTTGCCGATGCCGTCTCTGTCACTGTTGCCGACATACCGTCATCCGACGACGTCGCGACCTCCGCTCCAGTTGATGTTTCTTCTGCTTCCCCTGCCCCTGCCCTCGATGCCTCGGTTGTCGCTGAGGCCGGCGTTGTTGCTGAGGCTTCTTCGGACATCCCTTCATCTGCATCGGACTCTGAGCCCTCCCCGGTCTCTGTCGATGTTCTGGACGCACCAGAAGCAGACACCGTTGAACTAGTCGACGTGACCCCCTCTGCAGCCTCCGAATCCAGCTCAGAAATCCCCACCGCGGACTCCGGTGTCGACGTCCCTGTCGTCGAACCCTCGGTTCCCGCGACCACCCCTACCCCTCCATCCATCGACCCCCTTATCGTCGACGCTACTGGATCCGCGGACAGCGCGACAATCGACAATACTCCTGAGTCCCCCTCTCCCGTTGCGCCCTCGGAATCCTCCGCCGCGACCTTCACCACCGCTCCTTCCACATTCCCCCCTACTGCCGTCCCCACGCCCGAGGCTATCACTCGCGCCACGTCCTCCACCACCGACGCCACCTTCATCACTGCTGACTCCGACTCTGCTTCCCCCTCTCCCTCCGACGCTGTCCCCGAGCCCATGACGCGCACGCCCTCCGTCGCCGGGGACACGTTCTTGCTCTCCTCAACGCCCCTCGCTGACGCGCCTAAGCGGAAGCAGCATCAGGCGAGGGTGGATGACGACGAGCCGGAGATGATCAGCAAGGAGGACGCGGAGGCGAAGAGCGATAGCGAGTGGTCGGACGTGGACGCCGCTTAGACAGGCTCATACCACTCTCTCCAGTTTCTACTCTTATAGACATTGTATCCGGATTTCGATTTGGTCTCTCTGTATATCACTGTAACATTATAATGTGCCACAATAAAGTTATTCCTCACTCCATTAACTCTTGCGTGCGATCGTGAATTTGCTTTGGGATTCGGTAAGATTGGCGTCGCGGCGCTTGCGCTCCTCGATCCTTCGGTGGCTGTACGGTGCTCTTTGCTCCAAACGTTCAAGCACGATGAGCACCGCGATTGACCTCGACGAGTACCTAGTACCTGGGACCTCCAACACTTACTATATCCCGGAGTTCGTGACAGAAGAGGAGGAAGAGTTCCTCATCAGGAAGGTGCATTTAGGGATGCGACGGCGCCTCAGATGCCTCATGAATCTCACAGTTCTTTCGCACTTCCTCCTAGATCCATGAAGCACCACAACCCTGGTGGAAGCGGCTTGCGAATCGCAGGTAGGAACATACGATGGCGATCGAGGACCTTCTTAAAGCTAACATAGATGGTTTTATAGGCTACAAATTTGGGGCGAGTTCTCCGATGAAGTTCAATATTGGCTCACCTGCTGAATGGCATTGGACCCCCAGGCGGGGACTTGACAGCGAAAAAAGCCCTTATTCCCCAAGACATGCCCCCATTCGTGAACCAATAGTATGTTTCTACGACCATCTACAGTTGTTAGGAGTGATCAATCTCCTTGGTCAGTCCCGACATTGTCGGTCGCATACGAGAAACGGGTGCCTTCAAGGGGTCCGCTCACCACCAGCCGAATCATATTATCATGAATGAGGTAGGAATCTATCTCATGTGTCACTGCGTCGTCTTCTCATGCGCTTTTGAATAGTATGCGCCTGGTCAGGGTATCATGGTGGGTCTACCTACATGCGCTGCTGAGTTCACAAATACTGAACCTGCCACCCACAGCCCCACGAGGACGGCCCAGCGTACCACCCGGTCGTCGCAACCCTCTCCCTGGGATCACATACCGTCTTCCACTACTACAAGTATAGATCCGACGACTCCGAGTCCGGTGCCCAAACTCAAAGCGGGCAGTCCGCCGGGACAACGACCGCTGCAGGGCCCCTGATGGTCTCCGGTGCTGGCAAGCCCATCGACCCTACCCCGGTGCTCTCGCTCCTCTTGGAGCCGCGCAGCCTTGTCATCACTACCTCGTCACTGTACACGGCGCACCTGCACGGGATCGACGAGCTGCTTGAGGACAAGTTCGTCGAGGACGGACGGCCACCGCAGGAGCGCATCGCGAACTTCGACATGCTGAGGGAAGGGGCCGAGAAGGCGGCGGTCGCGAGTGGGGGGATACTCGAGAGGGGGATGAGGTTTAGCTTGACGTGTCGGGACGTGGAGAAGGTCCATGCCGGTGGCGGGGCGTTGTTCAAAAAGCTTAGGGGTTAGGTGTGATCGATAAGTAGTAGTTGCTGTATGTTAGGAAGCATCTATGAGCTACGTAGTAGCATGTACTTTGATGACTGATTTGTACCTCGGCGCGTGGTGTATATTTCCCCCGCCTTATTGATGACTACTGGTCAATTGGGCGCAATGTACTCACCGCAGAGATTCCTCAGAGGACCTTCATATCTGAAGCCGCATATAGTCACCCATTGTTCGGCAGGAAGAACCAACTCTTCGGCCTAAGCGTTACGACAGGAGAGATACTTGTACACTCTTTTCTCTTACCTCTCTCACCCAACTACATCACCCCCAGACCCGCCTTCAGCTCTGCCTCCAAGTCCGCTGTGTCCTCCACAGGCTCGACACCGTCGCCCTCGCCAGTGACCTTCCGTTCGCTTTCCTCTTTTGTGCAGCGCTCGCACATGCACTTGCCGAAGCCCCACTCCATGAGCTGCCTCCGGCGCTGCTCGAGTGGCAGTTCCGGATTCACGTATGTGATGAGAAGCTCTTCCCCTGGCGCGATGTCGCGCCGCGCGAGCAAGGTGATGCGCGAGAGCGCTGTGCGCTGGTCTAGGTGCCGTACGGAAACGTTCGGCGCGCATGAGTGATTTATATGCGAGTGCAACACGTAGAGTCCGCCGTGCGCCTCGAGGTCTAGCGGGACGTGCAAGGTCAGTGGCTATATGCGTCGAATTGGAAGGGAGTGGTTACTCACTAAGGCTCATTCGCCCAAGACCGCGTAGGAACGCGTCATAACTGAAGAGCGCGTCCGCGACATCCTGTCGAAGCGGCTTTTTGAGCAGCTTAGCCAGCCGCTTTTTCTCAGCTTCTGTTGACGGCTCTTGGAATGCCTGCACGAAGAGCTTATGTGCCTTCTTCCACATCGCTTTGTCCGGCTCTCCGTTCAGCCTGAATATGGTTAGCGCGACGCGGGTAGATCATGATGAGCGGGCGCACCATCCGCCCTTCGCACGCTCCTCCATTCCCAGCTGCGCCAACGAGCGCACCACCTCCCAGTCCTCTTCGAACGCCTTCTCGTCCTGGTTGTAGGTGAGAAGTACGCGCGCCGTGCACTGCGAAAGCGCGTGCAGCGCCATCCACTGGTTGCGCCGCGCGAAGTGCAGCAGCGGCGCCGACGCGGGGTTCCGTGAGGCGCATAGTAATGGGTGTGATTTGTCCGAGCGCGAGAGACACAATCGACTGCAGAAGCGCACCGGACACGGTGTAGAGGATGTCGAGGCCGCGCACGGTACGATCAAGGGGGACGTCGTGAGAGGAGTTGAGCAGTACCCGCACGCATGCGAGGACATCTGCATGTCATACAAATTCCTTGAGGGACCATCAGGCATCCGCCACCGCAGCCACAGTGTGCGCACTCACCACTCTGGCGCGAGCGCAAACGGGTCCTCCTTCCAGATCGTCTCGCCCTCCGCGAGGGGTCCGGTCGCGACGAGGCCCTTGCCCTTGAGCTTGCTGAAGTACTTCACCTCCGCCTTCTTCGTCCACTTCGAGATGTCCAGACCCTCGATCATCTTCGAGGTTGGGTAGAGTCCCTGCGCGCCCTGGGTCCCGTTCACCAAGTTTTCGCTCTGGAGGACTTTGCGAGTGCGCTTCTCGCTCACTGTCCATTCGGGATGCGAGGATAGCAACAGAGCGTGGATTTTGGCGATCCCCAGCGCTGGGTTCGCGGTCTTCAGCGCTACGAGCGCGTTTTTGAGCTCATCCTCGGCAGGAGACACAGGTGATGACATCCTTGAAACGCTTCAGAGCGCACAGAGACAAAGCGAAGACAAAGAGCAAAGCCAAGGAAAGCGAGCAGGGAGGAGGATCTGCGAGAGGCGCTCAACACCATCGACTCGATCATCCGCCGATCAATTCCAAAACGGGTTGGCGGGCTGCCCGAAATGGACAGGTTCGGGATTCCTCACAGGCTTATCCGATACTTGACTTACCAGCGTATATTTGCCGCACACAAGAGAGCTTCTGGACAGTACTTACGGTCTTGTTATTGCGGGAGAGCAGAGTTGTCGTAGTCACTCATCAACCCGAAGCTTCAGCGAAATGCATTTCAAGCGCCCCGACACATTTGGCGAAGGGCCATACATTGTCCCCTTCGGGGTGACATACGAAAAAATTGGAACGATACAGAGAAGATTAGCATGGCCCCTGCACAAGGATGACACGCTTTCCCGGAGTGGTAGACCTACGGGTCTCAATATTTATTTTTTCTGCTTCAGCTCCGTATACCAGTTGGGTAAAAGAGACCCCAGCGCTCAGCGAACGTTATTGAGCTCCGGATTGCGCAAGGTATTACAGAACTTTCAAAATCCAGGCTGATGCTAGTGACTTTAGAGCTCATGATTATGGCGTTTGGCAATTAACTCATGCGTTGTTCAAGAGATAGCCGAGGTTCGCATTCGCGCGCCGTACGTATACACAATACATCGACGTGTAGCCGTAACGCGCAGAAAGACCAACCTACATGAACCCCCAAAGAGCACGACGGCACTTAAAATGGGAATGGTACATTTGGATGGGCAGACTGAAGTGCTGAAACCACTAAACGAGATGGCCGCAGCGCGAGCCGCAGAGCATCCCTCGATCTGTTCAGAGTGGGGGCGGGGCAGCTGACTAGAGGTCAGCTATCAACACGAACTAGCAGAAGGGTGATACTTACAGCCTGCAGGCTTGATCATGAAAACGGCGCTGCTGGCGAACACTACATTGTTGTTGACAGGGTCGACGAACTCAACAGTGTAGCCGTTTACGGCGGGGAATGTCACGTTCGCGCTGCGATATGTCAGAGTCAAGATCGGACGGTTTGAGCGCGAGGAACGCATACTCACACAGTGAAAGACTGCATATGAAAACGATCAGTCAGACGTCTTACAAGGGCACAAGCATGCAAACTGTACCTCGGCTGAAGTATCCACGCTTGACGTGAGGGCCAGACCTACCCCATTCAAAATCTGGGGGTCGGTATTCTCGAGGATGATGGTAAGCGGACTTGGGTCGCCTTCATTGAACGTCCATGTGATCGTGTTGCTGGTGTCCTGTACCCTATATAGCGAGGGCAGTAGCTTGAGTAACGTATTCTCAGGTCGATCGACGAGCGCGGGGCTGACCAAAACACCGACTGGGAAGGAGCAGTGATCTCCAGGGCACCTGCGGGCGTTGCGATTAGTGGTTTTACGCACTAGTTCAAGACGCAGCATAGCACGTACTGGTCACAGCAATGGAGAGCGCAATGACGGCGAACGAGATGCGCATCTTCAACACTCGGAGGGCTTGTGGCAGTGAGACGAAGGGTGGGGATATTGTGGGTAGAGAAACTTGAGGGCACGACGATGCTCGCGGCTTTTGAAGTTTGTCTCAAGGCTTCTATGCCCACGACGGGGTCTATTTTGGATGGAGGGATGCGTAAGAGGTTCGCTAGTTCGTTCGTATTCAGGACATCTCATGGACAGCCCTGGCAGCGGGCGGGCATTCGGTAGGTGGGCCCATACATCAGGTGCCCAGCAGCGGCCTCTCTCAGGCAGCTCCGCGAGAGACCGGCGCACACGCGGAGCTGACTGAAGGACTTCCCCTCGGCCTTCTTCGCCCGCCCCGGGATGTTCATGGCCTCAGTCGTCTTCGAGGTTATGTAAAGCCCAGGCGCGCTCCAGTCGGTCCCATTCACCAGGTTTTCGCTTCGAAGGACCTTTCGTGGCGCTTCTCGCTCGCTGTTCACTTTCTCGGGGTGCGAAGGGAGCAGCAAAATGTGGATTTTGGCGATGCCTAACGCTGGGTTCACGGTCTTCAGCGCGACGAGCGCGTGTTGTAGCTCATTTTCCGCAGGAGAAGATGACGACACTCCTGTGATGTTTTAGAGCCTGCAGTGAAGATATGAGAGGACAGAAAAGGCTGAGAAAAACGAGGAAGCTAAGTCTACTTACAGAAGGAGGAGCGTCTAGGCCTGAGGATGTAGAGTGAACTATACTTGCAGACTCGGAGGCGATCAACAACACCCGCCGTCGATCGTCGATCAATTCCAAAACGGGCGACTGGTCGACCCAAGGTTGATATGTTCGGGGTTGAGCAAATTCCTCATAGGCATATGCGCGACTTGATTAGCTACGATACGCGGCGAGCTTGAGATGGACGTCGTAGGGCAAGTACGGCAACAGACCCGAGGATCGGTCATGTATTTACCCGAAGCTTCAGCAAAATGCGCTTCAAGCGCCGAGACCCATTCGACTAAGAACACAAACATGTCCCCTTCGGGGTGACATACGAAAAAAATTGGAACGATACAGAGAAGATTAGCATGGCCCCTGCACAAGGATGACACGCTTTCCCGGAGTGGTAGACCTACGGGTCTCAATATTTATTTTTCCCGCTCCAACACCGGCTTCATTGGAACTCATGGCCCCAGTGCGCTTATAGCATGGTTATGCGCACTGTTCCCTGCGTATACATGTATTGTCATAGTGGGTGTTGGATCTAGAGACGCGAGCTTGGAACGTTCCAACGTCCTACCGCGGAGTCCAGTGGATCTCGTGGTAACACTGCAATCTTCGCCCTGGGGTATACAAACACAGCAATCACATCACCATAGGCATCAAGAAATGAGGTTCATTCTATTCGTCAAAACATGGTCAAGAAAGTGATACAAGACGTGAGAGTCGTGATAAGTACAACACAGATACACGAACGGCGACGGAGGCCAGCTCTAGTAGTGTACAACGCTGCCAGGGCCCAGGCGCATCGGCCGTCCTCCGAGATCGCAGCAGAGTCGCTCAATCCTTCTTCTCCTCGACGTCGACGACCTCGGTCGGCGCCGGCGGATGGACGGTCTTCTCCTCGAGTCGGGCAGCCTCGGCCTCCTCCTTCATACGGCGGAAGTTCTCCTCCTCGTCCCACACGAAGGGGCTCTTGCTCATGAACAGGTAGTCCATCTCCTCGAGCGTGCGGTTCGCAGTCTCCGGGTAGAAGGCCCACACGAGCGGGATACTGAGGAAGTTGATCGCGCCGAAGACGTGCAACGTGTTCTCTCCGATGCGGTTGAACATGACCGGGTTCAGGAGCGTGAGCCAGCCGTTACCTGCGGAGATGCGGAAGTCAGCGAAAGGAAGCGGCATCATAGCAGACGTAGTACACACCGATGGACCAACCAACAACGCCGAACGCGTTGCCCTTGGCGCGCACCTCGAGCGGGAACGTCTCGGTAGGGTAGACCCAGGGGATGGTGAGCCACGTCGCGCCGAAAATGGCCGTGTACATGAACACGAAGAGCGCAGCAGCACCGCCGTACTCAGACGCCTTCTCGGGGTGATCCTTGAGCAGCCGAGCGAACGCCCCAGCGAGGATGAGCGAAATGCCCTGACCGATGGCGCCCCACCAGAGGCCGATGCGACGACCCAGTCTGTCGATGGTGACGACGGCGAGCAGAGTGCTCAGCATGTACGTAATCTGTCATGAATAGCGGAGGCAATGTGGTGAGAAGACCTATTGGGCATGCGTGAAGTTGGAACGTACATCGTTGAGGCCCGATAGCCACTGGGACTTGCGCGCGGCGTAACCTGCCTCCGCGAAGATAGTGGGGGCATAGACCGTGATGGCCGCAATGCCGACCCACCTGGAATAGCGGTCAGAATTCACTGTACGTGAGGCGTTTGGCAGGGTACGTACTCTTGGACGATTTGGAGCCAGACGGACAGCTGCACGCGCCGGGCAATGTGGAGGCCGCCGTCGTTGCGCCCAAAGAACATTCCAATGTACGAGTTGCGGCTGGCGTGCTCCTTCTCCAACGCGACGGTGGCCACAATCTCATCATACTCGCGCACGGCGCGCGGAGCTTCCATATTGCCGTCGTCAGAGCGCAGGCGTCCGAGGATCTCGCGCGCTTCCGCGTTACGTCCCATCTTAATGAGCCATCGAGGGGACTCTGCGCATGCCGGTTAGTCAAGGACAAAGTTTGAGGGTAGGTTTCGCCGCACCCGGCATCAAGGGAACGCAGGCCTGTATGAAGTGGCACCGTGAGTAGAGTGATACGTCATGCGTACGGTATTACGCACCATAAACGCGAGCACCGGTACAATTTGGAAGGCGATCGGGAACTAGAAACACGCCACAGAGGTTACTTCGCGCTCACCACAGACGCACGGCCGCAGTTACGTACCCTCCAGCGCACTTGCGACGTGCCGTCTCCAATGAAGCCGAGCGCGAACTCAAGCCAATAGGCCACGACGACGCCAAAGATGTTGAGGGTGAATTCGCTCGCGATGAACGCCCCACGAGAAGTGTGGGTAGCGACTTCGGCGCTCCATACGGGCACAATAGCGTTTAGGTAGCCCGTTCCGATGCCGTTGATGACACGAGCACAGCACATCCTGCGCGGCGGCATTAGCTCCGAGAGTGACTATGACGTATTGCGACATACCATGCAATGTTCTGAGCCGAGCACTGGAGGGCCGCACCGACCAACACCCAGATACTGCCTATAATCATCGTCTTGATACGTCCGAGTCTGGGTGGAGCCATGTCAGGGCTGTGTACGCATGCAGGACGGACAGGGCAAACGCAACATACCGGTCTCCGAGAACACCGCCCATAAGGCATCCGAGGAGTGTCCCGAAGTAGTAGATGCTGACAATCCCTCCTTGCCGCGTAGGCTCAGTGATAGTTGCGACAAAGCCCTCTGAGGGCCCTTCATAACTGTAAAGAGTGTGCGCTCAGCTGCCCGGTAGACAGAAGGTGCGGAGACGAAGGCATGCTTACGTCGAAAACCCGAGCTTCATAACCCGAACGTAGTCGGGGGAGGTGTTGACACCTGCATACAAGGAGCATGAAGTCACTGGAGCTCGTAGAAAGACGTGAAGACGTGCCTCCCATCATGCCTTGGTCATAGCCGAAACTGTTATGGTGGGTGTAAGCACACGGCAAGCATGACAAGGACTGATGCAACTCACAAGAAGATTGCCAGCCCGGCGACGGCGTTGATAGTATAGTACAGTTTCCTGCCTGAGAGTTTGGGCATGATGGGCTGCGCTGTTCTTGCCTGGAGATGCTCTGGGCTAGGAGGAGTACCCGATGAGAGCACGAGCGACTCAACCACGGTCGGTGCAGCTTTTATACTGCATCGTCGCGCGCTTGAGTAATCGAGCTCGCCGGTGATTGCCAAAGAGCGAAGTGGGTGGGGAGGATCTCAGAAGGCAGATTTCTCTGCCGAGCTCGTCGCTACCGCGCATGGGCACCCGTTAGGCATCGGGAAGGTCGGCTGACCTGCGTTCTTCCCCTTGCCGTGCCGTCATCGCATACGATTTCCACTTCCGGACCGCAGCTCCGGTTTACACGGCTGGGGGCGGGGCCCCGAATCAGAAGCGGCGTTACGCGGAAAAGCGGGGGACTCACAAGTTATTCGCGATTGTAGAGCCTCGCGCGCGTTCCAAGATGCGGCAGAAGACGTGGCCGCCTACTCGTCTTGCGTTCTGTACCTTTTGGTCCAGTCTCAAAAATCATGGGCGTCTTGATCAGTCTTGAAAGGCACACTCAGTCTTGAGATAAACATCAACACTTCGACATACTGCGTGTCTCACTGTCTGACGTTGCAGTGCTCGTCGCGTGATAGCACTTAAAGCGCGGAACATAGTTCCGGAGTGAGGTCGGTAGCGCGGTCAGTCAGTTTGGTCGCGGTGCCGTGTCGCGCCGCCTCGATCATAGTCAACCCAATGACCTAGGATATCAAGAGCGGCGGCGACGTACAACATTGATTTCTTCATAGAAATCCGGAGACGGTCATGAGTCCCATCGTATCAGCCCGGCCGTGCTGACAACCGGTACGGCGAGCGATTTGTTCGTAGTGGCGTCGGGAACGCGTACAACGTCGCTGAAGGCTTCGGAGAATATTGCCGTATGTCCGCATTCCCTCCAAAGTCCCGTCATGCCGGGTGCGGCGGAGAGAGTCGGACAAATTTCCTTGACATACGATGGTGATTAGCACTCTCACTATGGTTCGTGTCAACTTCGTGAAGTTTTCAAACTACTTCGCTCTGCTTCGCACACTGAGCTTACTCACCACGCTGTTGTCTGTGCACGTAATGTGGAGATGCCCCTCGGAGGATGTTGCGTCTAGAGGCCTTGCGAAGCACAGTGGGTCAAGTCGCTGCATGGGCGTTTATTTGTGTGGGCCCTGATCGGCGGGCGCCAAATTTGGCGGCATGGGCGGCACGAGGGTAGCTTGCCGGCCGGCGCTCTTCATCTCAACCCTCATGTTCGCAGTCTCGACCGACTTCACAGTAACTCTCGATGTCGACATAGGACAACGACTAGGCTCTATGGGTCCCCATATGCGGAGGGAATGGACGCCACCAGTCGAATACAGCATACACTTGGCGAATAGGGATCGTAATCGTCCCTCACACCATCGCCGTCGCGATTCGTTTGTCGGCCTGTGGTCGTGCCGAACACGACATGAATCGTCGAACAACCTTCTTCATGATGAGCGGGAAGGAAGGGGGGTCGCATACGTGTAAGGTCTCGAGCGTTTGTCCGAGTGGTACCTGGAACTGATAGTGTTCAATCATGTACACGGGCACGACACGGTAGGATCCCTGGCTTAGGTGGCTGGGGGTTATCTCGGGGATGAAGCATACGATGCAGGTTTTGAAACTGTCAGTGATCAGCCCGGGTTCGCCCCGCAAATTCTAACTCCCGGCATGCACGAATCTAACTTCCCGCATACTCGGCGCCACAGCACGTGCGCGGCCGCAGGTACCAATGCTGGCGCTAGCGGCGCGCTCCCCTCCCTCGCGCTCCCCCGTTCCACGGCTTTGTGGTGTTACTTGCCCACAGTAGGTAGAGCAAATAGAATATATTATGCCTAAAACATACAGTATCTAACGGTATACGAAGCAGCTATAGCCTGACATCACCGAGGCATGTACAACATACATACCGGCCGCGGACTGGCGCCGTGCACGAGCTGATCTCCATGGTGTGCGCAGCATGGGGTGGATATGGTCAGATAAGTCTGTTGAGGGATGCCAGCATGGTGGAGATGAACGTACGGGATAAGCTATCTTCTCAATGACCTGTACGCCTTCTCACGGCTCATCTCCTGTTGACCGCTGTGACTGTACCAGACTGAGCGGAGCAACCTGTGGTAGTGTAAGACATACTTATGAGAATCGCACACTAAGGTTTATGATAAAACTTACTGGGTGTGTGCACGACGAGACTTGATGGGACCGGTACAAACCGGCGGCATCTGTGACATTATCATCAGTTGACAAAGGAGGGTAGCCAAGATCAGTTGTGTACCTTGGTTGGCTCCGCATTACCATACAAGACAGCCGGGAATGAACGGATAGCTTCTGTTCACGAGAGAATACGGCATAAGAAAAAAAAGCGATTGAGAGACTCGAGGATACGCGCACCAAAGAAGGATCCGACTGCATCGCTCACATCAGTCTTTCGTAGGCGCCTCCGTAAAATGAGAGGATACGAAAATGCGACTTACCTGAAAATATCGAGGACATCGGGAGGGGTTAGGACACGCGACGGGCCTGCCTCGCTCCGACGTGGTGGTTGAGAACGAGAAGTCATCGAGCTCATAAGCGCCGTAGCGCTCGGGCCTTAACCATAGACGCCGAAGCGCGGCCCCCCCTGGGGTGAGCCCCAGCGCAGTTGATGCATGGCTTAACCTCCCGCCACAGAATTATCTTAGAATTACCTCGGTCGCCCCTGCTCAAGAACGTGTTGACCCGGGCACAGATTTGCGGGTGAGCCCCATCGTCAATCCAGAAATCTGTACTGGCAGTCATCCGGGTGTCTGGCCGTGTAGAGTAACGATCGTCAGTATCAACCCACAGCTTCAGATCTTTTGTCGGCACTTGCCTGCCATCATACCATCACTGACTATGGCTTCCTATCTACCCCCAGACACACAGATATATGCGTCTCTCGTCGGTGCTCGCCAATACCGTGACTATATGCGGTCTTGTCGGCACTAATCCACCGCTGCAACATCAGAGTATCGCTCACGCGGCGCTCGGTACTAGAGCCTGGCATTGTAAAGTTGCTTGGGTCCGACGCGAACCCAAAGGCCGCCCGCACCAGGAACCACGCTTCCACAAGGTTCACATGTGCTCGTCGTTCCCATTCTCGCACCAACGACTTCCCCCTTGCGCCACAGAACCCAAGAGGTCACGATCTCGTCCATCTGACGTCTTAAGAACACCCCTCTATCTCTTGCCGCGCTTCTCTCCCTCCTCACTTTTCTCTGGCGTCCACTAGCCAGCCGCGAAGATGAGTATGGACTATTCTCTCTCCACCAGCATTCACATCATCTCCGGCGTTTCTGCGCACTGCACAGGCGATCGCTCGAACAGTGTAGGCTACTCTTGCCTGGTACAAGCTGTGGAATACTGTCGATGCATCCTATGGGCCGCCGCGTTATTCTCACCCTGGAGCACCCTCTGGAGGGGCCAATGCGACTAGTTCAATCGTGCGCGTTCGCGTCTGTGCCTTCTCAAATTCCTCACTTCACCCGCGGGAAGAGTGCTCCTTTACGTCGTCGCCCCAACACAGGCGACAGATCTGTAGCTTTTGGTGTGGCGAACGCGTCAGCCCGCGCTGCTTCGCGTCCCACCCGGGTGCGCTAACGCTTCCCAAGGGCGCGGTTCCATTCAGTTCTTGCCGCTCGAGAAGCCAGCCCGTGCTCAGGCGGTGCCTTAGGAGCTCCTCAAGGCCGTAGCGTGTCGCGTTATATGAAACTCTCAATCGTGCGCTGGGACGGTCGACGGACACCTCGACGACTGGGAGGCCCTCCGGGCGCGGCGGCCTCTTCTCGATGGCGCGTATGGTCTGTTCTTACCATCTCTGGGGGCCTCCGGTCTACTCGCCGTTGTCTGGTGATGCACACCTCGCGGGCGTGCATCGCGTTCTCCCCAGCGACACCCACAGTTCGAAGGGGGCTGTTTGCCACACGCCCTGGACTATCCGACCTCGTCCTAGTCGTGGCGCTTCAGTCTTGCCTCGTTCCTTGCTCGTGCGTCCTCCGATGCGCTCGATGCTGATCTTGCTCCCCGGATCTCGACAAGCTCCCCACGCAGACCAGATCCAACGATCCCGACTCCCACACGTGATAACCTCGCGTAGATCCACGTGCATTGCATAATGCAGCGCAGGCTCGCAGCTGCCCTCCTCGAGATCGCTCGCAATCAAGGTTGTCCGTGACGGCGCGCTTGTGCGGGCCGTGGTTCTCGGATCTTGCGCTGCTGGCCCCGCCATGCACGCTGCGGCCGCGCCGTAGGGCGGAGGATGGGGCGCGCTAGCAGCGCGTCCTCGCGCTCTCGAAGATCTTCAGCGGCGCGGGCAGGCTGGGAAGGCGTGCGGGTGCGAAGTCCACGGCCGCGTTGAATGGTGAGTCTCCCACCGTGCCGTTCTCAGCCACCCTCTCTAGGAGCTTCTCTCTTCTGAATTCTCTGTTCTGATCATGCCCCCTCCCTACCCTCAGCATCTTCCGCGGCTCGCTATGCCGTCCGTCCGTCCGCCGTCTGCTGCGCGTCGTATGTGGGATCGAAGCCGGCTACTCCGCTTGGCGGAGGCAGTCATGTGGCGCGCTCCGCTGCATCTCTGTCCGCCGGGCCACGAAGACGCTCATACGCGGACGGAGTGGGAAGGTGCTGTACCATGCAGTGTCTCGGGCGGTGAGTGGCCCTCGCTTTCCGTGGCTTCCGCGAACTCCAGCTATCTTCCAGACCGCACTTCGACACGGACCAGCTGATGGCGAGGCCCTCCGTCGGCGTCCGGGGTCCTGACACCGTGAGACTGGGCGGTCCTCGACTGCCGTCCAATTGCTCGAATCTCGGGGACGCGTTTCGGTCAGTAACTCATCCCGAGTTCGGAGCAATCTTTTCCATGCGCATCTCGAGAAGGTGTTGGATTTTCCAGAGAAGGCACCCTTCTCTCCTCACAGAGCCCCGCTTGTCATGGGAAGTACTGTCCCCTTGACCGTCGAAGTTCTTTGTTCGACTGAACCCCCTTCGTAGGCCGTCAAGGAGTCCATCGCCGTGCGACGCAATTATCATCTCGGGGGATACGTGTGAAGCTGTGCGCCAGTACTGTAGTGCCTAGCTGCATTCATTTGTTCGACAGTGTCGTGCGAAAAGACGACGAGGACGCGTCTTCTTCGTCCTATCGTGTTTTGGGGGATCGCCTAGCGGTCGCAGCGGGATGCGCATATACCTACGGCGAAACAGGAAGGGAGTGTCGGTCAAGCTGCGCAACGGTACCGAGTCGTCTGGGCGCCACGCGTGTTGAACATGCGTAACAGCTGAGCGTCTCGCATTCCTTCAATGCTTTCTGTGCTCACCCGGAATATTATATTGCAGCGGTATACTCCAAACCACAATTGTTGTGAGTACACGTTTCTTCCGTGGCGTAGTATACGGAATATATGCGGGTGCAAGCTCGCCGTCCCTTGTATTTTACACCTCCTTCGTCTGCGAAGTGATTCACGTTTCCACTAACAAGGCTCAACTCTGTATATAGTGCACGGAGGAGCACACACAACTAGCGAGGTTCCTGCTACCTCGATACCCAACAACTGGCCATCTCGGATTGGACATGTATCCGCACGACACAGTTCGTTCGCCGACGGCTCACTAGGACCCCGGAGTAGGCACAGGGGCTTCCAGGCTGCTTCCCCAGCTTCGGATTACGGCTTAGCGGGGACGCCTCAATGATTGGTCTCGGGAACGGCCAGAGATGAAGCCGCCGACTGATCAGAACGCGCTGCGTGTCGCGGTGGGCAGAGGGTACTGGTAGGATACACTTCCATATATGGGAATGCACTCATGGCGCCATCGGCCTCGAGGCGGCCTGCGGCGCTCGTGACGAGCAGGTGAGCTGTGTAAGCCTCCGTGCACTCTCCTTGGAACGTCGTCCGAGAACGCCCAAGGAGAGCGAGGGAGAGCGGCAGAGGATGATAACCGGGTTATCAGTAGTGGCGTTGTACACGCTGTTACGCGGTATGGAGGCTGTGAGGGAGGCGGAGTTGTATTCGGCCGCAGGTGAGCAGCCATTGTATCGTGGAAACATACACCGTTCGTCGTTAATCATTCTATGGCCTGCAGTACCAGTGTCACAGACCGCAATATGGGGCTTTTTTTATGAGAAAGTGCCGCCTGTATACTCATAGAAACACTTCTTCAATCAGGCATTCCGAATGGTCCTCCGTTGCGAAGTGCGAACAAGGCCGGCTGGTTCATCAATCAAGGTGGGTGTCTTCTACTCGACCATGGGGAGCTCGGCATTGATGGCAGTCGTAGAGGGTACACGTATTGGCCGCCCGTGCCGGAGCTTCTGGGACGTACGCGGAGTGGGGCGCGCCTGGCGGTGCGCACGAGTAAGGCGTTGAATGGCAAGCATCTGTGGTCGAATCTTGCTTTCGCATGCAGACCGCGGACGCATTCTGTGGGGGGAAGGAGGGGGACGAGCCGTGGGGCGAGGACGGAACTTCTGGAATCGGCATAGGCCAGCGCTGGGGTGTCCGGGGCGACGTCGGCGGAAAATGGTGCCTTTCATTGGGACCGCATGCTGCAACGGCCCAAACAGTCATCATTGTCGTGCACACGTGTAGGGCCTTTTTAAGGGCCAACCGCGCCGAGGGGGGGAATAATTCTCGAGGGCGGAGAGTCGGCACGGAATGCGGGGTAAGACGAGTTTGTATCATGCCCTAAACCCTGCTTGCTGGAAAATACGAGGAATAAGGAAGAATATAAGCATGTAACAAAACAGATAATGAAGAAAACAACGTGGCTTAATTGGCGGTGTGACTCTGGCAGTGCTCGGCAGACGCCCGTATCGGCTCACTTGCTCCTATACATAACCGTTTCTCTGATCCTCAGGTTATCTCTGCTACCCCCTCCCGCTCGTCGCTCGCCAACGCCTGGTCCATGCCCTCCATTCTCAACCTCAAGTTCAAAGTCGGTCTGAGCACCGCCAGTCCCACGGGAGGATAACTGACTCGAGTTCAACAGGGGAACAAGTCCTTCGTGCCGTTCAGTAACCTCAGCGATGCTGATACTCTGACGAAGACATGGAAGGTTTGCATCCTCTTCAGCTCGCTCATTGTACGCTGCTTACCTCTGGAAATTTTTTCCTAGGTCTGTACCAAGGTCGCCAGCTTCCTGGAACAAGGACAGCGACTCGAGAACTTGAGCTGGAGGCTATGGCACCTTCAGAACGTTATGGTCGACACCGACAACGCCAAGTCCAAACGCGATTTTAAGAAGTTGTCCAAGTGCATGAGTGACAAGCTGGATAAGGAGAAGGGCAGGTGCGTACCACATCGCTATAGAACAATTTTTCGTCTCTTGACGTGCGGTTCCGTCGTTAGGAGCATCGAGGAGTTGCAAGCGCCCGGCTTCAGACGCAACCACTCCACCGACCTTCTGCAACAACGCGCACTCGAGAAGGAGCGTGAACGCGAAGCCAACCAGAACAGCCACACAATCCACCGCATGCAGTTCACCTTCAGCGTCGACCAGCCCTCTGGTATCTCGTCTATTCCCGCCAAGAAGCCCGACACCAAGCCGTCCGCCGAATTCAAGGATCACAAGCGTGGTCGCCCCGCCACCCGCTCATCCGCCACCGATGATATGGGCTCGAAGGGCGACAACGTCGAGAAAGATCAACCCCTGACGCAGCGCGGCCGCAAGGCCCCCACAACAAACGGCGACAACGGTAAAGAAGACATGTATCGCGTCGCTGCTCTTCGCTTCCCCTCCCTCTTCTCCGATGGCTTCGGCCCCTCGGCCCTCCTCTACCCTACCCCTACCGTGTCGAACGCCATGACTTACGGTGAGGGCGTCGGCCTCAGTTCGAGTGCAGCGTCGGACGGGTTTAGCATCCCTCGTCCTACCATAGAGCTCCCCCTCGACGAGCTCCTCAACGCCGACAGCCCTGGCGGCTGGTCCTCGGGTGGGTACCATCATCACGACTCCCGGACTGCGGATCGCCTCGACTCTCAGGAAGACGTCGAGATGAAGGTCACGACGACGGACGTATCCTACCAGTCCCACGCCGCTCGGGCTGAGCCTGCCAACGAAGATGACGGTATGCTGAAGTCGAACGGCGCCCTCCGCCACGTTCCTCACCTCAGTCACATCGAAGACGTCGTGCCTCGCACGATCACCCCCTCGCGCATCGGCCCCAGCTCCGGCCCTGGTGCCAACAGCAATACGACGACAACGACGACCAGCAAGCGGCCGTCGTTGAGTGTCCGCACGCAGGTTAGCACCCGCTCGAATGGTCCGAGCGCCACACCTGTCAACTCCTCGCAGCAAAACAGCAACAGCAATTCCGCGCCCGGCGGCGTTAAGGCCGAGTGCTCAAACTGTGGCGCTACGCACACTCCGCTGTGGCGCCGCGGTCTCAACGACGAGCTAAACTGCAACGCCTGTGGGCTTTACTGCAAGCTCGTAAGTCGCTCGCCCCATGTTTAGCTCAAGGGTCATTGCTCACATCTCCGCAGCACAAGCGTCCGCGCCCCAAAAGCATGCGGAATAACCATGGGGAAGGCCGCGCTCAAGCGGCGCCTCGCCAGGAGTCACAAGAAGTCGTTGGTATGTGGCCAATCTGTCTACGGTGGTACTAGGGTTCACACTGCATCACGTCTAGCGCAATGCTATAATTGCCACACCACGGCCACCCCGCTCTGGCGGAAGGATGATGAGGGCAAGACCGTATGTAACGCGTGAGTAAAGATCTCGCGAAGTCTCGTTCAGCGCTCATAGAAGGCTTGTTATGTGTCTGCAGTTGCGGCTTATAGTAAGTCGTTCTCCACGCTCGGTCACAGGGTTCCGATTACTGACGGTAATGTAGCTATAAGTTGCATGGCTCGGCGCGCCCGATCTCCATGAAGTCGGACGTCATCCGCAAACGTGCCCGTCACGACGCTCGCCGCGCAGGGAACAGCGTGTCGGAGACGCCCTCCGCCAGCCCGGGCGCGAGCAGACGCGCCTCGCCTAACGCGGAGTCGACGCCGACGCTTGCGCCAGACTCCAGCACTGCGACGCAGAATGGGTATGGGAACGACGGTCACCACAACGGCCACAGCGGGAGCAATACAGAGTATCGCCCCTCGCTCCAGTCCGAGCTCATGGGCGCTCTCGGGTCGAACGATAACGGCATGCAGTACAACAGTCAGATGTTCGGTGGTTCGAGCGTCACGTTCTACCCTGGCCCGTATCACCCCGACTACCTGTCGCAGATGTACCCCATCCCTTCGGACACTCTGCCATACTCCCCCGACGACAGCTCGGACGACTCCGGCTCAGGCTCTGAGTCGCGGTCGATCAAGCGCCGCCGCCTCAGCGACTCGTCAGCATCGGAGCCGCCTTCCTCAGCCGTGTCATACGGCTCCTACAGCGACTCGTTCTCGAGCTCCTCGTCGGCGTCGCAGCAGTCCGTCGACTTCCCATTCACTCCCTATACGTCGTTCTCGAACATGCTCCGCGGCTCCGGCAACACGCCGTGGCATCCGCCGATGCTTCCTCCGGACAGCTCGCCCCACTTCATCCATCCGCCCATGCTGCCGCCTTCGGAGGACTCGCCCATGTACTTCCACCCGCAGGGGATGCAGAACGACGACACCGACGCGCTCTTCGCCGCCTACCTCCACCCACCCATGGTGCCGCAGGACGACTCGCCGCCGATGAGCTCCCTCCAGCTCCATCCTCCGATGATGCCGAACGAGTGGAAGGCTCCGGGGCAGACCGACATGTACGACAACAACGCCATGGTGACCTTCTGACGACCTACACGAGCGCCCACGACCTCCACGCCTTTCCTCATCCTCATCCCATACCGGTCGACCCCCCATCTCTCCTGAACACGGACAGAACGGACGATCCGCGCTGTAGCATTCTATTCCTCTCTCCCTCGATGACTCCGTTATGGGCGTTATGCGTAATATGGCTGTGGTTTCTTCTCCTTCTCCCTGTTTTCTTTCCCCTCGTCTTGGATGTCCACATCGACATCTTCATCGTGATGTTTTCCTTCTCGCCTCCGCCGAAGTTTCTCCCGCGTAGATCGTCATTCTGTCATGCTGCATTCCCGGTCCGTTGCATAGCTCGTGCTGCATCGTCATCATCTCCAGCATTGTCCTCTTCATCGTCTCCTCGCTCCCCATCATCACGCTGTACAGCTCGCCGTTCTCGCTCGCCGCACCACTATATCCATACTTTCCCGCCCTCTCTTCCTCCCTGTCACATCTCCGTTCCCCATCTCCTAAAATTATTCGCAAACCGTGTACGACGAGTAGTAGTAGCAACGCGAAGGGCTTCGCACTTTAAGCCCCCAATTGTCAAATACTAGATATTTATCCTCTCCGCCTTCATCTTGCCTCCCCCTTTTGAGCTTCGCTTCGCCATCAACACCTGTATACCCCATCTCCCCTTTTGCCGTTCTTGCACTCTCACCCCCAACCCAACCTGTATGTACTACGATTCTCGCTGCTCCCCCAGTGTGTCGATAGCTGTACGTTACTCTGCATCCGCGCACGTCTTCCGCGGGCGCGGTATGTCATAGTTTACGTCTGTACATGCGCTCTCCTTCCCATGCAATTGAACGCGCTTCTTGACAAATTGGTGCCCTGCACGACTCTGCAGCCAGGATCTTCAGGCCCGCGTTCGGACTCTATTGCACGGCGCGATCGAAGTTTTGCATCGCAGAACCTTCGCGGGTATGCACGAGATGCGGGCCTTCACCGTGTATTCACGCAACGTTTTGTCAGAACCTACGGCGGCCGTCGGGTGCGAGTGCATCATCATGGTGCTCATTGGGTGTATTGAGGTAAATAAGCAGTACATGGTGCGGTCGCTTATGCGGGTCCCCAAATGCGCGGCGAGCGACAGGAAGTCGGAGACACGAAGAAGCATGCACGCCTGCCCGCACTCCCCGGCCCCACGTCTTCGTCGTAGAGCACGGGAACACGACGCTGACCGCCGCGCCCCGGGGGCAAAAAAGCGCGCCGACGACTGGCGCGCCTTGCAGCAGGCTGCAGTCATTTACAGTGCCTTCACCTGAAGATCGAGTGAATCGGGGAAATGTGGCTGCGCTGTGCGAACGGGCGTGGTAGGGAGCCGGACGTGCCTCAGCCTGTATATGGCCCGCGCACTTGGCGTCCGACGTTCAGTATAGCTGCCGGACGGAGCGATCTCCAGCTTCTCTCACGTCATAAGGCGGAACGGGGGGATCGTCGGCCAGATAGTCCCCAGCCTCGCAGATACGCTCCCGCCGGGACGAGGTACGCTGCGCCGCCCCGTGGGGATATCACAGGCCTGGCTGTGTGTATGCGTCAATGACGAGCCAATAGTGCGTCGGGAGTCGTATGTCGAGAAACAGGCAATCGCACCTGCTCCACAGCCCTGATCCCGGACGCCTCAGCGAGTATGGGGCACGCATGGCCATCTCGGGGGTCAACGTGCGGTGCGCAGCCAGACGGCCCGCACGCCTGACCCCGCGCGACGATCGCTGGTGAATGGGGCGGGCGTAAGACGGCGCACGCTTCCTTCAGACAGCCTTCTGCCTTGCCGCGCGCTATGGACGGTTAGAAGGCCTCCCGCGTCGGGAAGGCGCAGTGCTGGTCATACAGATCCACGGTGCCCGATACGGCTTCGACACGGTCCGCGCTGACCTCGAGGGCTGCCCGTCGGACTCTGCAGGCTCGTCGACCAGTCCGAGTCGCCGCCGGCAGACGCGCCATGCAGGCCCGCGGTGCGGGAAAACGGCTCGGGGCGCCGTGGGCCTTTTCCAAGGTGCGCGGCCGGGAGGGCGAGCGCGGGTCCGGTTCCTGATTGGCAGCGTGAGGAATACGCCGACATTAGGTGCAGCACGGCGGACGGCGGAACGCTCACCGTGACCGTTGCGCCGCCGTGTTGCGCCTGCATTCAGAGCCGGTGCGCTGTCCCGTTCGTTGCAGCCCCGCCTAAAACATGAGGCCGACGCGAAGTCGGGCGGGTGCGTATGCTAGTAGCAGCAGCATGCACGGTTGGAGCGTTGAGACGACTGGCCGGTCTGTCGGGAAGAGAATCCGCACGGCGGGGTGTGTGTTATCCAGCTGGTGGCGTCGAAGGCTGCCAGAGTTCTTCTAGTGCCGTCAGTGTGTCAGACTCCAGTGATGCTTGCCGTGCACGCATGTAGACTTGCATACCTTCGCTGTGCCATCCTTCTCCTGTGTACGGCATACCGGCGCGAGGTAAACACTCAGCTCGGCCTTCTCGCACAGCCCGCTGATTCATCGTGGTGCGCCACGGCCTGCGATATCATGTCGGGGGCCCGCTAGCTTTCCGATTGCGCTCGGCGACCGTGTCTGGAAGTCCGTGTGCGGTCCGCAGCCGGTTGAGATAACTTCCCGTTTCAGCGGGCCATTATACCTCGCTGCCGCAAGGAGATCGCCGCACACGTTCATGAGGTGGGCGTCTCGACGATGATAGCGGACACAGATGGCAGGAAGGTGTAGTTGAGACCGATCAGGAGATCCCCGGGCGACGACGCCACCAAGGGCAATGTGACCCGCATCTTGAACGGTGGCCCTGCCATGAGGCTCGATGTCGATGCAGGACGGACTGTCGGTTCTCTAGTGCGGCTTGGGTGTCTTGTAAAGCTTCAGGTCCGGCCCCGCACGATCGCAGCACCGTTCGGGCAGCCTTCCGTGCGAGAGCTGCGTCGAACAGGAGATATGTGGCAGGTGTATGTCCGTTCACTAGCGACGCCACGCCGCGCGGCAGCAGCAAGATCTGCAGCAGGCAAGCCGTAAGTGACAATTTAGAAATAGCCTTCGCGGCCGCAAGGTCCGCCACATACGAGTCTGAGTTGCCATCTACGGCGAGAGGCCGCGAGGATCTGTGCTGCTCCTCCATATCGGTACATGATCAGCGATATCTGCTGCTATACCGGTAGGGTGGATTGAACACACACCTCGTTCGGCCATCGCTGGTCGGATCTCACGACCTGACCCGCGCGAGAGCCTCATGGCAGGAAAAAACTTGCAGAACGATCAGGAAGCGCCAGGACTAGATCCAGGAGAATGGGCGGCATATCCCGCAGAACCGCGTGCACTGGTCCTGGTCTCCGCCGAGACTTCGCATCGGTCAGTTTGGCATTGGCAATGCGGTTAGAGGCACGTTGTCGAGCGTGGCCCAGGGCCGTCCAGGTTGGGGATGAGCGCGCGGGAACTTGAACCACACCGTGACAAGCTGCGGACACAAGTGTACATACGAATAGCCGGCATTCCAAACTGCAAGTCGCAGCAATGACGTAGCCCAACTACCTGCCACGACCCTATGCAGTTATTGAAATCTTGAAGAGCCTCGTCGCGAGGCAATAGCAAGATGGGAAGGTGTTGTTGCGGAAGACCTTCGTTGCTCCTTGCAATTGCCCCGAAGCACCAGCGAAGAGGTCACTGATGAACTGGACTTCTCAGTTATTTTCTGGGGACAACATATGTTGCAATGCCTATTGTATGATGCAGCAGACGATGATAAAAGGTAGACATGTGTATTGCAAATCTAGTACGACGACATACATATGCTCGCGACATAAAAACAGCGCCGTTCCATGGCACCGCTGAGAAGCGACATCGCAGCGACACCGCGACGCCTTCATACCCCCGGTAGCCGCTTCGTACTGACCTGTGCGAGGAGACAATATGAGCACAGGTAAAATAAAAAAAAATGACGGAACAAGGATCAGAGTTTAGTTGAAGTCTCGACATGGGTGTTAAGACAGGGATAACTGAATGTATAGTCTCATCTTCTCGAGCCGTAAGAAAACGAATGCTCACCTGTTACATTACACGACGTCGAGGACGTCTGTGTCCTCCCTCCGGGGTGGGCCCGTATAGCCCAGAAAATATTGACCAAGTCGTCCGGCAGAGTTGCGTAGACGCTGGAGAAGCATTCCCGTTTTGGGTGGGGCGGTTTAGGGCAGGCGCCGTGGGACTTGGCCTCCGCGGATGTCTTAGGAATCGGATGGTTCCAACTTACAACTCGACCATCATCCCAACCTATACCGACGCTTGTCAATCTATGCACTCCTCTTTATCACTGTATGATCGCTGCATGCGGCTGGCCTTTCGATGCAGGCGTGAGCCGAGCGGCTTCTGATATGCGCGGGTCGTAAGTGATAGCACTTCTTCAGCACATGACTACTCTATCGCCGCGTTCTGTACGGTGCACCATATGGTGCGCGGCTTGCCCGACGGAGCATCGGTTGTATATATAGGTGGTGATGACGGCGTGGGACGCCAGTCGACGCTGTCTGCACCCAGAGGCACAGTCCAGGGAAAGTCGCGCCAATGACACGACTCGTCGCCGCCGCAGTTGCTCTTGTGGCCCTCCAGGGAGTAACTGGACAAACATGGTGAACCGAAACTTCTTCTCGTCACGACCAGAGCTAATAGAGAGAGGAAGGTGCGGCAAGAATTACATGGCGTCCTCGCCAGTAGTGCCTCCTGGCGGACAGTTCCCCGTACCAGCCGTATCATCCCAGCCGCACCTGGCCCTACGCTGCGCCCCGGTCATCAAACCATATCTGCCTGAGGATGCATCCACTTCTGCAGGGATCCTCATCGACGCGCCTATCACGTTTTCCCAAATACAGGGCGCGGTACCTATCGACCTACCAGTCCGTGGAGCGCTGGGAGATCTGCTTGTGACGGTGAAGGTAGACGGCCGGACCCTTGCCAGTGGACCTGTGGCTGTCAATGCAAGCAAAGTGGAGCTCCCGTTCTCGCTCAAGAGTCTCAAGCCGCAGGCTACTCCGTTCGACGTGGAGTGTTCGGCGACTTTCGCTACAGCTGGGGCCAAGGACAAGCACCAGACGTTCACGGCGAAAACGACTCTGTCGTACCTCCCGGACCCCCCTGATGGCCGATCCGTGACGAAGATGGACCTGCGTACGGGCGCGCTGCTCGCAAAGCCTGCGACCGGAAAAGGAGGGGCCTATGAGACCGTCTTCCCCGTCGGTTTCTACACAAACTTCGGTGGGTACCTGGACTCGAATTTGTCGCTCATCAACGACATCAAATCACAAGGGTGAGCTCAATGTCTGGCTATATGCGCTTTTTTGCGACCATTGACTGATCGCATGGGTTCGCTCACCAGCTTCACTGTGGTAGGTAGCCCGCAATGCCGGGCATACTTCGCGATTACTGAAAGCGCATAGGTACATCCAGTCCCAACGTTCGACAACCTCACAGCACTCGCGCTAGCGGTCGAGCGCATGGAGGAAGTCGGACTCTACCTGATGTACGACATGCGCTGGACCTATATGAATAACACCGCCGTCACCGAGGAAGTGAACCGCATCAAGAATAGTCCTGCACTTCTGCTCTGGTACACCGGCGACGAACCGGACGGCACTTCGGACCCCCTCAACGCGACGACGATCGCGTACGACTTGATCTACTCCCTCGACGGCTACCACCCCGTCTCACTCGTCCTGAACTGCGAGAACTTCTTCTGGTCGGAGTATACCGCAGGCGCCGACATCGTCATGCAGGATACGTACATGGTTGGCATCAACGCGACGTTCTCTACTGTTTGGGTGCGTGTATGCGCGCATCTTTGCTATAATTTTTGCTGACTGTGACCTCAGAACACGACCTGCACTCCGGACTACGGCGACTGCGGCTGCGACAACTGCCACGGCGAGTTTGAAGATATCAGCACCCGCATGGACGAGTTCGCCGAGCGGAGCTTTGTTGACGGCTGGGAGCTGTCAAAGGCCGCATGGACCGTTCCGCAGGGCTTTGGTGCCGACTCGTGAGTTGATTCAGGGAGGGGGCGTGGTCATGATTGCTAACCACTTATACTCGTAGGTACTGGAGCCGGGAGCCCACTGGGAAGGAATTCGTCGTCCAGAGCGTCCTCGGGATCAACCACGGTGCACTCGGTAACAAAACTCAACTCTGTCGTATCGTGTGCTTGCTGACATTCATGCCTCCAGGTGTTGTGTCATGGAACGCTCCCACGACGGCGGATATCACCGCCTCCGCCGCCGCACTCTCCAGGTCGCTCACAGTCATGAAGGACTTCATCCTCAGCCCGAAGGCGGCCTTTGAGCACGTCGTCGTCGACCGTGTGGACGTCGGCCTGTGGACCGTCGGCGGGCGCACGCTCGTGCTCGCGACGAACCTCAACTACGCTCCAGCCCGCTTCGACCTGAGCCAGGTGCGTGGGCTCGCTCTCAAGGCTCTGGTGGCCAAACAGGCGCTGGACAGCGGCGCGAAGTTGAGCGGGCACGTCATCGAGCTGGAGAGCGTCGGCACAGGAGGCTTCATTCTTGGAATTTGAGTCGGCGTCGGACTGTATGCGCACGTTGGGTTGCGTCCAAAATTCGCCCGATAATTTGTACTTCACTCGAGTGCACCAAATGGAATCGAGAAGCACGTTCTAAAACTACGGAGCTACGCTGGTGTTCACTCTACATTGACGTCGAGTCCAAGTACGCGTGCGCGGCGCCCAACGGGACCATGAATGAGGTGCGAGTCATGCGAATTGCTCTACTACTCGATGCTAACTCAGTATTCTTCCCATTAAGCAGAAAGTCTGTAGAGCCCGTAGCGTGACCTACTGGTTCTATGTCACCTTGTTCGTGCCGCGTTAGTCGTATTGCGAAAGGACCGTTGGGTTGCCGCCTTCCCGCCGCGGGTTAATTAGAGCGAATAAGTAAGTACTAGTCAGCATGCAGCCATATTCGAATCTCGTACTGGACGACCAACAAACGCCTACAAGACTCAGGAGTACCTCCATGAGGGCGCCTGCTACGGACATCGACCCACCCTCGAACTCCGTAGCCTTTACAATCCAGAAGTCCGTACGATGATTCATTAGGTGAGCTCGTCGGAAATCCGATGTATCCAAGTTGTTGACCTGACTCCTGTTCACAGGGCCCGACGATCGATTAGCCAGGGCGCTCCAGGGCGCCAGCCGTGCCCTGCATCAGCCTGCATCCTGCCGGCCAAACGGCATAGGCACTATCCTACTGGACGAATGTTCTGACGGTAGGTATATGTGCGTCATATAGCTCATGCACAGTGCATAATATTCGGTGCAGTCGCCGGCGGCGGTCTCCTGACATATGCGCATAATCCCAGTACAGTCGGCCTACAGAAGTCCCTGGCAGTTATGACTGTATTGGAAACCCTCCTGCGACGTTTTCTCAGGTGGCGTCGAATGCTCCGGCAGTTGTCGGTGAATCACTCGCGGGCGTGATGACGGGCAGCTTTGTCACACCGTCGGAGTGAGCCTCACCCGGGTTGTCACGTATCTCTCGAATCTCGACACCACCTATAGCGGAATCGTACGCATTTTGCTCACCCCACCGTAGTAAACTCTGACAGGGGTTTACGTTTGCACGCGGTGCTCCCAAGCTCATGGCCCTTTCGCCGGTGCCCGCTGATTCCCGGCGTCTCTCAGAGCCACTACCGCTCTTGCAGATAATGCTACACAATGCCACGCATACCTACGCATACACGGAGCGACAAATACCAAGGTTCGTCTGATCACCACCTGCTCTTCTTGAAGTCTAATAGCCCAGGCTTCCGCGCGAGCGTCCGTTCAGTAGCGCCATCCTCGACATTACGAATACCGACGGGCGCTCCGTCAACAGGGTGCTGTAAGTCGTTCCAAATAGGCCGTGGTGATTACGCTGAAGCTCGTTTCCGGTGCGTGCTCCGTCCGATCGGCGGTCTATATAATCGTGTTTACCAACGCAGTGCGGTCCCGGCTAGCACCACGGGCGTTCGCCACGTACTTACTGCAGACCACGCTCGCCGCCTTCCCAAAATTGCGGAAGAGGCATCTTGCAGGCCCTTGACGACCGAGGTACTAATTAGACTCGTAACAACGTTATAGTCCTCGCGGTCCTCGGGCCACGCTTAGGCAAGACGCGATCGAAAAACGCACTAGTCTCCTCGGGCGTTTGGGCCATCTGGCTCGCCGTTCACCCGGAACCCACAGCTCTCTCCGCCGTCATTTCTCTTGCCAAGACTTTTAGTAACACCGTTAGCAACAGGCGCACATCATACTCACATTGGCGGAAGCTCGTTGGACGCGTGCTCGAGTCGCTCTGCCTCATGGTATGTTTCTAGACCGCTTCATATTATACGTCATATAGGGTTGATCATCCCCCGCCGTGAGGCTGCGCTCAATATATATTAGACCCCCGCAGTTGTCCCCTCGCTGATGCGAATGGCCGCCTCCTCCGATTGCCGATGCCTCGCCTCTTGAACAAAATTGAGGATTTAAGTTGTGTGAGCTGGAAGCAGCGGCTGGGCATTATCGTCGCCGCGGAACTTTGTCGGAGACGACGTGGGGATCACATCCGTTGCTAGCTCCGATCAGCATGTCCGTTACACGCATATAGACGTCAGACGTGGCCTTGCGAACAAGGAACGGTTCAGTAAAATTGGCATCAACGTTCATGCACAGGGCGGTAGCGCGTTGGATAGCGCTCTATCTTCCTACCGCTCCCCTCTCCATGTTGACATGTACCCTGGAACCTGGCTGGTATGTCATATCTCAGTCAGAACACCAGTGGTCTTGTGGGCTGTCCCTGGAAGTGCCTGATCAGGAAGAGGACTGTTTGTTTGGCGAGACAAGCGACGGCGTGGAATATCGGTGGCGGAGTTTGTGGCGCGCACATACAGGGCAACTCAGACTCTTGACCTGCGTCTACCATCTCTCCGGATATTCTTGCCGGCGGTGATTTCAGCTCTCGGTCTGTGCGACCGATCCATCTTGTCGTCGCGCTCGCTGTGCTCCAGCGCATGCGGCAGGCCAACGGCAAGCCGTGGGAGCCATAGAAGACTTCCCTCATCAAGCCTTATACTCGGGCGTCCCCCGGTCGTAGATCTTGCTCGCCCCCACACTGCAAGCCAATCTCAGGCCTGTCTTCGCCCGCTAGCCGCTTACCGAATCCTCGAGCTTGACTTTGTCTCACATTGACCGCACGCCATGGGAGTCGGACGCGCCGTCGACGAGGACCCCCTCTCCCGCCTGCTCGCGCCCCCGCCGAACGAGACCGCCGAGGAGCGCGAGGTTCGGCTGCGAGTCGAGGCGGAGGCTCGCCTGAGGAGCGAGCGGATTGATGACCAGCTGAGGGCGGAGAAGGCGGCACTCAAGAAGAACAAACCCGTCAAGGTGTTGTTGCTTGGGCAAAGCGAGAGTGGTGCGTCCCAGGTTGGTGTTGCGGGGAGGTTCTCTTCATTCATCTACGCGTCCCCCTTCCAGGGAAGTCCACGACATTGAAAAGTGAGTGTATTCTTTTGTTTTGCTCCTTTCCCGCCCCCTCTATCCTTTTCGCTGGGCGTCGCTGCCAGGCGGCCATGCAGGCTTGCGTCGTGCCCCTAAGTGCTGTCCAGCGGTGGCTGCACAGGTACAGTGGGGAGAGTTTGCTGTCCAGCACTCTGGTGGGCCCGGATATTTTCATTCCAGAATATCCGGACTGTACCAGGCTTTGCTGTGTTATTCAGCATCTGTCAGGCAAAGTTAAGCATGTGTATGTTGGCGTATCGGGGATCTATGTCTGTGCTAAGCAAGAGGTGCAAGTCCGATCCCGGATACCTGCACCCGTTGCGAGCGGCCTGACATCGAGAAACACCCGCTTCTTTGGTCTCTAGAGCGCCGGATGTGTATCCGGGATATGACTAGCATTGCCTGACATTCCGTGCCCAGTCGGGAAGATGTGTATGCTTCTGTCTGATCTTGCAGTCTTGCCTGTAACCGGGGCATCGCGTTTGTCTTGGCCGTTCCAGACTGGATACGGACCGTTTTTCATCAACCGTCGTTCAATGATTCAAGGTCGTTGGGGCATACTGGGCAGAGCATATGCGCCTCGACTCGGATTCCTACAGACCGGAGTGACGGCCTGTCATTCAATATGAGGAGATAAGGAGGTGATGAACGACCTAACAACTACATACTTCCGGGCTTCTCGCAGTGATCGTTTCGCATACGGCGTGGCCGTTGGTTCGTCGGGGCGGATCGTGAGAGGTTCCTGAATGTATGCGCTTTATGAGAGGATGTCCGTTGGGAACATCTGTCTGCGTGTGCAGTGTGGCATATGGGACGTGACGGGAGCAATAGCGATGTTTGACAGCATCCCGGGTGTTCGCTAACATCCCTTCCACAGATTTCCAGCTTGCGTATTGCCAAGATCAATGGGAGGCCGAACGCGCGTCATGGCGAATGGTCATCCAGCTCAACTTGGTCCGAGGCATAAACAGCATCCTCGATCTGCTCGCAGAGGAGATGGCGGGTGGGGCTGCGCCGACGATGGGTGATTCGGATGTGAGCGACGACGAAGGCCCGCCCGCCCCGCGTGCGACCGGCACTCTCCACTACAGTGGGACGCACCGTCTGCTCAAGCTGCGGCTTGCTCCGCTGCGCACCGTTCAACATGACCTCGAGATGCGCATCGGTATCTCTGCTGGCAGCGACGTCCACGATGTCATCAACTCCCCGCCCGGCTCGCCCGTGCTCGGATCAACTGGACGCAAGCAGCAAGAGTTCTTTGTGCGGTCGGCGACGAGCTGGAAGCAGCTGCACAACCGCGCCCCGAGCGACAGCACGAATGTGAAGTTCCATGACGCCCAAGTGCGCGAGACGGCGGATATCATTGCTGGCTGTGCGGAAGACATGAAGGCCATCTGGCACGATCCAGTCATCCGCGAGATGCTTGGTAGAAAGGGCATCCGCATGGAGGTGACTCCGGGATTGTGGGTTTTGAGTTTTCCTCGGCAGCGTCTGCATATGTTAACATCTTGAGTAGCTTCTTGAACGACATTGACAGGATCGCAGTTAGAGACTACGAGCCGACCAACGATGACGTTGTGCGCGCCCGCCTGCGCACCCTGGGCGTCCAGGAGCATCGCATCAAGTTCAACAAGGGTGAGCGCCATTAGAAAGTTGGATATATGCGTGCTAATGTGCTTGCTAGGGCCGGCGGCCGGGTCAGAGTGGTGCATATACGACGTGGGGGGATCGCGTACTCAGGTAAGGCCTTACCGTCACATATTTTCAGGGTTGTGATTGTCTCAACCCTTCCGGCAGCGTATCGCTTGGTACCCATACTTCGACGACTGCGACGCTATCATTTTCCTCGCGCCGATCAGCTGCTTTGACGAACGCCTCGCAGAAGATCGCCGCATCAACCGCCTAGAGGACAGCTACATGCTGTGGAAGGCCGTGGTCTCATCCAAACTGCTTGCGAGGACGTCTATCATATTGTTCCTCAACAAGAGCGATCTGCTTGAAGCGAAGCTTCGAGGCGGCGTACGGGTCCGCGACTATGTACAGAGCTTCGGAGACCGGCCCAACAATCTTGAAAATGCCGTCAAATGTAAGCTGTCTCCGTGCGTTGTCGGATGTATCTCACCGGAGTCTTCGCGTGGCAGACTTCCAACAACATTTCCGGGACATCTTGAGGAAGCACTCACCGGAGCCGCGACCGTTCCGTGCGCATATCACGTCTGTCGTGGTATGTCTCTTCTGCACTATATCACAGGCACACTCTTGTTCTGACATGGTCCTCATAGGATACTCAAGCTACGGCTGTCACACTCTCCGTTGGTAAGTCATCCATTGCTCTTGCCTCGATCTCCTTTGGTTATATGCGGTTTATTGTCGCGCGCGGCATTGTTGACACACGATACTCTTACAGTCGAAGAAGGCATCCTCCGGGACCACCTCCAGCGGGCAGACCTACTCTGATCCACGCATCCACTTCATTCTCATCCGTCGACCACCGTTTCTTGTGTCTCGCTACGACCGTCGTGCCTAGCCGTTTCTTCCTTGCCCATGAATGCTGGCCGCTTGCGGAGCAAATTCCTCTCCCCTCTCCCCGTGCATCTCATCGACTTGGCGCCCCGTTAACCTTGCTCTTCCGCAGTGCGAGATAGCATATTCGTGAAAAACCTCCGTGAATCCGATTTGACTTGATCTGGCCCCCGCCACGGAACCTGTACCATAATCTGCGGTGAGCTTCTATCACCCCCTGCTGCGTCGAACGGACACGGAAGCTGACTCACGGCGTAGATTTATTCCTTATCTACCCTGTCGTGTAGATATAGTATCCCCCTCTGTGTATATCTCCGACTGCGCACATATGCGCCACTATTGCTCGAACGCTGCCGACGTCCCCCTCCACCCCTTCGCCTTCTTGTTGTATGTATGTTCGTACCGCCGCCCCTTGGCCCGCCATTCACGGACTCCCATTGCGTCGTGCTCGTTCTATTATGTGCCTACGCTAGACGTCTGTATTAATATCTCTCGCTGCACATTCCGTTCTTCTCTTATTCAGTCCGTGTGCGAAGCTGTTCGCAGGCCCGTTGGCACGTCACCGCGACCGGAGGTTGCGCGGGCTCCGAGGCACATCGGTTCCGGCACGGAGCCTCGAAGGCTTCTAGTAGATCGAAGACGACGTGTAGTGGGAAGAGACGCGTTCGAACAGGTTCCGGTGATAATAAAGACTTGCGACCGAGGTAACGAGATAGGTACCAATACATATATTCGTACAAAGCACGGAGCCCTGTCCAGGAAAGCACAACATAGGTATACTACACATAACACGACTCCCCCAGCTCGTACGGATGACGGGGATTAACGCGGCCGGGGCCACAGGGAAAACAAGACTGACGAGAGAGATGGATAAATAGCGATGGGGCGCAAAAACACCCCCAGGTGGCCTACTCGACCCGCGGCCGCTTCGACCTGTCGTCGCCCTCAGCCGTCTCTCCAGCTGAGCCGGCTGCAGGTTCGCCTTCCTCCCGTTCGCGCTTGCCGTTCCCCTTCGCACCCGCCCCAGGAGCGGACACCCCCGAAGCAGGCGCACTGGGAGCGGCCGCACCCGTGCTAGGCGCGTGTCCACGGAGGAGCTCGAGCTCGGCCTCGGCGCGCTGGCGGGCGACGCGCTCCTCTTCCCACATGCGGCGCATCTCCTCCAGCTGCGCCTGGAGGTCGCCCATCGCCTGGTCCATGAGCAGCTTCTCAAGCGTCCACTTCTCGATGTTCCGGGCTTCGTTCTCCTTGAGGTGGTGGATGTACTGCACCGCGCGACTGAGGATCGCACCCTTCGCCTTCTCGCCGGAGCCGTTAGGCACGATGCGCCCGAGCTCGTTGATGCCCTCGTTGATGTTCCCGCGCCGTCGGCGCTCGACCTCTTTCTGCAGCCGGGTTTGAGCAACGACGTCGGGTGTATTGAGATTTAGACGAAAAGGGGGACGTACATGGTTGTCCTTTCGGACTCGCGCCCACTCGTCGTTGGTCATCGTCGAGCTGCGGCCGTTTCGCCGCCCACCAGACTTGCCGGTTGACGTAGGTCGCTCGGTGTCTGGAGAATCTCCATCTTCGGGTTCGGGGCTGTCTTGGGGCTGCCCGCCATCCTGGGAAGCCGAAGGTGGCGCACCCTCAGCTGCAGGCGGTGGCTGTGGAGCGGTTGCCTGTAAGGCGGTAGCGACTGCAGAGAGCTGCCCGAGATTTGGGGGACCGCGGGGATGGGAAGAAGGACCGGGTTCGCTGGGCATGCCGTTGTGTTGCAACGGGTGCATGTTAGGAAACTGGCCGGTTTGAGGAAGGTGCTGCTGCAAGAAGGCAGTTTGCGATAGATTAGAAAGTGCTTCTGCCGCAGCTGAATCCTTGAGGTCGCCCTGCAAATCGCATACTGCATGAGCATCGCGTGGTTCGCAAAGCAGTCACTGTGTATCACTGGTACGACAAGATTTCGAACAGCTGTACGCCTACTGCGTGTCGCAAGCTTAGGACAGCCTGATCCTGTATGTCGTTTGGGCAGCCGCATGAGTACGAGTACCACTGATTTACACTTACGGACGAGGTGTCCACAGCGTATATGATCGCCATCGAGGTACATCGCTGTGGCTGAACCGATAGAGTTATAACAAACGCCGATGCCAAGGATAGCCAGGCACCTTGAGTTTGACGGACAATCCGTCACAACTACCGCCTGATATATGGGACATACGTTGCCACCGCGATGGGCAGGGAAGGGCAGAATACGCCCGCTTCTCTGGATCGTCGCCTCCTCTACGACCGGTACGCGCACGCGGATGTCGCGGTCACCACCCCAAACGTGACCGATGTGTGCGATCACGTGGAGGGGGCGCGCGACGCATCCCGACGGAGTATGCGTCGTAGACGGGGTGTGGATATCCAGGCGCGATCGTGGGGGAACGGGGGACTTACCCTGTTGAACATCTCTGGAATGTGCTTGAGCAGGGCCATGACATGCTCGTTTGCCATGCCCGGAATCAGGTTGCCCGGAATATTAGGCTGCGTGCTGCCCTGGGCAGGCTGAGCCGCGGTGGGCTGCTGGACATTGGAGGGCGCGGGCTGAGCGTGTGCGAGGGCGGGGTCGTGGGCAGGCTGTGTGGATGCCATATTCCGGCCAAGTCTGTATTAGGGTTATGGGGTATGGTCCAGCGGCCGAACGTGCGGCAATGGAGAGCGCGGTGGTCGGGTCAGAGCCGCCTCAAGTATATAGTCTCCTCGTCGTGCGCAACGGCGAATAAAGGTGCTTGCTCGCTGTGGAGGGCAACGAAGGCCGAGGGACAATTGCGGGGGAGAAGTGATCACGGGGGAGAAGGAAGGTCACGTCTTAGTCACGAGGCCGTATATATACCCTGCACGTGAGAATTCGCGGTAAACATGCGCAAATAGCCGCCCAGGCAGCGCCACCTGCGTGCACGGGCCATGCCGCCCCTTCTGCCTTCTGTCCTCGGCGTACGACGTCGCCCGTTGGAGCACCAACGACGACGACGACCTGAACATCTTGTCAATGAACACTTATCTTCCAAGCCGCGCAGCATGACGTACTTTGAAGCTATGCATGCGCAGCCCGCAGGAGTCCCGATGCGTCCGTTCCGCAGCCACTCTTTCTGCAGACCCGGCGGTTCGAATGGGGCGGGCACCGCAGGGAGGTCATGGAAGCTGCTGGTAAGCGGTCAAGCTCAGGTTCTTGGTGGCTCACTGCAAAGCCGCAAGCTGCGAGTTCGCCATTAATGGCCGGCGCCATGCAGCACACTATTGCATCATTGCCCTGCACCTCTTCTTCCCCTCGTGGCCCTCGACTGAAGCGGCTCGTATGTAAGAATAGGGCACTATCCTCGATTTGCCGCATCCGAACTCCAGGCTCGGCTTCAGGCTGTCCTCTTAATTTTTACCCCGCGCGACTTCGATCGCAAGTCACGACTATCGGACTATACTGCGCTTCAGAGGGCTCAGTATATAACCCGACGGAGCACAAATGGCCTTCGAGCTTTCCTCTGCGCGTTCTCCGCCTACCGTCAGCCTCATTCCATCGCCGGACATCTCACCGACAAATTTGCAGAACGCTCAGTCTATTTCCCCCCTCCGATCTCTACGCTCTTCAAACTTCTCGGACGAACAGCAACGCTACTAGACGTCTCAGTCTAGCTCTCGCACTCGCGACTCTACCTTTGAAATCCTAGTCTTTCTATCACCATGCGTGGAACTGCAGCAGTGGCAGCGGCTTTGCTCGCGTCAACTCCCGCTCTGGCGACGTACAGCCTTATCAAGGAGTATTCGGGCACGGACTTCTTCACTGGGTGGGACTTCTATGGGAACTACGATAATTTGACAAGTGGTATGCGATTTCGCTCGTTCGTCGAAGTCTTAACCGCTCATACTCCGTTAGGTGATGTCATATGGGTCGATCAGGCAAATGCGACAACGTCTAAGCTTGTATACGTGAATGATGCGGGCAACGCGATCATCAAGGTGGATAACACCACCAACGTGCCGTACAACGAGAAGCGTGATACGGTATGTTTTGCTATATGTTGCTGCTTTCCGGCTCTTTATGAGCGATGCACTTACACTTGTGCTCGCGCAGGTACGGATCACCAGTGACGACTACTTCCCTATCGGCACGGTCCTCGTTTTCGACGCTACCCACCTGCCATATGGGTGCTCGGTATGTGCCATTTGATATTGCGTGCATCCTTTTTCTCACCTTCGCGTGGCACACAGGTGTGGCCCTCCTTCTGGACGAAGGGGCAGAACTGGCCCCTTGGTGGCGAAATCGACATCATCGAGGGTGTCAACCTGATGACGGCCAACCAGATGGCGCTACACACGCAAGACGGGTGTACCCAGGCGTCGTCGGTGACGCAGTCCGGCACGTCGGGCACCACGAACTGCACAGTGGACGCGGGTTGCACTGTTACGGAAACGCAGTCCAACAGCTACGGCGAGGCGTTCGCGACCGCGGGTGGAGGCGTCTGGGCGGCGCAGATCGACACTACCGGGATCTCGTGAGTGCTTGTCCTCGCTTTCGCAGTCGGGAAAATACTGATGATCGCGGCAGCATCTGGTTCTGGACTGTGAGTATATGTGGGACTTCTGACTTGTTATCGTTTGATTGACCTTCACCCCTTCTCCAGAGGAGCAGCGTTCCGTCATCCGTGTCCAGTGCTACGGACTCGATCGACCCGTCCGCCTGGGGCACGCCTTCGGCGTCCTACCCCGCCTCGTCCTGCGACATCTCCGAGTTCTTCACGCCTCAGCAGCTCGTGCTCGACATCACGCTCTGCGGTAACTGGTACGAGTACACCCCTCCGGCATTCACATGTCTTCCTCTGACCTCTCATCCTCAGGGCGGGCACTGCATCGGTGTACGAGGGGACGTGCGGCGGCGATGGCACCGCGACAGCGTGCTACATCGACAACGTCATCGGCAACGGCACGAACTACGCGAACGCGTACTTCGAAATCGCATACATCAAGGCGTTCTCGAACAGCTCCGCCCTCGTCGCGACGACCTCCGGGGGCTCCACCGTGCTTGTGTCCGCGACCGCCACTTCCTCGAGCGGGTCGTCGTCGAGCTCGTCGGGCTCACAGAGCAACACGCGCCTGCCCGAGGTGGGCGCGCGCGCGTTTGTCGCGGTCGCGGGTGCGACGGTGCTCGCTGCCTTCTCTTGGGTCCTCTTGTGATCCGGCCAAATCATGCTGTAATGACTTCGAGATGACACGGACTACAAGCTATACGTATAGACCATCTCACGGACCATGTATCGCTATCGTTACTGCGCTGCTCAATAATAATGTAGCGTTCGAGAGATACTAGTCACTTTGCAAACGATCGACATGTCTATAACGGCCAATCCCTTACGAGCAGCCGTCGTTCATGATCGTGTAGCAGCGGCACGGGTAAGACGTCGAACGCATATAAGACACGCGTACAGCTCTCACTCACTCTGCGTTCACTCGAACATGTACAACCGTTGAGGGAAAAATAAATATTGAGACCCGTAGGTCTACCACTCCGGGAAAGCGTGTCATCCTTGTGCAGGGGCCATGCTAATCTTCTCTGTATCGTTCCAATTTTTTCGTATGTCACCCCGAAGGGGACATTAGTTGGTCTTTGGCGGCGAGAGTCCACGCCGTTGTGATGTATTTTACTGAACCTCCGGGTTGGCGGGTGGCCGGCACAGCCTCGTCAATGCAGCACTGCGATAATGAACGCTAGTTTTGAAGAAGGCTTTCAAGGGCATGTGGTGTAGTTGGTTATCACGCTCGCTTAGCATCTCCGTGAGCTTGCGAGAGGGGTCCGGTTCAATCCCGGACATGTCCATGTTTTTGCGATTTAAACATAGATGGCCACGCGCAGGAACATTCGATCAGCGCGCGGTGAACTGCTTAACGGTGTTCCATCTTGTGCCTTTTTAAGCACAACTCCAACTGTCCCTGGAGACGGCGTCGGGTCGTGCGTACCTTCAAGCATTCCAATGCAGTCATCTTCCAACACTTACCGAGCTTCTAGCTTACCAGAGTATGCCCAGATGTGCCGCATGCTGTCTGCTAGGCCGGCCACGGGATGTCTCGAACATGGAAGAACCAGCGGACATGTCAACATGATCATACGGTTACGTTGATCTAAAGTAGAGCTCATCGTGGGAATCGAAGCGTTGAGACAACTTCAAAAAGTCGCGAGCATGGTTGGCGGCCTCAAGGTTTCTTGCCTTTTCTCCCCCACCCTCCCCTCGCTGCCACAAGCCCTCCAGGCACCTCGCTCGCTGTTCAAAATGCGCTTTTCGCTCGCCGCCCTTGCTCTCCCTATCGCCGTGGCTAGTATGTGCTACATCGACTTTCGACAAGCTGCGGAATGCCGTTAAACGTGATACTTCAACTTGCAGGTGCCTTGGACATCACCGGTCCTTCTGAGTCGGCTTTCTGGTAAGCCCCCCACCTATTCAATGAAATACAGATGCAATACTCAAGAGGGAATTGATACATAGGGTACAGAACACAAGTAACACGATCACTTGGACGTTCAGCCAGAACGACCCCAACCCGATTGACATTATCGTCGTGAATGGAAACAACCAGACGCTGAACGGTCCGTTCGCGATTGTATCTTCTGCCAACGTTTCCGCCGAGGTACAGTTTGTGTCCTTATAATTTCACCTCGTCTTATTGACAAGTTATGTAGTCATTCACTATGTGAGTACACGCCGATCACCCTCTACGGCGCAATCTTGACCGTAGTACGACACAGCACCAACGTGACCCTGGTCCCTGGAGACGGCTACCAAGTCCAGTTCGTCAACACTACGAACCTGACACAGGTCTTTGCTAGCAGCCCTACCTTCACGGTCAAGCCCCCTGGCAGTAGGTCGCACCATCTTACCCGGACGGGCCTTGGTCTCATTGATTCTAGGTGCTCCCGCCCCCACCTCGAGCGCGTCGAGCAGTGCATCAGCTTCGGGCTCTGCGGCTAGCGCCTCTGCTACCTCGCCTAACGGTTCCAGCACGTCCAGTGCCAGTGCCACCGCCTCTAGTGGCGCGAACGGCGCTGTCAGCCTGACGAGCGGCCAGGGCGTGTTCGGCGTCATCGCGGCGTGCGGCATCGCGTCCCTCTCTGCGCTTCTCTTGTAAGAATGCCGCAGCCGACAGCTCCCGACGAGCCCCCGATCATTGCATCTCGTATGCTTTCCGCCTCCGGATCTCCCCTTGTGCAGCACACCTCCTCCTCCCCCCTACTGTGAACAATGAACCCTGGTACTCCGCGGTGTTTGCCGTTACCACCTTCGTTGACTCGTCCACTCTTTTGGCTCCCTTGTTGTTGTCTTTTTGCTCTTGACGTTTTTCTTCAGGGCTGTATTCCCCGATACCAAGCCTCTGGGTGTCCGCCCATTCAGATGTATTCTTCCATTTTGTGTATCGTCATGCTCTGCGGCTTTTCATATGGCCTGTTCTCTCCGCGCGTTACGGCCGCACGCCGCTGTACTGTATCTACGTACGTAGTAGGTAGGCGCAAATGCGAACTTTGGCTATTGTTTGCATAACGGAAGAATGCTCCGATCCCTTGGTCCGACAGTGACCGGGGTTATGGCTCCGAAAGGTACTCAGTATAGCCAAGTAGGGATGCTATACAATATGCGTACGTATACTGGCAAGCATTTCCGAGTTCCCGTCTACGTGCCTGTGCAAGGGGTTGAGAGCGCTTACAAGACGCCGCGTCGGGATAGGACCCCCGCCTATGCCGCCAAAGGTCCGATCGTAGTGTCGACTAAAGTGCCCTCAAAAGGGGCCTTATGTCCGAGTCAACATGTCGTACAAATTAGCCTTATATGGTTCAATGTCCGATAATCTCTGTCGACTAAATGGGCCTATGAGGGCGAAGGTCCGATCGTCCATGTCGACAGAAAAGCTACCCCGCCAACCAGACGCCCGCTACCTGATAGCCAATGTCGACCGTTGGGACGCCATAACCGCGTTAATCCACGGATATGGGTACGGGTAGGTACGTGTATGCTCATATGAGGAGCCTGACCTCAATAATGATCGTCTTTTGGACCCTCGCCCGTTCGAAGGTCCGATCGCTATGTCGACCAAAACCTACCTCGGAAAGGTATGTCCTACTCATTATGTCGAGTATTTTGCCCGAAATCCATGTCGACTGAAACCCCCAAATTTGGGTGTTTTGCGATCGGACCTTTGGCGGCATAGGCGGGGGTCCTGTCGGGATGCCGTGCACCTGCGCATGTCTGGTTGCAGCTCACACCGTCTCGAAAGCCCCATGGGGTGTCACTATAATCCCAGAGCTGGTATGCGAAGATATCCTTCAAGATTCTTCAGGTAATGCACCCCTGTCAGAGCTAATCAAGTATATGATCTTTGCGAGACAGGCTTGCAAGAACGGTTGGCCCCTCGTACCCGGGATCCGATAGGGCTGAAGAGGGGTACAACTAATAAAATCCGAATCTAGCAACAGCTTAGACATCGATCCCTCGGCACTCACGATGAGGAGATTAAACCGGCAGGAAAAGAATATCCACCCAGGACTGAGTGGTTAGCCAACATACTGCATCGACGTTCTTGCGCGCGGCGGCTCCGCTCCGAGGCCTGGCTCATGGCGAGAAATATGTTTACACTTCCACTTCGTCCCACATTTTCCCGAATGCTGACTACTGGACGCTGTGCGACCTAGGCCATGGTGCATTATCGAGCTATGTAGTATGCGATACGTTAATTCGGGGTATAGAAGTTGGGAAGACGTCCGCGCCTGAGGCCTGAACCCGTACTAGGGTGGGTCCTTCTTATAAGGCGTGCCGAACCGTCAGCCTCGATACGCCTACAGTACTACTGGCTCCCCGGCTCACTGAGAGCTGCGTAGTAGGGCTATTATCACTGATATATCCAACATCGCGGGTGGATGGTCCAATGTGACACACCTCCAAATGCGCGAGTGGTCGTGCTGGTGTGAATATCATTAGAGTGTTGGCCTGTCCCTCTCCTGACTCCCTACCACCACCTCCTGCCAACGCTGTTCTACACCCGTCCTGCTCGATCCACTTCCACGCGAACTCGTGGGCGCACGGGTACCGTAAACCCGGACCGTCGATTGGTTGTTTGAGGATGATCCACTGTGCCGGATACGCAGCACCGCCGAATGCGAGATTCCCGCGAACGCCCCTTGGAACGGACCCACCATTCACACCCATCCGGGCGGTACCACGCTCTTCTCTTACCCGAGTCCTTGGCATTGGGTGCGCCAGCGGCGTCGGCAGAGGCAGGGTTGCTTCATGACTTAGCACCATGCCCCCACGAACCCCTACTGCCAACGCCATGGCCGGACCCAGCAACGCCCAGGACGAGCTTACTGCGACGGTGTTCGGCGCGGTCGAGTCGCTCAACCAGATCCGCAAGGCCAACTTCCTGCTCGAGACATCCCTCGCGCTCATAGAGAGTGGCAGGTACGTGCAATCTCGCTGTGTGGCTCTCCCCTATTCGCATATGTTGGGGACGGTGAACAGCGCTGAGATGGAGCCGGCAAGCAGGTACGGCGACGATGTCGAAAACTACTTGGACGTATATTTGCGCACGCCCGGATTGGAGAAGAAGGATGTGGCGAGGGCACTTCTGGCGCGGGGGAACGCACGGAAGATGGCGGGCGACAAGCTGCTGGCGAGGGCGCAACAGGACTTCCAGGCAGTCGCGAAGCTCGACCCTTCGAACCGCGAGTTACAGGGATATCTTAGGCGGAGCAACATGGTGAGTGTGCCTCGGTTCTCTGCGGGTCGTCCACCAGAATAGTCCAGGGCAGGCCGCCGCCCTGGGCCCCGTCAAAGGGGGCCTTCCGTCTGCCGTTGGCTTGCAGGCATGCCTGCTGGTGCGTTGCAGCTGATGAGACCGCCCGCATGTAGGTGGGAGCGGCGCATCCGACCGCGCTTCGGCTATCCTGGCAGACGCTGCGCGCCCCATCCAAAGTTTCGCCGTTGGCTAATACATACCGCAGATTCACTTTGTGGACGAGCCGGCCTCGCAGCGTGCTCCCCCTGAGATTTGGGAGTTAATCGCCCGCTTTATCCCACGCTATCATCTTCGCACTTGGCTTTATGTGTCCGCGTTCCACAGAGAAATCGCGGTGCGCCTCATCTTCCACACGGTCGACCTCTACTTCGGCGAGGACCAAGACCTCAACCGTGGCCTCGACATATTCGACCGGGTGAAGGCGGACCCGGTGTTCGCCAGCCGTGTAAAATGTCTCCGTCTACACTGGGCGTACGAGGAGAATGATATGTTTGATCTCATGACGAGTAAGTACTTTCATTTCCCACTCCACTTGATGCGCCTGGCACTCACCGCGTGGTTCTCAGGAATGTTCAGGTCCGCATTGCCTGCCTTTAACGCCCTTCGCGAATTCGAATGGATAGGTTATCCGGAGCTGCGAGCGGAGATGGTGCAAGCAGTCCTAGAAACTCACCCCAAGCTTCAGTCCCTCGGTCTGATAGGCTGGCACTTCGACGCTGTTGGCGTGGTACGCTCTGAGATCTTATTAATTTTTTGTCAACTCCCTGATGCATATATGCGCCAGTCTGCGTTCCGCGGCCTTCGGAAGTTCATCCTGCGGGCCGAAGACGACGATGGCTTCGCCGACATGGGCGAAGTCCGTACTGTTCTCGACCAAAACCAGGGGACGCTCCGGCACCTCACTCTGGGCGCCTACCTTCAGCGGAATCATTCATGGGACCACGCGTTCCAGTCCGCAACTATCCGCAATCTCACGCATCTAGAGCTAGTCGACACCCGCATCTCGCATGTCGTCCTTGCGCGGATAGCCCATGCACACCGGCTCGAGAGTCTGACGCTCCACGGCACGTTCGAGGAGCCCTGCTCGGCGAGCGTTGTGTTCGGGAGCGATCATGTTATCGATGGCGTCCACACGTTCCTCCCCCATCTGGAGGAGTTCCGCTTTATCATGGTTGGCCACGACGACGACATCAATTTGTTCCAATCGGTGACGCAATTTCTTCGCCAACGGCCGAAGTTACGGAGACTTGACTTGGGTTGTTGTCCGTGGGACCTCGTCCACGGCGTGCTCTCAAACTTGACCGACCTGCGGGCACTTCGGGTACGCATCGCGAACCTCAACGACACCTCGCTACGTGCCCTGCTAGACGCGATCCCGAAAGCCATGACGGCCCTCCATCTGGAGACCTCCGTGTCTTCCAAACCCATCGTACGTTTATCTTTCGCCCCCTCTATGCATACCAAATTGACCTTGCCGTATAGCATGAATACGCCCCCGCATTCTCCCTCTTCCCGTCCCTCACCATGCTGCACCTCAACGGTAACCGGCGCCGTCCACAACCGAACCTCCTCTCCGACAAGGAGTTCCAAATGCAGACGGAGCTCTGGGGGTCCAGCGCGCGGAGCATCGCCCACGCGCTACCCACGATCGACTTCGTCGGTTGGCACGGCGAGCATTACGTCGTCGTGCGCGACTCGAGCTCGGGCAAGTCGGAGAAGGTCGAGCTGAAGGAGCTGCCGTCGCGGCGGCGGCTGGACTGCGCGAAGGGCGTCGACTTGGGCACGGACGACGCGGCGTGGACCGAGCGCAAGGACCTCCCGATGGACTACGAGATGCCGGGGCTGCAGCAGACGTAGAGCGCGCGCCTGTGCAGTGTGTCTTCCGTTTGTGTCGCTTTGTCGCTGTCGTTGTCGTTTGCTAGTTTAGCTGCATGTTATGTCGGGTTTGCGTGTCGCATGTATCATCACAGGGATATTCAGAAATATCAATCTCCTTCCCCACGGTCCTGTTCATTTGTGTACATTTGAACTACATCCGTGAGCGTCATCTATTAGTGACCTATCCTTGCGATGGACCGTATTCTGAAAAAATGCTAGTGATGTTCGAACTCTGTTGCTAGACAAAACAATACCAAAAGTGCAAAATGGACATGTCCGGGATTGAACCGGACCCCTCTCGCAAGCTGACATTCATGCTAAGCGAGCGTGATAACCAACTACACCACATGCCCTTGCATAGGGGCTCGACCGGTTAGTTCTGGCCCATATGAGCGTTAAACAATATGCATTGAATAGGGCCAACTTCGGCCAGCCCTCCATTTCAAGTATCCGCCCTGCCGTCACCAAATTCCGATATCTGGTCTCTCATCCTCCTCCACTACCCTGTACTTTCGTCGCGACAACCATGGACAAGTCCGCATATGAAGTCGTCATGCGCTCCCGGGACCTTCAACCGTACAAGCAACGCGATGGAACCGTAGAGGTCTAGTGAGCTGCTGCTGAGACTCCAACTGGCGACGAGGATTTCCTTCTTCCGTTCACGCTACTACATCCCAGATGGAGGGCTCTGGAAGACTGCTAATCCTTTCTTATCTATGGCGACATCGAGCTCAACGACCTGCCCTCAGCGTCGAGATTATTAAGCCTGAGCTGAGTAAGTTGCCGGCGCGATCTCGCACGGCGCGAACTGCGAAGCGTAGCATCCCAGGCTCCCTATAAAAGGCGTCCGAAGGGCGACGACCTACTCACCAGTTCACCCACAACATCACTCTTCATACTCTCTTCAATAACCTCTAGGCCTAAATGCCAGGCACCACACGTCTTCCAGCGCTCTTCCAGCCCATCCAGGTCGGAGACATCACGCTTGGCCATCGCGTAGTCTTCGCACCTCTCACTCGTCTCCGTGCAAACAAACACGGTGTACATGCCGACATCGGAACAGAGTACTACACGCAGCGCGCGTCTGTTCCCGGAACTCTGCTCATCTCTGAGGCGACGTACGTCGGGTCTTCCGCGCAAGGACGCTCCCCGAACGCCCCGGGGATATACACGGAAGACCAGATAAATTCTTGGAAACGCGTAAGTGTTCGCAAAAGATGTTCGCCGAGTGTTGATTATAATACTCCAATGACAGATTACGGATGCCGTGCACGCGAAAGGGTCGTTCATCTATATGCAGATTTGGGCGTTGGGACGCGCCGCGAGGATAACGGAGCTTCGCAAGGAGCAGCCCGATTTCCCATACGTCTCTGCGTCGGACGTGCCTCTCACCGGAAGAACCGACATTCCGCGCCCACTTACCATAGCAGGTTAGCTTTTCTCTAGACGAAATAATGATAGTGCTAATTTTTATGCGTGAGTAGAGATTAAGTCGCATGTCGAAGCGTTCGCCGAAGCGGCGCGAAATGCTGTCCACAAAGCGGGCTTTGACGGCGTTGAGGTCCACTGCGCCCATGGATATCTCATCGACCAGTTCCTCCAGGAGATGTCGAACAGGCGCACCGACGAGTACGGGGGCTCGGTCGAGAATAGGTGCCGATTCGCTCTGGAGATTGTTGATGCCGTGAGTCGTGCCATCGGTGAGGAGAAAACGGCTGTACGCATCAGCCCATGGAGCGAATTCCAAGGTAAGCCTTGAGAAATGTGTTATAATGCGCATATATTCACTCAACAAACTCGTGTAGATATGCGCATGCCGGACCCCCTGCCGACTTTCACCTATCTCGTGTCTCGTCTTGCGTCAGACCATCCCAACCTAGCGTTCCTCCATGTAGTGGAGCCGGAGGTATCTGGGGCCGTGGACAGAACTGTCAAGGAGGGCGAAGTAGGTCCCTAGTCCCCTGCTTCGATATCGTGACTCACATGTGCTCTTTCTGCAGTCCAACGAGTTCATCCGCAAGATTTGGCAACCTCGCGCGCTAGTCAGCGCGGGTGGTTACACGCGCGAGCGTGCACTGCAGGTAGCGGAAGAGACCGGTCAACTCATCGCGTTCGGAAGGCCGTTCATCAGCAACGTATGTCACAGTGCGTTTATTTTAGCGCAGGCATTTTTCTAACTACGCCCTGTATAGCCCGATCTACCCCGCCGTCTGCTCAAGAACATACCACTGGCCAGCTGGGAGGATCGGGAATTCTACTATACCCCGGAGGAGCCACGTGGGTACATCGATTACCCGGCTGCTGACGACGAGGAACGCTCGTCTTAGAGACTTAGACGGACCAACTCCCATCGATATCACGTTTCAATTTAGAATCATATGCCCGCATATGCTAGGGACGCTGACACGCTAATGACACGAGAGCTTGAGCTATTGCGTACGGCCTGGAGCCTCAGAAACTGTCAGATGGTGCGAGAATTCCAACTTGGCGGTCCGGAATGTGAGAGAAAGAAGCAGTACGTGGAGGTAGGTGGTCGAGATGCCTTAGTAAGTGCGCCGACTTGTCAAGACAGCGGGAAAACATATCTAAACGCCTTCTCAGCAGAAGTATTTATAGGTGGCTACACCATGTCTCGTTAGACCCAAAGTCCTAGACGGCTTTCCCTTTTGCTCGAGTACTGCACTCAGAGACTCTCCCCCGCTTTCGAGAACATGTCAGAGCCCGGCGAAGCGGTACCAAAGCTCTTCCAGCCCGTCAAGATCGGCGACGTGACGGCGGGGCATCGTGTCGTCCTCGCGCCGCTCACCCGCTGTCGCGCGAACAGCAAGCACGTTCACACCGACCTCGCCGTAACGTACTACGCGCAACGCGCCTCCGTCCCGGGCACCGTGCTGATTTCCGAGGCGACGTTCATCGCGCCCTACGCGGGGCTATATGCGCACGTTCCGGGCATATGGAGCGAGGAGCAAGTCGCATCGTGGAGAAAGGCAAGTCCACGACCATCGTAACCGCACAATCTCCGCTGACTGAAGGCTCCACGCAGATCGTAGACGCGGTGCACGCGAAGGGATCGTACATCTATCTCCAACTTTGGGCACTCGGACGCGCTGCCAATCCCGCCGAACTCCGAGAAGAGAACCCAGATTACCCGTATGTCTCTGCGTCGGACGTCCCACTCCCTGAGAAGTCCGATGGCGAAGCCCCGCGCCCGTTGACGATCCCAGGTGAGATCCGATGAACTCCTTCCGTACGACTGGTCTGCTAACGGCTACGAAGAGATTAAGCAGTATGTAGAAGCGTACGCTCAGGCCGCACGCAATGCTGTGTATGGCGCGGGCTTCGATGGTGTCGAAGTCCACTGCGCACACGGGTACCTCATCGACCAGTTCATACAAGACACTTCAAACAAGCGCACGGACGAGTATGGCGGATCCATCGAGAACCGCTGCAGGTTTGCGCTCGAGGCAATCGATGCTGTCGTGAACGCTATCGGGGAGGCCAAGACAGGCTTTAGGCTGAGTCCATGGAGCACCTTCCAAGGTATGCGTTTGCAGTGCGGATGTCGTCCACAGAGTCTAATATCGTTTGGATTTCTGTAGGCATGAGGATGGCGGACCCGATACCGACATTCACCTATCTCGTCACCAAGCTTGCGCAGGACTATCCGGATCTCGCCTTCCTACACCAGGTTGAGCCGGGTGTAGCTGGAGGGTGGGACATCGACGCAAAGACCGGCGAGGTGCGTGGTGGCTCTGTCACTTGACACTAGTGTCTGTGACGCCGACGCTGATGGACCGCATTGCTCAGTCAAACGACTTCATCCGCAAGATATGGTTCCCGCGGCCGCTGATTTCTGCCGGCCGGTACACACGCGAGTCAGCCATCGCGCGCGTGGAGGAGACGGGAGAGCTCACAGCGTTCGGCCGACTCTTCATATCCAACGTAAGTCCTCGGGCTCGGGCTAAGTGAGACTCTGCTCACCTATACGATTCGCTAGCCGGACTTGCCTCTGCGTCTGCGCAAGAATTTGCCCCTGAATGGTTGGGACCGCGCGGTCTACCACCTGCCGGAGGAACCGCACGGGTACATCGACTACCCGTTCGCGGACGAGAACCGCGAGGAACTGGGGGTATAGAGGCTGTGGAAGTCGTGTGGAACGCGATTGTGACGAAGGTTAATGTTCACTCGTCGTTCCGCTCTGTCATATAGTGTAGATGTAACAACGTACCACTGACTCAATATCTCGCAGACTTCTGGGTGCTCTCGATGCGGTGAATCCGAGTCTGGGACAGACGCTGCATGATAGTGCGGGAACAATCCCGTTGGTGCGGCACGCGATGAGAGAAAGAAGCGAGCAATCGTAGTAGAGCCTTAGTAAGTCGCAATACGTGCGTGTGGTCCCGCAGTGTTCAGACGGGGCCGGAGCCCTGAGTATATGTCTAGCCTTTCCTGAGTCAGACGTGTTTCCATAGATATATAAGGCGGACCAGGTGCGTTTGATGTTGTGTATACACAGATCATTCGCCTCCGATATGACCCTGTCGCACGAAGGCCCCCCTTCATCCGATTATCTTGTCTCCACCTCACACATGGCAACTCTCAGCGAGCCTGTCCCCAAGCTTTTCCAGCCCATCAAAGTCGGGGATATGACCCTCGGCCACCGTGTGGTCATGGCGCCGCTCACGCGCGGACGTGCAACGAAGAAGCACGTCCATACGGACCTCGCGGTGACCTACTACGCTCAACGCGCCTCCGTCCCCGGCACCCTCATCGTCGCGGAGGCGACCTTCATTGCCCCTCGCGCGGGGCTCTACGACCACGTGCCTGGAGTGTGGAACGACGAGCAAATCGCTGCGTGGAAGAAGGATAGTAGTCATGGGGTCGCTTCGGTCTTGTGTTGTGGGCTAACTCTGCTTGGGTCGATAGATCACAGACGCGATACACGCAAAGGGGTCATACATATACCTTCAACTTTGGGCGCATGGCCGCGCTGCGGACCTCGCGGTGCTGAGAGCAGAAAACCCCGACTACCCGTATGTCTCGTCGTCGGATATTCCGCTGTCATCCGGGAAGAATGGGGAGAAGCCGCGTCCGCTTACGATTCCAGGTGCGACGCCCTCGGATTATGTTCGCAGATGAGATGGGCTTACGAAATATGCATAGAAATCAAGGAGTACGTCGAGACGTACGCGCAGGCGTCTCGAGACGCCGTGTTCAGCGCAGGATTCGATGGCGTTGAAGTCCACTGTGCACATGGGTATCTGGTCGACCAGTTTATCCAGGATACCTGTAACAAGCGGACGGATGAGTATGGCGGTTCGATCGAGAACCGGTGCAGGTTCGCGCTCGAGGTCATTGACGCTGTCGTGGAGGCCGTTGGACCGACAAAGACAGGCTTCAGGCTTAGCCCATGGAGCACGTTCCAAGGTAAGATACGACCTCGGACCTACTTTGAACGTTCGGTACTGATGAGTGGTGCACCTCCAAGACATGCGGATGGACGACCCCGTACCGACCTTCACCTACCTGGTCTCCGAGGTCGTAGAGACCCATCCCGATCTGGCATTCATCCACTTAGTGGAGCCTGGCGTGGGTGGGGGCAGCGATATCGAAGCCAAGGCGGGCGAGGTAAGCCCTGCCGCATTCACCCTGGTATCCGAACCCGGACACTTAAATGCCACTCATGTCAGTCAAACGACTTCATTCGCAAACTGTGGCTCCCGCGGCCTCTGATCACTGCGGGTCGGTACACGCGTGAGTTAGCTATCGCCCGTGCTGAGGAGATTCCGGGCGAGCTTCCTGCATTTGGACGGCTCTTCATCTCTAACGTAAGTTGTTCTATCTTCCCTTGGAGGCTTCACTTGTTGACAGCAACGGATCGGTAATACTATAGCCTGACTTGCCCCTGCGATTGCGCAAGAATCTGCTGTTGACCCCCTGGAATCGGGCTGTCTACTATACACCAGAGGATCCGCATGGGTACACCGACTACCCATTCGCAGAGGAGAATTGTGAGGAACGGGGGGTGTAGAAGTTAGCGAAGTTGAGCTTGGATGAGGGAGATAAATCGCTCGCCACTACTGAGATGATAGAATCCGCTGGTAAATCGGTGTAGCAAGATAGAGCTTGTTCTGATTATTCGATCTTTTGCGCGACCAATGTAGCTTTGCATGGCACGGCCGTGGCAAGAGCTGGTGAGAGACTTAGTCTAAGTCCCAAAAAAGACCCGAACGATTTTGGTCAGCGACTTCAGGTAAGTACTTCGGGGATATCCCCGGAGTTGCGGCCCGGGTGCTAATATGATGCGCAGGCGCTGGATTGTACGCAGGCGCTGCGGCGCCGGGTGTACTCTTTCTTGCCTTCGACCACGACCTCTCGACGCGTCCATTGCTCTTCTTCTCCCCGGCGGACCATCTGAAGAGGACGAAACGGACCGCCTTTTCTCACGTCCGCATTGGAATACGAAGGATGGGGTACGCAGCGCTGTATGGGACGCAGACCGCATTGCTCTTCGTAGCCAGGTGCGAACACCACAGGAACTGAAACGGCGTGCTTTTCCTGACATTGCGTGGACAAGAGGCTCGTTGTTCTATGCATGCAGAAGATATCTCCTTCATAATTTATACCACGACCTGCAAGACTTATCTGCGAAAGCAACGTCCGACCAGAACACTACTCTCGTGTTCGATGCTGGAGAGACCGAGCTAGAAACGCTGCCCACATCAGCTACTTCACCCAGCACGCCCTCCGGGACCCCTCGCAAGCGGCCTTTTCATTCTGCTTTGTCGCGAGCCCTATTCTCGCTCTGCTTCTCTGAGGCATGTATGCTGTTCTTGCTGCTCATATGCCAAGCATTGGATATAAGTCACACCCGGTATGTACATTAAGAGTATGTTCCGTCTTTCTCTGGGCATCTTCCACTCAAGCTTTCGATTAGGGTCCGGTTGATACACTGGCAAATCTCCCTATCCCTGCTACTCGTCGCCATTGTGCTCGTCATCCCCCTGTCATACAGTATAGTGCTCAGCAATGGCTCAGCCCCACTCGGCGGTGAGAGGCTTCTAGAGTTGGTCTCAACGTGTGTTGATTGTCCGCAGTATCGCCTACGCGTCAACAGATCCTCTCGCCGAGCCTAGCTCTGTACTTGGTACCTAATGTTCTTTTCCTGCTGGCCTTGTCATGCATTCCTCTACCGGATGGGATGCCCACACACACCGTCCTGGCTTCGACTCTCTCGCGTTTGACTGTGATTGGAACCGTCTTCCTCGGTCTCCTGTCTGGGTTTGGTGCAATATACACAGCGTGGGACTTCTTCCCAGTCTTTTCTCGGAACGCTAAGTGCGCATATATGCTACTTGCTCGACTATGAACTCATGATGTCCAGTATAGGTCACAACCTACGGACGACGAAGTCCGTGCTGCTGAGGGGGGCCTACGGCGCATCCAGGAAGATCTTGCCCAACGTCAGAAGGATCTCCAAAGGGTCGAGACCACAAACGTCAGTACCACTGGTTGGGTCATGTAACACATTCTCTCATGCACGTATCAGCAGCCCAAGAACCAATCGAGCTGGCTATCCAGAAACATTTCGAACTTGCAGGGCAACAGCGGTATGCAAAATCCCTTCTTCCAACGGCCGAAGCCAACTGACGGCAAATGTGTTTTAGAGGAGTCGTCATTGGCTCAAGAAATAACGGGTCTGCGGGCACTCGAATACGAGATGTCTCGGAATGTGGAGGTCCTCAAGCAACGACAAGCCGACGCGAAATTCAATAGGACGTTGGCTGGACAGGCCTTCAACTGGGGCGGACGCCTTTTTGCGGTTTATTGCATATACCGCGTTCTCGCTGTACGTCCGACGATACGCTTGCCAATTCGCCCCGCTTTAGGCACCTGCTTATCCTTCTGGTAGTGCTTACTGAACCTCGTCCTACCCCGCGCCCCGCCTTCCGCGCCGGGTGAATCAAGTACCACGAATGCGGATATAGTCAGCTTTGTGCTTGCGTACCTGCTTTCCTACCTCCCCTTCATCCATCTTCCCGAAGACAAGATCTCCGTCATCTCACGCCAGATCAGCTTGGGTTTAGTGGGCGCTATTATCCTCAGTAGCATTCGTCGAGTGCTGCGTGGAGTGTCCAGGGTACGTTTAATTCGCTGCGTCTCCCTCGTTGTTGGCAAACTTACACCGTCCACGTACAGCTTTTGCGGGTGACCAGTAGATCTCTTGGCGCTTCGCTGATGCTACTCACGCTCGCGCAAGTCATGGTGAGCAGTCTGCCCGAGCATGGGCCCCCATAGGACGATGCTAACATAACACATTATCCTAGGGCATCTACCTGCTCTCAACGCTCATCCAGCTGCGGACCGCATTCCCTCCGCCGCCAGCACGGCCCGATATGGACCCGGACGTGGGCATCTCCAACCTGTTCTCGACCCTGCCCGAGTGGCAGTTCTTCGGTTCGCTGTTCGACGGGGCGTTTCTCCTCGCCGCCGCTGTGAGTGCGGCTGTGCGCTGGCTCGGGGATAGAGTGACGGGGTAGAAAATAGAGACACGGGCGAGTTAATGCATCTCCGGCGAGTGTTCCAAGACTCGGTTTGACCCTTCTCGTCAGAGCGATCGCTGTTGTTGCACAATACAACTGTTTCCATGCGCTGATACACTATTGAACCACAAAGCGTTAGTAAAGGCGGACCGGTCTACGAAATACGGGGGACTCGGAGTGGTATGCGGAGTGGTTTAATCTTAGCTTCTCACAACTAGTGAAACATAAGCGGTGAGTAGTTCACTAGATGACCTGCGCCAGCCAATGATGCAAAGCTAATACGGCACCACGTACCCATCAAGGCCGATTGATCAGACTTCCAGGATTCAGAGAGATGAACGGATTCGCCAGCCGGGGATGCGCGGGTTGACCAAATCACTGGAAGATGATACGGATGAAGACATCCTGAAAGACCGTTTCGCCTCGTTGCGACGTGTCATCGACGTTGCCGACCTCTTGCGACGTCGTACCGTGGTGTTTTCAGACATGGACAACCTCGTCCCTACGGGAGGCGACCACTTCGAACGCGCGCTAACGCCACTACGCCACCAGCTTGAGCTGGTCACATTCACCCTCGCTGCGCATTTCATCCAAGACACAAACACCGGCCATCACACCGATCCAAAGTGTCGGAACGGTGAAATTACAAGTACAGGGGATGCCGAAAGTACAAGCACGAAGAGGGAGCTCTTGGAATGCAACCAAGCTGCTTGGCGAGATGATCGTGACCACCCGTTCTTAGTACGGTTTTGGAGTGCCGCTTATATTTTCCGCCCGATAGCATCAACTCCGCCCAGGCGGACACTCGTTCTGGTGCAGTACTCCAATACGAAACTCCGACGGCAGTACTTGCCAAGAGGCGGGGTGCGACGGGTTGCGCTCAGGCGAGCTGAGCATCATTGGCAACCTTGGCCAAGTTGTAGTGGCGAAGACAACATAATATCAGAAGATATGCAGCTCGCGCCCCCGTCCCGCCGACCCCCACCATGGCCCTCCCCACCCTCCTTTGCACCGTCCTCGCCGCCCTGGGCGGCGTGCAGGCCGTTACCGTCTACGGCCAGACCCCGCTTGTAACCGCTACCTCACTCGCACCTGGGGCATCCTACACTGGGCTTGCTGCCTATGACACCCGGATACTGGACCCGCCGCCGCTACCCGAGCCGCGCCCGCCTACCCAGTTCGGAATCCAGCTCTCGGCGACCTCGAATAACGTCCAGGGCCTCTCCATACCCCTCAGCGGAGCATTCTATGGTTTCTCGGTGGAGATGTCCGTCGTGACACAAGTTAGTGAGTATACGAGACCATACATCTTGCCATTGTGAAGGAGAGGATCAGCCAGACATTGCTATCCATTGCTACATATGAGGGGTGCCTATGACCTCAGGTAACGGTGAGCTGAGAACTCAGGTAGGCTTGTGAACAGTCGCGGGATAACTCGCACCTCTGGAGACAATGACAATCTTGAAACATGACGGTATCTATGAAGATGACACTGGACGATGATTTCATACTCTACCGTTTGACATGCAACTTGAATGCCGACGCTGACCCAAACCCATGTGCACACTGTAGTTGGATTGAATGGGTGAGCCGTTCTGTATCTTCCAGCGCCGGAAAGGGACTCACGTAGTACCAGCTCGTTCATTCACCCGCCCTTCTTGAACATGATGTCGCTCATCGCGGAGCGCGCGGGACGTGTGCATGTCCGTGTGGGAGGTAACACCCAAGACTTCGCCCGCATGGTTCCGTCCCTGGCAGATGGCAAGGCGATCGAGAAGCAGGTGGTCAACACAAACAACCCGGTATGTCTGTCCTCACTCTCAACTTGACGGTCGCGCTGATCTCATGGGTATGACAGACGCAAACCCCCGGGCTGCTGTATACAACGGAGATTCTATATCTGCTGTCTAACATCTCGTCTTTGACGAACGTGAAGTGGTATCTTGGCGTACCGCTCAACGACTCGGCAAACCTGGCACTCGATATCGTCCCGTGGGGCGAGCGCATCCTAGGCGACAGCTTGCTTGGTTTCCAAGTTGGTAACGAGCCGGACTTGTACCAGAGGTATGCGCCTGCGTGTCACAAGGGTTGCCTCAGATCATTGACTGCGACTACAGACACGGGCATCGCGTTGAAGGTTACGGACCATTCGACTACTTTGGGGAGTTTGGCGACGTGATTGCAGGCATCAAGGCTCTCAACGTCGACGTCGCGAACAACTTGATTGGCCCAAGTTTGGCGACAGGAGATTGGTACCCCGAGGGTGTGTTGTAGATCGGGCGTGTGTGGACTCTACTCATGTCAACCACCCCGCAGACATCTGGAACACCGGCTTCATCCCGGCGTATACTGAGTCTCTTGGAGCGCTGACTGTCGAACAGTGAGCGCATCGATACACAAACGTAGGACGTTCCACTGACCCTTCCAAGTTACCCCGATGACAACTGTGCCGCCTTGTACGAAGGCTTCGGCACTCCTGTGGACCCTCAACAGGAGTTTGCGCGATACCTGAACCACACTGCAGGCAAAGACATCGTCAGCATCTACCTGAACTCGACCAATATCGCGCAGCAGGCGGGCAAGCCGTTCATCATGTTCGAGACTAACACGGCGTCATGCGGCGGTTTCCCGGGGATCAGTACAAGTTTCGGCGCGGCGTTGTGGGCGATCGACTATGGCTTGACGATGGCATACAGCAACTTCTCGCACGCCCTGCTGCACGTCGGTGGTCAGAATGTGTACTATAACGTGAGCGTTTCGCTGCGCGCACCGAGGCACCAGGACACTGACTGCGATTCATTCCACAGCCCTTCACAGGTATTCTAGGGGATGTTTACCCACACCCGCACTTGACTAACATCGCGCTTGAATAGCCGTGCCCACAAACCAGTCGTCCTTCAACGAGTGGACTGTCGGCCCCATCTTCTACTCCGTGCTCGCAGTCTCAGAGACGCTCGGGTCCTCCAACAATTCGCGGATCATCGACCTTAACCAGAATGAGGGCAACATCTTCACGCCCGGCTACGCCATATACGAGAACGACAACCTCGCGCGCCTGGCCCTCATCAACTTCATGACGGACTCCTCCGGCGCCAACGACTACACCGCGACCATCTCAATCGGTGGCGGAGAGTCTGGCCAGCCGAACGGCACCCCTGCGCAGATTCAAGTGAAGTAAGTGTCGTGAATGTCAACCGCACGATTGAATGTCGACTCATATGCAATGCCACAGGTACCTCGTCGCGCCCTCCGTTGGCGACAAGTGGAACGTCACCTGGGGCGGTCAGTCGATGGGCGGGCAGTTCGAGGCCGACGGGCGGCTCAAGGGCGAGCTCAAGATCGAGACCATCCAGTGCGATCAAGCAGCAAATACCTGCCAGGTGAAGGTCCCCGCACCGGGCTTCGCGCTCGTGTTCATGACGGAGGAGGCGATGAGGGAGTCTGAGCCCGCGAGCACCGCGACGTTCGCGACGACCGCGATCACGAAGGCGAAGAACACGGCGACCATCGACCAGGCCGTGCTCGCGACGTCGAACGGGAACAAGGGCATGCAGGGCCGCTACGGAAGCACAAGCGCTGGGAGCAACGCCGCGCCGAGAGCGGCGGGCGCGTACCCCGGCGCCGTGGCGTTGTTGGCGGTGGTCGCCGGCGCGGAGGTTGTCCGGAGGGCCATCTCGCGGCATGTTTAGTGTAGGGCTGCATGGCTGCTTGATAGGGCTCGAGACAGCCTCAATTTGCTTTACGCGACTGCCTTGTCGCATGTCTGTCGTTTCACATATACCTACCTATATTATTTGTGCAGTTACTGTCAGTGTCAATCCATGGATGTACTTGAACTTGGAACTCACCGAATAAGCCATCGTTGCGGATATCCGCTATGCGACGGGCATACAAAGCACTGGGAAAAGTCATAAAGTACGATGTGCATTATCGAAAACGTCGTGACGAAGTAGTGATGTGATGTAGGCTACGAATACAAGTGGTTCTATCCATAACAATGCCGAAGTCCATGTCCAAGAATTACTGTCTGTAACACTAAAATGCATGCAAAAGCGTCCGTCTCGCCGGCCGAGAGCAAGGTCCATTGTCCGTGACACTATCGCAGGAGAACCAAAGCACCGAAGAACAGCGAAGCGAGCGAGAGCGAGAGCGGGACGCCGATCGCAGTCGCACCACCGCTAGAGCCCTTGCTCGTACCCGACAAGGGTAGCTTGCCACCGTGGCCGTTGCTTGTTGCAAGCGCGCTCGCGGCAACGGTAAGCGTTTCGGCGGCCTTCGTGACTGCCGTCGTGGAGAAAGTCATGGTCGTGGGGTCGGCGTTAGTTTGCGCGTCGCTGGAGAGGAAGACGAGAGCCACGCCGGGAGCTGGCACTGGTATTTGACAGGTGTTCGCACCCTGATCGCACGTAATGGTCTGGACGAACTCCTGTCCGGACAGACGGCCGTCCGCTTGGAAGCGACCACCGAACGTCTGAGAGGATACTCAGCTCGACAATCAAAACAGGAGATGTCATCAGGACGCACCTGATTTGCCCATGTAATCTGCTCTTTCTCGCTGACAGACGGGGCAAGCAGATACCTGCAACAAAGTTAGGGACAGCAGCATCGTGACCGACGGAGGCAACATACTTGACTTTCACCTGCGCTGGCGTGTCGTTCGGCTCGCCAACTTGGTTGCCGCCAATTGAAAGCGTGACATTGTACCCAGCGGTCTGCCCATCCATGAAGTTGATGAGCGCGATGCGAGCAAGAGCATGTTCCTCGTAAATTGCATAGGCGGGCGTGAACGGATTGGCGTCGTTAGGGAGCAGATCGACAACGCGAGAGCTGTTGGTGGTTCCCAGCGCCTCGGCCATGAAAAGGGTGGAATAGAAAACAGGTCCGACAGTCCATTGGTCGAAAACGGAAAGGTTAGTTGGAGGCGCTATACGGTGTATGTTAGCCGTAGTCCGAGGACAATCGCGGGAAGACAGACTGACGTGTGAAAGGCTGCGCGAGATCGTTCGTCAGCGCAGGGGGTGGCAAAAAGATACAGTGCATGCTTACGTTGTACGAAACATTCTGACCACCAACGTGGAGCAGAGCACCAGTGAAGTTGCTGTACGCCATCTGCAGACCGTAGTCCACGGCCCAGATAGCCGAGCCAAAGCTGTCGCTGACACCAGGGAAACCTCCGCAGGACGCAGTGTTCGTCTCGAACATCATGAACTCCTTCCCGAGCTGCTGGGCAATGCCCGCCGTGTTCAGATAGGGTTTGACGAGATTCTGACCGGAGGCATGGGAGAGATAGTTCGGGAAGACAGTCTGCGGATCTTTGATGGGTCCGAAGGTGCCGTCAGGGAATTCGGCTGCACAGTTTTGGTCGGGGTAACTGCAAACAACTGTTGAGCATCACAAAAAGATAGGGTCGTGAAATGTGCACATACTGTTCCATAGCGATGACACTCATTGATGAAGCATACGAATCGAGGAAACCAGTAGCGAAAAGATCTTCGGGGCTCCAAGTACCCTGCAGACTGGGTGCGATAAGCTTGTTCTTGTTCGTAATCTTCGTATCTTGCTGCACGGCGTCCACAACAACTCCAAATTCGGTTTTGTAGTCATTCTGGTCATAATCTGCCGGTCTGTGTCCGTGACTAGAACGCGTGATGAGACTCGGCGACATGGACAAGAGAATGGGAGCACATACTCCGCGTAAAGGTCAGGTTCGTTACCAACTTGATATCCTAGTACATTGTCACCGAGAATGGCGTCTGCAGCTTCTGCGATCTGAAGCCTGAGGTTGGACGTGTCGTTCATCGGTATACCTATGTACGCCGCAATCAGTATCTGTCAGAGTCACCGGTGGAATCTCAAGTACCCAGATACCACTTCGCGTTCACTAGCGCAGAGATATTAGACAGGAGATGCAGCAGCTCCGGCGTGTAGAGCAGCGTGGGCGTCGCGTCCTGTGCAAAATCACCGCCCGTAAGCGCGTGCATGCGAGCGACGCTATGCTAGGTAGTGCATACCCCTTTCGCAGACGAGCTCGGAGCAGACTTAGCCTTCTCGATCATGGCGTTGTCGGCCAGGCTGTCTACAAGCGTAGCCGTCTCCTGCGTGTTACCACCTACTCGGATGCGCACACTGCCCGCGCGCTCTACTACCGCAGCGAGGAGGTTGAGGAAGGGAACCTGGATAAATGACCTGGGCGCGCGTTTCAGATCAGCCACTCCGACGGGCGGCGGTCTAGGGTCGCGAGTAGGGACTTACGCATTCTTGCCGACTGCAGGCGTGCATACTGTCAGAGGGACTCATGCACCGGGACAAAGACGCTACTCACTGACTTGCTGCACGACGGACATCTCGATCGAAAACCCCCAGAAGTCCCCTCGCTGAGGGATGGACAGACCAGGCATGTTCTGGGCCTGGCTAGGGATCGCGATTGAAAATGCCGTCGGAGGCAATGGCGACGGCAGCGGCGGGGGTTGTAGCCGGACATTATTGTAAGCATTCAGCTTGTTCGTCCAATCCGCGTTGCCCAATGTTGCCGAGGGCGCCGCCCCCGAGGAAGCTGGTGTCCCTTGGGCACCCAAGGGCCCGTACACAGTCACCGCGGAGACCACATAGCACCACTGAGACGCCAGAAGGAGCAGGACACCTAGAGGACCAAGGCGAAACATAGCGTCAACAGCCCGCAAAGAAGAAGAAAAAGGTGGGGAGGGGGGCTGAAAACGCACGCGAGGAGGACCTACGTTTTATATAGACAGCGGACCCGACTGGCCAGATACCGCGTTGTGCGGCTTGCACTGACCGCGCCCGTGGTCAAGATCAGGACGCCGGTTCTCGGGATCGGGCTCGATGCACCTTCTCGATATCCCGCAAAAACCCTGGCCGCGGCTGTGCACTTCCCGCAATCGTGGCTTTTGCTCAAGCAGCGCGCTAGCACAGCCCGATAGAGATCCGACCCTTCAGGTACTGCATGGGGATAAGCGCCTGGGCTAGGCTAGTCGAGCTTAGGGGACTCACATATGACCACACTTTGCGGGGAATGACGGCATGGCGGGAAGCGGAAGGCTCAACGTTACTTAGCATGCATCTGGGCGAGCTGTTTGCTTAGCTTGAATAGTCCGGGAGCTTCAGAGGAGTGAGCCGTAGACACTGGAAGAAGTGAGCATGGTCGCCGCATGCATATGATGAAACTCAGGTCTGATGGCGACTAGACCAGCATCACGATCACCTATTTACAGCCCGCCATTCGAGAGAGAGAAAGATACCACATGTAGTATGGGTTTCCCTATCGTCGACGAGTATCGCTTGCATGATTGCTTAGTTGCGTAGCGGGCTTCTCATCATCCTCGAGAAGAGCCATGTATGCGCATGCGTTCATGAGAACTCGGTACAATTTGTGCCTGTCGGTCATTCAACATCAATCCATTGTACCGGACAGCACCAACCAGAAGGAGTTATCGGTGGGAAACTCACCAGATTGCGGTCTTGCGCAGGCGCTGTGGTATCGAGCAACGTCCCGACATTCTCGAACTTGGGATTTCAAAGGCGGTGTTTACCGGGTGCCATTGGATTGTCAGGGCCGATGACTATCGCATCCCTCATATCCCATGGCCAGCGTGAGGTAGGCCTGCGGGGTAGACGAAGGGCGAAGTCGACTTGCGCCCACAACCATACAATAGCCGCAAGTTTGGTCAAAGATTTGATTGCTTGTAAGCCTATCGCAAGGGTTTTCAGGCTCTAACTCGAGATGGCTTCCGTACCTTGTCAGCCGTGCCAAGGACAGTGATGAGGGACAGTGACGACGCGCTGCGCCACGACGCTCCGCGACGGCGTTACAGAGGAAATCAGTAACATTAAGAGAGCAGATACTGCGGTACCTCTACACTCCAATCATCGTATGCTCGTGGCCTAGAAGAGTCCAACGGCGCCGGCACCATCGCCCGCCAGCGTCCAAAGTAATAGATACAGTCCAGTCTAACCAAACCGCAGAGGTTAAACATTATGAGGAAGGTGCGGGGAGGGGCTACCGCCATGCTGCTGCCGCGAGAACGGATGCGCCGGTGATGACCATCGCGAGCAGCGTGAGGCCGGGTGCGACTGTGCGTCCCGCGCCGCTACTGCCCTTGCTCGTGCTTGAGAGTGAGCGGCCAGAGCCGCTCTGGCCGTTGCTCGTCGCGAGTACGCTGGCGTCGATTGTCACCGTGTTTGCCGTCTTCGTGACCGCGGTGGTGGCGAACGTAGCCGTTGCCGTCGGGTCAACCGCCGCCTGTGCGTCCGAGGAGAGGTACACGAGCGCGACGCCGGGTGCGGGCACGGTAATCAAGCAGGTGTTTGCGGTGGTGTCGCAGTTGACCGTCTCAATGACCTCAGTGCCAGTCAGACGGCCGTCAGCCTCGAAGCGGCCGCCGAAAGTCTGCAAGCGACGCGATCAGTGATGAATCCATTGCAGGGAGTGGGCGTGGACGTACCTGGTTGGCCCAGGTGATGTTGTTCTTCTCGGCGACAGTCGGAGCGAGGAGGTACCTATTTCATCTCTGGGTGAGCGACGATTGGTGTAGATGTTTTTGCGGATACTCACTTGACCTTAACCTGCGCGGGCGTTCCGTTCGCCTCCCCGGTGTCGCCGCCACCTACCGAGATCGTCGTGGTGTAAGCACCCTGGCCATCCTGCTCCGACATGAAGTTGATCAGCACGAGACGGGCGATAGCGTCGTTCTCGTAGATGGCGTAGCCCGGAGTGTACGTGCTGGCGCTGTTCGAGAACAGGTCCAAGACGCGGGAAGTGTTGGTCTTGCCGAGCGCTTCGGCAATGACGAGGGAAGAGTAGAAGGTCGGGCCGACGGTCCATCCGTTCACCGACGACAAGTTGGTGGGCGGGGCTGTAGAAATCATCAGAACGACACCGAGGCGGAGGTTAGTCGGCACGTACGCGTGAAAGGCTGGAGAGACGCCAATCAGTATTTATGAGTCTGATATCAAGTGACTGCGCTTACGTTGTAGGACACATCTTGACCACCAACGTGCAGAAGAGCGCCAGTGAAGTTGCCGTACGCCATTTGAAGACCGTAGTCGACGCCCCACAGCGCGGAACCGAAACTGTCACTGACACCAGGGAAACCACCGCAAGACGCAGTGTTCGTCTCGAACATCATGAACTGCTTGCCGGCCGCTTGCGCTGCAGGGATCGCGCTGAGGTATGGGCTGACGAGACCCTGGCCGCTTCCGTGGTTGAGGTAGTTCGCGAAAACGTCCTGAGGGTTCACGGGGTCACCGAAACCAGCGTCGGGGAAGGCAGCAGCGCAATTGTTGTCAGGGTAGCTAACAGGGGACGTCAGCAACCGGCGCCGTCGATTCAAAGGAGTATGCTTACTGCTCAACGGAGACGATGCTGATCGAGTCTCCGTAGGTGGTGAGGAAGCCGGTGGCGTACACCGACTCCATCGACCAAGTGCCCTGCAAGCTGGGGGCGACTAGGTTGCCGCGGCTCTTGATATTGGCGTCGTTCTCAATCGCCTGGACGACAACGCCGAATTCATTGAAGTAGTCTGTCTGGTTGTACCCGACAGGTCGGTGGTCGTGACTGAAAAGCGTGTTAGAATGCATCATGCCCGAAGGATAGGTTGCTCCTACTCGGCGTAAAGATCCGGTTCGTTGCCGAGCTGGAAGGCCAGGACATTATCGCCAAGAATAGTTTCTGCCGCTTCCGCAATCTGCAGCCGCAAGTTGGTGGTGTCGTTGAACGGGATGCCTGGAGACACCACCATGAGCTCTCTGTTGGAGTATGGTTACCAAGCGCCTTACCAAGGTACCACTTGGCGTTGACCAGCGCCGACACGTTCGCAAGAAGATACAGCATCTCAGCTGTGAAATCTAGGATCGGAGTATCGGTCTAAAGCAAAGCCAATTAGTTCTCTGTTGCTGAGCGGATGTACTCGAGCAGAGGATCGCATCGCCACACCGAGAAAGTACTGCAAATCTGGATCTGACGATCTCTTATGCACTACCACGGCCGGCCCCGCGGGACAGCATAACACGTTCCGCGGAACATTGGCACCAGAGAACCGGACTTTCTGCTCGGGTCCAATGACCAATTGTCTATGCCTGGAATGTACGTGCGTTGACTAGCCTACCCTGTGTAGCTAGATCCAGCGCTTTCCTGCGCCGCTGCTGACCCGCTGGTTCGAGCTCTTCATTGGACTTTTCGACGTGCGAGTGAGCAGTGGGTGGGTATGGCGGTGGTTGTAAATGTGCGAAACGTGAACAGCTTGGGGCCGCTTCATTTATAAATATCCGCTATCCTGCAGAACATGTTCCACAAACATGTTCAGCAGAACAACTTGTTCAAGACATCGGACGTTCCCAATGTATCACCTTGTGGACAACTTGTGGGCGCCCCGTCTCGATATGACAACGCCAAGGCCCCGGGGGGCCTCAGATGACGTCACAACATCGCGGAGGGGGCCCGTCGTTAGGTCCATCAAACAACCCCCACGGGCATCGGCACCAGCATTCGCTATGAATTCCCTTGGGGTAGACCTGGCGAATGCGGCGTTTGAACGGCGGTAATCTCGTCACCAGACGGTGGCGGAATCGCTCTTCGTCGGGAGAGAGACGCAGTGCAGGTAGAGGAGCATGTCCATATCATATGGAGGGGGGGCAGGGGATGGCGATGCTTGCGCGAGAGGCATGCCCCAACACGCGTCATCTCGCTGCGCGTTAACAACCATTCTTCGCGCAAGCGATGGTATCTGGTTCCATTCCGGGGCGTTTCCAGCGATGTTGCGTGCTCAACATGCCAAGAGCCGCGGCAGAGCAGGAGGGGAGGACAAGGCTGGGCAAGCTTAGACGCAAAGTGAGAGAGTACACACCGGGTTGCTCGCGTTCTCCTTGTCCTTGGCAATCATCGTGTTGTTTGGCAAGCTGTCGACGAGAGTCGCGGTCTCCTGAGTGTTACCACCCACTCGGACGATGACGCTACCCGCCCTGTCGGCGATAGTTGCGAGGAGGTTGAGGAAGGGGACTTGGATGAAGGACCTATAGTGCGCCAAGTGAGCTCGTCGCATTCGCCAAGGCAGGAGAGTATCTGGGCGTACGCGTTCTTCCCGACTATCGAGCGCAAGGATCGATCGTGAGATCCAGTTGTTGGTCCATGAGGGTGGTGCGTTACTCACTAACTTGTTGGACCACGGACATTTCGATGGAGAACCCGAGGAAGTTCGCCTTCTGGGGCACCGAAAGTCCATTCACGCTGTTGGCGTTACTGAGCACGGTAATGGGGAAATTCGTGCTTGGCATTGGTGAGGGCAGCGCGGGAGGTGTTAGGGTGACATTGTTGTATGCGGCCAGGTTGGAGATCCAGCTTGTTGAGGAAGCTGAAGTCGCCGCTGCTGCCGCATCGGTGGTGGACGTTCCCGCAGCAGCAGCAGGAATTGTCATCCCCTGCTGGCCATAGACGGTAACCGCCTGAGCATAAGACCAGAGACCAGCTAGAGAGAGTAAAAAGAATGGAGATTTTAGCATGGCGGGCGAGGGTATAGAAGGAGAGGTGGAGGGAGGTGGACAAGGCGCAGCGCCGTCGTCAAAACGCTCGGGACGGTCTCGGCCTGCGCAGTCGGGACGGCACCGGCATACTTCCACATTAGGTCATAATAGGCGCCTACATAGTGGGCGCCCGGCCGGTAGCTTCCACATTGGGTAGCTTACATACGCCGACGGCCGGTGGTGCCTGGCGTCGGCCACTTCGTCGGCGACGACAGTGAACACAAGGGTGCGCGTGAGAGACGTTGCCATGTACCTGCGAAATTCGGGTAGCACAGGTGAGTGTTTTGTGGGATTCGTATGAGGTTCGCACACCTACTTTCCGCTGACGGTGAAGGAAAATCGCACACGTATCACAGCAACTGCGCTGAGGTCATGTTCCTGTCATTTCGTAAGTATCCAACACCCTCCACCCACATATTCTTCTTGCATGAAGTTTCGGCCAGCTGATACAACACCTCACTGAGTTCAGACGTTCTCTCTCATGCATAGAAGACGGTAGTTGACGTCGGCCAGCAAACCCGAGGTGAAAATGACACGATGTGGAAGTAGCTTCGACGCCACCAAAGCGAACCTATGCCCGATGTTCCTTGAAACGGACACGTCAGCATTGTGCTCGAAAATCATGGTATATTGGACGGGTACATACCTCAAGAATGCTACGTGATTACAGAGCGACAAGCTAGGTCAAGATGTACATTAATTGCCATGATATACAATAAACTAAAGACGTACTCATCCCACAGTCCCCGCAAGACTAGCGGGCAATCATCCGTGGGCATAGCTCAGTGGAGCGCTCGCATGAACACCGCGACACCCCCGAGAACGCCTGCCAAGGCCGCAACACCAGGCGCGAAGCCCGTCATGCCCGACGCGCCGTTCGCGCCTCCCTGGCTCGTGCCGCCTGAAGAGATGCGGTTCTTGCCGCTCTGCCCGTTCGATGTCGCGAGAACCGATGGGTCGACCGTCACGGTGTTCGCTGTCTTCGTCACGATGGACGTCGCGAACGTCTGCGGGGCTGCTGGGTCGACCGCCGCTTGTGCGGCATCGGAAAAGAAGACGAGGGCCGCGCCAGGCGCGGGCACCGTGATCTGGCACATGTTCTGCGTCTGGTCGCACTGCACGGTCTGGATGTCTTCATCACCCTTCCATGTACCGTCGGCCTGGAAGCGACCGCCGAGGGTCTGGCCAGCCCAGGTGATGTTGTCCTTCTCGGACACAGAGGGGGCGCGGAGGTACCTGT